GTGATGGGTACTACTATTGAGAAACACGACACCCTTGATGGGTGCTAGGCTACTATGAAAAACCACGACACCCTTGATGGGTGCTACTATGGAGAAGGACGGCAAAATAATTTATTCAACAGAATTATTAATTATGTTTGTATTAAAGAAAACAATGAGGGTTAAAGATAATAATTACAATTTTCCAAGGAACCCATCCTTACTTTTCTTAGCAATCATCAAGGCGAAAGTAATGAAAATCCTGCAGATTGGATATGAACAGTAGGCCCAAACACTCCGGCTGGTATTCTTTATTGTGTGGTAATTATTCATTTCAGAACAAACTTTATTGTCTGGTAATTGTTCTTTTGTATAACCTCCCTACCCTCCCCCAATCCCCAACATGCCCCAACACATCATCTTGCCGGTATTCTTAAAACAAGAAAAGACTGTTTTGAGCAGCACATGGGAAATTAATGAAAATACTATGCTCAGGAATATAATTATTTTTATTAAGTGTGTAATGTATTTTGTATTTTTTTTTTTTTTAAATGCTGCCTCGGGTGCAAACACATTTTTGTTTAAAGTTACCGTCATTTCTCCTCAACATTTGCAATTAACATAAAATAAAATTGAGTAAGAGTACGAACAACGTTGCACGGTACGAGTTCGTGTTTGAGTTCGAATGCGAACAAAGTTCGTGTTTGAGCTCGAGTGCGAACAAAGTTTAATACACGACTTCGAGTACAAAAAAATATGGACGAGGTCGTGATCGGGTTGAGTAAGAGTACTAACAAGGTTACACGGTACGAGTTTGAGTTCGAGTGCGAACAAAGTTCGTTCTTGAGCTCGAGTGCAAACAAAATTACACGACTTCGAGTACGAAAAATATCGGATGAGTACGAGTTCGTTTTCGAGTTTGAGAAACAGAGCGAACAAAGTTACACGGTACGAGTTCGTATTTGAGTTCGAGTGCGAACAAAGTTCGTGTTTGAGCTCGAGTGCGAACAAAATTACACGACTTCGAGTACGAAAAATATCGGATGAGTACGAGTTCGTTTTCGAGTTTGAGAATCAGAGCGAACAAAGTTACACGGTACGAGTTCGTATTTGAGTTCGAGTGCGAACAAAGTTCGTGTTTGAGCTCGTGTGCGAACGAAATTACACGACTTCGAGTACGAAAATTATCGGATGAGTATGAGTTTGTTTTCGAGGTTTAGTAAGAATACGAACAAACTTTCACGGTACGAGTTCGTGTTTGAGTTCGAGTGCGAACAAAGTTCGTGTTTGAGCTCGTGTGCGAACGAAATTACACGACTTCGAATACGAAAAAATATGGACGAGTTCGTGATCGGGGTTGAGTAAGAGTACGAACAACGTTGCACGGAACGAGTTCGTGTTTGAGTTCGAATGCGAACAAAGTTCGTGTTTGAGCTCGAGTGCGAACACAGTTACACTAGTAAACAAGTTGGATCAGTTCGAGTACAAAAATGATGAGTACAAGTACTTAAACTTCTATATACATGTACCTCCTGCTAACTCTGAATGATTTCTTTGCGGGAAATAGGGCCATGTGTAATATAATAATTTTATTTCGCCGTTTTGCGTTCATTTCTTTACCAATTAATTGCAACATCTGCACTTGTAATTTTTTGTTTGATCTTGCATACTCATTACCTTCTACTTGACAGTTGTTGGCTTAATTATTGACATTTGTACCGATTTTCTGTTTGTGACAATGTGTTAAATATTTTGGGGCCATGTGTACAAATCAGACGTCGACAATTTAGTCATGTCTTAACGTTTCTTCGTCGTTCCACACGTATACTCGTGAACAAATCTAAGGCCATGTGTATACAAAATCTTTCGTCGCCGTTTTGAAGACATGTCTGCCAAACCTCTGTTTTTTCTTCTGTACTAATGTTACAGATTAGATTCTAGGGCCATGTGAATAAATCTTATTTTGTCTTAGCGGACATTTTTTTCTTCAAATCTATCATGCAACATTATTATAGGGCCATGTGATGTACAGATCTTCAATTCCTCCGTTTTGTAGAAACTGCTCTAAATACCGGATGTGTACTTTTTTGAAAAATACTTGTCCTTTTACCCCGTGTTGAATGGGTATCATTGTGTAAATCAACCAATGTGTTAAGTTTCCATAGCTGTTTTAAAGCTATGCATGCTGGATCTACATTTTCTTGTAAACTGTGTATCTCGTAGGCCTGCACTGTGTATCTCTCACCTGTAATTGTGATTCATCAATTGAAATACTCTAGGGCCATGTTTACAAGTCTACCATATTTGGCTGTTTAGCAGAAATTGCCCCCGCTGCAACGCCAAGCCCATCCCTCGTTACTTAAACATCGAGATATATTGTGCCTACATATTATGCATATAAAGGACCACGCACTCTTGTTTTACTATACTCTCGAGGACAATGCTTTGTGTTTCCATTTGACCCTGTAATATAACACTCTCCCATAGACTAAGCGCACGAACTTACTACAGAGGACCGTTTCCAACAAAGGACCCAACTCCCGAGGACTGAAAGGATCTGTTCTTCTCCCTTTGTGTGTCGGTCCTCGGGGTTATGTAGAACACGTACACGTGTGCAGATATTACGGAGTATTTGAACGAATGTATAGTCGTGATATATGTAATAACTGATGATTTTTCCACAATTATCCCGCGACATGAAATAGTCTCTGATCCTTGTCGAAATAATGTGCTATTGACATACATTTTTTTTTGTGATTTCGTGTTCTATAAGTCCGATCCGTCAGGATCGGCAATGCCTATTGTGTTAGGGCCATGGTGACAATGATCTTAATAACGACACCTGTTATTCGTCGGAAACACCCCATAATGTGTGGTCTGAGTTTACAGAGTAAAATGGGTTCCTTAATACAAAAAAAAGGTGACCTGCAAAACAAGTGGAGGTTTTGATTGATATTAACTTTCAATTGCAATAAGTCCGATCTAGTAACTCTGATCCACAACGATCGACAATGTCTATAATTATTGTGTTAGGGCCATGGTGACAATTATTAATGTTGCCAATAATCACGTGAAGACATCTGATACGTCGGATACACCCCACAATCGCTTTACGAAGTTTCGTCTAGAGTCTACAGAATAAACTAAAATGGATTCATTGATTGTTTTTCTTTTAAGATCCACAAACCCAGTGGAGATTATGATCAACATTAATTTTTTTCAATTCCGGTAAGTCCGATCAGCGTCGGCAAAGTAATATTGTTTCCCTTTGAACAGGTGCGCGTTGCTTTTGCAAAACAGGAATTAAGCTACAGTCTATGCAAGAGACTTCGCGAGCAGTAGGCCAAGTGATCTATTCAGAATTGTCCTAACCTAAGTTTTCCTTTCTCTACGGTTGTGCCCATTACAGTGGTCAGGTAAGGGCCACTAAGTGAGACTTTACCTAGTTAGGCCTAGTAATCTAGATATGGGGTGGACCTGAACTACGTGTCCTTTTTCAATGGTTGTATCTTTCAATTATAGTGGTCAGGTAAGGACCACATTGTTTCCTCGTTTCTCAAATACCAGTCACTATTAACAATTAAACCACTGTACATAATTATACTGACTTAACCTAGCTCCTCTGCGAGGTAGACAGGTTTTTCTTTTTTTGTGAGCCCATTTTCAGTCACTTGCAGTTAGATTATGAAGACATGGAAGCCCGATTGTTCCTGCAGGTGCGGAGGAACCGGAAGCAGGGAGGAGGAACAACGGATGACTGAGGACCCTGCTTGCCGGGCATCCCATTACTGCTTCCTTTGGTAAAAACATTAACCTAACTCCTTAGCATAATTGACAAGGAACCATACCCATATCCTGGTAAATTTCCCCACCATATGGGAAACTGCACACACACATTTTTGATTTTGGAATTGTGCCAACCCAATGACAAAGAATGTCAGTTTAGGGGTACTGTACCCATCCTGAGAGATTCCAACAAAAACATGCCGTTGGGGTTTGATGGGTTGGGGGAGGTTACATTGCTTTGGCTTTGGCTTTGGCTTTGGCTTTGGCTTTGGCTTTGGCTTTGGCTTTGGCGCTTTGGCTTTGGCTTTGGCGCTTTGGCTTTGGCTTTGGGGTTTTGGGGCTTTGGGGCTTTGGCTTTGGCTTTGGCTTTGGCGCTTTGGCTTTGGCGCTTTGGCTTTGGCGCTTTGGCTTTGGTTTTGGCTTTGGCGCTTTGGCTTTGGGGCTTTGGCTTTGGCTTGGCGCTTTGGCTTTGGTTTGGCGCTTTGGCTTTGGTTTGGCGCTTTGGCGTTGGGGTTTGGTTTTGGCTTTGGCTTTGGCTTTGGCTTTGGCGCTTTGGCTTTGGCGCTTTGGCTTTGGCACTTTGGCTTTGGCTTTGGCGCTTTGGCTTTGGCACTTTGGCTTTGGCGCTTTGGCTTTGGCTTTGGCGCTTTGGCTTTGGCTTTGGGGCTTTGGGGCTTTGGGGCTTTGGCTTTGGCTTTGGCTTTGGCGCTTTGGCTTTGGCGCTTTGGCTTTGGCGCTTTGGCTTTGGTTTTGGCTTTGGCGCTTTGGCTTTGGGGCTTTGGCTTTGGCTTGGCGCTTTGGCTTTGGTTTGGCGCTTTGGCTTTGGTTTGGCGCTTTGGCGTTGGGGTTTGGTTTTGGCTTTGGCTTTGGCTTTGGCTTTGGCGCTTTGGCTTTGGCGCTTTGGCTTTGGCACTTTGGCTTTGGCTTTGGCGCTTTGGCTTTGGCACTTTGGCTTTGGCGCTTTGGCTTTGGCTTTGGCGCTTTGGCTTTGGTTTGGCGCTTTGGCTTTGGCTTTGGTGCTTTGGCTTTGGGGCTTTGGCTTTGGCTTTGGCTTTGGCGCTTTGGCTTTGGCTTTGGCGCTTTGGCTTTGGCTTTGGCGCTTTGGCTTTGGGGCTTTGGCTTTGGCTTTGGGGCTTTGGCTTTGGCGCTTTGGCTTTGGGGCTTTGGCTTTGGCTTTGGCTTTGGCGCTTTGGCTTTGGCTTTGGCGCTTTGGCTTTGGCTTTGGCGCTTTGGCTTTGGCTTTGGTTTGGCGCTTTGGCTTTGGCGCTTTGGCTTTGGTTTGGCGCTTTGGCTTTGGGGTTTGGCTTTGGCTTTGGCTTTGGCGCTTTGGCTTTGGCGCTTTGGCTTTGGCTTTGGCTTTGGCGCTTTGGCTTTGGGGCTTTGGCTTTGGCTTTGGCACTTTGGCTTTGGGGCTTTGGGGCTTTGGCTTTGGCTTTGGCGCTTAAGCTTTGGTTTGGCGCTTTGGCTTTGGTTTGGCGCTTTGGCTGTGGGGCTTTGACTTTGGCTTTGGCACTTTGGCTTTGGGGCTTTGGGGCTTTGGCTTTGGCTTTGGCGCTTTGGCTTGGTTTGGCGCTTTGGCTTTGGTTTGGCGCTTTGGCTTTGGGGTTTGGCGCTTTGGCTTTGGGGTTTGGCTTTGGCTTTGGCTTTGGCGCTTTGGCTTTGGGGCTTTGGCGCTTTGGCTTTGGCTTTGGCGCTTTGGCTTTGGGGCTTTGGCTTTGGCTTTGGCGCTTTGGCTTTGGCTTTGGCGCTTTGGCTTTGGCTTTGGTTTGGCGCTTTGGCTTTGGCGCTTTGGCTTTGGCGCTTTGGCTTTGGTTTGGCGCTTTGGCTTTGGGGTTTGGCTTTGGCTTTGGCTTTGCTTTGGGGCTTTGGCTTTGGCGCTTGGCGCTTTGGCTTTGGCGCTTTGGCTTTGGCTTTGGCGCTTTGGCTTTGGCTTTGGCGCTGTGGCTTTGGCACTTTGGCTTTGGGGCTTTGGGGCTTTGGCCTTGGCTTTGGCGCTTTGGCTTTGGCGCTTTGGCTTTGGTTTGGCGCTTTGGCTTTGGGGTTTGGCTTTGGGGCTTTGGCTTTGGCGCTTTGGCTTTGGTTTGGCGCTTTGGCTTTGGGGCTTTGGCTTCCGGGGGCTTTGGCTTTGGCTTTGGCGCTTTGGCTTTGGCTTTGGCTTTGGCTTTGGCTTTGGCACTTTGGCTTTGGCACTTTGGCTTTGTGGCTTTGGCATTGGCTTAGGCGCTTTAACTTTGGTTTGGCGCTTTGGCTTTGGGGTTTGGCTTTGGCTTTGGCTTTGGCGCTTTGGCTTTGGCGCTTTGGCTTTAGTTTGGCGCTTTGGCTTTGGGGTTTGGCTTTGGCTTTGGCTTTGGCGCTTTGGCTTTGGGGCTTTGGCGCTTTGGCTTTGGCGCTTTGGCTTTGGGGCTTTGGCGCTTTGGCTTTGGCGCTTTGGCTTTGGGGCTTTGACGCTTTGGCTTTGGCGCTTTGGCTTTGGGGCTTTGGGGCTTTGGCCTTGGCTTTGGCTTTGGCGCTTCGGCTTTGGCTTTGGTTTGGCGCTTTGGCTTTGGCGCTTTGATTTTGGTTTGGCGCTTTGGCTTTGGGGTTTGGCTTTGGCTTTGGCTTTGGCGCTTTGGCTTTGGGGCTTTGGCTTTGGCTTTGGCGCTTTGGCTTTGGCTTTGGCACTTTGGCTTTGGTACTTTGGCTTTGGGGCTTTGGCATTGGCTGAGGCGCTTTAACTTTGGTTTGGCGCTTTGGCTTTGGGGTTTGGCTTTGGCTTTGGCTTTGGCGCTTTGGCTTTGGCGCTTTGGCTTTAGTTTGGCGCTTTGGCTTTGGGGTTTGGCTTTGGCTTTGGCTTTGGCGCTTTGGCTTTGGGGCTTTGGCGCTTTGGATTTGGCGCTTTGGCTTTGGGGCTTTGGCGCTTTGGCTTTGGCGCTTTGGCTTTGGGGCTTTGGCGCTTTGGCGCTTTGGCTTTGGCGCTTTGGCTTTGGGGCTTTGGGGCTTTGGCCTTGGCTTTGGCTTTGGCGCTTCGGCTTTGGCTTTGGTTTGGCGCTTTGGCTTTGGCGCTTTGATTTTGGTTTGGCGCTTTGGCTTTGGGGCTTTGGCGCTTTGGCTTTGGCGCTTTGGCTTTGGGGCTTTGGCGCTTTGGCGCTTTGGCTTTGGCGCTTTGGCTTTGGGGCTTTGGGGCTTTGGGGCTTTGGCCTTGGCTTTGGCTTTGGCGCTTCGGCTTTGGCTTTGGTTTGGCGCTTTGGCTTTGGCGCTTTGATTTTGGTTTGGCGCTTTGGCTTTGGGTTTGGCTTTGGCTTTGGGGCTTTGGCTTTGGCGCTTTGGCTTTGGCGCTTTGGCTTTGGCTTTGGCGCTTTGGCTTTGGCTTTGGCGCTGTGGCTTTGGCACTTTGGCTTTGGGGCTTTGGCCTTGGCTTTGGCGCTTTGGCTTTGGCGCTTTGGCTTTGGTTTGGCGCTTTGGCTTTGGGGTTTGGCTTTGGGGCTTTGGCTTTGGCGCTTTGGCTTTGGTTTGGTGCTTTGGCTTTGGGGCTTTGGCTTTGGCGCTTTGGCTTTGGCTTTGGCGCTTTGGCTTTGGCTTTGGCTTTGGCTTTGGCGCTTTGGCTTTGGCACTTTGGCTTTGGGGCTATGGGGCTTTGGCTTTGGCTTAGGCGCTTTAACTTTGGTTTGGCGCTTTGGCTTTGGGGTTTGGCTTTGGCTTTGGCTTTGGCTTTGGCGCTTTGGCTTTGGCGCTTTGGCTTTAGTTTGGCGCTTTGGCTTTGGTGTTTGACTTTGGCTTTGGCTTTGGCGCTTTGGCTTTGGGGCTTTGGCGCTTTGGCTTTGGCGCTTTGGCTTTGGCGCTTTGGCTTTGGCACTTTGGCTTTGGCACTTTGGCTTTGGGGCTTTGGCCTTGGCTTTGGCGCTTTGGCTTTGGCGCTTTGGCTTTGGCGCTTTGGCTTTGGTTTGGCGCTTTGGCTTTGGTTTGGCGCTTTGGCTTTGGGACTTTGGCTTTGGCTTTGGCGCTTTGGCTTTGGCTTTGGCGCTTTGGCTTTGGGGTTTGGCTTTGGCTTTGGCTTTGGCGCTTTGGCTTTAGTTTGGCGCTTTGGCTTTGGGGTTTGACTTTGGCTTTGGCTTTGGCGCTAGTTTGGCGCTTTGGCTTTGGGGTTTGACTTTGGCTTTGGCTTTGGCGCTTTGGCTTTGGTTTGGCGCTTTGGCTTTGGGGCTTTGGCTTTGGCTTTGGCGCTTTGGCTTTGGCTTTGGCGCTTTGGCTTTGGCTTTGGCGCTTTGGCTTTGGCTTTGGCGCTTTGGCTTTGGCGCTTTGGCTTTGGCGCTTTGGCTTTGGCGCTTTGGCTTTGGGGCTTTGGCACTTTGGCTTTGGCGCTTTGGCTTTGGCACTTTGGCTTTGGGGTTTTGGGGCTTTGGCCTTGGCTTTGGCGCTTTGGCTTTGGCGCTTTGGCTTTGGCTTTGGCGCTTTGGCTTTGGCTTTGGCACTTTGGCTTTGGCTTTGGCGCTTTGGCTTTGGCGCTTTGGCTTTGGCGCTTTGGCTTTGGCGCTTTGGCACTTTGGCTTTGGCGCTTTGGCTTTGGCACTTTGGCTTTGGGGTTTTGGGGCTTTGGCCTTGGCTTTGGCGCTTTGGCTTTGGCGCTTTGGCTTTGGCGCTTTGGCTTTGGCGCTTTGGCTTTGGCGCTTTGGCTTTGGCGCTTTGGCTTTGCTTTGGCGCTTTGGCTTTGGGGCTTTGGCTTTGGCTTTGGCGCTTTGGCTTTGGCTTTGGCGCTTTGGCTTTGGCTTTGGCTTTGGCTTTGGCTTTGGCGCTTTGGCTTTGGGGCTTTGGCTTTGGCGCTTTGGCTTTGGTTTGGCGCTTTGGCTTTGGGGCTTTGGCTTTGGCTTTGGCGCTTTGGCTTTGGCTTTGGCGCTTTGGCTTTGGCGCTTTGGCTTTGGCGCTTTGGCTTTGGCGCTTTGGCTTTGGGGCTTTGGCACTTTGGCTTTGGCGCTTTGGCTTTGGCGCTTTGGCTTTGGCACTTTGGCTTTGGGGTTATGGGGCTTTGGCTTTGGCGCTTTGGCTTTGGCGCTTTGGCTTTGGTTTGGCGCTTTGGCTTTGGGGCTTTGGCGCTTTGGCTTTGGCGCTTTGGCTTTGGCTTTGGCGCTTTGGCTTTGGCTTTGGCGCTTTGGCGCTTTGGCTTTGGCTTTGGCGCTTTGGCTTTGGCGCTTTGGCGCTTTGGCTTTGGGGCTTTGGCTTTGGCTTTGGCGCTTTGGCTTTGGCTTTGGCGCTTTGGCTTTGGCTTTGGCTTTGGCTTTGGCGCTTTGGCTTTGGGGCTTTGGCTTTGGCGCTTTGGCTTTGGCGCTTTGGCTTTGGCGCTTTGGCTTTGGGGCTTTGGCACTTTGGCTTTGGCACTTTGGCTTTGGGGTTATGGGGCTTTGGCTTTGGCGCTTTGGCTTTGGCGCTTTGGCTTTGGTTTGGCGCTTTGGCTTTGGGGCTTTGGCGCTTTGGCTTTGGCGCTTTGGCTCTGGCTTTGGCGCTTTGGCTTTGGCTTTGGCGCTTTGGCGCTTTGGCTTTGGCTTTGGCGCTTTGGCTTTGGCGCTTTGGCTTTGGCGCTTTGGCTTTGGGGCTTTGGCACTTTGGCTTTGGCGCTTTGGCTTTGGCGCTTTGGCTTTGGCACTTTGGCTTTGGGGTTTTGGGGCCAAAGCGCCAAAGCCAAAGTGCCAAAGCCCCAAAGCCTAAGCGCCAAAGCCAAAGCGCCAAAGCCAAAGCGCCAAAGCCAAAGCCAAAGCGCCAAAGCCAAAGCCAAAGCGCCAAAGCGCCAAAGCTTTGCGCTTTGGCTTTGGCTTTGGCTTTGGCGCTTTGGCTTTGGGGCTTTGGCTTTGGCGCTTTGGCTTTGGTTTGGCGCTTTGGCTTTGGCGCTTTGGCGCTTTGGCGCTTTGGCTTTGGTTTGGCGCTTTGGCTTTGGCGCTTTGGTGCTTTGGCGCTGGCGCTTTGGCTTTGGCTTTGGCTTTGGCTTTGGCTTTGGCTTTGGCTTTGGCTTTGGCTTTGGCTTTGGCTTTGGCTTTGGCTTTGGTGCTTTGGCGTTTTGGCGCTTTGGCTTTGGCGCTTTGGTGCTTTGGCTTAGGCGCTTTGGCTTTTGCTTTGGCTTTTTCCTTTCCCCTTTCCTTTCCCCTGTCCTTTCCCTTCCCTTTCCCTTCTCTACGCTTGTTCGGAGTCTATACGATTACTGATACCTTACAACAAAAGTAAGATAAATCTACAAGAAACTTAATTTAGATTATTTTCTTTTTCAAGTCAACAGATAATTAAGAACAGCAACATAACTTGCGCATAATTATCCCAAAACAATGCCTTGCATGTGTTCCTTTTAATCTGGCAGAGATGAGAGTCTACGAGATGAGGCTTAATTCTGAACGAAGTTAGATTCTGAATCCCAAGGAACCGGAAGCAGGGAGGAGGACCGACGGAAGGACTGATGACCTGCTTGCAGAGCAAGTCTTCGCCAATTATTGAGGTAATTTAGAAAAAAAGGGTTACAGATGTATATTATTTCCTTTCTCAATTTTTATTTTCGTCTTCGGGCAGTGGCACCTCATTTTTTATGACATATCTACTCCATCTGCATCAATCCGAAAGTTTGTTTGTACTTCGATAATATAATATGCACTTTGGCTTTGGCGCTTTGGCTTTGGCGCTTTCGCTTTGCTTTGGCGCTTTGGCTTTGGGGCTTTGGCTTTGGCTTTGGCGCTTTGGCTTTGGCTTTGGCGCTTTGGCTTTGGCTTTGGCTTTGGCTTTGGCGCTTTGGCTTTGGGGCTTTGGCTTTGGCGCTTTGGCTTTGGTTTGGCGCTTTGGCTTTGGGGCTTTGGCTTTGGCTTTGGCGCTTTGGCTTTGGCTTTGGCGCTTTGGCTTTGGCGCTTTGGCTTTGGCGCTTTGGCTTTGGCGCTTTGGCTTTGGGGCTTTGGCACTTTGGCTTTGGCACTTTGGCTTTGGGGTTATGGGGCTTTGGCTTTGGCGCTTTGGCTTTGGCGCTTTGGCTTTGGTTTGGCGCTTTGGCTTTGGGGCTTTGGCGCTTTGGCTTTGGCGCTTTGGCTTTGGCTTTGGCGCTTTGGCTTTGGCTTTGGCGCTTTGGCGCTTTGGCTTTGGCTTTGGCGCTTTGGCTTTGGCGCTTTGGCTTTGGGGCTTTGGCACTTTGGCTTTGGCGCTTTGGCTTTGGCGCTTTGGCTTTGGCACTTTGGCTTTGGGGTTTTGGGGCCAAAGCGCCAAAGCCAAAGCGCCAAAGCCAAAGTGCCAAAGCCCCAAAGCCAAAGCGCCAAAGCCAAAGCGCCAAAGCCAAAGCGCCAAAGCCAAAGCCAAAGCGCCAAAGCCAAAGCCAAAGCGCCAAAGCGCCAAAGCTTTGCGCTTTGGCTTTGGCTTTGGCTTTGGCGCTTTGGCTTTGGGGCTTTGGCTTTGGCGCTTTGGCTTTGGTTTGGCGCTTTGGCTTTGGCGCTTTGGCGCTTTGGCGCTTTGGCTTTGGTTTGGCGCTTTGGCTTTGGCGCTTTGGTGCTTTGGCGCTGGCGCTTTGGCTTTGGCTTTGGCTTTGGCTTTGGCTTTGGCTTTGGCTTTGGCTTTGGCTTTGGCTTTGGCTTTGGCTTTGGTGCTTTGGCGTTTTGGCGCTTTGGCTTTGGCGCTTTGGTGCTTTGGCTTAGGCGCTTTGGCTTTTGCTTTGGCTTTTTCCTTTCCCCTTTCCTTTCCCCTGTCCTTTCCCTTCCCTTTCCCTTCTCTACGCTTGTTCGGAGTCTATACGATTACTGATACCTTACAACAAAAGTAAGATAAATCTACAAGAAACTTAATTTAGATTATTTCCTTTTTCAAGTCAACAGATAATTAAGAACAGCAACATAACTTGCGCATAATTATCCCAAAACAATGCCTTGCATGTGTTCCTTTTAATCTGGCAGAGATGAGAGTCTACGAGATGAGGCTTAATTCTGAACGAAGTTAGATTCTGAATCCCAAGGAACCGGAAGCAGGGAGGAGGACCGACGGAAGGACTGATGACCTGCTTGCAGAGCAAGTCTTCGCCAATTATTGAGGTAATTTAGAAAAAAAGGGTTACAGATGTATATTATTTCCTTTCTCAATTTTTATTTTCGTCTTCGGGCAGTGGCACCTCATTTTTTATGACATATCTACTCCATCTGCATCAATCCGAAAGTTTGTTTGTACTTCGATAATATAATATGCCTATTGAATAAACTAGATACAATAATTATTTCTTATATTTGCAGATACATCTTGCTTCGTGTATAAGCGGCAGAATCGTGACGGTATACATCACGGAGTACAGTTGCTCACCAGGGCAGGAATTGACACGAATGTTAGCAACACTCAACTATATGTTTTACAATGGTTCCTGAAAGTTCCCATGTAGTATGATTCTCTTACAAAAATGTCACTTTTTACTAAACCGAGGGATGTGATGATTCCTACAGTAACATTTCTACAGTAAGATTTGTTTGATATGTATAAAGGACTTTTTGGAGTCAATTCGATTTTAGGAAAGCCATGCGTTCATCCACGCACCAAGCTGCGAACAACGTTTTCAAAATAAAAAAATAATGCGCACGCGCAGAGGCTACCCAATCAGTGGCTTTACATGGGAACTAGCTACCGGTCCCCGTAATTTAATGGGGACGTCGAAGTACTCGGTCGTACTCGTATTAAGAGGAAGGGAATTAAACCCACTCAAAGTTCTTTCAAAATACAATAGTAAGAAGTGCAAAAGACAATTGTTGACACTGTTGCAACCAAATGTTGCAGCTCCCATGGGCCTTACCAAACTTAAAAGGAAGCACTCTAATAAACTGTACAGCTGTAAAAACAAGTTGGACATGTTTTGAAAACAAGTTGGAACCATGGGACATCCACAGAACCATGCTGGACACACAACCCAGAATGACCATATGACTAATGACCCATTGTTTAAAAAGGCTCTTCGTAATAGCTTGTTCCATAGAAATTATATTACCCCAACAGGTTTATAGTCTGTTTGATATCTACATGTACAAACATTTTCTCATAGTTGACCACAACAGTTCTGCACTTTCTGAACAACTTGTCTGATTAAAAGAGGAAGCCGTGTCCGCACAGCTTAGAAAAAAACTGTCCGGTTCTTTGATCTCTTCGTTGTCATGGATTCATGACTTCATTTTTTTTTTATCCACTGTTAATCTCCATTTTCATATAACTAGTGGTCCTGTTGACTAAAGTTCCTCTTTTCGGCGTCACCTGCAATCATTTCTCCTCCAAATCAAATCTGAAGATGTCCACCGAGATGTTGACGTATAACGGATGGATCTCAAGACGAGGGGGCGGGTACCTGAGGTTACTTAGCCCGTCATTATCCATACGGCTGGAGAAGTTCTTCAACAGATCCAACCTGTATTAAGAATAATAAGCAAACGTTATCACACATGGCAACGAGGACAATTTACTGATATTGACCAAGCACCCGCGGTTACTAGACCGTCATGCATAACTCATGAGTGGCTGAGTATTTCTTCAGAAGATCGAACCTATACACACAGAACAACTCAGAGGGCAATGGGAAGATAATGCCACTTAGTGACATGCCGTCGATATTGCCCAAAATCTATCCCTTGATCAAGATGGCATAATGACGTACCTTTCTGGTATCTTTTGCGCACTGCTGTGGTGATGCTCAATGACTTTGTAGAATCCCATATAGCGATCGCCTCCCGTTGGTCTGGGAGCTACGTTCAAATGAACCTTCTTGGCTCGCATTAGTATTTCGTCGTCTTCGCCTCCCCAGCCCCAGTACACGTTGGGGAAGCCGTTCATTTTCCGCAGGTTGCTCTCGAGGAAACCCGTCACACCGCCGAACAGCTGCTCGTACATCAACCTGCAGGTGGGTGTCAGAAAGATGGGCAATATCAACCTCGCTCCCATGGGTACGAGATCTTGCTGCGCCATGTTGTTTCCCATCATGCCTTGCGCAATCTCAAGGAACGCGCACGCGCCCATGGAGTCAAGGCTGGGACAATATTGGTTTAATCGAGGATAACAAACCTGGGACAACATTGTCACGTCATGTCTGCTTAGTTTACACACTACACTTTACTATGCATGGGTGCTTAGCGGCTCTCGTCCCAACCTGGCTCCCGTGACGTAATGTCTCATGGCTATTCATTCAGTATTTGATTGGTTACGTGACGTAACTGACGCCTGCGCATTGATAGCTACCCTTTCTACTACGTCATTGACGACACAGATTTTCCCCTTACGTGTAATTCCAAATACTATCGCCGCTGAGGAAATGCCGTGGCATGTTGGCACACCCGTAGTAATTCATGTCGCTCAGTGGCACGTGATCAACGTCGTGGAACACGAAGCAATCCCATTGCGATATATTCAGGCTCTCCAGGAACGCGATATTCATGAGCATCGCTTTGTTGAAGGTCAAATCGTTTTCCTGACAAAAATATATAAATAGAAAAGCAGATTATTTTGAATTGTGTCATGAGTTACGGTGCATGCTTCACCTTGAATAACCGAGTGTGAGCCCTAATTGTACTTGTGATGTTCACTGATAGTAGGATAACGAGTCATCTAAAAAAAACCTACAAAGTGACATCTAGTCGAACACACTCTTTTCTGAGATTGAACAAATTATCTTCACAATTTAAATTGACCTTCTTCTGCCAAATATTCGTTTTCAATTCAAACCAATCCGTATTCACAGGAAAAAGTTGGTATGTATTGATGCAAAGTTTGATGCGATTTTACTTATCCCCTTGAATAATGTAAATCCCGAGGAAAGTACCGCTACGCCAGCCTGACAAGGGCGGATCCAGAACACAATTTTTGGAAGCCAAAAAAAAAAATAGACTCACCCTGTACTTAAGAAGGCATGCTTCCCCCCCCCCCCCCCCCGAGAGATCCCTTTTTATCTCAGCTTTGAGAAACCCTCACCTCTAGTAGCCATTAAAACAACTGAGGGCCTTGTGTAGGCGACTCTCATAAAAAAAAGAATACCTGGTTGACGGTGAAGATACCAAATTCCAGTTGCTGCCTCCGCAGCATGGGAACCAGATAGCGAAGTAGGATGGGCAGGTGGTGGGAACGATTCCGAAACGGAATGATGACAGCAACCTGGAAGGATAAAACGAAACATAACGAACGGAAAATTCAAGCCCGAGATCTTTTACATGTATTTTATTTTACTACATTTGTGACACCAACAATGAGAGTTCATCTCAGATCCAACAGTAAAACCACCCGGATTTGACCTCCATCGCAAGCAATGGCTAACCCTGAACAGAATCCCCACCCTCCATGCAAGAACAGCCCATCATCTACATAAGTGGGGGATGACAGAGAGCCCTGCTTGTGACTGTGGACATCCGGACCAGACCATCCAGCACATCGTGAACGACTGCCCACTGAGACCTTTCCCCGGCGGCATCGAAGCCATCCACACCGTACCGATAATGCCCTAGCCTGGATGTCCACCCTTGACTTACAACTGTAGGCTGTGCACGCCATACGAAAGAAGAAGAATACATTTGTGACAATTCCTCCACGTGATGAACTGGTTGAAATGACACGCTTCAGACTCCAATCTATAATCAAAACTATATGCCTTTTTGCGAAGAAGGTTCCTTAAGGGTGTTTCTGTTTAAAAAAAAATATAATACGTTCTCTGTGGAGAAAATTTAGAAAGATACTTTTAGTTTTCTTGCTGGAGGAACATATCCGGCATAGCCAAGCTTAGATGTATCTTACCTTCCATTTTGGTATGCACTGATTGGGCTTCCAATGGCCGCCTGGGATGAAGGTATAGTTCCCTATCTTCGTCTCCAATTTGCCTAGGTGAGCCTCAATCCTCCTCCTACCCAAGGTTTGGAACCAGTCGGTCCTGTCGATGAGGCTTGGGACGACCGAGTCAGCTAACACTGTGGCCTGCTTGGCTCTCTTCATCGCCTCCTCCCCGAAGATAAGACTCTCCGCTTGCTCCATGGTGAAATCATCGAGATCCAAGAAGTTCATTTTATCTGGTATTATGTACAAAAAACGTCTAATAAACCATCGTTGTCATAATTTACAATTGCCTTAATAATGAGCCTTTCTGAGATCTAACTGACGCAATAGGAAGCTATTTAGAGTTGGTAAATTCGGTTGCTATTCCGTCCACGCACCATAATTTTATACAAAGTGGGCAGATTCTATTACCTCCGTCAAGTCATTTAATAAACTTACTGAGATTTGGAATATCTGTATCTGGGCACTCAGGCATCTGACGAAACATGGCATGGTCAGCTGGATTGTTGTTTCTTGCTGGAACTGAGAAAGATCAGGATTTCACCGACAAATGGTTTTAGCAAAAACAATACCTTTTTGATACCAGTGGTAACTAAATTTTAAACATAGAACACAACAGTTTTCATATTGTATCCATTTTCTTAAGACGCGGATTATCTCAAACAAAAATAGGAGATGACAACATCCATGCAACTAATAAAAACACCTGTTTCGAGCGTATATTACCTGTGAAGATGGTTTTGTCTGCAAAATGGACCCTGCTGAATTCAGTGGTGATGTAGATGTCTCGTTCTGTACCAAATGCAAACACAAAACAAAGGGACCAAAACATGTTCGATTTCTCGAGCCATTTTGAATTGTGCCATACATATTAAAACAGAACATGAACATTGTGTAATACACTTGTAAAAGCTCATATTTTATTGTGTGTGCGTGGTATGGATGCTGCATTGACCAATTCATTCCGTGCGTCACTGAAAGTCTATTGTTGCCCGGACAATGCAATATTAGCCAGAACGGAAATCGGCCAATGACATCTGGACAGTGTTTATAACGAATTCCAATGAATGATTTGTATCTCACTGTCACAGCCGCAATGTACGTACGATTCATATCAATTACGTATGTCCATTATAATTCTCCCATGACAAATAAACCTGATAACTGCATTTCTCAAAACCATATTTTTTTGTGTGAAAATTAGTAGAAAAAGACACATTATACAACACCAACGTGTCAGGTTGGCGTGGCACCACTATGTCACCTGTATGGTTGGCGTAGGGGTACTTTCCTCACCTTCCACGGCTGCGTCACGGGTTCGAATCCCGCCGTGGCCAATAATTATGTGGATTGGGTTATCTGCCCCTACCTGATTCCGTGGGTTTTCTCAAGAAATCTTCTGGGGTTTTCCTCCCAACTCTTCCCTTTCTTTTCATTGTCTCCTCTCTACAGGTTTCTTCAGGCATGCGAGCTACATTGCATGCCTAGGGCGTTTTTGAGGAATCGTTGGTTTCATTACAAAAAATAAACTTCTAAAAAAAAATTGAAAACAAAAATTGTGAGCCCCCCCCCCCCCCTCCAAGTCAAATCCTGGGTACGCCACTGGCTTCTCCAAATGGTACTTAAAATAGGGCAACACCAAATTGTCGCCCTAATCAGGCGTGTCGCCCTCATATAGAAAAGTTAAGCAAAAAGGGGTGTCCCCTAATAAGTTTTATGGAAGTAATGTACCACGACCACATATCAGTCCACACTGCCAATAACCGTCAACGCCACGTCTTACTTTGCTTGATTTTTAAATTCACACTTTAATTATATCACAAATTTTCAGCAATATCGAAGTTCTACACCCACCTTCCAACCGGTCCCAGTTTGGATCCACACCGCGTCTGAAGTAATAAAAAGGAAGAATGACGAATTGCAGAACAGCTCCTAGCACCAGACAGGCCACTAAGGCCATGTGAATCTCGGTCATTCTCACGGAGATTATCTGATACATACAGATGGCGTCTACGAATCAGCTATCAGATCTCGAGTGACCTGTGAGCGATATAGCACGATCGGCCAAGCCACGTTTTCAGCGAAATTGGGTTCGGTTCTCACCAACTTTGATATCGGCGATCGTCAGACGTCCAACAGCGTTAGCATTTACACTAGTCGTAACTAGCTTGATCCATGATCTTGGACGCTTACTTCAGTTTCATTTTTGACAACTCTTAACAAACAATCCGCAAAAGAAAAGGGTAAATGGTGATTTGTAACACGCATTGATTAAGCGAATATTAAAGTAAATCTGGCGAAAAACAAAATAATATATCGCTGCCCGAACACAAAATCGATGTGGTGTGCAAACCATCTCTGTACTGTTCAATACATATTCGCACTTACCAAGGACGACTACGACCGAACTTTTACAGCTGGGCACTACATTGTCCAGGCATAAAGGGCAAGTGTACGTCATGAAGGGTAAGGAAGGTGTCATGTACAGGTGGAGTAAAAAAAAAAGAAGCAAAACACAAACCCCCAACAATATATTTCATATTAAAACAAAATATGTAGCACCAAAAATAATAATGAATATAAAGCCAATTTCATAAGCTACTTTTAGATGAAAAAAATTCTGAAATTGCTCCATCCGTTCAAAGAATATCACCATTTCAAACACAATGACCCTAAAACCTCTTTCGTCCAAAAATGCGATTTCAAGAATCGTCGTCACAATTGTCTTCAAAGATCACCAGCGATAAATCCTCAGAAAAGCTAACAATATTCAACAAAGTCCTTTTGAATGCCCGTCTTTAAAAAAAAAGTGGTTTTATAAATCATATTGTTAGCCTAACCAGGGTTATTATTAAAGATTTTGTGTGCTTCAGCTGTTGACAATTCTTGAAACAAATATTCTGTGTCCTTTACTTTGTTGTTCAAGAATACACACTAAACTGTTGTTGTTGGGTTTTTTTTTTTTGGGGGGGGGGGACGAAACAGGTTTTAGTGTCATTGCATTTAAATGGTGACATTCTTTCAACGGATTAAGCAATTTCAGTAATTTTTTTCATCTAAACGTAGCTTATGAAATTGCCTTTCCAGTCATTATTATGTTTGGTGCTACATCAATATGAAATATATCTTTTGGGGTTTGGGTTCCGTTATTTTTTTACTCACTTTGTAGAACAAAGCGACCAAGATGGAGGTGCTCTTGATGGCGGTTTACCCTTAGGGGTCTTAAGGTAAATTAGAAATAGATATTCTAATAACATATTGAAGAGAGCATCAACACTGACAATTACGTGGATTCACGTCCTTCGTTGTCTTTTATTTCTAAATAGTTCATTCCATTTAGAGATACTGGCAAATAAGACTTGTGGCTGAAAAGAATCTCGTTAAAGTAACAACGACTGTAAAATACAAAAATGTATGACTACTCATTCCGATCAGCAAAAGATAAAAAAAGGAAAGTTTGCCGTCTTAAATTCTGAGACCAAAAAATCCTGAGTGGCACTTCTGAAATATTAAGGTTAACTTGCAGTTCTAGTTCAAAACAACTGTAACAATCAGCGCGGAAGCAAAAAAAAAAAAAATCATATTACGAGCTTGAAATGCAATAAAATTTACATTAAACTTGACATCTTGTACATCTTAAACTCAGAATATTATTAAGAGTTTGAGTGTGCAATCGAAAGCAGAGTGTGTGGCGAAAGCTGGTGCCAACGGTGGTAAGAAAAACAAAGGAAAAAAACTTGTTCATTTACCATATCTTGGAACAAGCTTTAGGAAAAAAAACATCTCTTTTCACAGTAAAATGTGAACTTAAGTGCCTTAAAAAAGAAGAAATAAACTGTGATATTCAGTGCCCTTAAAAAATAAGAATAAAATGTTCCTTTTTTTTGTAGTGAGGTATTTCATTTAAAAGTCAGAAAAACTTACTTCTGGAGGCACAGAAACTAATCTCATAAAATTCGGAGAAATCATAGACATATTTACAATGTTGTTTTATATAGACTCTAGAACAAGATATTAAACAAAAGCTGATCATCAGAATACTTTAACTAAGATTGTCAGCTACGAATTATAAAAACTGACATTAAAATACAAATTACACAGTTGATTTTACATTTTTGGAAAAAAAAGAGTAAAAGGCCAATATTCTTTATACTGAGGTAATATGGCAGCATGAGTATTTTGAATTTTTGTGGCACAAAACAAAATTGTCGAGAAAAGTTTGTACAAATTCACACACATGAAGTATAATGCACGTCTCCCCTCAAATTGAACCTGTAGCGGTAATATTTTTAATCTCTTCTATCCCCCCCCCTTCACCCTCCAAAAGCCATTACAAGGCAAAGACACAATTTATTACAGTATATATAACAAAGTTTCTAAGCTTTATAGAAAGTCAAGAGGTGATTCTTTATCTCATCTGTCCCAAAACATAACATATTTCCCATCTTTTAGAAAATACAGAAATTTGATAGATGACTCTTGGTCTGGTTTACAAGTTATTTATAAGATGGAATTTGTTTGCGTCGGGTGATATCAATTCAATATTGGGTTTTGCCCTTCACCGACATTTTTTTATTATAAAAATTGTGTACTCTGTGTTGTTTGGTTGTGGCTAACGCTGTTATATCAGCCAACAGACACCGGCAAGTGGTAAGACATCTGCACTAGTAAGCAGGAGATAGCGGGTTCAAGTCCCACCGGAGTAGTTTTTTCTTTCTCATAATTACTCTGGACAACACTTGGTATACTATACCCAGGTGTGCAACTGGGAAATCACAAAAAAAGAGGAAATTCAAAATTTTCCCAGACTTTGTGCAGTGTTTTTCTATTTTCAATGGTGCACATGGGAAGTAAAAAACGAGGAAATCAGCTGATCCGAGGAAAATTTACATGCCTGTATACCGTATTTATAAACAATACGTCGTTGAAGGGCAAAACCTGAGCTTGAGTTTACAAGTTATTTTAAAATGTACCTTCCTTTCAGCAGCATTTTCATGTACATGCTTAATCGCAATTGAACGACAAGAAAAAAATGGTAAAAAAAGACGAAAAGTACTTGAGTGCATATCAAAACTGTCTATGAATCTCATATTTTTCCCAGCCTGTACAGGAAGGTTCATTTTCACAGCACTGATAAAGTAGGAAATACTATATTTTGCTACAGTACCAATTGACATTTTATGAAAAAAAATCCAAAAATACAGGCGGGTTTTGGTAAAATTAACATAACTTTTGTGGATTACTCGCCTTTGCCAATCACTTTCTTGGCATCAAATAAACCACAACAGGAAGCTGTAATAACTGTAAATTTGAACAAAGAGATGATTGAACAGGTTTTGAACCCGGGACCTAAGGCTGGTGATGAGCTCGGTTGGTAGAGCACCAGTGCAGTATTACGGAGGTCGCGGGATCAAACCCTGCTCCATTCAATTTCTTTGTTCAAGTTTTACAATATTTTTTGGCTCAGCAGCTCCATAGAACCTGCCACTTGTTACGTACGTTGACTACCTCGTCAGCACCTGTTTATTCACCTGTTCTTGATCACCTGGTGTCTGGGAACCAGTACATCCATTGTCAGTTGGTGGGGATTTCTCAGGATGATGTGAGCCACTTCAACGTGGGCTTTGTTCAACACATACTCGCCGTTGACAAAGTAAAGGAACTGTCCGGTCTGAAAGCAAGATCAAAAACAAAAGAGGATGCGAGGAACATGCCTAATTCGTGATTCGTGAGCTGGACTGCTCAGTGAGAATTCCAAGAGGATTTGTTTGTTTCCTATTGACAAATAGGATAGCTATTGGCAAATCTGTCTTCAATAAAAGGAAACACATCTTCACATCAAGAAACATCAACATCAAAACACGGCTAAGACTAATCAAATGCTACATCTGGTCAACAGTACTATATGGAGCAGAAACATGGACATTGACGAAAGATTCAATCAACCGACTCGAAGCATTCGAAATGTGGACAACCAGAAGAATGCTGAGCATCCCCTGGATAGTTAAAATGACCAACCAACAAGTCCTTCAAATAGCACTGACAAAGAAATCCCTCATTAAAACAGTAAAATACAGGAAGACAAACCACTTTGGACACATGATGAGAAACCAAATGCTGCAGAAGACTCTTTTGGAAGGCAAAATAGAGGGGAAAAGACCAAGAGGAAGAAGAAGAACATCGTGGTTTGATAATGTGAGAGACTGGACTGGCCTTAGCTACATGGAATGTGCAAGGGCATCTCAGGACAGAGACAGATGGAAATCCATTGCAGCCAACCTTCTGCGAGAAGACGGCACCCGATTGATTGATCATTTGATTATAATGAGTGTTCTGCGCCAACATTTGTTGCTTCCTGAGTAATGGCAAAAAGGGTGTCGTCTAAAGGTTTGTTGATATTGAAGCCTACCTTTAAGCCTGCCTTGGCGGCGGGACCACTAGGATCTACTGTCTGTACATAAGAAGGACCGTCACCTCGCACGACAAACCCGAACCCTACGGAATCACCCAGAATCTGAGAAAAGAAAAACCAACAACAAGAAAATCAAAGTTATGAAGCTATGCGTTTTCCCTAGAATATCATTCTGGGGTTCTTCCCCCACCTGAGCCCTCTAAAACTGTTAATTCTTCTCAGTGTCTTCTCACTGCAGGTTTTTTTTTCAGGCTTGCGAGCTACAGTGCATAGGGTGCTTTTGAGGAATCCTTGGTTTCATTACCAGAAATGAGTGATGATAATAATAATATTGAGAACAAGTTACAATGTATTTACTTTGACGGTCTGTCTGATACAGGTCGCATCCGGGTTCTTCATTTCTTCGGCCGTTGGGCTAAACCCTGCCAGCAGCATGCTTGGCCCGTGGACATCCTGCGACCCCGAACTGGACACGTCCTCATTATCTGATTCTGACGTAAAGTTCATGCTGTCCTCCCGTTCGGGGGAACCAATCTGGAACTTGGGCCGATTCTCCGCGATGACTGGAACATCCATGACCTGGGGGGACTTGGGCCGGACGGGCTGGCTGGGCGACAGGAGTTTCTGATTCTGGGTGGGCATGTTGGTGTCCAGGGAGAGACTTCTGGGTCGATCGTGCATCTCCAAGAGGTCAATGATCTTCAGCTGGATGAAGTCGGGATGGAAGATGTACAGGAGTCTTTCGTCTTTGAAGTGATGCTCCGTTGTAACTAAAAGAATGACAAAATAGTAAAATTTATGAAATGAGATTATGGTCAACCATCTGATCATCCAACAATATCATCCAACAGGTGTCTAGGGTGCATTACCTCATGATTATTATTCGCCTTGCTCAATCAAGTTTATGAAAACATTCCAAGGACCATCTAATCTGAGCTCCTTAGAGGGTACATGAATTGAGCTTAATGCTGCCGCGTGGATGCAAAATCAAACACCACCGCCTCTACCCTCACAGATACCCATTTTTCCCTGGGTGGGGAGAAGCCGTGACAGACTACATGTAAGTGTCTTGCCCAAGGACACGTACACCAGAACCCTAGGCTAGACTGAAACCCGCCATCTTCAGAATTATTGAAACCATGGGATCTTGAGTTCAATACACTAGACCATGAGGTCAAAGCACTTTTTAGAGATACATGCAAGGTGGACTCAATAATTGTAATGCTCAAGTAGCATTTTCCATCGTATCAACAATCTGAAAGGGCTTTACAATTATTCCCCCATTCATCAGGCCACACGACCACGCTGCAGCCGATATCAGCACACACTCGGTCTTCTACCCTCACAGGTACCCACTGATACTCCTGGGTGGAGAGAGGCAATTGTAGTTAAGTATCTTGCCCAAGGGCACAAACATCACGTTCCTGGCAGGGTTCGAACATCGTACATGAGTAAAACACCATATCCACTGGACCATGGCATTCTACACATAAGGTCAATACAAGAGTTTACCCACTTCAAACAGTGCCCTCATGTTGTGTCCACCCCATCTCAGAAAGGCTAATGGAATCTTGACAGACGTCAGCAGAAGCTCTATTAGAAGCATTAGCATAACGAGGGGGAAGTTGAAACTCCCCAATGAAAAACAAGAGAGGCGGGTGGATGGAGGGGAAAGAAGGAAGGAGGTTTAGCCATGCATAATGATCAGTATGCTGAATCTGCTCTTTGTGCACGGTCCACTTGCGTGTGGTGCACGGTATGCGGACGTGGTTGAAACCATCCACATGGCCGTCTGGCATGAACAATTTCTCGTTACGCTACCGATCAGAAGCACTCACCATGTTGGATAAGATCGAGCTCCAGGAGATCCTTGCCCAGGCCGATGGCTTCTTGTCTCGTTGAGCACTTGCCGCTCGTCACCAACCAGTTCACCAACTGGGTGCCGTAAAAACTCTGTTAGGAGAATCAGACAGGTTGCTATTAAGCCAATAGTCTCGGAAAACCCACCCCACCTCAACTGCAATTTTTCTTAAGTAACCCCCTCCCCCACCCCCCGCCTCACTCCCAAAAATGAAAAATTTCATTTTAACAAAAATGGATTAACCCATCAGGAACTGTCATACATTGTATTACATTGTGTATATTGACTGATGAATCCTTAAAACCATATAGAGTACTCAGGCGGTTTTGGGCCCTGAAGGGAGTAACAGGCAGGGCCTTCTTATTTACTTCTTATTACTCCCTGTACCCCCCACCTCCCTGATTCCCTGATTCACAGGTACAATGTGAAAGAGATATATTATACAGTTGCAAATGGTTATGACGTTATTGTAATACCTTGGTCCGCAAGAGTGGAGTTGGATATTGTTTCCCTCATACACCCATTCTAGGCAAGCGGTGGTTGACGGCAATATTGACAAGATTTATCATATCCACCCTCAGAAACTTACGCACTCAGACCCGAGATTTCGGACAACACCAAAGCCTCATGTTCTACGACACTCCTTTTAGCAACAGGTGCAGCTCATACATACCTTCTCATACATGGCGCCAAAATCATTATGTAGCTTCATGATGGAACCATTGCCAAGTCGTGTTTGTCTAGAATAGGACAAAAGACATAAAACTTCCAAATTACTCCCTCAAATTCTATGTAGGGTCTTTTTTTTATGTATTCAACAAGACGAGATGAGCATGGTAAACATAGTCCCAGAGCCTAAACAATGCTACTCAATTCATTCATAACGACCATTCACTGGAAGTCTGGGCAGATGTAGCCCGATCCCTGGCATCCTTTACAACAGCAATGGCTAGCTCACAAGTGAGTCTGAGAAACAGCCAGTCAGTCAGTCTTGTTACTTGGTTGGTTCCTCTCCAAAATACTCCACTGGGGAGTTTTAACAGGAGGCCAAAAACACCAGGGCAAACCCCTTCTCTTTTAGCGATAAGTGTTACTGGGTTATTTTACGTGCCTTGCATTACACAACACACGAGACCTACATTGAACACGTACGGCTTTATGCCCATCCAAAGGACGAAGCAATAATGGTTAAGTGCCTTGCTTAAGGGCACAAGTGTCAAGACCCGGGCTCGAACCCACATTCTGCTGCCTCTGAAACACCAGAGCACGAGTCCGATGCAATGCTCTTAACCGCTAAGCCATCAGTCAGGTACAAGGAGTACTATAGGCTGGACCTCTAAGACCAGCAAAAACTGTGACATTTGGACATTGTGATATAAAATAAAATAACTCACTCGTGACACAGCTGATGTCCTTTGATGTACAGCTCTGTTTCTCTGCTCAGAGGTAGGGTACTGTCGTCTACCCTGAACCGGTAGAACAGGTAGGTGTCTTTAAAATGATGGTCGTCACACACTGATTGGATAAATTTAAAAAAATCGAGCAAGTGTTATGTACTTGAAATCTGATTAAAATGAGATTTAGCATAAAGAATGCAAGGTTTGTGGTAACGACATGGGAATAACATCTCTTTTGAATTGTGTGGTTATGAGAAGAACCAGTTGTTTTAACTCGACATTTCAAACAGTGCACTGTTCATCATAAAAAGACTGATGAGATTTAGGTTTAACTAAGTCAAATTGATTCTCCTTCCCCCTTTTTTTTTTCATATTTCTTTTCCGATGATGAGTACAGTTTCCTATTACAACATGATGTCAGTTAGCCGCAACCAGGTCTTTATTACATCAGTTAAGATCATCTGCTGAAATTAGTAAATCTTTGGGCTTTTTTTTCTCATTAGAATGAATGCTATCCTTACCGTGATGAATAACGTTATGCCGTTGCAGTATGCTCAGCATTGCGGCCGCTTCTGGTCTGTCTTTGACGCTTCCGTGTTTGATCAGCCAATCAACAGCCTCGCTGCCCACAAAGCATTTTGGGTACATTCGGAGGTGGTAACGTCTGTCCTTAACCATTGCTGGACTGCAGTTGTGAAAACTCAATCTAGGACAAAACAGGGGAAAATAAACCTTTATTGAGATAGTTTTAAAACTTTTGGTGCACATAACGCAGGATCATAACACAGATTGGATTCCACTTCCCTTAACCAGTTCACGTAAGATGACGTGTACACATGCAAAGGTTTTGCGGTATTTGGTATAGATGACGGATAAACACGCAACAAGCGAGGCCGGAAATATCTGTCTGCGACCCGCTCGCAGCGAGCGAGGCCGGAAATATCAGGGTGTGCTACCCGCAGATGATGGCCTGAACCCGTCTGGCCTCGAGGTTAGCGAAAAACAATCCTGCACCTGGGTCCGGTCGATGTCAAAATAATCCCAGCGCAAAGTGGTTAAACAAAAGTAGGCTCTCCTTCAAGACAGCCTTTTGGAAAAAAAACTTGCCATCCTTTCTTGCTAAAACCAACGAAGGGAAAAACGGATCCTGGACACTGCTAGGACTGTCCTGTATATACCAAGTACTCAAATTTCCGATCATCAACCGAATATTTGAGTACTCTTTTTTTGCCGGTTTGAATATTCGAAAACAGAAAAAAAATACGCACACGTATACACAACTGTGATGTTATTTTTATCGTAAAGTTGCAGCAGGTGCCACTTTTTGGTCGACGCTAATTTTTTTTTTGTCGACGGCAGTTCATTGTTCACATTCTTTTAGAAGGTTGAAGCCCTTTACAGTAATAAAATATATTACTGCATTACTCATGGGCCCCATCAGTTGTAGCTGGCACTTTCAAATATCCGAATAATCGGTCACACCCAGTTTTTAGTAATCGAATACTAAATTATTGAAAACTGGACAGCCCTAGACACTGCGCTCTACTGCCAACCTTTTCAGATAGCAAAGCCTCAAACTGCTCTGGCTCAATTGTCCCCTGTAATGTTTCAATTCACACTTTTTATAAACTTTCTCCAGAAAATGGCCTGCAAGTTTAAGCTGCGGGATAGCAGCTCAATAAATCATGTCTCTCCGTTTAGTCCGTTAGTTAGTTTGTAACAAACGTTGAGACTGTCTATTGCTCCTACATACTTTGACTGATTTCAACCAAACTTTGTCAAGTAGCCCAGCCCCAACATGTCACATGACCAAATTGGGGGTCAAAGGTCATCATGGGGTCACTGGGATCAAAAAGCTGATTTTTTTTTTACCTCAAAAACACTACTCCTTCCAGAAATTACATGACTCATGCATGAACACGAGTTTGTTGGCCCACAGCTTCCAAGATATTTCCAATTCAGCTTGTTTTTAAGTCAGAGAAACTATTGAGGAATAACCCAGTGGTCCTTTTCCCATGCTCATTTTGTAAGATTCCCCCCACACCCTTAAAGGGAATACATCATTTGCTTTTGCTGTAATTTTCAGAAATGGATGGAATTGGGGGTTGGAAATATATATAGCAAATATAGTTACACTGACTTTTATTAGGTTTTGGTTTCGAAAATGCTATAAAAACCAAGAAAAACAATCATTTTCTTGTAGTCCCTGACTCCAAATAAGAAGAAACAGAGCAGTTTACATAAATTGGGGAATTGTAAGGTCAGGGAACCAGTCTAGCTGGCTTGTACCCGTTCATAGGTGTGTAATCGATTGCAAACAAGTGCGATGGTCAATTGGGGCCAGTATTTGAAAAAAAGCCAGTTTTCTCCAACGCTGGTCGGCCGACCAGCGTTGGAAATTGATACAAAAATACCACTTTTCTTAAAAATGACAGTATACCAGGTGCCATGATTTTACAGGATGCTTTACACTGTCATTCACTAACAGTCCAGCAAGGTATTTCAAAATGATTTGGTAGTTTTATCTTTTGATGTTTGCAAATGTTGTATTTTCCCTCTAAGGGATGTGGTACTCAAAGGCTTAGCCCCTTTAATACATCTTCTCCCTATATTTAGCACCACTGATGATTCAGAACAAATCCAGATTTCTGTGAAGTGGTCGACGAAACTAATTGCTTCCTTATCTTCAGTATTTGACAAGCCACTTAAAAGCTTGGTAACTATTTCCTGCAAAAGTAAATACATTCTGAAAGCTCTGGATGATCAGTAAATACGAAAGTTGAGGGAACAATGGCTGAATGACGTCAATTTTTGAAATTATTTGGAGGACAGTACCAGCAAACGTGGCAAATATCCTCAGCAAACTTCCCCTTTATAGGCCTAATTTTTTTCGTTTCAACTTTGAAAACTACATGGGTATAAAGTGTTCTTGGAAATGATACCATTTGTCTGACTAATGGGTGGTGACGTATGACAAGACCAAACTGTTTCACTGCACAGTACATGTATCTCTCAGATAGATCATTTGAGGAACTTGTTGAGTTCGTACATCAGTCACTAAATTTAAAGGGAATATACAACATAAACATCAAAAAATAAAACCAGCAAGTTTTTACGAAATACCTTACTAGGATGTTGGTAAATGACAGTCTAAAGCATCCTGTAAAATTATGGCACCTGGTGTGAAGTCATTTTCAAGAAAATTGTATTTTTGTATACATTTCCAACGGTGGTCGGCCGACCACCGTTGGAAAAACCTAACTATTTTTCAACTACTACTCCAACTGTACACTTTTTTAGTCCAAATTTTGTTTGCTATTGGTTACATGTTCATGAATGGGTGCAGGCCAGCTAGACTGGTTCCCTTACCGTACAATTTTCCGGCATTTATAAATTGATCCATTTTATCTTTAGTGGAGTCAAGGAACCAGACTACTTGAACATTTTTGTTTTTCTTAGTTTTTCCAGCTTTTTCGAACACAAAACTTCAAACATGTCAGTGTAACAATATTTGATCTATTATACTCACCCCCTCAAATAGTTCATTTCTGAAAATTACAGCAAAAGCCAATGATGTACATAATTCCCTTTAAAGTCAAACTTACAAAAAAAAGAAAAGAAATACACATGTGTAAAAGAATATAACTGCTGTAAACTGTTTTACTGATTGAACTGAAATACACAAATAATAGACGTAAGATAGGCCTGATGTTTTGACCCCAGTGGCAAAATGAAAGTGGAACATCAAACAAGTAATGAACGCACACCATGCACAATCGCTCACTGCACAATCCTCCATGCATTATGGCATGTTTTCAACAATTATGAGCTGTTTATATGCAGATACACAAATCACCATGGTAACACAACCAACTGATTTGGCACTTTTTGTTCCGCTCAGGTCAAGGTCAAAGGTCACCAGCATCAGCTGATCCTCAGCAGCTGTAGCGAGGGCAGATCATTGATCTTTGAACTTGATGTACTCCAAGTGAACCTGTTGAACAGACAGGCACAGCGTTCGCAGGAAATACACTGGGATTAGCAGTATAGATTTGTAGCCTTGACCTAGGATTGCGCAAAGTAAAAATGCACAACATTGTCTAGGTATTCTATGGGATACATTTATGCACAATGTATCGTATAGGCCTACTATTCAGTACCCTAAATTTGGATTTGTAATGAAACAGGCCTACTTGTTTCAATGTTCACACTTAAACCAAAAAAAAAAGTCTCCGGTTTCTGGTATGGAGCTTGCCCAAAAAGTAGTGCGGCGACGCAGCTTTTTTTTTTTTTTACCTGATTTTTTTGCTTCAAATGTCGGCTGATGACTGCAAATGGTGCCCGACTAAACTTAGTGCAAATATATGGGAGTCCAGAGAGGCCACATAAAGCTTATTCTAGACCATAACCCAATCTAAAAACACGTTAAAATTGTGCAGCAGCAGAATACCAGTCAAACCAGTGAGTTTGGCGGTTTTGAGACATCATCTTTCATTGAAAAAAAAACTTTTTCATTTTGCCGACGCGCATGGCTACGGCGACGCGCGCGCATACCAGAAACCGGAGACTTTTTTTTTTGGCCTTAGGGTTTGTGAAAAATCATTGGAAAAATCAGGACAGTGAGGGTTAAAATTAAGTTAAAGCAGAGGAAAATGTAATTGTTTGAACTCCTGAAATAACTAAATTCCAAATAGTTTGCGTCCAATTATAGGCCAGTTCCCTTCAGAAGTATTTGAATTTGATTGGGAATATTGTAAATAAAGGCATGTATTTAAAACTGATAAGCAGGTGATTCTTTAATACAGTTTATCACTGGATCAAAGTACTCAACTTATGGGTAGTTGTGTGAATTAGATTTGTTAAGTGGTTTATACGCAACAGCAGAGCAAACAAGGTCAAAGTTGGTTGATGCAATCTCAAATTAGCACTGGATTTATTTTAAGAACATCTTACAAGTTCTGCTTATTATGAACTGTTGGTCTAGTATCCATTTAATTTTAGTTTTATATTTGTTTTACAACCTCAGTTCGCAAAGAAAGTAAAGTTACATGCAGTCAAGTTTGCTTTTTGGCACCTAAAAAGATTGAAAAAAATGCCAACAATTATATTCAAATGGCAATACATGACAGACTCCCCTTTTTAATTTAGGGGATACTGTTTTATACAGTTCAGTGAGACTAAAACATTTATAAAAAAAATTAAAAATAGAAAGATGGGGAGTTTAGTTGATGATTGGTTCCTAAAATCGAAAGCGAATTGCGGAAAACCGAAGATTTAAATCCCAAACTTCTTCAGTACGCAGCAGAATTTACAAAAGAATGTCTGCATTCAAATGAACGTACATGTACAAACAGAAGAAAAGAGCAAATGTTTACAGTTCTATGGCACAGTAAATGTCTGCAGTTTTATCACTCAGCACATGGGACAGCGATAAGAGGATTAACACGCAGTCCAATTTACAGTGACTACCACCTGTGGTCCCTTCAAAGCAACAACAAAAGACCAGGGATAACTGGTTTGCACAGCCTAGCCAGCACAAAAGGTGGGCCCACCCATTCTGTTAATAAACAGTTATAGTCAGTGGTCAACAGCCAGCTAGCAGTATGCAGTTATATGTTAATGGCCTGCCTTTCTGAGAAAAATGTGGGTGGATTTTCCCTACAGTCAATCAATCAATAGCAGGTGCATACAGGAGCAGTTGACATGAACGTAATGAATGTGAGCAGTCATGTATGGTGTGTGCCAGATCCATGCCAAATGTTTGTTTAATGCCTTGATCAGCATGCATGTTCACAGCTGTGCAAGTACATACATGTACAATATGCACATATGTATACATCATTGCTTGATTCAGTTCTATTTAATGCATTTCAAACAATATTTATTTCGATATTCAAACTCAAAATGGAATGAACTTTTGAAATTCACCCTATTTTTTATATCACTCCTGTTTTATTAAGTGCCTATGGATTTGTAAAAATGGAAGAAATGACAGTTTTTGTTTTGGATGTTTGTTGGGTTGTTTTGGATGTTTTGTTTTTCGGGGGGGGGGGGGGGGGGACCTAATCAACATTAGACTGAAATAATGTGAAAATATAAGACATGTTTATGGGATGTCCCAAAATCTGATTTGTACATCTTCTCAGCTTATCTAAAAAAAAAAAAACCATCAGATTTTTTGGCGTTGGAAGTTCTTGGATTCAACAGCATTTAAGATACAAAATACAAGCATTCTCTTAAAAATTCGAATGAATAGTGAAATAAGTTCCATTTTCTTCTGATTCTCTTCTGGTCTTCCAATGATCATCTCTACTGGCTTTCTTCCGACCTTCTCAACTTACCTCAGCTTTTCACCGATGATGAGGATCTTGCCAAACACTTGGTTGCTCAGCGAGGCCGTTGAGGATGACCTCTGAGGTTTGGAGACGGTCAAACCAATCTGGCCGGTCGATTTCCGCTCGCCATTCTGCGAGTTATTGTTTGGCGAAAACATTGCGGTGGACAGCTTAATGTCTTCAGGTTCTGAGAATGTTTAAGTAGTTTAGGTGGTTGGTGGTTCACTTTTAGTGATTCAGTTGCTGCAATTTCAACGTTGAAATCTTTCTGGGCAGACACTCCAAAATTCCAAATTTGTTTGTTCGTCTGACCGGCATCGGGTCAAACATGCGTTTTTCAAAAACAGTTGATATCTTTCCGCCCTTTCAGATTTTGGAAAGCAGTCTCTCCTGTGTTTGTTCGTCTGACCGCGGATCAATTTAAAGTTTGACAGTTCCAACTCCTTGATCATTCAACAAACTTAACGATTGGATAATATCGCTCGAAGATTCACTAAAACCTAAAAGTTCTGGAAGTTCCAAGAGCAAGATGCTCCCGCTCGTACCTTCACATCTTGATTCCAGCTCATTTTTCTGTTGATACTAAGTGCTCCACACAGCGTCTCGTAAGTAATAGTATGTATGTGTGCAAGCTGGAGGATTTCACATTTTCAAAGCCGCACTATACTCCTGCACGCACGTATCGCTGCACTGTACACTTCCCAGCTGCTCCAACCAATCAAGGTGACTTAGCTTCAGCAGGTGCCTACTGCCCACAATGCTGTATACAAAGAAAATACGGAATCATTCCAATTATATTATAAATACACACAAATTATACAAACAGACTTACACCTTTAATGCAATAGAGCTCAACAATGACCAGGTTATCCAACAGTACAGGGTCCATCAGCAATGAGTTGATACAATGCCAATTAGCATACGAGTTCGAGTATCGGCAATGCCCGGAACAAGCCTTCAAATCTTTATTTATAATCAGAATCTAGATAATTTGCCGACTCAGTGTGGGATAGCTCTCATCATTGCTGCCAACGCCATGCACATAAAAAGAGGCAATTTTGCCACGGCTGTTTTACGCCCTGCTGGGCAGCTGTTGTTTGCTGTAACAGAAGTCACTTTCAGCAGGTGCGAGCACTCTATTTAATGAGACCGTCATCAGACGTTTCAGATTATGTTTCTTTCAGTCTTTGTTCGACCAAAATTGTTTACCTTTCCTCGGCACTTGTCACAAGGCACACAACGTTTGCACATGAGTCCTATCACAAACTGACTCTGTAGCGAGGCATCGGGTCAAACATGCATTTTTCAAAAACAGTTGGTATCTTCCCGCCCTTTCGGATTGTCCAATTTTGGAAAGCAGTCTCTCCTGTTTGATGTTTTTGAAACTGATGTCACCACGGATGACAACAGAGTCAGAGTACGTCTAATTGCCTGTTGTAGTTTTGGATTATAATTTTAGCCATTTTTAGAGAACATAGAATCAAAGTTAATATATTTTCCATAGTATAAACCAGCATTTAGTGCCATGTTTACATGAATACAAAATTCAGCATGTTCAGCAGGTATGTACATTGTATAACAAATGCCCTGTTCCAAACCACGCGTGCAGCAAACATCGCCACCTTATTGCCAATATTCACATAATAAAAGTTCAGGCCTATTTTTTTTTTTATAAAACATTTAAATTATAGGGCCTATTTGTTTGTTTATAGGTAAATACAAAAACAATGCGTAGGAGCCTATCTAAAATGTGATTCATCAATATCGTTCATACATCCATAAAGATTAACTTTAAACCATAGATCATATCTGGCCATCACTTGTCACCCTGCTGTGCACAAATCGTATGAGACTGGTCTGAACATTTTAAGGGAAAGATTTCCATAAATACGAAGTTCACTCAACACCCTGTGTACAAACCCTATGAGATTGGACTGAAAAATTTTAAGTGTTTTCTAAGAAAATGCTTGTATTTTCTCACTGCTCAAATTGACTTTGATGACATGAAATTGCTATCTGGGGGCTTGTTAGTCAATACAGAGGAAAATTAGTGAACTTCTTATATGGAAATCTTTCCTTTTTAAGTGTTTTCTCAGTAAAAACTTCAATATTTTCCCGGCTAAATTAGACTTTTTAGGACATAGGCCCTAGGCGCAGGCCTATCATTTTCTGATGGCTGATTATGATACTTGATACTATGATAGCTTGAGTAACTCCAGCTGACATGCTCCATAGTCATTCACATGTGAATGAATATGGAGCATGTCAGCTGGAGTTACTCAAGCTATACTGAATGATACTTGATAGAGATAGTGATAGTGATAGGTCACTGAAGGGACAAATTAGTGATGGCCAGATATGGGAATCTTTCCTAGATCCGTACGTAACGTATAACACTCAACAGTGGAAAATGATCATGGAGGAAGGAACAGACAGGCGCAGGCCCTATATCTGTATAAACGTAATAGTCTAGATAGGTTACGTAGCTACGTCGCGTCGCGTCCATCAGCATGTACCTACACATTTTCAACAACCTGACCTGAACGCCGAACGTTCGTTGACAGCTGTGCAACTTACAAGTTGATCAAGAGTCCGACGTGAGAATCGACGGCGGATTTTCAACAGCAAGTTCTACAGAAAAGCCGGCAACACAAGGATGAACCGGTTACGCTAGTAATGTTGTGTTCACATGATCATGATCACTTGTAAAATCAACAAAAATGACGCTGATCAACACATCAACAACGTCATCATCAACGTGCGGGCAAACAAAATAGTGGCGGTAGCGACCGCTCCCAGACGTTTACACAGAAATTTGGAGCTAATATCTACAAGGTATCCGACTAGGCAAGCAGACAGCACGACCACGTGGGATACCGCCCTCTATCAGGACAATAACAAATCATGGCGGGAAACAGGTGAGTGGATAAATTTCGTCTGTCAGTCTGAGCAAATCAAGCTGTATTTTGGATAATTTCAGTCTCCATAAAAGTGAATTGTTGGGAGTATTTGAAGAAGTGTTACTCTATGAATCTGTTATTCAAGTGACAAGCGAAGTGATACATTTTTCTGGACGTCAATTTGTCTGTTAGAAAACTAAAGACTTTAAAAAAGTGTTGGATCATTCTGGCATGTACTACTCATCATGTAGGCCATGTAGGCCCAGGCCTACGTATGGCAGATTCTTCGCACAACATTGTCGTTGTCATGGTTGTGACTTCCAATGGACGAGATGGGAATCAGGCCATTTACACTTTCGGAATTTATTTACCTTGAATGTCAGTCATTACAAAAATGTGGACAGGACATAAATCCCGGACTGAGTCTGAGAGAAACATTTCCAATTTTGTTAGAAAATACTTAGTTTAAAAATGAAGATAGTGGATATTTTGCCAGAGGTAATGACGGCAAACTAACGATTACTAAAGGTTTGCCGACGGCAATCCATATCAACAGAGGGCGCTGTACTCTTTAAAATAGGGCTGAATTATAAGATGTATTAAATGCCCACCAAAAGTTGTGTAGCACGTTTGGTGTAATGGTTAAGCAAATGCTCTAGTAAGCGGGATGACTCGCGTTCGATTCCGACCGCACCACATTTTAAAGTTTTTTTTTCTCATCCCCAAATAAATAAGAATATTCTTCTTTTATTATTTAACATGTCTCAAACATTTTTTGCAGAGTATTACATTTTCTTTTTCAGATTTGTGGCTCTGGAGGATTTTTTTTAAAAGGGAAATAAAGTCCGAAATTATAAAATGGTCTGAATCCCATCTTGTGAATACGAGGTAACAACGATAATTTTGGCATGGAGCCAGACTAAAACTTTTCACCGGAAAATGTTTAAGTACAAAAAACAGTAACTGCGCATGTTCAGTGCATATCCGGCAAACTAACGTTTACTAAAGGTTTGCCGTCTCCGGCAAAATATACACTACCAAAAATGAATGCAATTCCCCATTATCGATTATTACTAGACTTTGTACACAACCTAACCACAGAGGAATAAAAACACAAGTGGTCACTGGTCATGCTGGTCAGCTGGTGGTGTCTGGACTCTGGATACTACATCCTATTCCACCTGCCTACTGTGAGTGCACTTCGTCATGTCCATGAAAGCTATCTAACAACATGTCTGACAATCATGACAATTACTAGTTACTGTAGTCCGAACATCTCTCAAGTCTCTGCCTGGGAAGGCATCATCTTGTCATCGGTCGCACCACCATGACATAAAGTGAAATATGGTAGATGTTATTTACCGCACAACAAAGTGACTCATCATGTGCACGATCCGTCACTTCGTGGTGCGGCAAAACTACGATAAGTCACTTCCGTTGTGGTGCACCCAACAATGTGCACATGCCTGAGCTTGATGAAAACAGGAACAATTGTCCTTTTTTTCTCTTGGTTATCCAGAACTCTTTCACAAGTCCAGACCATAGCGGAGCTCGCCAAACTCGATGAATCTGACCTTGCACCGACATGCCAGTGTCTTTACTTTGGGTCGGAGCTCAACGCAGCCGACATGGTTCTCATGGAGGTGGAGAATTCCACCTTGGACTTTCTAGAGAAGGGAAAGAGGTAAAGAAACAGCGCTAAGGCCAAAAAAAATAATAGTTCTGCTTCCGGTTTCCCTACCTACCCTATTCTGACAGCCCCTACCCAAATTTTTTTATTGGAAAAATGAGGAAAAAACACCCAAAACCATCACTTTATACCTTTTACCCTTGACTAAAAAATTGGCAAAAAAAAAAAATTCCCTACCTACCTACCTACCCTATTTTCGAATGCCATGTAATCGGAAGCAGAACTATTTTTTTTTTGGCCTAAAGTTATCAGCTGTATAATTTGAAAACCAAACCATGGCAATATATATTGTGCCAAGAACATTTCAAAAATGTGAAAAAAAACCAAATTCAGTAGTTGTGTCTTTATGGAGGTTGGACCAACCAGACAGAGGTCCCAAGTACAGCTTTGAATCATTCTCAATATGATATTTCATATTTTTTTTCCAGCATAGTCATCCGAGGAGAGAAAACAGACAGTGCAGTGTTATGTCTGGACAATAAGACCTACGACATCAAGGACACAGATACATCCAACACATTGTTGATCCTTCCTCAGTGCTCCACACCGGATGAATGCGTAGAGAGTAAGAGGCAAATTGTGAACAGACAGGTGAGGATCGCAAACATTTCTTCTCTTCGTGGGTTCGAATCCCACCCGAGTGATTTTTTCCAACTTTCACTCGGGAGGTAACACACTGAGTATACAGTGTTAAAAAACGTCGTTGAAGGGCAAAACCTAATTTGATTTATATCACCCCGACGCAAAATTCCATCTTATAATATTTCTTCTCTTGTTTTACATTTCTATGTGCTTTGCTTGTATGGGTCATCATTCATGTTATTCTCAAAACTTATGTCCAGTTTTGACTGAGGGTAAACCTCACGGTACACAAGGTAGGATTCGAACCTGGGTCCTCTATGTTTCAGGAAGCATAGTCAAATGTTACAAGAGGTTGTCAGGGTACGTCATCACGTAGTGTTCGAAAACTCAACATTGCTCACAATTTCTCTATCACTCGCACAATTCAACCCACAAGGTGACCGGTCTCGCCAACACGGTGCACAAGGTAGGAATCGAACCTGGGTCCTCAATGTTTCAGGAAGTATAGTCAAATGTTACAAGAGGTTGTTAGGGTACGTCATCACGTAGTCTTCGAAATTCAACATTGCTGACAATTTCTCTATCACTCGCACAATTCAACCCACAAGGTGACCGGTCTCGCCAAATCTTACTACGAAGTCAAGCTGATGCGGCCCAAGCTTCGCAAACTCCGCTCCCTTTTAGAGGACTGTCCGTACAGTGGGGATGTGTATGAGGAGGAAGCGGGAGGCAAGAGGTACACCTTGGATCACATCTTAGATGTGGTACAGGCCAGCGAGACGGAGATCAGGGATGAACTGAAGAAGTTGCGAGCATGTCACATCAGTGGTAAAGAGTGCAATCATTAATTATATTAGAAAGTTGGAAATGTAGTTTTGAAGTTCAAAACCATGACATTGTTTCTTATAAGGGGTGGGTCATGGTTGTTTTTTTGTTTTGTTATCTAGGCTTTTGGAGGATGCTCCATTTTGACTACGAGTGTCAACTGTTAAGTCACATTCTGTCTCTCATTGAGGAAAATTCCTGGAATTTCCGCAAGATACCTCTTGGAGAAACCCTGGACACTCTTGAGAACCTAGAGCCAAGGTTAGTGCTTGATAATCGAGTGTTTGGATCCAAGCATATTAATTCCCTAGAAATTAACTCCAGGCGCTTGTCATCCTGTGCAAGATGACGCTCTCCCAAAGCAAACTTTTCTCTGGTTTCTGTTCCCTTTTAGAGCAATCTTGGAGCACACCTTTGAATGCTTTGGGGAGAGACTTCCAAGACAGGAGACAGAAGGTAGGTCCTGTCACATGGCTGTGGCGTAATTGTTGATATCAAGATCATTCCTTTGATTAAGCAATGACTTTCAGCTCCTCACAACAGCATTACTGGATGGGAGATTGTGAGGTCAAAGGTCACGAGGTCAGATGTTTTGAGGTCAAAGCCGAAGGTAGGATTGGAGGGCGCCACATGGTTGGCTTGTTTTGAGACTTCAGTTTGCTGTAATACATTTTTACGGGTCCTTGGAGTAGTCCTAATGACGCATGCTTTCAACATTATAGTATTGACATACATGTATTGATAAGCCCCTCCCTCAAGGAAAAGGTCTATATAAAATAAACTTTTCTTTTGTGCTCTAACAGATGATGAGGTGTTTTATTGCTTAGATGAGGACAAGGTCTGCCAGATGTTTGCAGAAATGCTCCTTAGGCCTGCTGAGAAGGTTTGTAGCATCCCCTGTCCTCCTCTGCCCATCTCCCCAAATCTACTGAAGAAAATGTTGAACTTAATTTCAAGATGAATAAAAAACTTGTATTTTAATAGAGAAATTTCCCTTCAATAATTTAAAGTTTATTTTTTCGTACAACTGGAAATGTATCTTTGTCATTGTCCAGTTCAATTTGGCCGAGTTCTTGTTGTCATGGCAACAGAGTGTACCAGAAGGAATGACCACAGGGATGCACCAACTTCAGGTGAGCTGAGGAATATACCATGGAAACATCTGATTTATATGAATACACAAATGTTCAAAAGTGTCCAAGAATTCACCCCGACCTGTTTACTAATATCTCCATGCTCACTACTGTAACAAATCATATATATTTAAAGATCTTAAGAGAGTGAGTTTTTGTCATTTACACCTTATTTCTTTTTACAGGGGGTAGCAATAATAGACAAGAACAGTAAACCAGAGGTCATCTTCCATTTCCCTTTCTGCTTAATGCCAGAAAATGAAGTTGACAGGTAAATAATATTTTGCAGACATGGAATGATCTTAAATATCGCCATAACGTAGCTTTGAAGCTTCTGTACTTTGTACAGGGTGAGTAAATAAAAAAGAAAAGGAAACCCAAATGTCGAGACCATTTTTTCAATGATTTTCTGCATGTAGAACTTTAAAAAAGCTAGGATATGAAAGCCCAATTCATAAGCTTTCTTTTTAGTACAAGAATCATTCAAATCACTCATGTACTTTCCAAGTTACGGAATTTTAAACACAAACACCGTTTTGAAGTTCTGTCCACGGATCACAAAAAAGGTAAGTGTTCTTTCAGCAAAACGAAAACAATTTACATAGGGATGTGTCAATTTTCGTTTTGCTGAAAGAACACTGAATTTTTTTGTGATCCATGGACAGAAGTATAAAACGGTGGTTGCATTTAAAATTCAATAACGTGAAAAGTACATGAGTGATTTCAATGATTCTTTTAATAATAAAAGAAAGTTTATGAATTGGGCTTTCATATCCTAGATTTTGAAATTGCTACATGCAGAACTTCACTAAAAAAATGGTCTCCACATTTGGGTTTCATTTTTTTTAATCACCCTGTTTAACAAAGAAACATAGAATTTTCCATTGATTTCATTTGTTATTCATATTAAGAAATATTTGTACAATGTGTGGAACTCTCACAGGCTAGGCATTTAACTGAAGATTATCATTTCAAATGCTTATTTTTTTCTTTTAAAACATCTCAGAAATATTTTGAGCAACCTTTCATCTTTAATCTTTGTTTGGTTTGTTTGTTGTTTTGTTCAGATTTAACTTCCTGTTTAAAACCAGAGATAGGTGGACACAGGAGGAGATGTTGCCCTACATAGAGTAAGAAAATCCATATTGATTGAGTCTCTATTATCCGAGATCAGGCCTAGTATAAGAAGTAAATGGAATCATGAGAAAGTTCAAGGTCAAGAGTGACCTACAGTAGGTTTGCACTCACCCATGGAATTAAAAAGTTCATCAATGGACCATCCATGGAATAAAAAATAATTCGGGCACCCTAGTATTTTACAAAATTCCTCTAACATTGGTCATTGTTTTGCTTGACAGGGATTTAGTGACGGAGAAGTTGTCAGCAGGTGCCTTGCTACAGAAGCATGCGAGGGCTTCGGTAGGTACCAATGGCGTCCGGGTGTATAACTCTAAGAGACCCATCAAGTAGGGTTTGTCCAGTCATCAGATGGCTGCTTGGACTCACTGGAACAGGTGAAACCAATTATAGCATGGTGTATGAGATTCTGAATCTGTGGTTCTCCCTAAAACACAGACTGGGGGGGGGGGGGGTGGTGTTTGGTTTCATAAGAGGAAAGGTGGAAAAGAACAAGACAGAAGTTAATCAACATTAGCTTTTGCCCTTCACCGACGTATAAACACTGTATACTCAGTGTGTTACCTCCGGAGTGACAGTTGGAAAAAAATCACTCGAGTGGGACTCGAACCCAGAGACAGGTTGGCAAGTCTTGGTTGGACCTAAAATCTTGGTTGATGGCATTATTTACCCTTGACGACTGAGCCAGTCAGTCAGTCAGCGAGTCAATGACTATCGTTCAGAGGACAACAGGCTAGGGTTTCAGGTCCAGCAAAAGTAATGGTGAAAACGGATCCCAGAATAAGTTGAATTGGGATTCAGCACTTTTGTAATTTATGTTGTACAAATTTACTGTTCCTTTAATACATGTACTGTATACTATTCATTTAATACAAATTATATTTATGCATAATGTACAGGCAACTATTCCGCAGTTCAGACTTTTAAGTTGGGTTACATGCAGAGCCAGGTCATACAGTACTGTGCTGTATTTCAAGATGATAACTTATTGTCTGAAAATATTTAGGAAAGGGCAAGACTGAAGGAAATTTTGACAGAGCGAATGAATTCTTGATGTCAGATTTCAAAGCACATATAACTGGCACCTATCTTATTTTGACATTAATTTAATTGGTGAAATTGTGAAGCAGCATTTTTAGAGCAATAAAAAATATTTTGAACACATCAAATCCATTACATACCCATGATTATTTCTGAACACAGATTGCTACATTCCCTAAAAAGAGTTGTGGTACATAGAATTAACTCCATTATATTAATCTTCGGAAACAATGAATTTCTTTTCCGTGGGCAAATAATATAAATTGTTTTGTCCAGACCATTTTGTCCCGAATGTTGGTCATCTTACAACAACAGAGGGCGTTCTGTTAGTCGTGTGTTTGTGTGTTAGCATTTCTATCAGCTTGAAGGACAAGAATGGGTACTATCCAAAAGTTCAAAATTACAGCAAAGCAAAGCAAACCTGAACCTTTCAAAAGGAATTTAACCCCCCTTTTTTTTAGCACGGTAAGTTTGATGATTAACAGATACATGTACTACTTTTGTAGCGCCGAAGGCTCTTTGGAAAGCTAATCTTGGAGCGTCTGCGCAAAGTTCAATTAGTGTAATTAGCCTGAATTAAATCTCCAAAATTCTGAGATAACAGGCCAAACCTTGTGGTGTTTTTTTTTATCCTTGACTCTGCCCTTGACTTTGGATTAACAATTTATCAAGCTGTTGCCATTCACCACACTGTATAAAAAATACATGTAAAGATTTATGCCAACTGTAATACTAAAGTGTTTCAGTTAAATGCTGTGATATTTTTTACATAGCGCTTAATAACGAATGCAAGTACGAGTTTTTGTTGGCAAATTGAAACTGTTCGCATGTATTGTTACAGTTTTTATCAAGTAGAATATACATGTACCGCTTATGTGTTAATTTTGAATGCTCGTTTTGAGAAGTTAGTTCAAGTAACCAGCTGAGCCAAAAGACGGCCATGTCCGTGGTGCACTTTGGAGGGATATTTACGGGTTTGAACGGGAGGACCTTATGCCACGCCCCTTTGATCGCTTCTCGCACGATTAATAGATATCGTGAGGGCAAGTCTCCGGCAAGGTCAGTTTATCGTTGCTGGTATCTGGCCCAATGACACGTACCCCAAAAGGCTGGACTCCGGAGAACAATGCCGGCAGAACACAATTTTTGGGGGGCGGGGCCGGGGCCGGGGGGGAGGTAGAGGGTTCAAATGTATTGCTTTTGTTGAGTTTTGTGGGTGGAGTACCGTACGCATGTCCCATTTAAAGAAAAAGTTAAGACAAGATCAAGGTACCAACTTTTACGACAACGTGGAAGTAATGTCGGACCCGAAGCAATAGAATTATACCCACAGATACGCGGGTCGCGTCGATGCACGATGCCACGGCACTCCACACTCGTGGATCCATCGTGACTTTCAGTGTATCAAAGTATTCTAATAATAGCTGCCGTAAACTCTTGACTCAACGGTTAGGAAAAAGAAAGAAAGATGTTGATGCTTATTTTGAACTTTGGTATAGATTGTTAGAATTGAATAGGTCAACCTTAATGTTATAGACCACCGTGACTAAAATCGGGCAAGCTATTGTACGACATTATCTTACCATTGGGGCTTTGCGTAGGTGATTCTAAATATAACCTTAATTGTCTATAGTTCCGGGACCAGGCTCTGAATTTGCCATTTCGAACTACATTTTACTTCAATGGGTTGGTATCCTATGCAATATTATGCTACGCGTTGCTATATACGTTTATTAGGAGGAACCGAGTCAAAAAATAAAAGAGCAGAAAACATGTGCATTGTGCAATGTACAACAATCATTTTGTATGCATAGCGAATGCGGTATTGGCGACAACAAAGCGGATGGCCGGGAAGGGGGGGGGGAGGGGAGGGGGATGTTCTTGCCCGAGCGATCACAGGACGAATAATATATGCGACCATGATTAGCATTTCGTTTCCTGAATGCTTTCATAATATACCCGCATTATGTACACTACATGTAGGCCTATATACATGTACAATGTACCCGCATTATATCGCCCGCGCACCCTGATTACGGTGCCCACACTACCCGTATTTTTGTATAGAAGAATTCATTTCAATAGCAATGTTTAAAGAATGGGAACTGAAATCGATCTCGCTACATGTGTGCTGCAGTCACAAACTGTGCACCATAAATGTTGAAGTCCAATCGATCGACCGTTTTCAAGGGATGTGCACACGAATTTGTAGCTTAAGCTAAAAACGGGTCGGGTGTACCATTGACGTACCTCAAAACAACAATTTGTCGTCAAACCCAACGACCCTGTATGTGTACTTGTTGCTGGAACGCGCATTTTCAGGTTCGAACTTGAAATTTTTAATTGTTGTTTTTCTTTTAAATTGCCCTTTAATATACACATGACCTTCCACGTGTTGTTCGTGTGAATGCCGTGTTGACAATAGAGGCAGTAGGCGTCATCTGTTATTACTACTTTCTGATTTGTTTCGTGTGGATGGGCTGCATTTTGCATTTTTGTACGCAACGTGTCATTACTGTCTGACTGCGAGTTTATTCGCGCGTAACCGGAAGCACAATAAAAGTATTGTATCGCCAGGTCGTTGCAATACTGCCCCTCTATTGAAAAGCATCGCCACCGCTATATTATTCCATAGAGTAAGGAACAGTTCGAACCAGCCAAACACGTATACCGACCGTAGCCTAGTGATTCAGACGCTGCATAATTAGTGACTAAGATGGCGGACAGCACCAGCTACGTGTTGGTAACGGGAGGAGCGGGTTACATCGGTAGCCACACCGTGCTGGAGTTGCTGAAGGAGGGCTACAACATCCTCGTCGTTGACAACATGTCCAATTCTACAAAAGGTGGGTTGTAATTCAAACTACTGTGATGATGTTTGTACAATTTGTTGAACCACTGCACAGTTTCTGTACAGCCGGCCTACCTGGTCATTAAAATGTGGGCGTGTCTGTGTGCCGTCATGACTCTGTCCTTCCACGCCTGTTTTTTTTAGTGTGTTACGCCCTGTCCGTGCATGGTCCTATAAGCTAGGTAAGGGCCTGCATTGATGATTATAAAAATTCAATAGACGAATGACCTTTGACGCTTGACCTCGATCATCCCGTGGTATATAGGTACGAAAGACCTCCCCGAAAGCCTCCACAGAGTTCTACAGCTTGTTGGCGGGAATAAGAAAATCTTATTCTACGAATTGGACCTGCTTGATGAGGAGGCACTGAGGAACATCTTCAAGAAGGTAAAACACTAAACAGAAAGCTTGCACAGAGCACCCTCATTGTTAGATCGCAGCTAGATTCCTCTTTGACATGAGTTTAGTTTACTGACTTTAGTTTACTGAATTTGAATAACGCAACTTGCCCACTGTGAGGGCGCTGTTTGCATGCTCTCCATATGCATCTTTCCTTGATGTCAATTACATTTCAAATCCTGAATGCTTAATTTTTTTGCTTATTAATTAGCTGTGAGTTTGTTTTTTCTCGGATATCACAAAATCACAGGGCAGGGGTCATATGCATTAATGCTCTAGAATAAGCTAAAGGTCACTAATTGTCAAATTATTATTATTATTTTCCAGCACAAGATCCAATATGTGATTCACTGTGCGGCCAAGAAGGCTGTTGGGGAATCTATGGAACAGCCACTGTTGTACTACAGGATCAACATCATGGGCACACTCAATCTGCTGCATGTAAGTCAAGGATCGATGGCTTAATTGCTTGATTGATTAAGAAACAGGTGGAAATTGGGTTGCACCTGTAATGATCAAGCAGCTTTCAATATTAAATTAACATTTTTTTTACATAATGCAATTTGTTCTGCCATGTAAACCAGTGTTATTATAAAAGTGTATATGGTATAAATAATTTAAAACAGTGATAATCAAACCTATTTAGATACTATTTTTTGCTTATATGTCTCTGCACAACACATCTCTAATGTAATTCTTGGTAGGGGATTGGTTCCTTCCATCCACTGTGTCCAGATATGTTTCAAGAAGGCCTCAAAATATTTTGGCAATTCTGTAAATTGTCTTCATGTACCAAGTACCTCAGAATTTTAAAATTTGCCATTGAAGTATAATTAAGAATAACTTCAATTTTTTTTTTTAATTGTTAAATATCCAGTTAACTTAAGTCCACTCTTGGTTGACGATTTGATGTTAGATGTAAAATATTTTTCCTGCTAAATTGGACTTTTTAGGACTTATTATCACTTTCAGATGGCTGATAGGTCACTGAAGGGATAAATTAGTGATGGCCAGATATTGGAATCTTTCCTTAATTTTGGCCACTGTAGGTCATGGAGGAGTTCAAGGTGAACAACTTCATCTTCTCAAGTTCCACCACCGTCTACGGCGCCCCAGAGAAGCTTCCCATGGAGGAGACTCAGCCAGTTGGCAGAAGTATCGCTAATCCCTACGGTCGAACCAAATACACCGTGGAGATGATCCTGAAGGACATATTCGCATCCACCGAGGTGAGTGGTGGTAGGGATTAGATTAAAGAATTAGTGTGATACAGATTAACTGAATTAGAAGAGATTAATTCGGCAAGTTAAGCCATAATTAGGTAGAGCTTGACAAGAAGTGCATTATTACAGTGCGTCGTTGATTATAACATCTTCACTGGAGTTCTTCTATATGTAAAACCACTTCATCTTTGGAAAGAGGTTAAATTCAATTAATCTGGATTAACAGAGATTAAAAATGGAATGTTTTGACATGTAATGATACCTTTTTGCTAATCCCAACAACCTAACCCTTCAAAATACAACTGCACGTTTCATTGGAATCTGTTGGAATGAGTACTGCACTTGAGTAAACTGATTATACTTTGCATGGGGTCAGGCATACCACCATAATCAGAGTCCAACAGTCTGGGTGTTGATGGTGTTGGATTTTGCAAGAATGAGGAAGGTTCCTAGTAAATCACTGAAGGGTTATTATAGTACAGGCATTATGTGAAAAATTAAAGGGTAACCTCAAACAAATTGCAACAGAAACCATTTAAAAAGGTTATTACTCAGAAAAATCTCCTCTATAACATATTAAAAGTCTTAAGAAATCCGAGTGGTGGAAAGTAGTTTTCTAATGTGTTTCTTAACCACACCCAGTACCACTTTTTTGCTACTTTATAACGGAAAATTTAGTGATGCTGCAACAATATATTTAATACTAAACACAGAGAGTTGATCTTGTTTTATTATTGAGATGCCCATTGACTTCAGAAAAGATCTGTAGATGACTTATATTCATTATTATGCTGTAATATACTATCTGCAATATGAGATATATGAATCTATATATATATATATATATATAGTTAAATATCAAAATAGCGCGTTTACATTACTTTCAAAATTACATGGCTAGTTTTGTGACTATCTAATTGGCACTAATCGATGTTTGCACTGATGAACATCAACTTAAACATAATCAAATTACTTAACATATATATGTCACTTCCAAATATTACAAGTGAAATGTTACTTTAACAGTGACGAAGACAGTAAATTAAAAAAAGTACACTGATGTTACTTTTAAGCAGCTTTCTTGTAAAGCCCTTACACAGCTGCTGAAACAACGTGAAGGAAAAAAGATGAAAATTACATAATTATAAACAAATAACTGGTAATGAATAAGTTTCTTAATGCATAACCGAATTTATTGAAAATAGCAATGTTCAGTGGTTTGCTATACTACTCAGGTGGGAGGTAGTACAGGCAAAATACTTTTTTGAGTGAACCTCAAACAAATTGCAACAGAATTTTTTTTTTCACCACAGTGCATTTCTATAAGGTTCCTAAATTGACATACTAAAAGTCTTTAAAAATCCAGGCGGTGGAAATATGCCAAATTTGCATAAATCCAAAATGGCCGCATATTTTAGGACTTTCGCACTGATTTGGTCATATTTCATATACATGTACTAGGTAGCTTTTTGAGGTATTTTAAACAATAATTTTAGTCCTTTTACATTGATTTACTCATTATTCTAGACCTTGGTAACTTTCAATATCCCTATGTTTCCCAAATTTGCGAAATGCCGATAATAATTTGCATAAATGCCATTTATTAATTTGCATAGATTAAAGTTAAGATTATGGCTGTCATGTGTGGACATGTCACAATTAAACTTTCCCTAATAATTCAAGTTTAGTCATGTACATAGATAAATTTCATATAAATTTCAATCCGAAAATACGTGGGCGAGGGTTTTATACCCCTCCCACATGGGTGCAAGCCCGGAATTGGTGTGCAACAAAGGAAAAAGGAATTACGATTTGCATAATTCACCTAGCACCCACCTCCAAAGTTACATAACACTTTACGGCCGTAAAAAAATAGTGATTGATAAATCAACTCAGAAAATAAAAGGAATAATTTTAACAGTCTTGTGACACCCTGTACATAAACACATTTCAGGGACAAAAATCCCTACTTTAAATCCACTAGTACACTGCATAGGGATATCACATTTTGCAACACGTATGCCAACTTTGAGATGAGCCAAAAACCGAACAAAAAATATTGTTCCCAGTTGTTTGATATTTTGTAGCGAACATCTTGGGGTTTAATTTTTATCCAAGTTTGTCTCAATGTCGGGTGATCCACTAGGTTAAATTCAAGGTCAAATTAAAGGTCAAAATGTCATTATACTTCAAATAACCCCGACATGAAAAAAAACAATGGTAAATTTGGATTTCTCATGATGCAACCTTTCAAAAGAAATTAAGATTAACAAATTTGGCTCACAGATTATAGAAATATGGTCATTTAAAAATTGCAGCAATGTCCATTTTGACTAAAATTGCCTGGGCGGTAGCGCGAAAACTGTTTGTCCGATGGTGCTAAAACTTAAAATTTAGGCTTTTCAGCCGAAATTACCCCATTAACTAAGTATGATCCAATTTGAAGAGGTTGGGGTTTCAAATTTAAAAGTTTTTTTTTTTTGGGGGGGGGGGGGGAGGTGATTTGACACTGAATGGCCCCAATGTCAAATGACAAAATGTTGTTTAAAGTACCCCGAAAAGCAATAGGACGAGAGTTATTACTAGATAGCATATTATGTCGTATTTTTGGCCACTGCATTTTTCTTTGCTAAAGAAGGAATTTTTCTCATATTTGGATAGACTTTACCTTCCTAAGCTGGAAATCCATTGGTAACATTTTTTCTATCTACCATGTGGCGGTCATCTTGGAATTCAAAATGGCCGCCATTTCGGGCCTAATTTGTATCTAACTTCGGACCTGATTGTCATAAGAAGTTCAGTTTGGTGGCAAACCCCATGTTTTTGACACCAAGGAACCCAAGAAAATCATTGTTGATGGGATATACTCCCAGTGGAGTACCCCATCAACAATGATTAACTTGGGTTCCTTGGTATCAAGAACATAAATTATGTAGTTTGCCACCAAAATGGCCTTCATACGACATTCAGGAGTCACCTTATTATTTAAATGAAATCCAAGATGGCCGCTATTTTTGAATATCCAATATGGCTGCCATCCATTTGGGATGCCTAAATGTGATAATTGGATTCCTTGGTATCAAATTTATGGGCTTTGCCACCACTAATGACTTCATACAACATTCAAGTCCAAAATTAATATGCAAACAGTTCAGAATGGCGGCAATTATGAAATATCCAAGATGGCTGCCATCAACTGTAAGTACCCTGTCCACAGTGATTTACTTGAGTTCATTCAAATACATGGACTTCATAGGACATTCAGGTGCAATGTTATTATAAATGAAATCCAAGATGGCGGCTGTTTTGAAAAAAAAACTCAAGATGGCTACCATCCATCTGGGATACATCATCAGCAATGGGTCATTAAGATTACTTGGTATCAAATGTATGGGGTTTGCACCGAAATTGATTTCGTACGCCTTTCGAGTCCAAATTTATTATGCAAATAAGCCGAAAATGGCGGCCATATATTTGAAATATCCAAGATGGCTGCCATCCATTTGGAGTACACCATAAACAATAATGTACTCAGGTTCCTTGGTATCAAAACATGGGGTTTGCCATCAAAATGAACTTCATGTGACAATCAAGTCCGAAGTTATGATACAAATTAGGCTCGAAATGGCTGCCATTTTGAAATCCAAGATGGCCGCCACATGGTAGCTGGGAAAAATGTCTCCAATGCATTTCCGGCTTAGGGAGGTCAACTCTTTCCAAATATGGCAAAAATTCCTTCTTAAACAAAAAAAGCAAAAGTACACAAGGGCTAATATACTATTATGGCCGCAAATCTTATGAAAATCATGTAATTAGCGGCCTTTTGAATTTATGCAAATTAGGCATATTTCCACCACTTGGATTTTTAACAACTTTTTTAGGGACCTTATAGCAATGCACTGTGTTGTGAAATTTGACTTGGATCATCAGGGAAAATTCAATTGGTACATGTCCACACACGACATCCATTATTTTATCTTTAATTTAGGAAAATTGATATACGGCATTTATGCAAATTATACGGCATTTGGAAAATTTCAGAAACATAGGGATTTGGAATTTACCTAGGACTAGAATAGTGAGTAAATCAATGTAAAAGAACTAAAACTGTTGTTTAAATTACCTCCAAAATCTACCTAGTATGAGAAATATGACCAAATCAATGCGAAAGTCCTAACATATGCGGCCATTTTGGATTTATGCAAATTAGGCATATTTCCACCACCTCGATTTCTTAAGACTTTTAGTATGTCATTTTAGGGACCTTATGGAAATGCACTGTGGTGAAAAAAATTCTGTTGCAATTTGTTTGAGGTCAAACCTTATATTGCCTGTACTATTAGGGTTAAGCCTCTTGTCAGGCTGCAGTAAAGATAGCGACTAGACATTTTAGATGGACTCTTAACAGAAATTTTGATAAAACGGTTCTTCATTTAATACCTTTCTTTTCAAGCATCTCAAGCGTGATTATCCAAGGACTTGGCCGTTCGACAAGAACCAGATAATTGACTGGAACATGGTCATCCTTCGCTACTTCAACCCCATCGGTGCTCACGAGTCGGGCCAGATTGGTGAGAATCCCTTGGGCCCGCCCAACTGTCTGGTGCCTTACGCCACGCAGGTCGCGATTGGGAAGAGAGACGAACTGAAGGTGTTCGGAGATGACTACGAAACTCATGATGGCACAGGTATGTCCACTTGAGGGATGAGGGGTCGGGGTGGTGATCTAGGTCTCAGTGGGGAGTAGAGAGTAGATGAAGGTATTTGGGGACAGGTGGGGTCATTGGGGGTCAGAGTGGTGATCTATTGGTCTCAGTGGGGAAATGAGAGTAGCTGAAGGTATTTGGGGGTGATTACAAAATGCATGATGCATATGGCACGGGTGGGGTCATTGGGGGTCAGGGTGGTGCATCATTGTTGATGTGATTAGGTCACTGTGGTGAAAACATGCATGTGGTGAAGTCACATACAACCATACTCTCATACCATCAAACCATCACCCCAATTCCTGTGGGGGCCAGCCACAGGCATCATAGTCTTTGCTAGAAACCTAGTTTTGCTTACTGCTTAGGAAATTTCTGACCTTGGCAACTTCCTGTCCTCTGCAGCTCCCTGAAATTGGCTGCTGTTTTTATTTTATTCGCTGGTATTTTTGTGGAATTCTACTCAAGTTTTTTTTTACCACTACATTATTGTATATTCCCAGGAGTACGCGATTACATCCATGTGGTAGACCTAGCCGTTGGCCATGTGGCCGCTCTCAAGAAACTAGACGAGAAGTGCGGCTTCAAGGTCTACAACCTTGGCACCGGGAATGGCTACTCGGTGCTGGATGTCATTAAATCACTGGAGAAGGCGTGTGGGAAGAAGGTTGGTGTCTTGTGCTAATATGGATATGGCTACAGCTCTGGTCAATGCTGGAAAGACTGAGACATACGAAATTGCTCAATAGTCAGACAAAGTTGGCAGAAGAATTTTTTTTCTACATGTAGCTAGAATCTTATGTGTTGCTGTAGTCGGTTTCCCTGATTCCAGAATTGTTGGAAGTCTGACAAACTTGGCCAGAAGACTTTTCCCAGCTTGAAAATTTATGTGTGTTTTTGCTAACATTTGCAGGAATTGATTAGTATGCATGCAGTTAGTCAGTTTCCTTTATTTATTGAGAATTGTTCAAAGTCAAACTGTATTTGAAGCTGTCTTTTGGTGCGGGAAACTCTATTTTATTATCTCTTGACAGTTAAAGTACAGCATCGTTGGTCGTCGAAGTGGTGATATAGCGGCTGCTTATTGCGATCCAGGTTTGGCCGAGAGGGAGTTAGGATGGAAAGCAGTCAGAGACTTGGACAAAATGTGTAAGTCTTAATTCTCATCGTAGATTATCTCCTTGGAAGTCAACTTACTTAAGGTTTTCCACCCAGTAGATCTCATTATATCAGGGATAAAACTTTTCCCCGCACAAGCCGATTTTCTCATTTTTTTAATTCATACTTATGCCTTAAAAAAATTTGGAGGGAAAAGCAAAAAAAAAAAAGACAAAGATGATTTTTCTCATTTTTCACTTCACACTTATGGCATTACAAAATGGGAGAAAAAAAATAAAGTCTTGCAAACCTTGAAATGTCCTCTTTTGTTATTTCCCTTTTTGCATGCGTGTTATGAACACTTAGAGTGAGACACTCCCATAAGTCCACATCTGATATCACGATCAAGTCCTTTGATTCGGCCCCGATTTGTCGTTATAAGCGGGTTTTCGTTATAACCGGAGAGGAAAAAAATGTGGTTTGGTTTTACACTTCACCACACCGTGATCTGAATTGGAGTGATTAAAATGAGCTTCCATTCAAATGGGGACGGGTGTTTTAATAAGTGGCATTGGTTTGGTACACTTTTCTGTTCTTCCTTAGCTTATATTTTGAATGCTGCATTTAGTTCATTTACCTTTAATGAAAACAGAGTCGACCTTACAAATCTTTCCTTTTTTTCTTTTTTGGTCCGGTAGGTGAGGACCACTGGCGTTGGCAAGCCCAGAATCCCAACGGGTACGAGGTTTAACCCGAGAAATAGCGAGAAGTAGCGAGAGTTCAAATACTTCTTGATGCTGCAGTAGTCTTTCTTTCCGCCAGAATGTGGCGAATATTCCGGGATGGCATCACGGAAGATAGCTAGATCTAGTTAGAATTGTTTAAATTGAAGTTAACAATAAAACATATTTCAAACAGTTGGAATGTAATGAACAATTTAATTGTGAAAAAAAAATAAAATAGGTTAAACGTCAGACTACACTTAAAAACCCCCAGCAAACTAACATAATGTGTATAGGGCAATTGAAAGGTTGAACAAAGATGTTGAATAGAGCGGGGTTTGAACCTGCGGCCTCTGAATTACCGTTCCGGTGCTCTTAACTGAGCTATCTAGCCCTATGTTGGCGGTTCCCAAATCGTTCAACTCTTCAATAATTATAATTTGTGATTCATTTGAGTATATAGAACATCTTAAAAGAAACAATGGGTTTGAATTTTTTTGTTAATGGTATAGGCATTTATTTATAGGCAATAATTTGGAAGGAATTAAACTTTTTTTGGAAAGGCCCGTACCCGTTCAAAAAAAAGTTTAAAAAATTGTAAGTTGTATATTTCTTGCCGTTACTTGCACATGTGGTTAGTTTTCACCATTTTGTGAAATGCAACAAGAGAGTGACAGTCCGTTCAAGCCTAATACTTTCACGCAATCGTTAGAATTCAATTCTATTTTTATAGATGGAATGTTATTGTTCATGAATCGAAGTGTGTCATTTACATAATGTTTTAATTCATCTCAGTTTTTGGATTTAAACGCTTATTCAATAAACCACAAATGATATTGAAGCGAATTGTGACGACCTTACGTTTATTATGCGGCTTCAAAATCAAGTTAGTGATGTGACGTTGCGGAGGCTTTCCAACTATACACTGTAAAAAACTTGGGCAAAATGGGTTGATAATTCGACCAGTGCTGGTCGAATTATCAACTGCCTACACTCTTGGGCAAATTCTTCCCAATAGTTTGACAGTTTTTACCCAATTCAACCCAATAATGAGGTAATTTCATACCAATGTCGGGTAAATTATGATTGCCGTACAGTATTTTACAATAATACAATAATAATTTTACAATAATAATAATATCGGAGTCTTATATAGCGCACGTATCTACCAACTATTAGGTACTCAAGGCGCTGGAGATATGTCTATTATTAAAGAAAGGTAAAACAAGTTTATGAGAAATATGAGACCCATTATGAAGCACCTTAAAAGGGTTTACAAGGTGCTGCGGCGCATATTGCAGCCACTGCCAGAAACACCGGGGCAAACCCCTTCTCTTAGCGATAAGTGTTACTGGGTTCTTTAACGTGCATTACATTTACACAACACACGGGACCTACGGCTTTACGTCCCATCCGAAGGACGAAGCAATAATGGTAAAGTGCCTTGCTCAAGAGCACAAGCACCATGTTCCCACGGTCGGGATTCGAACCCATGTACCACTAACCAAAGGACCACAGTACCCCTCCCCACATTCAACCACACTTTGAAGTGACCACACCTTTAATTTCTGTTCAGTGATGTGTGCCAATTATAAGGACATTTACCAAATGGGGCAAGTTTTTTAGCATTTTCCCCCTAAATCCAAAATTATCCACAAACACACCTAACCTATTAAAAAACCAAAACTAAAATCCAGTACTTCATTTGCATGTACCTGAACGATCGAAGTACTGTAAGTTTCTGTGTGTTAAATTTTAAAACGGCTAACAAGACTGCGGCTGCTTGTTCCAGTTCTGACCGCTTTTAGCTTCTTGTCACTAAATTGGTTAAATATAAATAATGTATTTGTGTAGTTTAGCAAGCGGAATTTGGACTTTTCAAGGGTTCGTCTAATCAGTTGTTACCTTATCAGCACACTTCGTTAACGATCAACGAAGTACCCTACTGTGTGGTGGCTTATTGTAAAACGTGTTTTTAAATCAGTGCCACACACCCGCCAAGGACGGTGTAATCCTCGATTGTGTACTGGTAAGTTTTTCCTACAGATTTTCATTATATGCATGGAATTTTCAGGAGCATCATAATTGCTTAACCTTCAGAATTGCTGTGTGTTTTGGGGTTTACTTTTTATGTTTTAATGTGTATTTTAGCTGTACTGTTGGTCATGTTATAAGAACTATAATATGAATGGCAAAATATTTTTGAAGTCGGCAGAAAAGAAGGAAAGGGGATCACAAATACGCCTCCATCATCTTAAATGCCCCATACTGGCAATCTCCATGTAAAGTTTGGAGACAGATGAGCACAAGCAACGGCCTTTTTCAAACAAAACTGAGAATTTAAAGGCATGCAATCCCTGTCTATATTTTCGTGTCGGTTCACCTCATTGCGCTTTTATCAAGTTTTCGTATTTTTAACACCACTTCAGTATACATGTATTAAGATAATTAAGAGATTGCATATTCTTCAAGATGTTAGTCATAATCAAGACCGTTTTATTATCGTTCTTCTAGGTATTGTGGGCTCCGCAAGACGGCTGCTCTATGCCCTAAAGATGGCTTTTCGAAGCAGACTTAGCGGCACACTGTCATTCTTGATATGCGTGGGTCTGTACCTATCCCTTTTCAACCGCCCCTTAGACGCCAAAGGGGCCGCGTCCAAACAGGTGTCAGATCTTACACAAGACGGGGAGCAGCTGGATAAATCCCACGCCGAGAATGCTGCAGAATCCTCATTGGGAGGAGCGGAAGCTGACAATCGGAGAGTCACCCGACGACAATACTCCGCAACCTTTGATTGGTATCAATGGTTTCTTGACAAGGAACTTGTAAACCCAGGAAATTTTGGAGGATATTGCGGTAAGTAGCTTCTGAAAACAAACTATAGCTAGATTGTTTCAATAATTTTGTTAGATTTTATCATTTTACTGTAACCAAAATGGCAACCATCAAGTTCACATTTTGGACGTTGAACCCGAGAGGGCAAAGTCAACTTAACACGAATATTCAGATTAATACAACTGACCTAATTATAACTATTATTTGAAAGCATGGTGGCTCTTATGATTTTTGCTCTTTGTTGTTGACCTTGATTTGTTCTAATTATAACTCCGATCTTCTCCGGGAGCCCCCCCCCCCCGGCACCAGAATAATGTGACTTAATACCGCTTTGTTAATTTGGTACGTTTGTAAAAAAAAAAAAAGCGTGCCGTACACACAATAATTATGGAAAAAAAAAAAAAAACTATTTTCTTCCTTTTTGCTCGATCTTGTTATTTATTATTCCTGTTATTTTTTCTCACAGAAGTCGATCATCATCAAGTCCGTCGCATGGTCAAACCACGCAAAATCGTCATCATCGGTTCCGGCCCAACCGGTCTTGGCGCCGCTCAGCGACTCTACGATCTCCGGCAAGAAGACAACAACACCGTGATTACGATCCTGGAAAAGGAAGGCAAACCAGGAGGCCTGGCTTCGTCTGAGAGAGATGAGATGGGGTTCCTCTGGGACGTCGGAGTTCACGTCGTCTTCTCCCACTACACCTACTTCGACCGAGTCCTGAACCTGGCAGTACCCGAGTGGAACTACCGGCGCAGGGCGTCGTTTGCCTTCATGAAGGGATCAGACGGAATTCGGAGATTCATTCCTTATCCTGTCCAGAACAATATCCACACCATGGATAAGGTTGATCAGCAGAGAAGCCTGGCCGGATTAGAAGAGATTACCAGAAATCCAATCTCTGGCAAACCGGTGAATTTCGACGAGTGGATGCTGCAGAAATTCGGAGTTGGTCTCGCTGACGTCTTTATGAGGAAGTACAACAGGAAAATCTGGACGGTTGACACCAAGGAAATGAACTCGGCCTGGGTTGGTGAGAGGGTTGCCGTGCCGGACATTGAAGAGATCAAGACCAAGATTGACGAGGTGGACAGCGGGGCAAACGCCAAGGATTCCGAGTGGGGACCGAACCGCTTCTTCCGTTATCCAAAATACAACGGAACCGGCGGGATGTGGGAGTCTGTTGCAAGGCGTATTCCAAGACGGTGGTTCAATTTTCACTCTAAGGTCATCGGCATTGATGTTGACAGGAAAGAAATCACTGTTGAGGTTGGTAAGGATGCGAAGCATTTGGAGACTATCGAGTACGATTCAGTGATATCTACAGTTCCCCTTGACGTCTTCACTGGTTTTATAAGAAGCAGTGATGAGTCACTCAAGGAGATGCAGCAGCTAGCTTCCCAGCTCGTTCACACTCACACACACGTCGTCAGCGTCGGGCTTGCCGGTCAGCTACCCGCGTCCCTTGCCGACAAATCCTGGGTGTACTTTCCGGACTCAGATTCCCCATTCTACCGCTTGACCATGTTCTCCAATTATTCTGATGACCATGTGCCCAACCCAGCAGCTTACTGGTCACTCATGTGCGAAATAGCCGAACCAGAGGTTAGCCCCAATCCAGGGTACTGGACCAGGGGGAATCTGATCAAGGCATCCATCAAGGCTTTAGTCTTGTACGGGTTTGCCACTGCTGATATGGTAGTCTCCATACATTATCGCCGACTAGAGCATGGGTACCCCGTTCCTTCGCTGAGGAGGGACATGATCCTGGACACGGTTCAGCCTTGGTTGCAATCCAAAGACATCTACTCCCGCGGTCGGTTCGGAGGATGGAGATATGAGGTTGCCAATCAAGACCACTCGTTCATGCAAGGGGTCGAGGCCGCGGACAAGATTGTTCTCAGCGTTCCTGAGCTGTCCTACCCAGATCCAAATCTCGCCAACTCCAAGAAAAACACAGACCGCGTCGTCCCGCTGGATTGGGAGATTGTCATCGCGCAAGACGACCACCAAGACCTCGAGTGGCTGAAGCCCTACGCCGACCACACCCTGGTGTACCATCTAGGGACAGACCTAGGACCCTTGATTCAGTTCTACGCCTGGCAGCGTCTTGAAGGCACCCGACGCAAGGCACAAGTGTTTCTTCACCACATCACCACCAATTACGACCAACTGGCAGAGGTAACTATCTTTGCACAGGGAGACCAGGAGAAGAGCAGGTGTTTCAAGTGCTTCGGAAATCCACAAGAATTCCTCTCGTCTGCAAGGAAGGCCGTCTCGTGCGAGTGGAGGGACTGCTTGGACTCCGACTTGGGTGCTGCTGATGAGTTTCCGCAGTGTTCCCAAGACAAGAAGAATGGAACCGAAATCCTTGGCATCTTAAATCGGAACTGTTGGGGTTCTGTCCGTCAAGGAACGGGATTCAGCCATTGCTGGGATGGATGTTTCGGGGCAACAAAGGAAATGATACGAAGGCATTCTCTAGAGTCTTATCGCCAGGCCTCGACCTACTTGGGCACAATCTCAAAGGATGATGAGGATCACTACCTAGAGACACTGTGGCACCAAATGCTCTCTTAAGTAAAGACAGTTGTTGTGTTTTTATATAGAACCCATGTAATGGAGTTGTTTTCAATCCTTGGCGAGGTCCTGTACTTCATTTTAATCAAAGCAACTGCTTAACATTTTGAATCGAACAATTTCATTAACTTGTAATTAAATTGTCTCCTCAAATAATTGGGGAATTTGTATTAATGCATTGCAAAGAACTGCGACTTTCAAACGTTGTTATTGATTCGCAAATCGTTGCATTTGCACAAATTAGTTTCTGTAATAGATGTTTCGGTTACTATTATGAATGAATGTGAATATTGATATACAATCCCAATGAGTTGGTACATGCTCCTTAGGCTTATGCTAATTAAAATAGCATTTAAATAAATTGTTAACATCAGCTATGGCTGCGTTGTAGGGTTATAACCTTGTATGTCTTACAACCCTTACAGATGAACCCATAACAAGTGAACTTAGTTAATAAGGCTTCAGTTCAATGAGGTCGCAAGCGGGCCCTTTAAAAGTCCGCCCTCTCCGGTCAGATATCGAATATTTTAACCGTGAGGACGCACTTATGAGCAGTAGCTATCCAAGGTCGCTAACTCACGTCTTCCAGAACCGTAAAGGGAGGCAAGAAGAATGTGGACAGACGGTTTCTTGGAAGGGGAAGTTTCGCGGCGGATGCATCTTATACATGGCATTATTGGTACCGAGTTTCACGCCATTCCTTACTTTTCTTCCCAATTCCTAGTGAATTGTAATAATGTATTGTGACCAATATCCGTCCTTAATTTCTCCGTGCATAGATGTGAAATACCACTCTTATGGAGAGCCACACGGGACATACTTCTCAACGCCAATTCTGATATCCAAAATGAGTTCAAGAAGACAACAGAGCTGCTCGTTTGAAAATCTTTACAATTTCCTTTATTTCAGTTCCTTTCCATCGGACCGGTAATTGTAAAAAAAAAATATATTATCATCACTGCCTATATTAAGGTTACGCCTAAAAGTCATAAATTATCAAAACTTCGTACTTATCACTTCGTCACGTCTCATTTTCACCAAGTCTAAAATTATTTTAAAGGTATATGTACTAACAATGTTGATGATGTGTGAAAAGTATATGCTAACTGTGTCTTAGAGGCTTTTAATTTGTGTATAAAAAGAACTAGAAGGATCGAAAAAGATTGAAGTATCCTGATTAAGTGCGTATTATGCTCTTCACTAATTGACAACATTCATGGTACCCGATTTGCCCATTTGAAAACCCCTTCACTTTCAAAGATGCACCATTATTTCAAATCAAACCAGCTTCAAATCCAGCACCAGGTTCAAAACTTAATCCCGTTTCGGACGACTTGTCTTACGTCCCACACAACAAAAGTAACACAGCAACACGTTCCCCCCACTCACGACGGTGAAAACCAGCAACAAGATCAGGTAAACGTCGATAAGATTTCGCTGGATGAAGTTCAGGTCGTAGACGGCCGGGCGGAGGTGGTCCCCGCCAAACTTGGTCACGTGGAGGATCCAGTTTGCGATGGTCTCTGCCGGAGGATTGAATCTTAGCAGGTCCTTTAAGATGGCGGAGTCACGCAACGCGTTCTCACGGTATCTGAGTAGAAAAATTGAGGTGAAGATCTAAGTGGATAACTGAACAAATGGTGGTCATTGTCTAAAGATTGGGAGAAAGAAACTACTACATGTATATCAAAAGTTAAGCACGACGCTCCTCAGTATCATCCATTTTGAACATACAGTTTTATTTGTGCCGGTTTTTTTCCGAAAAGAGTTCTTGGTTTCCGACACTTCTTGGGAGCACTTTTGTGCTGAGGTATTAGTCCCAAGTCGCAACAACTCAATGAGATATCGATATCTAAAGTCTTCTGAATTTCCGAGTGTTAAGCTTTTGAACTGTGGCATTGTAGCTTTGTGCATTCAGTCCCTGTTTAATATTGTCAACGTGCTCTTGTGATGTGACTAATGATTGGACGTTTAATTGGCTTGACTTTACAGTTTCTACATAACTTGGTGCGGCTTTGAATTACTTGTTAAAGGCAATACAGTTGTGGACACTTATTTGTCAACCACAAGGCCAAGTGCCTCTCAAATAATTATGTGACTGCACAACAAGGTGAAGATGCAGGTTGAAGAGAGAGAAGGAATCTTGTTATTATTCATAAGATGGAATTGGCGTCGGGGTGATGTAAATCAATATTAAGTTTTGCCCTTCTCCGACGTATAAACGCTGTATACTCGGTGTGTTACACCCCGAGTGAAAGTTGGAAAAAGAAACCACTCGGGTTGGACTCGAACCCACGACCTCCTTCTTTCTAGTGCAGACGTCTTACAACTCGACCACCGAGCTTGCGGGGTCGGTTGGCTGGTTCGAATCTGATGTACATGTAGCAGCGGGTACCGCAATAAGATGGAATTTTGCGTCGGGGTGATGTAAAGTAATATTAGGTTTTGCCCTTCGACGTATAAACACTGTATACTCGGTGTGTTACTTCCTGAGTGAAAGTTGGGGAAAAAACACTCGGGCGGGTACCACTCGACCACCGAGCTTGCGGGATCGGTTGGCTGGTTCGAATCCGATGTATATGTAGTAGCGGGTACCGCAGTTAAACTATTCATATTAAGATGTCATACGTCGCAGAAGGGCAAAACCTAATATTAATCTTCGTATTTTTCTTGAACTGTGATAGTTATAAGAGATGAGAAAGAAACAGCTTGGCAAGAAGTTTACACAACTTACTTAGGGTCTTTGATCACCGTGGAGACGGCATCGTGCAACCTCTCCGATGTTACCTCGGTGATGTCGCCAAGGGAGAGTGCGACACCCCTAGCCACGGCGCGGTCGACGTTGTCAAACATGTCGTAGAGCAGAGGTATACCGACCATGGGCAGCCCAGCCCATAACGCCTCGTGCACGCTGTTGACCCCGCCCTGCGTCACAAACACCTTCATATTCTTGTGTGCTGAGGAAAGCAAAATGGCTTGAGTTGGGTTTGAGTCAGCATTTTGTCATTATGTTTAAGTCACCGACACCACGAAGTAACACTCGTGTACATCCAGCAAAAACTAGCAATCGGAGAAAACGGCATGTAAAGTTACGCGCCTTCTACACTTTGCGTCAAAACTGCAGAGTATTTTCAGTTGGGTTTCTCGTTGTGGACACTTGATGGTTTGATGTCATTAAATTTGCTGTTTTTGACCAGTTTGTGTATTAAAACAACACGAAATAAGAGAAAAAAAGATGAGTGCTAGTTCTTGAAACCCAAAAAAATGCGAAACTGTAAATTTTGTTTAAAGCCATTAAATTTTCGTCATGAATGTGTCTTCCGGGAAATTTATTGGGAGCAAGTGAGTATCCAGGACGATTTCAGCACCTGATTCGATAATCAGGTAACTCAACGTTGACCAAGTTAGACTCTTTTCGAGTCAAGAAACTCACTCATCAGGTCTCTGAGCGGTAACCAGTTGACCATCTTGGTGTTCTTCCCCAGTTTGAGACCGGTGAAGTTCACGTTGGATTGCCACAGCACTCGCTGGGGTAGCTTGGCGAAGCCGTCGGCAAACATCTGACCTTGTTTTAACTCCATGGATTCCACGTGGCTGCCTAGAGAAAATAGGACCACTCCAGCAGTGGCGCCCTCCACGAACTTGGAAACGTCCTTCGAAAGCTGAATGTAAAGGGAAAAAAGAAATCGTGAGAAATGTGTTTATAGTTTAGTCAAAATTCTTGTCGAACATGCTTCTATCTGTGTTATGCGTATTGTGTGTGCACATTGAACCCTTTACTGCATTGTGCGAAGGTATATAAACCGCTTGCGAATTTTCTTTTCCCAAACTACATCCGCACATATGGTTGTTTAGCGCCCTCTACGATACTATTATGATACGTACGCAGGTACAATGTATATAATAATTTTTCCCAACTATTTGGCGAGCAGTGCGCTTGCTCAGTCGATGCAGGGTCGTGATTTTGCACCGCGAGGTTGCAGGTGCGAATCACCGTTTTGTACCCAAATGAATTTTTTTTTTTGCTTTTAATCTTCCTATGTTTTTACAAAAGTAAAGTCCAAAACGCCATAGCGTACACCCATATGCGAATGTCGTCTAAGAAAAAAAAATTGCTGCCCACTTACTGTATAATTTCCTCGTTTCCCGCCGATTGTCGAGGCGTACATGAGCGTGTTCGGATGCATCGGGCGGGGGAATTCCAGCGGGTAGTTCCGGTTGAACACCCACAGCTTGGCTTGCTGGATCGACTCGGTGATGTGGACCTCGGGATTTATGTTGTACTTGACTTTCAGCTGGTGGTATCTGCCGGTGAAGTCGGCTTGGATGTACTCGCTGGTCCAGTGGGAGATGTAATTAGTCAGACGCTGGGAGAGGGTCATTCTGTCGGTGAAGCCCGTGTGATGGGCTGGGATGTAGGCCGGGTCGGTTGGAACGTGGAACCTGAGGCAGGGGAGGGATACACATGCAGTCGGTAACAATTCAGCAGCAAATTTAAGAAAATGAGGGTCAAGATTATAGAGGTCAGACGACTCTTGTGGCTTGAAAAGGAAAAGACATCTGTGCGTCTACTTAAAAGTGTAAATTTGCCCTGGAAATTTCAGAAATGGTTTTTAACATTCTCTTTAATTACAAAACAAACTCATTAAATATTTGACAGTTTCAGAGAGTGCTGCATGGACATTGTGTTTTTAAAAGTTGCTTTAATTACAGAAGAAGTTTAAGGTTTTTCATCACCCAACTGGAGAACCGCGCCAGCTGGGAATCCATGTTTACAATAGTGTTCAGGAAGATTAATTTGCTTGGATATCATTAGATGGCATGTATACCACATACCTTGTTCCCGCGTCATAGAGAATAAGTCAATATAGTCAGGCTGGCATCGCGGTACTTTGCTTGCCTTCCACCTCTGTGGCCCGGGCTCGAATCCTGCCGGGGTCAACCTGTAGGTTGGGTTTTCAGTTCATACCTGCTTCCGCGGGTTTCCCTGGAATATATCTCCAGGGTTTTCCCTCCTACCTCTAAACTGAACATTCCTTCATCGTCCGTCCGGGTTATTTCAGGCTTACGGGCTATACAGCTTTAAACAATATTGGTTTCAATCCCAGAGACAAAATTGAATAAGATGAGCATACTCACAGGCGTCCGTATTTGTCAGGCATGGCGCCCCAGTTTGCACAATTCACAAACGGGATGTCCAAAGCCTCCGCCACTATCGCATTGCAAAACGAGAAGTCGTCGGCCACCAACATGTCGAAACGCTCACTGCGGAGTCTTTCCATGGTGTCGCTGTCCCCGAGCAGGGCATCGCACTCGTCGATGATCAGTTGGATGACCAGAGGCTTCCCCGTGACAAAAGTGCGGTAAATCAAGCGAGCTATTCCACTCATGGAGCTCAGTTCACCTGTCATGGAGAAGCGGGAGAGTTCCCTGAACACATCGCGTCGGCTCTCAGTCGTGTAATCAGACTTGTAGAAGATGAAGGAGAAGAAATCGTTGTCGTTCGTCTTTGGGTCTCGCGGTCCATCACTTCCGGTTAGGAAGCTGACGCTGTGGCCTTGTTGAGCTAAGACCTTCCCGGACTGACTGACTTGCTGGCCGTGGCTGCCGATTTTCTCGAAGGCGTAGTACAGGAATTTGTACTTTTTCGAGTCCTGCTCGAGCTCCTGGGAGTCCGTGCGGAGTGGTGCCGCTAAGAAGCAGATCAGCAGTAGTGGGAGGAATGTTGAGAAGTGTATGGAATGCATCGTTGCCTTCTTGAGATGAATTACCTGAGAACCGGCAAGAGAGACAATAGAGGTGTGGAGGATATACTGTTACCAAGTTAGTATGTTGTCACGGGAATATCTGCGTAAAGTGTCAGCTAGATCTCCCCTTAAAGGGAAAGTACGATTTGCAAACATCAAAAAATAAAACTACCAAATCATTTTGAAATACCTTGCTGGACTGTTAGTGAATGACAGTGTAAAGCATCCTGTAAAATCATGGCACCTGGTATACTGTCATTTTCAAGAAAAGTGGTATTTTTGTATCAATTTCCAACGCTGATCGGCCGATCAGCGTTGGAAACAACTGGCTTTTTTTTCAAATACTGGCCCCAATTGACCATCGCACTTGTTTGCAATCGATTACAAACCTATGAACGGGTACGAGCCAGCTAGACTGGTTCCCTGACCTTATAATTCCCCAATGAATGTAAACTGCTCTGTTTCTTATATGGAGTCAGGGAACCAGACTACAGGAAAATGATCGTTTTTCTTGGTTTTTATAGCATTTTCGAACCCAAAACCTCAAAAAAGTCGGTGTAACTATATTTGCTATATATTTCCAACCCCCCAATCCCATCCATTTCTGAAAATTACAGCAAAAGCAAATGATGTATATTCCCTACGGCGTCATGTGTCACGCGCTTGTGAAATATAAAGCTATGTGACTTCTGCTATTGAATATAGTATAAATGTTAAGCAGTATTAACTCTTGTGCACTTATACACTCCGTAGTATCCAGATGCTTGGGTAACCACATTTTTTTAAAAACCTTTTTACCAACCCACTTGTCACCGTTAGAGTGTGATATGTTTGTGCAATATGACGTATCAAATAATCAACACAACAGGGGAGATTCGAGTCATGTTTAATGGTTTACGTACATGGAATGCAATTGCCTCTTTTGAATCATCTGAAAATATTCTTTTTAAGCTAAAACTATAAACTTTCTGAAATTTGCGACGTGAAATGTAGTTTTAAGGACTTGTTGCAGTCATATTATTTTTGTAAGCAGTTTTATAATCTACCCTGGCAGGGCCGATTTTGACAAAGATCTTAAAGCCGGTGGTCATTTTTGGCGACTTTAACCTTTAACCTGTTCAATATACATGTCGTAGTTGTTTTTAGCTTTCAATACGCCGGAGAGTTGACCTCAAGTTTTGTATTGGTCCGATCCGAGGCATAGCCGTGCGTGATATATCACTGGAAACAGTATCCCAAATAGAAACATAATTTTATTTTTATAGTGTGCCTGATAAAAACGACAATACGTTAAGGCCGTCAATTACAGACTGGTATCTCATTGGTGATTTTGAGGCTGTTGTATTTGTTGGTGCCAGGGTGTCAAACATATTATCTTAGAGCAAATTTGTTTTCCTAGCTCCGTGGTGTAAACAGGTGCACGTGTAATACTCGGGCCAATGTATCTCTTTATCTGACCTCTATGTTTTGGAGTCGAGCGGGTCACACTAAAATGCTTATTCCAAATGTTACCACGGTTACTCTGCCGATAAGTAGGGTTTGTTTTGGAGACAGATTGAAATGACGGCGTTTCCAACAGCCCGTAAATATTCAATACCGAATCTAGAAGTGTGACCCCCCCCCCCCCCGACCCTGTTCAGCCGCTGACTGATGTTGGAATTCTAGTAAAATGAAGCCAAAAATAATAAATGAAATGCTAAAAGTTCTTCAATGTATTCTGGAATTGGCTTAGAATGCAGAAGAAAGCATCCCCGTACCTTTCAAAAGATTCCGGGGGCATGTCCCGGACCTCCATAGACGGGAGTGGCTTCGACACGCCTTAGACTCAACCTCCCCCTTCATATCGAAACCCCCCCCCCATATCGAACTCCCCCCCCCCCCATATCGAACTCCCCCCCCCCCCCCTTTCCTGAAAACTAGACTCGCCCCTGACGTTCAACTGGGGATTTATGTATATACGCGGTAGCACAAATGCAAAGTTACCTCCTGTAACGTCTCTGCCTGCATGCCATACTTTTTTCAACTTGTGCAGACAAAGTTCCACACCCGAAAGGGGCACATTTCATTTGGTACCCCCAAATCAATGAAAGAAACAGAATCGGCACGAAACCAAATAAAACACTTACCCAGAACCCCAAAAGCCTCACCGCCTTAACGCAGCAATGGTGGCACGTACTGTTCGGTCCCTAACCAAGTTGAACATATTATGGCGTGGGATGGCCACTAATCGCGGCCCTTTTGTACCCAAACGACCCTTGAACTTGTAGATTTGGGTCTTTATAAATAGACTTGGTCCGCAAGTTTAAGTTCATACTCAGAAGGATCACTGTATTTTTTTTTTGAATGTAGGCCTATCTCGACGTGATCATTAGGGTGCACAGTACGGATATGAAGTTGGTAAAGACACCTTCGTGTCATTGACAAAGAAACACCATGCAATGGACGATGATCTGATGCGTCGAGTTCACCAACATTAATTACGACTGTTACCAGTTTACAGAACACTGATGTAAAGAAATCGTTTCATTTAGGGTGCACAGCACGGATATGAAGTTAGTAAAGACACCTTCGAAGTGCCATTGACCTCCCAAAAAAAACCACCAACGAACGATGACATGACGCGCGCGTAAAAGTGTTCACCAGCACTTATAATGTATAAGAAATCGTTTTCTTTTTCTCGCATCGAAGTTCACTTATTTATTGTTTGCAAGTCGGTTAATTTCCCTTTAAAGTTTTGTTTGTAACTGCTATGTACGTGAAGGTGAGCATAATCATCAGTATCTGATTGCAAATATGATGACTAGGGAAGATGATGTAGTGTACAAAATGTAGCCTCAAAGTTGGGGGGGGGGGCGGTGTAGACCTCATAAGACCCCTTGGGACTCTCTTCAAGCTCCCTATTGTTTAATTAAGTTCTCACTTGTTTGGGAGACTCACGGCCTCATCCCCCCATGTTTAACCTTTAAACAATGTTGAACAAGGAGCCAAAACAGACTTTAAGCTATATTCCACATTCAAAATGTAAAACAAAGAAGCAAACTCGAGGTGCATTTTTCAGGAGCTCCTAAATTCTGACTTGTAGAGCATCGGTAGTCTAAACCTCAGGGGTAGGAAATGATGAGAAGGTCAAAGATAGTTTGAACCGCTCTTGAAACCATCTATAGCAAAGGACTTTGCTATAGACGCTGAGTACGTGTTTACTATCCCGATAGCACGTTATCTCGCAATGCTCTTGGACAATATACGGATATGGCTCTGTGTAGTATCCCTATATTGTCACCATAATGGACCGATCCAGTAAGCCCCGCCCACTGCGCACTGGGCAAATTAACACGTGCTCCTCTCTAATGCCACACTGCATTTTCCTGCCGCGCGCGTCATACGCGCGTGCACGCATGTCGGACTTTTGTGCACGCACGTCGGACATAAATCACGGCTAAGATTGGTCAGAACACCATGGGGCGGTGCATAATGGATCGGACCATTATACCTAACCCTCTGAATCCGACTGTTTAGATTCTTTGGACAAAGGGAATCGAAGACATGATCTTAAAGATATCTTAATTAAAAACCCCAACGGACAATTAAACCCCAATGGTCGATTTACATTTCTTGTAACATTTGGCCTTTTTATCAGTAGGCTATAGGTGAATTGTTGACAGCATCGAGAATCCCGGAAGCCAACATTTATGCATGTGATATAAAGGCACATATGCGAATGCAGGATATCCTGGTTTAGTCTGAGTATCGTCGGTAAATAAACGGAGCCCTCTCCGCCGTAACCAACGTCTGATAAAATGTGAGCAATGCCAATTTTATACGACCCCGCGCGCCAGCCAATCGGAGTCGATTTTAGAAATTGTGACGTCAATTTGATCAGAAATGTGGACTAAGCTGTTGGTTGGTCAATTTGGCCGCCATGTGTTTGTAATACAGTGAGTTACCGAAGACCCGATATAGAAGGCGCCCGCTGAATGGTCAGAATGTCGAGGTCAAGACGCAGTCTTGTTTTGCATAATTAACCGCCGAATCTGCTCGCATATCATAGACCCTTGCTGTGCAAGGGGATATTCCATAGACCAGTTTCTGGTAGGAAAATGCGGCAAAGTCTCCTTGTTCGCCCCCCCCCCCCCGCCGCAAAATTAAATTGTACTCATTTAAAAGAAATATATCAGGAAGTACAGCAATCTGGAAAGTTTTTTGTTTCTTCAGGTTTTGTTGTATTATTTTATTTCCTCTGTTAGCTTATTCTCTCATCTATCTAAGTGTATAATACATGACTGTGATACGGATAAGACATAATTGAAGTCATGTTGTTGATGAACAAAATATTTCATTAATTTGAGTAAATAAATAACAGCTACTGCCTGATCAATGAAAATACCGCTTTACATCTACATATTCATTATCCGAATCAAATAAAATGCTGTTAAGGTTTTGCTCACTGAAGAGAACCCCTTAAATGAGCAGGTGCTCCGACGCAACTGCATAAATGTCACGCGACATTTATACATAATGGTAAACGCTATGTGATAATCGATGTGTATTTTGTATTTTGACTTTCTTTTTGACCAATCACTGTTCAGATCAAGCGACCTTTAACCAATGAAATAGGCGGATCCAAACACGGCGGCCCCCTTGTAGTCGTAGGTCTGAACGTTCGCACTGCTGCCGTTGAGCGTCACCTTGCAGACGGAGTTTGGCGACTTGAGGAAACAGGTCGAGAAGAGAGCGATTTCGAACTCGGGACTCGCGCCGATCATGATGGACGTGACGGGCTTCACGCGGTTCGACCACTTGAACTGGAACTTGACAATGCCGTGCTGTCAGGAAGAAGAAAAAGATCGAAAATTTCCAAAGTTAAATTCATGGTGTTGAGAAACGTTGACCAAAAATAGATTTTGGTTCAGACGGGTGGAATTTGTGTATTAATTTTCCATTGGGTGGACTCCATACGACTGCAAACTTGTATTCGAGTCACAAAATTTCGAGTCCGAGCTTTGAGTCACCTCTCACGAGTCTGAGTCATGCAGGTCGAGTCCGAGTCCGAGTCACGAGTCACAAAGGTCAAGCTCAGTCACAAGTCACCTTTAATTACTCTACATTTATTGAAAATATATTTGAGGACCTCACAGTTTCAATTTTTTCACTGCTTTTCTCATATGTAATGAACTGGAAATACATTGTATAACAATGAATTTGTAATTGTATAGTTCAAACAATAAGTGATTTGAGGTAATTTTGGTTTTGTGCCGAGACCAGGTCGAGTCAAAGCCCAAGTCCAAGTCCGAAGGGTCCGTATGTGATGGTTCCGGCTGTAGCTCTCAATAATTGACAGTGTGTCGTGCATTGCGTGCACCATACTTAGGCGTATCTTAGAGTAAAGTTATCTTTTTGGATAACTTGTTATCTGTTTCCCTGGAAACTGTCAGTTATTGATAACACGTCAATCCGGCATCTGGTCCTAAAAATTAAACATGTAATTGGGACCCAAATCAAGATAACCATAATTCTATCTGAACATTGTTATCAAGAGAAGGCCTACGTCAATATAAGTTAATATAGGGGCCTAATGCCCACGTCAATATAAGATTCAGTTGAAAAAAAATAGAACACCTGCCCCAATCGCAATTATAAGTCATAAAACAGTGGATTCATTTTATTTGTCAAAGTGGCGATTGGCTTTGAATTTTTGGCATTGATTAATTTTCGAGGGAAATGTCACGCAGAATACATTTGTAACTGTAAAAAGTAAAAAACAAAATATAAAAAAAATATATAAAATAACCGAAAGCGAAAAAGGATCAATCAAGCTTTAATTTGATGTATGTCTTGAACACCTTTGAGAGTTTTGAGTATTGTATCATTTCCTGTGAAAATTTTTATTTAAATTGTTCCGTGCATCATTTTGGGGAGTTATGTTTGTGCACTGGTTCTTTCCTCGTCTTCCACCGCTGTGACCCAGGTTCGATATCTGCCCTGGTTCACATGTGGATTACAGTCCCTACCTGATTTCGTGGGTTTTCCTCAGAATTTTTTTCTGGGGTTTTCCTCCCACCTCTAGAATTGTAATTTCTTCTCATTGTCTTGTCTCTCTACATGTTTCTTCAGGCTTGCGAGCTACAGTGCCTATAGAGAGCTTATGAGGAATCCCTGGTTTCATTACCAAAAATAAATAACAACTAGAAATGTGTTGTATCGGACCTATAGTTCTATAGATATAGGCCTTAGAAAGAAAATGCCCCTTTAATGTGACGTCACATGACATGCGATGACGTCATGATGACATCACTTAAAGGTGCCAAGTCTGAAATCGATCAGATTTACGAAAGTGCCAAAGTGTAGGCCTACTGGCGGAAGAAAAACGTGTTTACACACCCTATACGGATAAGTAAGAAAAATACTATAGTATGAAAAATAGAAGAAGAAAAAAGAAAAAAGGAAATTAACGAAAACAAGAGCTGTTTCGGCTGAGCAGCCGAAACAGCTAATAAGGCCAAGAGGCTCACCTGCCCTTTATTCATGTAGCCGTGATAGTTAGCGTCTCCGTCCTTTTCCAATTGATACATACGGACCCAGCTATGGAAGCCAGACACCGAAGAACTACTGGACCACTCGCCAGCAAAGACGTGTTCGAAGCCCGAGGAATCGCGCGTTCCTTTACGGTTGTAGTGCGTGAACAGAAGTCCTCGGATGTAATCCTTGTACTGGCTCAGGGTTCCTGAGTAGTAGTCTTGAAACAAGAATTTCGAGAAATTTTAATAAAATAATATAATTAATAGGGTGTTTTGTAAGAATTAAGCTGCATTAACGAGGCCGTGTTGAAATAGGAGTACGTGTTTAAATACACAGCTTGACGTAGGGTTGAAAATGATGTAAATGAGGAGTTATGCTTTTTTGAGGGCTAACAAGCTGTAGGTTGAAAAAAAAATACTGTACCAAGATTTTGGCGTTCGTGAAGAATGCTTTAAACATCTTGCTAGTCCATCTCATAAGTGTATTTTGTGTGTTGATTTTCGGTTGTTAATTAGACATTAAGCCTGGTCAGTGTACAGAAGGTTAACTGTTGCTTTACATAAGTCGAAAATGGGGAAAAGAGTGTTTGAGAACAAAAGGTTTGACATAAAACAATATTTGCAAATGAACTCGGACTGTACTCTGATAACAAGTTGTCTGGAGCACGTCCAGAGATGGTGACATGCTCTATGTTCAGACACCCCTATCTATGTTCCGATAACCTGCACATATGATTGCATTAATTCCCGTCAGGGTGAGGGTTGGGGTTAGGGTTACGGTAAGGGTTTGGGATAGGAATATGAGCAGTACGAACGTAGGGGTATCGGAACATAGGTGTGTACTCTTTAAATTCCAAAGAGTGAAAATTCACTCCATTCGAGTGACGATTCACTTGCCCTGTCGGAAACTAGGGACCAGACGTTTTAGAGTGAAATTCCTTCAATCGTAAAGATTGACTTTTCACTTGAGCTTCGACTGAAGTGGTTCTTTTTCAGACTATTTCAGACGAAAATGAGATTGATTTTCGCTCTAAAATGTCTAGTCCCTAATTTCACTCTTTGGGATTTAGAGAGTAACCCATAAAGTTGGGGCATTGATTCGACTGCTTACTCTTCGCCTTGACGAAGTCGTACGCCTGCGTCATCACAGCGGTATTAAAGATGGCGTCCATGAAGGCGTCCTCCTCTGCTTGCTCTGCAGAGGTCGTGGTCTCGGTACCGCCCTGGGTGGTGATGTAGTTGTCGAAGAGCTTGATGAAAGCCTTGAAGGTGGGTCTCTCCAAGACGCTGGCGTCGACGGATGTGAAGAGTCTGGGCAGGAAATAAATATGAAATATTTTCCGGGAAAAAAGACCCAAAGTTTTAATCCTGGCAGATCCTTTCTCATTCTACCAAAGATCGTTTACATTTTGCCTTTCAGAAAGACCCTTATAATAGGATCGAGAAGTCAGCACCCGATTTTATGAAACTCATCGTAACTACACGTCGTAACTCGGGTTGCGACGCGTCGCCGCGCTTTGTGAAATCGGGGGCCAGACATCTCACTTTCTTTGAATTGGAAGTTTCAGGTCAATCCTGTCAGTGATCAGTTGGCAGAAAGTTGTTCATTTTTCATGAATAATTCAAACTCAAATCTCTGTTGGCTCCTTGCGCGGACTTGAAAGGGCGCTATGCAGCATAGACAAAGTACCAAATCACCGAGAAGCTTTGAAGGAGAGGAACAAGTATTGCATTGTGGAAATTCATCTCACTGGTTCACTCACTATGAACAGCAGTTGTACAATATTTTAATGAATCACCGGACACCAGGGAAATTACTCTACAGCGACACATAGTTTTTCATTCTCACCGCTGAGGGCGTACTTGGTCACGTGTGAGCCACTATAGTAGTTGTAGCACTTTACATGTTCTTACAACACTATCTTCGTTATAAAGCTCTTTTTCAAGGGAACAACTGACTCACTTGCTAGATGACACATCGGTCTGAGAGGATGAGCTACTGATGTAGTTGCCATGGTTCACGATTACGTCAATGCCGACGTCAGCACGATTGCCGTCGGCCGCCCAGATTGCCGTAGCAAAGGCCGATATGTCGGCCGGGATGTTAGGGTTAGGGTCAGGGTCAGTGCCACCGCCTAATAGGAAACAACAGGATAAGTTACAAGGAATTCACCCCTTTTGAAGAAAATATACCGCCACAATTTGTTTCGTTTAGTGCTGATAACATTACCAAGGTCAGTACCACAAAGACGGCAAGAACAGCAAGAAAATTGAAGTGTGGACCGTAGAGATAGAATCGGAAAAAGTAGCCTCTAAGTCTCAACAGTACATTCCGTAAGTGAGAGGAAAACAAATTAGTAAAAAGCAACAGCAAGCATGTATGGACATACTAAGGAACAGATAACCAAAGCAGGGTCCAGGGGCGGATCCAGCTTTCTTTTTTCTTTGGCTCATAAGGCGTAAGCTCTCACGGGGGAGGGATTTTACAGGCACAGAGGCGTATCCGGGGGGGGGGAGCACCTTGCATGTGCTAATATTGTGTGCATGGTTTTCCTCTTTTTACGGTCCAATAGTGGAGGTTAGATCTCCTACCCCCCCCCCCTTACCCTCTCTCTCCCTTCGAGATACTCACCATTGCAAAGACTGTCATAATCGCTGCAGCAGTTGCCGTAGTTGGGGCAAAGTGTGTTGCACTGGCAGGGCAGACTCGCGTCGTAGTTCGCTGAGCATTTGCCGGCACAGGATTCTGTAGATGAAAAGACAAACACTGATGTCGGTGGTATGAATAGTATCCTCCAACTTTAATTCGTAGGATTCCAGCTTACGAAAATTGATATAAAGGAGTTGATATCTTGTTAGTCAAATTGAAGCAGGTGGAAACACTTGTCGTATATAGTACAAAGCTAACCTGACCAGAGCGGGGCGGGGTTTGGGTAAATAAAAAGGGGGAACATTAATCGGAAAAAAGAAGTAAGAGTCTTCACATATATTAGTATATGTGACATTTAAATTAAAATCCACGCAAAAAAATCATCAATCAAAGACAAAATATCTGCAATAAACAGCTACATTCATTAACAAATAAATTTCCATGACATAATTGTAACCCCATCGGGATAAAAGGTCAAGGATGTGCGGTGTAGCTCCAAAGAATGAAATAGGGTGCTTTTTTTTAATAGACACAAGATTCAAAAGGAAGATTGAGAAGAATGTTCATACTTTCCGGCGAGCAATACTGGTTGTAGTCGCTGCAACAGTCGCCGAAGGTGGAACACTGTGAGTTGCACTGGCAGCTGTAACTGCCGCTGAAGCTATCCCCGCATCTTCCGCTACAACTATCGGCTGCGTCTACGTCTACGAAGAAATAAATGTCATTCTCAGACTAGTCCGGATAATTTCAATTGTTGGATATCCAAAGACGACAGCGGGAAAATGATTACACTTCCGATCCATAATCAAATATATTTATAACTCACAGTAGACATGTTTTCCTTTTCGAATCAATGAAGATCAGTGGAGCTAATGTTACACTAAACCTTTGAAAAAAATTGTATTGGTAAAAGTCATAACCTTGTCTTACTACATCTGAAGGCTCACCGGTGGCAACCCGATCAAGTTGAAAATTCCCAAAGACGTAGAAAGTCAGTACCACACTAAGAACCACGCTAAGAACCACGCTAACAACCACTGAAGACACGACTGCTACCTTACACGGAGAACACGCTTTTACGCACATGCTATTAATGTATGCATCTAAAGCTTTAACTTTGTGAGAAAGGACTTCTTTGCTTTGGCTCCTCACAATCAGCTCTTCGTTGAGGGTAAGAAACAGCCTCTAATCGCACTGCTTGAGTTCATATTCTGCGATCCCATGACTAGGCCTAACATATGAACCATTATTTTAATGCGTAATGTATGCATGGTTCCTGTGCGAATGTGATACAATTGCGTCTTCCTATCATGAGTCATGATTCTGTCATCAAGTTTGTCTTTTCGCTCGTCTCTATAAGGGTACATGTTGGGGCTAAGTTCATGGCGCTGTCTTGCACAAAATTCCCCCGCAGCCTGGGGGTTTGGTCGGTAATAAGGGAAATATCGGTTATTGTGATTTTTGGCAAGGTATGCACCCCTGTAGTTGGAAAATATGTGATAGCATTGCAGCGGTGGCAGCTTTTTGGGTGCTATCACTCTTTTTTTTAAATGGCAGCCAAAACATGCGAGTTACCACATAGGCCCCTATAATTAATCTGGTTCAAGCATATTGGTGGCCATTTTGAAGACAAAAAAATTTAAAAGTGATAATACGCAAAAGACTTCCAACGCTTACACTACAAAGCTTTGTTTTTTTTCACACAATTTCCAATTCTAGATGTGTATACCTTGCCAAAAATCGCTATGAACGTTGCTCTTTTGATAATTTGATACCGGTGGCTCAATTTTTGGACCGAAGCTGATAGCCAAAAGTACAAGCAGTGTATATCCATGTAGTGATACAAAAATTGCCTTTGAGGTCGTCCCCTCCCGGACCAAAATGGTTAGACCCTCTATTTGTTTGATTTCAAATTGTTTCTTTATTGATTGAGGTCCAAAATAAAAAATAGCACAATGTTCCTGTAACATTTACACTTTCAGACTGATGTAATTATGAGGTCACATAAAATTGCAAATCCTACGTAATGTTACACTGTTGCACTAGAGATTGCACCGACGTGGATCTGATGCAAATTTGAGGTAAAAACTTCCCTATGTGGAAGAGCCTTCAACCGGAGCGCCAGTAACCAAAAGAATATGGACTTCACCTTAAAATATAATAACAGTTTGCTTCATGGTGAGAAGAATTAGAAAATTACGAACCATTTTGCAAAACAGCCGCGACCAGGCAAAGCAACAACAACTTCAGCATGATTTCAGTGATGAAGGCAAATCGGAACTGACGTCGACCAAACAAACCAACAGACCAGAGGACATCTGTACTTCAGTCTTTGACAAAAACGAACCCTTTTTATATAAAAGGAGAAGTGTTTACTAAACTTCGAATTAGGCCAATGCAATGGTATCACGTCTGCTGTCACTCACTACTCACCGTGAGTGGCGTAAACATTATCAGATAAAAAAAAAACTTAGAAAAATAAAAATAAAACCAAGTAAAACAATCCTGTTTCCGGTGCACCCCTTGCTCCAATTAATTTTCCCAGGGTTGATACGCATATCAAGATAGCCAATTGTTCTGACGTAAGTGTTCTCAGAACTTGAAACAAAAATATAAAAGCGGAGCCAACAAGTCGATCAACGAAGTGGAATGTTAATATTAATTTGCCGATATCTAGGTCAACATGTTGATATATTGACATTAACAAACGAACGAACAAACGAACAAAAACACCCTCGCCCGTTCTTGTAAAGTTAACTACACTTGATGAACAAGTATACGAAACAAGCATTTATTTGCGGGGGGGAGGCAATTGAAATATCTATACCACACTCGTTGAAAATCATGAGAAGGGTCCACTTTTGGCTATCCCTTAAAAAGAAAATAGGGATAATATGAAGAACAGAACGTGTTTGAAGGGCCATTTCCAGCGTCTGTGTACGAACAACACGAATTACCAATTAGTTGGCGTGATGCGTGTGCGCCACCATACAGCCACTACAATTTTGCTTGCTCGCATTGAAAACAAATTAGCACGTGCCTCAAACCTAGGCCTTGGATTGAACAATGGGTATTCAGTGGCGTCCACGGTCATTCTGATTGGGGCGGGGGGGGGGGGGTTAAAACATTTTGGAAAGGGCACTTGCGCATCCGTGGTGAAACGAAGACAGGTTTTTTTCTCCATACACTTGGTCCCCGTAAAATAAAAAAAAGCAGGGGGGGGGGTCGGGTCGGTACCGTCTGTTGATGGAGGCGCTGTTCAAAACAAATGATTATGCACACAAACGGCCAATATGTGGTGTTTTTCAGGGCGATACATGTGCGAAATTAAGAAAAATACACCCTAAATGGCACATGCCACAAAAAACTTCTGGCACATTTCTTTTAAAAAAAGGGCACTTCCTAAAAAAAGGGCACTCTTTACAAATTATTGGGGGGGGGGGGGTAAAGCCCATTGAAAAAAAAAGGAATTTGAATGGAAAAAGGCAGTCAATTACAGGATAATTTGAGTTTATTGCTGCCAAACCAGCTAGAAAACACGTAACGATCGAGCTCCCGGTTGACTTGAAAGATATCAAGTCGAACTCAGTGATGAATGATGAGGTACATGATCCACTGAAAGGCTTAATAACCTGAACGAATTTCTATACATTCTGCACGACGGCATTATTGTTAGTGACCTCGACAACTAATCGTCAACTTGAAATTATTGGTAAAGAGCAGTATCATAAGCTTGTTTCTTAGCAACCGTTGGAAGACATGCATGTTCATGTGCTCATATTGTTGTCGCTGCTTCTGGCCTGGCTTAAAGCTATGGAACGCCGAGGCAAACAAATAAATCAACCCTACAATTTTTAAAAATCAACACATCATAGAAAACTATCAAATCGTTTGCTGCAATTTTCTTGTGTCTTATATGTTTATTTTTTACCCTTTTCCTGCAATTAGGCGATGTTAGGTTTCAGTTTGAAATTTGCAATATGCTGTAATAGCTCAATATTTTAATAAATAATTCATTGGCTCTATGTGTGAAAAAAACAGTTTTTTTGTGTATTAACTTTAAGAAAGGTATACTAGAAAACATTATAAGACTCAGTCCCGTAGTTATGGTATCACATTCGATTCTTACGATCACTACATGCACATTTAAGGGGCTGAGATCTGTAATTAGGCTTTTAAAAAATGATGACAATTCGGCGCGCCATAATGGTGAGTTGATTCTCCGTTTTGTTACCTAGCAACGCGATGTCTAATTGGTCATTACTTTGGGGCTGTGAGGCTATAAAGAGAGAGAGATTGGTCTCTTTCTTAAGTCGCTGAGAAATTATCACTTGCTCCAGTCGATTGTACACACAACCCGATAGCATTCAGATACATGTACTTAACTAATGTGCGCCGACCGAGCTACTGCTAAACATTGAAATATTTAACGAACTACAAACATTTCCAATCATGTTGGTATATTATATTCTCACTCTGATTATAAGCTATGTCTGGGCAGACGGTGTATCATTTCAACGCGAGCAGCCTGTTTGTCCTCCCGGCTGGTTGGCCTGGCAAGACGCCTGCTACATCTTGCTGCCTGACAAGATGAATTGGTGGCAAGCTAAGACGGTTTGTGACCGGCCCGGGAGCAGCCTGGTCGTTCCCGACTCGCAGGAAGAACAGGACTTCATCTGGCGGGAAATGAGGTCCCGAATGGAGAAGATTGTCGGAAATTCAACGACAAAACTGCAACTTTGGATCGGCTGCACAGATTTTGATAATACAGGGCTACTAACGTGCATCGGTGTCCAGGGTAGGCCTGGATTTACCAAGTGGAGCAAAGGAAACCCGCATACAGACGAAGGTCAAGATTGCATCAGAATGGATCAAAAGTATGAAGGGAGATGGGGAGACAGCGGGTGTAATGCCAAACATTTCGGCGCCTGTGAGATGCGAGTCTCTCGACGCTTGTACTGCCTGCAAGCTGATGCTGACGGGCGCTTCACACCCCAGTGTCTGCTAAACCATGAGATCAAGAACCTGACGGCCGCGGGAGTAATTGGGTGTGGTCAGGCGTGCTGGGCGGAGCCTCGATGCCACTCCTTCAATCTCTGGCAGAAGGGTGATGACAAGAAAGTCTGTCAGCTCAACAACGCGTCTAGCATCGAGGCTGACCCAGCCTTTTTGAAGAAAGTCGAGAGCTGCAACTTTTTCGACCTTTAGAGAGAAAGTGTCTTTACCAATTTCGAACGGTGGAATCTGCTTTGACTCTGAAATTATTGTTATGAAATTAATGTTGTGAATATCGACGTAGAACTTTAACAAACATTCAGAACAGATCAGTTTTTAGAGCTACTTTCGGAGCATCTTGCAAGGCGAGATGCAGTGCATTGACTGATTCCTTGATGTCTTTTGACTCTTCAATTAGATGTGAACTTTAATCGTCATCGTGAACTTTTTGAAGCTTGTAGGCAAAACACCACTGGCGTATCTTGTAGAATCTGCTTTGACTCTCAAATGAATGTTTGGAAATTAATGTTGTGAAAATCGACGTAGAACTTAAACAGTCAAAACAGATCATTTTTAGAGCTATTTTAAGAACATCAAGGCGAGATGAAGTGGATTGACTGAACTCTTCAATTAACTGTGAACTTGAATCGTCCTCGTGTACTTTTTAAAGCTTGTCTTATGAAAAACATTACTAACATACTGTTGTAAAATGTGCTTTGACTCTCAAATGAATGTTTTGAAATTGATGTTGTAAATATCGACATTGAACTTGAACAAACAGTCAGAACAGGTCAGCTTTTAGTGCTACTTTCAGAATATCAAGGCGAGATGAAGTGTTTTGACTGATTCCTTGGTGTCTTTGAACTCTTCTATTAACTGTGAACGTTAATCGTCATCGTGCCCTTTGCTTTTAAAAGCAAGCTTGGTATTATTTTCTTCTGAGAAAGATTCAAAGTAACGGAAAAAACACGTCCCTATTCTTGTTAAGTTTCTGTTAACTACAGGTAACGAAAATATGAAAGTGTGATGGAAAACTACCAAGTTTGTAAAACATACTGGAAAACACGTGTGAGGAAGGACGCTTTCATCGTCTGCTATACGCATACGAACAACAAAGTGCAGAGACGTAGCAAGGTCATTTTTTTTGGGGGGGGGGGAGTTCGTGAAAAGGGCACTGGCACATTCGTGCTAAAATATCGACAGCCATTTTTCTCTCGATACTTGGCCTCCGTAAAAAAAAAAAAAAAGTGTTGGGGTGGGGGTACCGTCTTCCATCGCGGGCGCTGCTCAAACCGAACGATTGTGCACACTATCGGACAATAGATAGCGCTATGGTAATTACCCCCTCACCCAACCGCTGGCTACGTCTTTGAAGTAAATTGCTCACCCATTGTCGTGAAACACGTATACAAATAGACGCCACAGCCGATACATTTTGGTAATTTGCCAACAGAAATTATCGGATGCCTCAACTCCACGCCTTGGTTTTAACAATAAAAACAGGAAATTTAGGAACACACGTACACAATGAATTTTGCACTTGAATTGAACGAGAAGATTTGGAACTATAATTGAACTCGGTGGTCGCTTTGGCACGATCCGATAATAGAGAAATGCATAATTTAGATGACCGTATACTCTGCAGGATATTATTGTGGGTTATCTCGGCGGCTAATGGTTTACTTGGAATTATTGATGAAGGTGCCAAAAATAGATTTGTCTCTTAGAAACCGTTGGAAAACATACATCTTCATGTGCTAGAATTATGGCTCCTTCTGGCATAGTTGAGTGCTACGGCAAGCCTCTGAGAAAAAAAACAATCCAACAAATATTTTAAACATTATCACAGAAAACTTAAATGCTTGTCACAGTTTTCTTATGTCTTTTCTGTTTATTGTGTCCCCCTTTTTCTGTCATTAGCCAATAATAGGTATCCGTGGTAACTTGCAACTATCCAGGAATAGCTCAATATTTTAATGAAGAATTCATTGACCCTATGTGCATCAAATGCCACTGTTTTTCATTGCAAGATATCGGAGAAAGCGAAAAAATCTTATTTAGTGATGTGGCTTTGGTATCAGATTCAACTGTTGAGATCACTACATGCCCATTTAGGGACTAAATCTCTATAATTTGGCTTTTAAAAAATGTTGACATTTCGGCGTGCCATAGGGTGCATTTTTGTAACTTCGCAACGCGGTGTCAATTTACGCTGTGATGAGGCGATGCAAGGGGAAGTAGCCTCATTTTTGAGTCACTGAGAAAGCATCACTTGATCTCGACGATACATAATTTTTTATCGTCTGTGTTGCCTACTTCTAACAACGAAAGACCGAACGCACAACTTATTTCCAATCATGTTGGTATGTATTCTCACTCTGATTATAGGCTATGTCTGGGCAGACGGTGTGTCATTTCAACGCCCGCTGTCCGTCTGTCCTCCCGGCTGGTTGGCCTGGCAAGACGCCTGCTACATCTTGCTGCCAGACCGGGTGAATTGGTGGCAAGCTAAGACGGTTTGTGACCGGCCCGGGAGCAGCCTGGTCGTTCCTGACTCGCAGGAAGAACAGGACTTCATCTGGCGGGAAATGAGGTCTCGAATGGAGATGATTGTCGGCAGTTCAACAAACAAACTGGAACTGTGGATCGGCTGCAAAGATGTTGATAACACGGGCCAACTGACGTGCCTTGGCGTCCAAGATAGGCCTCAATTCACTAACTGGAACGGAGGAAATCCACATCATCATCAAGATCAAGATTGCATCAGAATGGCCGAAAAGTATGGAGGGAACTGGGGAGACAGTGGGTGTCAGTCCAAAAAATTTGCCTCCTGTGAGATGCGAGTCTCTCATCGCTCATACTGCCTGCAAGCTGATGCTGACGGGCGCTTCACACCCCAGTGCCTGCTCAACCATGAGATCAAGAACCTGACGGCTGCGGGAGTCATTGGGTGCGGTCAGGCGTGCTGGGCGGAGCCACGATGCCACTCCTTCAATCTCTGGCAGAAGGGTGATGACAAGAAAGTCTGTCAGCTCAACAACGCGTCTAGCATCGAGGCTGACCCGGCCTTTTTGAAGAAAGTCGAGAGCTGCAACGTTTTCGACCTTTAGAGAGAAAGTGTCTTTACCAATTTCGAACGGTAGAATCTGCTTTGACTCTGAAATTATTGTTTTGAAATTAATGTGGTGAATATCGACGTTGAACGTTAACTGTCGTTCAGAACAGATCAGTTTTAGAGCTACTTTCAGAACATCAAGGCGAGATGAAGTGCATTAACTGATTCTTTGATGTCTTTTAACCTTTGAATTCATTAGTTTGCCTATTCCTATTGTTTGAGAGCCCATCACGTGACTGTTCGTAAACGATGATAAAGACCGGCTGGCTTGTCTTTAACACTTTCCAGTGTCACCGTGAAATTTTGACTCCTTTGAAATCCGGTGCCTTTTACTAATCGTTTTATTGGTTAAACGTTCACATTAATGCACTGTAGGCATGCATGCGCAATACTACCAGAAGTAAGTCAGTATTTTACAGTCCTAAATTCACACTACACCGGCACAGCTGCGTTCTGCGCGACATCGCGCATAACGCGAGCACCAATCTCCATTTTTATAAGGACTTGTTTACAACAAGGACACTAGCTACTGGGGAGTTTCGAAAAACATGAAGTAACATCGTTGAAAAAATCGTTGGAAGTAAAAACAAACTTCTTTTTTGACCAAAAAGGCATGTTGCTGATAATTACCCGAGCCTTCGGCTCCGGTAAATCTTAGCATCCAGACTCCAACCAGTCTCAAACAAAGTGTTTAAAACCGGTCAAGCACACATTTACTCCATTATTAACTGTGAGCTTTAATCGTCATCGTGGACATTTGTTTTTTTACAAGCTTCTCTTTTGAAAAGCATCATTATAATGGATTTTAGTCTCGGATTCTAGCAGATCAATGTGACTGCTTACATTTTGAGTAGTTAATGTACAGTGTTGTTATTTTATCTGAGCAATTAAAAACATACCTCAGGTTATGAAAAAAAAATTATTGGGTCGGATCAAAATGTCGGCCTTTCCTGGACACAATATTCCGATTCCCAGGTCGAAGCACCAACCCCCCCCCCCCCAAACAAAAAAGTCGTTGCGATGATTATGAGGGTTGATCGCCAACAAATGTATAGAGGCTTTAGCAAATTTGGATCACCAATACCATTTTTAATTAGCGCCCGTGAGTCAAAATTGCTGACAATGCAGGTTTTTCAAAACATCAAAACACCTGCAAATTAGTCAGTAGGGGTCAAACTAGGTATGAACCCAATCAAGTCATTTAAATCAACACAATTTATGCTCTAAATCTGTAGGTGTACAGCATTATGTTATCGAAGGTTTCATGGAGTCATCAATTTATCAACACAATTCATCGAGTCGGCTATACGTGTATGTATACATGACTTGTGTACACTCATTTTCACGTGCAGAATTGACCTTTAAGATCAAACAAAGTCGAGTGGGAAAAAGTTCCCGTTTCTAGTCAGCGAGTGCCCAGTTTCAGACTCACCAGCTGTCGTTTTTATGTGTCAGTGCATGTTACACTCCCGGGTCAGACTTGACCCGGAAAAGGGTCATGTACGTGGGGCTTGACCCTTTTCCGGGTCAAAATGACACAATGGGTCACAATTACAATGTGTGACTCATTTTCCGGGTCATTTGACCCAGAAAAGTGTCCGTGTTGACCCGAAAAAGTGTCATTTTTGACCCGGAAAAGGGTCAGGCCCCACATGACCCTTTTCTGAGTCAAATCTGACCCGGGACTTTTTAGAGTGCCCCTTTGAAACAGCACTGCAAAATATCATTCGTTGCTGGATCGATCAGAACGCGTACGCTTTGTCAGTAGGGTGATTTTGGGTTCGTTTTGCAAGTGGCAAAAAATAATGAAGGAAACAAAAAAAGGAATAGAGGTTCGAAGCCATAATCCATATTGCTGTTAATTTAGTGGGGGGGGGAGGGGGGGGTCGGCCAAGTGATCCTGCCCACGCTCGGAATATAGTCAATTGAGAATATGTTGAAAAAAGTTTTTAAAAGTAATTGGGGAGGGGGGATGTGCTTTGCCCTTGCTCCCGGAAAAGAATCCTAGCGACGTCCATGACGAGGGAGTGTTGGGAAGTCAGGGGACCTTTATTTTTGCCTTGCCTGTTTTCTCGGGGGGGGGGGACCTCAACCGCAGACCCATTCTTTTCCATGGCCACTAAAATCTACGACATTGTCAGATCTATAGAGCGGGGGGGGGGGCAACCTTCAGCCTGTGACTACAGTTATACGAATATGGGGCCAAACATAATGAATGAAATGCTTAAGGTTCCTACTTTTGATCTCAAATGTCATTAGAATGCAGGAGCAATCATCATAGAATTCAACATTTTTCTGGGAGGGGGAATTCCCCCGGGGTCGGACTTGTACCCCTCTAGCAGGGCGTGGCTTGTCAACCTACTTTTTTTCTAAAAGCTAGGCCCGCCGGTGCCCCTTTATGGTTTCTATACAATGAGCTTGGGTCCCATAATATACGTAATAATACTGGATCTAAAACGAAAGTAAATATTGAAATCCGCGTCACGCCAACGTTTTAAGCGCTAGTGTACAGACCAGAAACTCAAAACCGTTTTTGTTTGTCATTGACGTCAATAAAGGTCAAAAAGGACAAACTACCATTAGCAAAGCGGGATAAATTACTGATGGACTCTTGCACCGCATGCGCCACAGAGACGACAAAAGCCAGAGTGCTATAACGCTTTCTGAAGTCGGCACATATTAGTCTTCAAATGTTGTAGACTTCTCCTCTTTTCTCAACAAGTGGCCAAGGCTTTCGTCGAGTGAACCTGCCCCGACATGCCGACCGTTAGCTTGCCCGACCGACCGTCCCCCTTCACGTTTGGCATTATCGTGGAGCTGATTTTTTTGTGCGGAACATTCATCACTGGCCTGGTTATAGCAGGTGCTGTCGGGGTGACGCAGGTAGGTGCAAGCCCTGGCCAGTATACCTGAGATATGATGACGCCACGCTTTGTTTGCATGTACGCTTTCTTATGGGAAGGGGTTTGGTGGCTCACGTACGACCCCATCTAATACTGACGCCCATAAACCGTAAATTCTAGCATTTAACTTTTGAACACACAATGATTTTGCAATATTTTATAAAAAAAACACGGTTTTTTTCCACCATAAACAGTCCTGAATTTTCTATCTTCACACCGTAGGGAGTTATAAGGGTTCAAGATGAATAATGCTTCGTTTTTAGCTTGAAACTCGACAACCGAATCCTGTAAGCATTACATTAAAGGGACACTACATCCTGGAATGCACCCATTTGTGTATTATGCCACACATACACAATGTGTACATTGAATGAACACGACTGGAAATACGTATGTGTATGACACAAACTCTCCGCCACGTCAGAATTAAACAACCGGGATTTTTCGTATTTTCTGGGGAACGGTAAGACATTAGGTTACTCTTTCAATCAGACCTTCGGAATAGGATAAGTGCACAATGTAAAACATAACATTTTTTTGAGATTTCAGGTCGTAATGCCCCTTTATAATTTTCTCCTCTGTCACTAGGCAAGATGGAACGGTAAATGCATACTATCAATGGGTGTGACATGTACAATGGGTACGGACCTGAAATGGCACTACTCGTTTACATCGGATGGCGGTCTGTGCCATTTCTGTCTCAATTTTCAAATCGCTTGCGTGCTGACGTCCTTCGTGTTCGCAATTTACAGGATTCTTGTGTTGTGCTACCGAAAATACAACATGTGAGTACTATTTCATGGCATTTTTTTTTTTGAGAAGAGCGTGAAGTACGTATTTTGTCGTATTTTCCTCGCACCAAAATGTCCACGAGTCACCGGAAAATAAATTTACATCTCCTACAGCCCAAACCTTCCAATGCAATACCAGGCAGGGCATCACGGCTAGCTAGTGGTAGCATGCATACAGTACGAACGCAATGGGGACGATTCGGTTAGGAATCTTTCCAACGAACAGAGCGAGGCTTGTGAGCCCATATAGGCGTAGCAGGTGGGGGGGGGGGGGGTATTTACTCGTTCAAATGCCCTTTTTCACCTTACCCCCGCGCTACCCCCCCCCCCCAATATTTGTAAAGAGTGCCCTTCTTTTGTGCCCTTTTTTCTTAACAAGTTCCCTTTACAAAAAAAATCGTGGCCTTTTTGTGTCAGCGGCCTGTTTTGTAACGTTATCGTGGGTTTTGAACAGCGCCCCTATCGCCAGATGGTTTTACAGAGGCAAAGTGTCCGGAGAAAAAAAAAACGTGTGTGCACTTCAGCACGGACTTGCACTTGCCGTTTTCAAGAAATGTTTTACCCCCTCCCCCCTTCGCCGCCAATAAATGTGACTTTGCTACGCACCTGGAGAATAGTTCGACGATAATTACTGTGTCTCCTGTTGTTGTTGTTTTTTTTTCTAGAGCTATCTTGCGCCTGGTTACAGCGGGCATTTTTACCGTGTACGCCCTCTTGGTCCTAGCGGAAGCCGCCATCATAACAATCGGTTTGAATGCCTTCTGCGATGGTCTCATGAATTCCTGCGGGGTATCCTTCGGTAAGACGTAAGTGTTATCTCTTTCTTCAGTCAGGGGTGTCAGAAGGAGGGGATTGTGACATCCCCGCCCCCCCCCCCCCAGTCTTCCTTGATGGCGAAATTGTCTCGCTGTCAGCAAAAGACGGCATTACAAACAACTCCATCTGGTGGCAGAGGTGTGATGCCCAGTCCCGCCCACTTTTCACAGCACCTCAAGTGTCCGATGATGAATGTCAAGCGATTTCATGAGTGTATGTCATAGCCGAGTGTGTTTGTTCCGAAGAGATGTGTAAACCACTTGCTTATGGAAAAAAACTTAAACCTCAAAGGAAACCGATTCAAAACACACTCCATACTGGACACCATTCGCGTATCTGGTAGGTTAGTGTGACGTCAGTTCAGTTTAAACCACGCCCACTGGCCACTCAGTAGCATTGGAACCACTAGAAACTAACGCAACTCGAGTGTGTATCCATTCGGCGCTAGTAATCAGTGGTGCGCGCGCGTCTATGACGTTTTTACTAACGAACCGGCCGGGATTTTATTGTGTAATTGTGTTTGCTATTCTGTAGGTGTCCTCAATATCAAACGTGGATTGATTGGATTTATGATGACGGCTCTTCCTTCTACTCCACCACGCTAGTAGCGGAGGTAAGCTAGCTTGGATCAATTTGCATGTTCAATGGAGTCAGTGAACGCCTTGATGGCGCCTTGTAATAACTTTCGAGAACAGACATATCCGGTTCCTAAGTGTGACGTCACTTCAGTTAAAACCACGCCCACTGCACATAATGAGTGCGTTCGATCACTTCCCCCACGCTTACTCGTGCAAGCCCGACAGCGTTCGATTTACCGTGAAATCTCTAGCGCTTACTCGAGCCTGGCCCACGTAACCGACTTGCTGAGCCGGTTACTTGGGTAAGTATCCCATAAAGCCATGCAATAAACATGGCTGCTTAACGTGACGTCCGGCGGGCGCCTCAGGCTGGCCGGCCGTGTCCGAAACGGGCTTCCAGAGCTACGGCTACGTCTATTGTCAGTGCGTCCCTGCGTATTTTCAATAAGCGCGGACCTGTAGTGCTAGCTCTAGACAGTTGATGCAGCCTCAGTTTCATGTCAAAGTTCAACTTTCCAGCTCTTGCACGAAACTTTACCCTAACCCGCTCGTTTATTTAGCTCCACTGCGCATGTCTGTCGTCACGCGAAGAGCCAGGCGCGAGTAAGCTGGGGGAAGTAATCGAACGCACTCTAAGTATAGCATTGGAACCGGTGTCACATGAAAATCGGACTCGTATGAAAATCGGACTCTTTTTCCCTTTTATTGGTTAAACCCTCTCACGTGACCGGTCCCTCTCCTAATTATCTGTTCATGAGCATGCGCAACCTAAATTCATGCTACACCGGAAGTACTGCCAAGTTGCATGTTAAGCCAATTGGCGCCAGTAATCGGTGGTGCGCGCGCAAGTATGACGAATCGCTAACAGGAACACACACAAACAATATGGGGACCGGTGTAGCATGAATTTAGTTTTATGAAATACGGACTCATTGGTGGTATTGCGCATGCTCGTGCACAGATAATTAGGAGAGGGTCCGGTCACGTGAGAGGGTTTAACCAATAAAAGGGAAAAAGAGTCCGATTTTCATACGAGTCCTATTTTCATATGACACCGGACCTATAGTTACCATTAAATTAAAGCCATTGATTGGATCACCTGTGCGCACCATTATGTTTCATTTAAAGAAAATGATGTCCGTAGCTTTGTGCATGGATGACACTTGAATTAACACATGGCTAAAAAAAATTACTCTTCCCATAAGCAGTAGGCAAAATCGCAAGTGTCTCCACGGAAGCAACTTTCGTAAATGTTCACAACTAATAATTGAGGCTCTCGACAGGAAACTGAGGCAGTTGAGGTTATATTTGCAACAACACCAAAGTGAAGCTCAAGTGCATGAGGTGTTAGGAAGTTGCCAGTTATCTATCACATGGTGTACTTGAAGCACATGGGGTGACAGTCGGCTTAACCCCAGGTGTTTGTTTTACCCAACGTTGACACTTCAAGTGCATCAACTTGTTCGATTCACGTGCATGACGTGGAGTCACTTTTTACAGTGAAGGAATACGGGGTTCATGGGCGTCGCCAGGATTTTTTCTAGAGGGGGGCAAAAAATTTTTTTGCCAAAAAATGCTTGTATTTCTCAACACATTCTCTATTTATCAGTTTTAAAGGGGGGCAGGGACATTTCCCCCCCCCCCAACTCATTAAATTTACACCACTTTGTCTTCGCGCCTCTTCTTCTTTTCTTTTCTTTTCTTTTTTTTTTCTTCCTTTTTTTTTTTTTTTTTTTTTTTTGCTTTTCCAGGGGGGGGCAAGTGCCCCCCCTTGCCCCCCCCTCGCGACGCCCATGACGGGGTTTAATTTGTTTTATTACCTTCGTCCAACCCCACAAAGTGGGACAAATGGACTCTAAACGCTGATGATGATGATGATGTTTATATTTATTCAATTCATACAGGTGGCAGCGTGGATTTCCTTTGTGTTCTGGGTCGCTCTGGCCGTCTGGAGCTTCGTTCTCTTCTTGAAAGCCAGACGAGCCAACCGTCAGATGGTGCTACCGCCAAGCAGCTTGACCACCCCCGCCGCTGCCGCTGCTCCCAGCACGGTCACTAATAAACCCGTGTAACCACGCCATCCCAGCAGTCTCGCACAGGCCACTTGCAGTGCAGCCGACCAGTGGACCTTTCTCACGAGAAAGCCATTTTGGTCGGGTTTCCTGAATGTATATTATTAATTGTCAACTGTTGAGAGGGATGGTGCCAGACTAATTAAACATTCTAGCCTCAGCTTCATTTTTGTGGCTTACAATGTAAAACATTAAGATAAAAATCACAAATTTATTATTCATTGGAACAGACAGGTATCATGGCATGTAATGAACTTGATGTCAGTACTTTCATTTCTTCTCGCAAGTTTCAAAAATGAAGAATTTACCTCACTTTAAATTCAATATTGCCGACTCGTGAATAAGGGCCATGATGATTATTTCACAGGCATATAAAAAAATGTAAAATTCACAGCTGAAGTTCTTGGACCATCTTTGACTTTCATTTTTTACGTAGATCAATGGGTAGTTTACAAACATATATTTTAAAGAAATATCTCTTGAACATTATTATAACTTCATCGTTTTTACTACAGTATTAAAAACTGAAGAATGTACATGTATATATTGTTCCAATTGCTTCGCTAGTGAAATCATTTTATATACGAATAACAGTTATATACTAATAATAGAAAGAGATCAGTCTTACGATCACGTTTGCACTTTTACTGCGTGGGTTTAATTATTTTTTATGAACATTTTAATGATCTTAATTGTTTATTCACCGCCACTTGTCAGCCTCCTCTGTTCATCTCCTGATTGTTTTTACAATAGAGGAACGTTATCATATAATATGATTACCTTCCCCTAAAATTTTCATTGTTAAATAACATTGTGATTATTGCAAATAAGTATGTTTTTCATGTGTACATAGCAACCTTATATATACAAACAAAATTTCACGAGGTTGGATAAGCGTATTGTTGAATGATCCATATTCAACAATATTCCGCTAAATGTTTATTGTTTAATAACATAGTGATTATTGCACATATAAATTCGCTTTCTCATGTATAGGTCTACATAGCAAACTTACAAACAAAATTTCACGTAAATAAGCGTATTGTTGAATGTTAATAAATGAAAATGTCCATGTCATAAGTTTTGCTTTTGTAAAAAAAAAATTACCAGGTTTATAATAAATTTGGCTTTTTTTCAACTCCCACCATTGAACGATTTCTTTTTTTCCCTGACTTGTGGCTCTAGAGGTTTCTAAACGAGAACGTTATCGTCAGTGTCGCGACCATGCTTAGTTGCAAAACAAACACAACATGTGGGTATGTTCATGTCATTATCTGCACTTGTTATCTTCAGGACAAAGATCATCAATAACAATGTTCAACTGTTTGTATACACCATTTTATAAGAGGTCGTATTGAATTTGTTACAGATTGAAACTATTGCATGACTAACTGCACTGCAAAAACTGTAATGTTAATTTAACGCCATTCGGTATCTATATATAGGACAACGCCAGTAAAATGTAACACCAGATGGTCCTATAATAATACCATGGAGCAAGGAAAACGGACACTGCAGTTTCTGCAGTGTTGCAGTGCCATTAACGTTACCATGGGTAATTAATGTGTAGAGCGGAACAACGTTGAGTCGATTTTGACACGTGTCATCCACTGAAACAATATACGAGGAAATCTAAGAAGTGTCCAACATAATTATATCAGTCGGCGTCCGAAATAGGGGGCGCTCTTCAAAACTGGCGATTAAGCAAACTACACCATAATGCCTGAGCCCATTTCTAGGGCGCATTGCAGTCGACTCTCATTATAAAGAACACTTGTATAAAGAGGTTCTGCTTATAAAGAGCAAATTCTGAGGTCCCAAATCTCAGGTTCTCTTTGTGTTTCTTTGTTTCGCTGTCCTTTTATAACAACATTCCTGTTATAAAGAGGTAACTTGGCTAGTCCCATCGACCTTGTTATAACGAGAGTCGATTGGGTTTGGGGGCTTGCTTTTCATATTTCTCGTGCATATCAAAACTCTCTGTACAATTTTAGGGGCACTTGGGTAAATCTGGGGGGCAAGTGCCCCCCCCCCCCCCGCCCGCCGGTTCCCGCGGCCGCCTCTATATTTGCCCACCCTTTTCCCAAGGGTACTGCTTTTGCAGTTTTGCTCCAGAGTCACATCTCGATCTACTTCGATAGATACGCTGCTGACGAAGGAATATTACCTGCGAGTAGAGGGTATGATATCTCTCAGTCGCTGGAAGACCCGGAAGGATCTTCCAGTCGGGCATCGGGTAAGACAGCGTCGATCGTGGCCCAGTACTGGTTGGAAAGTGAAATCAGATGGCTTTGCACTGGCTGAGGGCGTAGATTGTCTAAAACGATCTGCATGGCCGCGCTCTGGCGAGATCATCGCAGGGACAGCAGCGCTTGGTGAGCTCTGATACCGCCCTCATACCGACGGTAGCATATTATCATTACCACCGTCGCAAAGACGAACTGTAGAGCAGCTCATACTTCTTCGCCTATTTTGTAACTGCAAAGGAAAGCACTGCAATAAATGTGCGGACAAGATACGGCAGGTTCTTCGACACGATGATGGTGATGAGTAAATGAATCAGGTGTCCGTGATGGTTGCGAAAAAACAGCATTTCTGGCCTTTGTGAAGGAAATTTAGCACAGTATATATTGTGGGATATAATGACATCATTAATAATAATAACTTGACTTTATAAAGCGCCTTTGCCGAAGGATACAAAGCGTTGAAAACAAATCAACAGAATTGATAACAAATCAAATGAAAACAGATAGGCCTATGTTTTCAAGAGTCCCTCAAGTGTTCAAGTGAGGATGCATGCATTAATAAGGGAATAATTGTGTGCTCCGGAGGTTTTTATCACTCGTTTAATACCGCTTAGAGTCTGGGTGCTGATAATTACCCGAGCCGGAGGCGAGGGTAATTATTAGCACCCAGACTCTAAGCGGTATTAAACAGAGTGATAAATACCGACCGAGCACATATTTATTCCCATTCATAAATACCTTATCCGTAAAAAAATATCAAATAATTCGTTCAAAAAATCCCGATTTTGTTCAACAAGTTCACTTCATGCTATTTGAAACATCCCTCTAGCAAAATAATGGAGTGTTCAGCTGGCGAGTAAGATGTAAACAACCCTTTTATGGAGATTGACGCGCGCGTAACATGTTCTGCGCGATGTCACGCAGAACGCACCTGGCGCGTTGCGTTTTGAATTTAGAACTTTAAAATTCTGACTCGCTTGTAGTGTTGCGCATGCCTACGTGAGGATTGTGAACGTTCAACCAATGAAACGGTAAGAGGCACTGGATTTTTAGGAGTCCACATTTTATTGTGACACTAGAAAAGTGTTTAAGACCAGCTAGCCATGTCTTTATCATCCGTTTAAGACCGGCCACGTGACGGGCTCTCGACCAATAGGAATAGCTAAACTGTCTGAGGTATTTATGAATTCGAAATAAAGACCTCTCTACCGAGACACCTGAGCGTAAAAAATAAGACTTTTTATCCACTTCATGAAGAGTTTTAGATCTTTTACACTCTCCTGTTTTTGGACGGAATCATCCTGGACCAAAAGCGTTTCTTTCGAGTAATTAAGAAGGAGCTATAGAGGAACTTGAAGTAAACAGACGCAGCAGTCCAGCCGCTCACATTTTGTACACCAAACACGATGCAAACATTGATTGAAATACATGGTGAGTAAAAAAAAAACGAAACCCAAATGTCGGGACCATTGTTTTAGTGAAGTTTTGCATGTAGCACTTTCAAAATCTAGGATAAGCCCAATTCACTGATAAGCTGATATCATTTAATCACTTATGTACTTTTCAAGTTACGGCGTTTTAAACACACGTTTTAAGGTTCTGTCCACGCGGATCACAATAAAGTTCAGTGTTCTTTCAGTAAATTGAAAACGAATCACATAAGGATGTGTGTGCCCACCCGCGCGAACCTTTTGTAAACCGAATTAATTAAAATAATGTACACAGGTGTAATGAGTTTCTCTCCGTTTGGTGAATTCTGTTTTTAATGTTTTCTCGTGGGCGTTTCAATCAAATTGATCTTAGCATGAGTGGTCGTAAATCCACAGATTTGTTCAACATTTGAGACTAATTTTATTCCCATTGATGTTCTTCTTTAACTTTTAGGTCAAAATATTGCTTCGCTTTGGGGAAAACTCTTCTATTCCTTTTCATTACCGGTTCACTAGGCGCGCCTGTACGTGCGTTTATAAGCAACATTTGGAAATTCAGATGTATTGGTCTTATACCTACACTTTAGATTTGAATTTAATTTAAAACATAAATAATTCACCGCTCTCTGTATTAATAAGATGTTTTATTCAGCACCGCGCAGTTCATTGCATATACAACTAAAATATAATTCATAATTTATTTAAACCTGCAAACGTCAAACCGTACGCTACTGATTAATTCACATCCCAATATACAAGCACGAGCTAGTTCGAAGAAAGACATACAATACAGGTCATGATTGCGACAAATATAAACAGAATCCGGGGAAAATCAAGGAAAGTGAAGCCACGCCATGACCTTACGGGGTCAAGCGTTCCGCTCCGAGTACGTCCACACATGGCATTATGTACAGCATGTGTACCAGCCGCGGCTGACAGACGGAGATACGCATAATGGTTGTCAATAGCTTTATGTAAATGTACGTGTTGCACACAGACTGGGCGTGAGACCAGTGCCTGCGAAATCCTGCATCTCTGCAGTTGATGTGTCGATACACATGCACTTCCGCCATTTCAAGTTCATAGACCATCCAAGTTTGGAAATTTAGCGGGTTTAATCCGATCCTGTCTGCCGGCCGCGCCGTCAGATAAACCCGTTGCGAGTGCAGATAGGCGGATTTTTGTTGCGAAAGATTTCGTGATATCTCTGCAGTGATGGCTGCGATAACTACCATCGTCCACATCTTGGAAGTGGCCGTGCTTTTGGTGGCATTCGGCTGTTGCATGACGGCAGCCATAACCGTCGGGCTAACCTCGGTAAGTGTATGTTACTGTGAATTCAACTTTCAGTTTCGTTTCGAGTACACAAGCTTACATGTTCACCATGGCTAAAATCATTAACCGAATTGTACTCCATTTTCCCAAGGTCATACTCATTATCTGAAACCGAAAGGCACTGTATAAATACAACCGGTTATTTTCTGCTCGAATCTCTGGTGAGTCAGACATTGCGTTTGAAATGCTGTCTCTGGTCTCCCGCCCATATAGCGGACTTATCTTAAAATCAGGGCGCATGAAGAGATTTTAGATTCTGATCGATGTGGTATTGCAAATATGCGCCTTTCAAAATATTTTCCCTCCCTCCCCTCCCCTCCTCCCTCCCCCCTCCTCCCTCCCCCCCCCCCCCCCCCCCCCCCCCCCCCCGCCCCAGGTCTGATTTCGGGATTTGGTCACTTTTTCATGGCCCAGGGTGGGGATTTTGGTCACTCAAATTACATTGTTTGTTACCATTGGCGTATACTACATGATCATGGAAAGGCAATCACCAGTGCCGCGTATGTATGTCGGAGCATGGTCGGGGATTGTCACATAAATTTTGCCCGAGTGGTGGATCATATTTTGTCACTTCAAAAGTGACAATCTCCTTGTCATGGGTGGGGCAGCCCTGGGGGGGGGGGGGAACAGTTGATAGGCGCGTTACTCCACTTCCCTCGACATCGCATTATTTGAAGCCAAAATTTATTTCAAGCCAAGGATTGACACTTACGAAATTTGGCACATTGAGAGGAAGATCATTTTGTTCGTGTAAAATTTTTTTTGGGGAGGGATTAAAAATTCTTGTTTTGATTTAGTTAGATTTGTACATAATACAAGGATTAGGTTATATTTTCATTCCTTGTTAAAGTGATTTAGGAGTGTTTTATCAATGGTCAATACTGTGGGGAGAGTATAGTAAAAACATGTAATACAGCTAGGGCGAGTCAAAAAAAGCGGAACCCAAACCCAAAAAATATATTTCATATTTAAAAAAATATGTAGCACCAAAAATAATAATGACTGGAAAGCCAATTTCATAAGCTACTTTTAGATGAAAAAAATACTGAAATTGCTCAATCCGTTCAAAGAATATCACCATTTAAACGCTGACGACCCTAAAACCTTTCTCGTCCAAAAAAGCAATTTATTGTGTGTTTTGACTGTTTGGAACAACAAAGAAAATGACACAGAATACTTGTGTCAACAACTGTCACCACCTGTAGTGCACAATATCTTTATTAACAACCCCGGTTAGGCAAACAATATAATTTATTAAATCTACTTTTTTTTTAAAGACGGGCTTTCAAAAAGACTTTGTTGAATATTTAAACGTTTAAACTGAGATTTTATCGCTGGTGATGTTTAAAGACAACGGTGACGACGATTCTTGAAATCGCATTTTTTGGGACGACACATGTTTTAGGGCCATTGTGTTCAAATGGTGATATTCTCTGAACGGATTGACCAATTTCAGTAATTTTTTCATCTAAAAGTAGCTTATGAAATTGGCTTTCCAGTCATAATTATGTTTGGTGCTACATATTTTTTTAAACATGAAATATAATTTTTGGGGTTTGGGTTCCGCTTTTTTTGACTCACCCTGTACACGAAAATAGACTGGCACGTGAAACAACCAGTCCAACCCTTCTTTAGTACTGCATCAATCAGTTGTGTCAAAAGAAACAACTGGTAGCTGTAGTCTCTGTTAAACACTTCAATACTCATGCCACCAGACTACTGAAGGGTGTATTTTTCAACAAGTTGGACATGTACCAGTCTAGTCTTAGGCTTCAAATTGAAATCACTTGGCTTCACTGTCCGTTGCAAAATGTTGAAGAAAATTTCGCTCGTACCCGCCCCCTGGAAACAGGACGCTGGGATGCTCTGATGAATTCACGCTCTGATTGGTTGGATTTTGCGTCGGACCAGTGACCTGCGCGTCATCAATTAAGGTCATGACTCTGCAAGGTTTGAAACGGCCGTTAAGACTGATTCATTACTCTTTTATTCCAGTTAAGAAATGTTGTTCTCGTTGAAAAGCGTAATAATGTAGGAAATCCTGTAAAACTGATCTGTGTTGTAAATTTACAATTCCCGTCACTCGCTCAGGCTCCGTTTCGAATCACGAACGGTCGGATTGCATTATGCGACGCTCAAAATGTATCCACATAGTCCGCAATGAAAAAGAAATCACATCCGGTATGGAATGTGTGCATTTCTATACGAAGTTTTCTGATAGCATTTGCAATTGTCTAAGTGCGGTCTTGAAAAGCTGCAGCCAGACGCTTTATATATATAGGTCATTTCCTTCACAAGATTCTGTGAAGCTCATCAGTAGTCTGGTTCCCAGACCAAAAGATTCCGACTATTCCTGATGAATCTTAGGTCAGGTAGCCTCCGGTAATACAATGTATTACAATTTACATCACGTGACTAAAACGTGAGGAATTCCTCCTTTTTCCGAAAATGTCCGAAGTTTGCCGAATTCGTTTCGTCGACTATCGGATAGTGTCCGAGTATTTCCGAGTATAATATAGGTTTTATTAACTGCTAATTGCTTATTAAAAACTTTAAAAACTAGTTGATAATTAATATCCATTGCTTTTATTTAGAAAACTTGAAATTCAACGACGATTTTGCACTCGGATCGTATACGAGGGGCGAACTTTTTGCTGCGTCATGCACTAGTTTGAATTTGACGACCTTTACCGGCATTTCCCAAAACTCGGCGTGGTCTCAATTTGGCTCCGCTTGCTTACAGTGCTGTTTTGGGTGTCTAACTTTGAAGATTCCAGGTCAAAATTAGTCAATGTTTTCTTACAGAAGTATTTAACTGTATATCATAACTGTATGATATATGAAGCAAGTGATTTATTTTTAAAAAAATGATCGGAACATTAAAAGCTTTATGTGATAAAGCGAATTCGGAAACGAAGCCGAGCTTTGAAAAAGGGCCGTCAATGTCGTCATGTTTATTTTTAGCCACGGAGGCTGCCTGACCTACAATTTAGACGTGTAGACGTACGTCGGGGGAAATTGTCAGGTCGGGGAACCAGACTAGCTCATCAGCGTATCCAAGCGCCCTGTTTGCAATGCGGGGGGTACGAGTGAAAAGCAAAATCTCCTTTAAAAGTTGAATTCAGACCTCAAACTTGGCTAGTAAAATACTGAGGACCTAAATAACTGCTGAGCCATTTCCATGATGAAATTAATGAGGATGGCGGTGGGGGGGGGGGGGTAAATGCATGCTAATGCTTCTTAACTAAAAATATCAAAAAAAAAGTGAAGGATCAAAGAATTTGTGTACTTAAAAATTTGCCTTTTTGAAAGAGTGTTGAGTTCTACAGGTAATAATTTTTCCTGATATGCCTGCAGAACCAGCTCCAGATGTGCATTCTGAGCGCTTCAGTTGAAAACGTTGGGGACATTCATTTCACAGTGACGCCCTCTAGTGACTCACGTTGTCAATTCTGTGTGGTGACCGAAGTAATTGGTCTCCTGCTTGCGCTGGTGTTCATCGTCTATCGGATCCAAGTCCTCTGTCGCCGAAAGTGTGAAATGTAAGGACCACTTTCAAGTCTAATAGCAATTTCATTGTACGAGATTGGTAAACAAGAAGTAATCTTTACTTTACTAAAATTTTTAACTTCTGTACTGAGAACTACTTTAATTTCATGATTATTTTTATGGTTGCAACTGTGTCGAGGGCTTTTATGTACAAGTGTGCCCCTACCAAAAGTAGCTTCTGAGAGACTGTAGTTTTGGACATGGTAGTAAAGAGAAAGCTGTTTGTGAAGTTGTGGTAAGCGCCACCTTGTGGTCACTCGCAGAGAAGATTCGAAGAACTTTGTACTATGTTTTATTTTGTAGTAAATGTCTCTGGTACTTTGAAAAGCGCCCTCTTTCAACTATGACACATTCTGGTTGGTCATGTTAGACAATGGGGTCTGTGTTAGATTTTCCCCGAGTTTTATAGCAATTTAAATGTTTGTATCTTTTGACGTCTTTCCAGCCAGGTGTTTGGGCGGTTCATCGTCCTTATCGTTTTTGGATTGATGTTATTCTTCCTCTTCGTTGTCGCATGCCTTGTTACTGCCGGTATCAACACATTTTGCGGCAACTTACTGGCTCTTGAGGGGGGCGCCTGGCCTGAAACGTAAGCTAAATGTACCACCCTATTAGTTCATGTCATGAATATTACGCTGGAATTCTTTGCCGATACCCATTCCTCAAGTTGAAATTATTTTATGAAAAATGTATGCAACCTTTTGTTAAAATTCTTGAAAAGTGAACTTTCTCCCCACATTTTAAGATGTCCGTGATGTTTCGGACGACTGGGGACGCTGTTGCTGTGGTTTCATTTTGTAGAGGTTTAGGTGAGATGTGCAGATCTCGAGCCAAAACTTTAGGCTAGCTCATGGAAAACAACTGTGAAATAAAGGTCGCTCAATTGAGCACGGGGGAAATTAAACACCCATAAAATTCAGGTAACCTTTTTATTGTGAAGCAGCTGTATGAACGACTATAACACTGATGTTTCTGTATATAAATGACATTACGGTCTTGCTTCACACGTAGTACGGAAGATAGGTGATGGGATTGTGCCTTTGATGATACAAGCATGGCATTTGACACACAGTCAGAGTATGTCTTAAGGAAGATACATTTGGCTATTGGGCCATCGTAGATTTGTCCTTTGGAAAGATATCTTATATATAGGTAGAATTAATAAGCAATGGCAGCCATTTTGAAAATTTTGAAAATGTCTTGCTATTCTACCCATATTTTTTGCAAAAGCCAAATATCGTTCTGACTGTGTGCCAAAAGCCAAGCTTGCATCATCAAATGCCAAGCTTGCATCATCAAATGCCATGCTTGTATAATTCCCCCGAATATTTCTCACATCTCCCCCGCTAACGAAGTTGCACGAAGTTAAATACATTCCATGACATTGGCCAATAATAATTAAAACGTGTTCACCACACATGCAAACATTAGAACCTTTGTTGTCTGATGTTATACTGCGTGGAAAAACAATTGTAAACCAAATGTTTGTGAAAGCGTTGATCTAAAAAATGCAAGAATGTAGTTTCCCCGGTAATAAGTAAAATAAAAAGTTGTGCTATGGTGAGATGTGTTTTTTTTTTACCTGTGTATATATCTTAGATGTGCTGGGTTTCAAGAGATTACATGGACCACGCTCGCCACAGGGACGGAAGTCAACGGAGCCCATTTCTACGACTATCTGAAGGCAGCTGAGGTGCGGAGTGTTTCGTACATGAAGTTTGACATATACACTGTATTTCTACAAGAATAATTAAATAATACTCAAAACTGTCAGAGGAAAAACTTGGAATAATTTGAGTTTATTTGGTCCTGGTTCAGCTGGTATACACTGTTTATTTTCTTCATTTAGCAAGACTCTAGATCGTTCTTCGAACATGTTTGAAATGAACCGTGCCAGACAAAAAAATAGATGTATATTTCTTTTCATTTTTATGAAGTCCATTTTTTTGTGTATGTAGTCATTTTGTCTGCATTGTGTACGTGATCAGTCAATCGAACATTTTGTCAAGAGAGTTCATAAAGTGCATTCCTACTTTTTGCAACCGTTTAAATCTTGCTATTTTGGTTGGCAGGCCGCCTCTTGGATTGCCGTGTTGCTGTGGGTGACACTGGTGGCCATCTCGTTGGTAACCTGCTGCATGACCAGGAGGCAACACAAACAGCAGGCTCGGGCTTCGCACACTGCAGCAGCAGCTAAACCAGTTGTTACTTAAGTTACACACTTGTATTTCTTGATCACCGTGCCTTGAAAGGTTGAACCTATAATCATTTCGAAACCTGCCAATGAGTTCGGGCGATTCACAATGCAGTGCGCCACCAGGCGTCTGCTACGGAGATTTCATTCTTCCCAGTGCATTGTGGGTGACAATTAACGTCTCAAATATCGGTATGAAGGTAACAGTACATTTGACAAATTTGGGTCAGTTTGGGGGGAAAATAGTTTAGAGATAATTAATTAGATATGTCGCTATGACGACAGCAGTGCGGCCACAAAATAAAACATTATTTTGAGCAAAGCGGTCGATAGTTATGGCGTTTCAGCCGTCATTGCTTATTGTGATAATTATTTATGATATTCGGAGCCACAGGGATATTGGCTGTAAATAGCTGAATGACTGTTATAGTGGCATTCTACGGCGCTCACAATATAGTCACGATATTTTCTATTAGATAAATTATTAGTTGTGGCGTATCAATCACAAGTTGTTTGCTTATGTTTACGTATAGCTGTGTCATTGCACATTTTGAATGGTCTCTTAGTTAAGTGTTGATTATGTTGTTACATTTTACCGATGGTTTATAATTATGTTTTCTCTTTCTTCCAGAAAAAAAGTCTATGTTTTTGTTTAGAACTTGTCTTGGGAGCGTGACAAAAGGGAAAATCCCAATCGGTGACATCAAAATATGACACCTTTCCGTAACGTACTTAAAATCAAATAATGCGATCAAGATGGGTGACACAATGTGAAATTCCTCAAGGGAATTTGTAAAAAGAAGAAAGAAAAATAAGTGGAACTCTGCAAGCCCGGAAATGAATTTTACCTACACTAAAAATTTTGAATTTCTAAAGCCAAGGCATGAAAGAATATATAACCCTTTACAAAGCTTGTTACAGTACTATTGCTGTAATCTTTTCTTTTATTCATTTTTAAGCCGAATGATTACAGCGGCAATCAGTATGACCGTATCAATTTGATACTTTAATCACGTTTTTGTTGCTCTTGAAGATTTATGCACGTATATTTGCAGTTGAATTTTTGTATGTATAATGTTTTTATTATGTTGCTATTTTTACTGTTCAGATCAGTATCAATTACTATAATCATTTTTTGGTTGCTCTTGAAGATTTATGCATGTATATTCGTAGTTGAATTTGTATGTAGAATGTTTTTCAGCGATTATTTCGTAAGATGATAAGTTTACAATTTGCTTTTTTGGTTCCTTTATTTATCTACAGTACCAGTATAACTACTTTTGTACTATAGGGCTAAGCCAGTGAGTTCAAGCAGGGTGTTACAAGTAAGAGTACTGAGGGGCGTGGTCAGACGGATTTGCAGGAGGGGTTACCAAGTGACAATGCTAAACCAGGATGTTTTAGTCATAAAATGATTAACGTAAATTTGAAAAAAAGCGATGAGAACCAACAACGATCATGATTCGTTTCCAATCGACGAAACTTTAAATTAAGGGTCTGGAAAAAAAAAAGTAGGCCTATCCATCCAAATAATAGAAGAACTTTCAATTTCAGGCATGCAACTTTTCCCTCCGATCAGCTGATTTCCTCTTTTTTTTTTTACTTCCCATGTGTGCCATTGAAAATAGAAAAACACTGTACAAAGTCTTGAAAAGATGTGAATTTCCTCTTTTTTCGTGACTTTCCAGTTACATACCTGCAATTTACGTTGCTTTGAAACTTGATAAAGCTGTTATATACCCCGATTTACATTGCAATAAACAATCTGAAATGTTTATTTCGTGGAAGTATAGTGGTTTTACATGTATTTCAAATGAAATGACACTGGAAAGACTGGTCTCCAACTTCAATGCGACAAAACTAGTGCGGGCAAAAGTCACTATACATCTTTTTCATTTTGTTTTGAGTCGTTACTTATCGCAAATATTTCGGAGACCTTCCGAACGGCAATGTCCTCAACGTTAACACCAACTTGAAGACAAAAAAAATTGTTACAGATTATAGTGTGAAATTTTTACACAGACCTCTCCTTTACCCCTCCAACTTGCCAGCCCTCCCAGATAGCAGTTCCTTGGGGTTGTTTTATTCCTCGTCCTTATTTGCAAGAACTGTCTCGGCATCTCAGTTCAACTTTTGTAAAACTCTTTGTATAATATAAACTTTTCAACCGAAACTTTCGTTAAGAAACCTCAAAACATTTCGTATTAATCGGGCAGATCGGTGCACAATATATGATGGAATTGCAAAAGCATGAAGTTTTGGCACACAGCCAGAGTATGTCATGGAAAAGATATTTGGCTGTAGGGCCATCGCAGTTTTGTCCTTAAAAAAAATCATAGAATAACGTACAATGGCCGCCATTTTGAAAAATTTAAAAATTGCTTGTAAGGCCAAAAAAAAAATAAGTCGGTCTCTGGTCAGCGCGCGCGTCGATTTTAATCATGCGCGTCAATCTTTTTTTTTTCCAAAATGTTCCGCGGTAGCTCGAACAGCGCCCTCTATTGCCGCACCTCCTCAATTTTTTTTTTACCAAAGAGCACCAAGGAATGGGAAATTGCGCCAAGGCAAAATGATCGAAAGCACCAAGGCAATTATGGAGGACACCAATGTACATGAGGACACCAAAAAAGCAAAATAGTACCCCACCTTGTCTGTACAATCCAAGCTTGCAGAAAAAAAAAAAGCAAAAAAAAAAAAAAAAAAGCCGCGGGGCCGCTTCAATTGCGGAACTTTGGTCTGACCAGAGACCAACTATTTTTTTTTTTGGCCTTATCCTATGATTTTTTTATTCAGAGGACAAAACTGCGATGGCCCTTTAGCCAAATATCTTTCCCATGACATACTCTGACTCTGGGCCAAATGTCACGCTCTTATCATCAAACTGAACAATCTTGTCACCAATCTTGTGTCCTTTTTGACGCAGCACCTTATTAAGAAACCTAAAAGCCGGACCCTACAAAAGATCGACCTCGAGGTGGGGGGGGGGGGGCTGCCGGAAATTGACGAGTTCCCTCCCTGGGTTCAAGGCATTGCACGTGGAGCCGCGCCGAGTCACGCGGCGGGATGTGAGTCACACACATCAATTGCAAATGGGACACGATGGCTTGCACCACGCATTAAAGTTACATCCTTCTAATTCCTTAAGTTTGTGAACAAGGAACCGAATACGTCAATATCGGGAAATCGTTTATGGGGAATCGAGTTTATTTTACCTCACTATGACGTTTTCATTCGGGGAACAGAAACACGCACACGTGCGCAGAAGAAGAAACGAGCAGCCCTTTAGGAAACAAAAGCATTTGATACAAAATCTTGCTCAGGAACACGCCATACCTTCTTGGAATCGACCTTTTAGTTTTTTTTTTCCTTATCCTTTCGGTATCGACTCCTGTGCCATTATCAAAACCCACAAATATACAGCGTCTTCGTGTGTGACTTTTGACTCGGTTACTCAACACTCGTCATACGATATTCTTGCGTATCATACAATCCCACCCATTATTTTATATTCAAGACGGGAGGAGCAAGTTCCACAAATCTTGAATGCAGCATCACAAGTTGTCTCGCAACTTGTAATTCTTTTCTTGGGATTTAAGGAGGGAACCTCGAGGAGTGGTCCAAGATGGCCCTCTTGTATTACGTCCTGTCCTTCTTAGAGGTAGCGCTGCTGATTATGTCTGTGTCATCTGGAATCGTTGTCTCAGTTCTTGTACGTCGGCAACTTGTAAGTTGTTCTTATTTCGTTTCCACACAGTTATCGTGTTGTTACTCCCTTTGTCCCGGTAACTATTATTCTCAGTATGCATTTCAGTTAAAAGTTAAGATGATTGCACACTTCTAATATGTTGGACGCAGAATAGGCCTAAAGTAATTCCATAACAAGGAAATGTGTCCTCAATCAGGAATTTTTGTTGGGGGAGGGAATTTTTTTTTTTGGGGGGGGGACGATTATCAAATCATTCAAACTTTAAGGTACCGGTAGTGTAGACCATTAATTTTGTAATTTGTGCAATTTTTTTTCAACAAAAGTGTTCAAAATCTGAAGACGGATGCTTAATAACGAAACTGATGAAGCTCTGTGAATGCTGTACATTTCGAGAAAACAACAAACATAAACACAATATTCTTGATCTCGATTTCCATTCCAAAGTTGCTTAGTCATAATTATTTTGAATTGGCCCTGTCGTATCACAATACTTTCATTCGGGGCATGATTCTCATTCAGCCAGCTGTCACCCATTCACGAATTAGACCCAATTGCAAACCAACTGCTAGAATTAACGCATGGGGCGAATTCACGGAAATTTTCAAAAATGTGTCACTCGACACATCTTTGGAAATGGACGTTCCTTTGTTGTTTTATTCAAAGTGACAGCATGCCAGAAGGAAAAATTTCACAGGGAGTTTAGTATCATTACTATCTTTAAACCAAGTACGTTTGTTTTTCACAATAATTCGGTCGGTTACGTTTTGGATAGCTGCAAATTGTCTACTCTATACCTTTAAGTCTTTAACAACGTTATCACGGAGTAGCAAATACTTCACTTCGTGCAACATTAACAGCGAATTTCCTGAAGGTATCTTCGAAGAATTGAACGCAAAGAGTGTGCCATTCTTGCGATCCTCAAATAGGCCCAAACAACAGCATTGTTTCGACGGAAAACTCTAATTTCCTCTAAATGATTAGAAAGTCCCGGCCCATTTACAGCGCTGATGAGCGTTGGCAAGTTTCACACTCTGTGACTGAGTAATCGTCTACAATTCTACAGAACTTCGCATTTTTTTCTTGTAGAACTTGAAATACTATTCGATCTATACACAGACAGAAAGTTAAAAGCTTGGAATGATGAATTTCGTACCACGAACATATAGACATATAGGCATATTGACATCAATAATAATATTGCTCGATGGATTCCAATTCGAAATATTTAGGGACCTTTGTCTTCTCTCTTTGTCCACGCATTAGCCTAAAAGATGAAATGTTTGGATTTTAACGTTTGCGATTTTTTTTTATATTGAACTCTTGATGTTTCTATTTGTTACCAAGAAATGGTCCTCTAGATCTTTACTTAAACAAAACTTGTTCTGAGTTTGGCTTTATGATGGCAGAGAGAACCACTGAAGTGTAAGACGTTTGAATTGACAATTAAGAAATGCTGCTGCTAATCCGTGACGGGGTCTACCCGATGTTCCCCAACACCGATGTTCCCCGAAATCCTTAGGATTAGGGTTAGGGTTAGGGTTAGGGTTATAGGGTAAGGATTTCGGGGAACATCGGTATTGGGAAACATAGGTATTCACCCATTGGTGACCATAATATCAAAACTGTGCGTAGGCCTATGCCTAAACTAACAAGATGAGTCACCGTTGTGTTAGATATAGATCAAAGTTGTCCGCTTGTGGCGATCCTTCTTCTATACTGATTGACTCATACGACCCAATGTTTGGCTTGGCGTAACAAGGGTACAATTTACTATAGGTTGTAGGTTCATGGGATTGTTGGAGATTAGTTTCGGTAGAGTAAATAGGGCATTTTAACTATACAATTTAGCAATAAAATCCAGGCATGACTGAAGATGAAATCAAATTAACTTTTCCTAAATACCGAAGTTTTGGTGAAAACTAAATATTCATTGGCTCTCCGAAGTGTTCCAATTTTTTTTTTCAATAAATGAGACTTTGAACAGGACAGGAAGCCAAAGCATTCTTAATTCAATTATATTTCAGACAATAAACATTTAATTGGTCTGCTCAGTAGAGTTGAAGGGTAGGGTGCGGCGTGGCAGATGGCAACGGGTTGGAGAGGTTAAAAGCAAAATCGGGACGCTGATAGAAGCAAAATCGGGACGGCGTAATGCATTTAACGGGACGCAAAATTCTATTTAACAACGGGTAAACAAAACCCTGATTACGCGCATGGGCCTATACTTTTGCCTTAATCTTGGCATTCGTCAATCGTCGATTCACCGTTGAGAGATGCATGCCCACTCCTACACTGCAAAAACTGTGGTGTCAATCTAACACCATTCGGTACCTATATAGGACAACACTAGTGAAATTTAACACCAGATGGTCCTATATAGATACCACTGGTGTAAATTTAACACTGCAGTTTTTGCAGTGTAGCTACTGTGTTTTGAATAAACTTCTAAACTTGTGCAAGAGTGAGTCACTCTGCTCCCGTTCTCTTTATAGGAAGCGTTCGCCGGGGAATGCGTGCTGGCCGGCCAGGTCATCTGGTACTCCCACACCCACTTTGAGCTGAGCCCCAGCGACGTGCCACGGTGCACCTACATCATCGCCGTACAGGCCGTGGCTGCAGCTGTTGCCTTCACCTACGGCTTATACAGAGTCATTGCGATGTGCAGTGAACGTTTGGACTTGTAAGTACCTGGATAAAATGGCCTATGAACTAATCGATGTTTCTTTCATATTAAAGAAATGATCTCAACATATCAGTGTTCTTTAGGCCTATGGGCAACCCGATTGCCTTGATACTCGAGCCCCAGACCATTTTAAAACTTCAGCATCATACACAAATAGAAAAACACCTGAAAGCCTCCTTAATTGCCCTGTATCGTACAATGAAGCAACACTTCCTCCGATAAAAGATCTCACGTCCAATATATTAATGGGGTTTGAAGATTGTTCATAGTACAGAGTCGAGTAGCAGACAACTTGACAGACCTTCAGCAGCCGTGAAGAGAGACAAGTCAACAAACAGACAAACAAACAAACAAACGCAAGACTGGTGCTTCTTTAAAAGAACTAGTGGTGTTACTCATAGCAGCTCTGGTTCTATTTGGAAGTAGCGCATTTGGCTCTACACTGACTTGTTTTCTTAAGCACAGTGCATATTAACTCGATCTTCGTTAAAACTATACATAGTGGGCAAGCGTGCTCTAGCGGTGGAGCACAGGATTCACGATCGTGAGGTTGTGGGTTCGAGCCCCGCCGTGCTCATGCGCGCTGTGCCCTTAAGCAAGGCGCTTTACCTCAATTACTCTACCCGACCCAGGTGTCAAATGGGTACCGACATTATTCAATGCTGGAAAGGTGACAGACTCGCTGTGGAGGAGGTGTGGCGATCCCCTACAACCGCATTTCATGGACTCGAGCCTGGCACAATCGCTTCGAAAGAGGCACTCCGTTCCTGCATGTGAACACAGGATCGTCCACCTACTTACATAATATCTGACCTAAACCGGCTATTCTTGTGTCTTTGGTTATCCAGCCCTGTAATGCGAGTGATATGCATCCCCGTGTACAGTATCATGACGGTCCTGACCCTGGCAGAGGCTGCCATTTTGTCGCATGGACTCAATGAAATATGCGGGGGCTTCCAGGGTCTGAACGTCGTAACCACCAACTACGAGTAAGTATACATTGTAAATAGTATCATTGTGACAGATTACAGTAAAGTATACATTGTATACCATTGTATACCAAACTCCATCATAACTGGTTGTTTAACTATAGAGCTTGACAAGGACTTCGTACTTTTTAGAATGCATGATTCACATTGCGAAGGAGGACGATTCAACAATGATATTAACAAGATGCAAGGTCAAACGTTCACAATGCGAAGGTACATGGTTCATATTGCGAAGAAGCAAGGTGCAACGTTGACATCAAGCATGATCAATGGTGTACATTGACATGATCGAACGTGATCATTAACAAGTTGGAACATTCACATTAAGAAGGAACAACTTCCACAATGCAATATTAAGCTACGTACAACGTGCATATTGCGAAGGTACAACGTCAATATTAACAAGTTACAAGGTTCATATTAACTTAGGTCAATATTAAAATGTCGTTCCAGGGCCACCGTAGATAACAGTGAAGATAGTTCACCGAAATCATCCACAGGGTGTCTCTCCAAACAAGTTGTTCAAGCAGATATCATTTAACCTCTAAAAACTACTTAACATGAGTATCATCTTGATGGAGCGTATTAAATTAAATGTACTGTTGTGTACAATCAGTGAAACTGCCGTGGAAATCCGTTCACGCAAACCAGAGATCTAACAGATTGTAAAAGGCTATTGGGTTTTCACCCATCCCAATGGGATTTAAAAAGCAAGTTAGTGATATCAGTGCATCAGATTGTCATGGGCCTTTTCACTCTGATGTAAATTAAGTTAACAGTGTTTAAATCCCATGGGTGGCCCATAGCCTTTTATAAACAGTTAGATCTCTGGTTTGCATCAACATAATTAATATGCTCCATCAAGATGAAATACTCATGTTAAGTAGTTGTGGAGATCTATTAAAGAATATTTGCTTGCACAACTTTCTGGGAACACTCAGTTATAGGTTTAAGTCATGGCGCTATATTGGTTGGCCACAACGTATACACTGTATAAGTCTGTTTAGCTTTTTTTTTATCCGTTTCATGTCTGTTACTGCGGTTCAATTATAGCGGCGGTCATATGGGAAGGCTTATAAAATTGAATCACCCCAAGTTTACGGTGATGGGCACGTGTGCTTTCCAATCAACGTATTGATATTACAAGGCTTATGTATTAAATGATTGTATTTTTGTCTGCATTTTTTGTTTGTGTTTGTAAGGTGTGCCACGTTTCAGCTAGTCGACTGGCATATCTACGACGGCGGCGGTTTCTACGATGATTACTCAAAAGCCGAGGTAGAAATATTTAACAAGCAAAGCTTTTGACAAACTGCATTTAATTTTCAATTCTGTTGTTCCTATCATTACTTTAGAGGGAAAAAATGACCAATTTGTGCAAATGCGATCTATTTTTATTTGATCCAGCAATCGATCTATTGATCGGTGGTTAATCGAACACCTTCCACTGAATAAATATAAGTGAATACTATACCGGCTGAGAAAAAAATACGAAACCCAAATGGCAGGACCAATTTTTGAATGAAGTTTTGCATGTAACGCTTTCAAATCTAGGATATATGATAGCCCATTCATTAGGCTTTCTTTTAGTACAAAAATCATTCAAAACACTCATGTACTTTTCAAGTTACGGCATTTTGAATTATTCTTGCAGCAAAACGAAAACAATGCTCATAGGATGCAAATGAATTGTTTTCGGTACCTTTCTTAATGATCCGTGGACAGAACTTTAAAACGATGTTTACGTTCAAAATTCTGTAACTTGAAAAGTGCGTAGGGATTTGATTGATTCTTGTACTAAATGAAAGCTCATCGATGACTGGGCTTTCATATCCTAGATTTTGAGAGTGCTACAGGCAAAACCTCAATCAAAAATTGGTCATGCCATTTGGGTTTTTTTATTTTTTGTATTAATTGCACCATCAATTTAGTTTGTTGGTCGGTCGGTTGGTCGATAAATTTCACAAATCAATGGTTATGTTTCAATATGTCCGTCCGTCAATCCATGCAATAAAAAGTGACCAATATCCATTTGATCAATCCAATAACTGTTTCAATAATGTCTCCTCCAATCCGCAGATATCTGGTTGGATATCGTTTGTGGCCTGGGTGTCCCTCGTCGCCATTGGCGTGCTTCACTGTTTATCCGATAGACCAGACAATGCGTTCCCCTCGCCCAACAATGCAAAGTAAAGTCGCGGGAGCCGAGAGCGTCAACAGCTGTAATACATTCGTGCCGGTGTCACGGTCTTACTTCTCCGGCGTGCTAGCTTCTCCGGGTGAATGCGGCGGATAATTGAGCACGTTACAGTGCACGTTACATGAGCACGATACATGCTCATGTGTCCGCTGTGCTTACTTTTCCTTGGGCTGTGTTCTGAAGTAAGTCCATTACAAGAATGTGTTATGTAACACTTCCTGTCGGTCCTACTAAAGCGCGTCAACAAGCGTCAACAAGCGTCAACAAGTCTTAGTAATCGTTAAGTGCGCGTCAACAAATTTTGTATAGGCCTTTGAACAATAAAAACAGCTTTATATGGTAGAAAAAGCAATAATGAACATCTTCTGCATATCAATTAAAGTTAAAATTATTTTAAAACTTGGTTTTCTTAACGCGATATGTACGACGAATTTGTCGATAAAAGTTGGCCGCCATCTTGTTTATGTGTAGCTAGCCGTACTACGCATGCGTGAAGTGTAAAGAGCCATACTACGCATGCGCGAAGTCTACAGCGCCATCCAAACAAGATGGCGGCCTACTTTTATCGACAAATTCTTCGTACATTTCGCGTTAAAAAAACCAAGTTTTAAAATAATTTTAACTTTAATTGATATGCAGAAGATGTTCATTATTGCTTTTTCTACCATATAAAGCTGTTTTTATTGTTCAAAGGCCTATACAAAATTTGTTGACGCGCACTTAACGACTACTAAAACTTGTTGACGCTTGTTGACGCTTGTTGACGCTTGTTGACGCGCTTTAGTAGGACCCCTTCCTGTGGGTAAAGTCATTCCATGGTCATGCAAGCATTCTGATTTGTGTTCCCAGCGTCATGCATGTGTCATTGTGTGTGTGTGTGTGTTCATGGAGGAATAATTAAGAACGAAGCTCCTTGGTCCGTGTTCCTTGCTCGTTCATGGTCCATTTTGTCTTTATTATTGCAACCATGGCTTAAAATAAATGTGCATTTCAAGTGTTTTTTTGTTAATGGGGGTTAATAGTGCGTGGCACGAAAATTCTGGATTGGACTGGTACCCTGTAACCATTCATACAAATAAGATCTTACGTGTACAAGTACAACCCTGAAGAACTCACCACACTAATACAGTGACGAAAATGTACACTACTGCGCAATTTTGTGCATGCGTGTTGAAGCGAAATTTCCCTTTTGGAGAAGCTAGCACGCCGGAGAAGTGAGACCGTGACACCTGTGTAGCATGAATTTAGGTTTTATGAAATACGGACTCATTGGTGATATTGCGCATGCTCATGCATAGATAATTAGGAGGGGGGCCGGTCACGTGAGAGGGTTTAACCAATAAAAGGGAAAAAGAGTCCGATTTTCATACGAGTCTGATTTTCATGACTGTGACCCCGTAACAATACGCCACCACTCGAATTTCTATTAATACCAAGAAGGGTTTACTAGCCAACGGTCCTTTTTGGGTTCGTCAGTATTTAATTACCACAGTTTTGAGCAACCAAGAAGGCATTAAAATTATTCTTTACTTTTTAAAATGTAAGAACATTGTTATTCTTGATATGATAACCGATTGTGACCTTGTTTAAGGGAACCACAGTGGATCAAAAGGAAGCCTTTTATCAAAGTGGCGTTTAGTGGCTCCAAACTATCATTTGTTTTGGCAGCTTTTGAGAGCCTTGTCGTTAATTTTTTTTATTTGAATTATATTTTAAAAAATGCAATTCTGAAAGTCCTACACAAGCGTCGATTACAACGAATCGATTCGATACTATGCTTTCGAATCGATTCGTCAGGGTTTGACTTTAGCGGTAGCCCGCTAGCCCAAAAAATCCTAGTAAAAACAGCGGAGGGCTAGTCAAACTATTCCTACTGTAGCCCGGCTGGCGAGTCAAAAATTAATGGGATACGGCAAAGATGAAAATAAATTCAGAGAGCAAACCTGTATCAATATTATTTGTGTCTAATTTCATTAACTGTTTAGGGTTAAATCATGAAATGTGGTTTTTTTTTAAACACTGACAAGATTTTACATTTAGGCCCTATAATGCTCATATATAGTTATAGTTATATATATAGTTTATGAGACACTCTATGCAGGTTAGTGAAAATGCGGCTAGTTAAGAGGTCTGTTTAAGTAGCCCGGCTGGCTGGTGATGCTAAGGTCGAACCCTGGATTCGTTGATAAACCCAATATATCTGGCGTTTCTACATCTTAATGTCTGGTATTTGTGTTTTTTTTTCTGGCTTAGCTTGAGATCCACAATTTTTCTCGAATCATTAGGCCGCGCAATGACGGATATTGGATGTTCGTAAAACAAAAATGTTGGGTGCTTCTGTTAAGGTTTATTTTGTAAAACAAAGCGTTTTCTATAAATTATCCTGATAAGCGTACGCCATTCTTTTCGATCATTTTCAATGAAGCGGTCATTGTTTTACCCCATTCTGTCATCCCCTAAAACTAAAATTAATATCAAAATATAATGCCAGACACAACAGCGAGGGATGTTGAATTATAAACAGAAAAAAGGGAGCGGCCTGTAAATTTCTTCAATGTAGAACATGTAACCTAGAAAAATAGCAACTAATTACCATATTTTTGGGGGAAGTATTGGAACAATTTTTTTTGGGGGGGGGGGAGGGGGGAAGTATAGTACACTTATTATTAATGTTATTCAATAAACGTTTATAATTATATACAGTTTATATAATGTTAATACAAATGTACGGATTTAACCATGCATGCCATAATAAATTGCCATCATGTGTGGAAAGACTTAACCCGATTAAAGGAGATTTTAGATCAGAAGAAGTGTCATATTGACTCGGTATGGTGTTATTTTGATCCGGAAAGGTGTCATATGCAGTTTGACCCGGAGAAGATGTCATTATGACCCGGAAAGGATGCCAACTTAACGCGGAAAGGTATCATTTTGACCCCGACAAATGTCGTTCTGACCCGGAATAGATGTCATTTTGACCCGGAAAAAGTTTCATTGTGACCCAGAAAAGTGTCGAATTTTATGTACATAATATGTAGCGGCAAGCGGCAAGGGCAAGCCTGATGCTGTGGTAAAGGGCGCCCTCTAAAATGTACATGTATCCCCAAAAACTGTACAGAGATTCGCAACTGATGTGGAGTCGGACGCGCAAGAAAAGTAACTTCATACAAAGTTTAGCACAAGTTGAAAGGTTTGTCCAAATCTTTAAAAGTAATTTTATCAGTGTTGCTAAGCGTATGCATATAGTTAGTGCACATATGTAGTGAATAATTCAGACTATGTATGTGAAAATAGGCTAGCTAATACAAATTTGTCCTGCCCAGTTCCCGGACAATACAATATGAACAGGGAATGGATATGCATGGCAATGCATGGTGAACATGGACTCATGGTGTCCCATGGTGAATGATGTATTTACACCTGTCACCGTCATATGCCTGTATTTACCTGAATTTACATGTGTCCTCCACCTCAACAAGTATCTTCACCAGGATGTGGAGGGGGACGGAGCGGGGCGAAATTCGAGCGGGGAGCCAGCTACATCTGTCATTGTCTGTATAAAACATGCTGTCTCAAACATGTCAAACATGTCAAATGCTCTCTAGCTCCTGGCCTGATGAACAAGGGAACATTAAACTGTGAAGCGTCTTGAGATTGTTGATATGATGAAAAGCGCTCTATAAGGCGAAGTAAAAAAAAAAACATGTTTAGCGTCCCCGCCCGCTTCCTTTTTAGAGGCCGCCTCCTTTTTTTTTTTTTTTTAAAGACAAAAATTGATAAATTTTAACGATCTCTGACGAAAGATATAATATTTTTAGACTTTTATACCATGTATAAAGCTGTGGGAATAGTCAATGAGTCCAAGTGGCGGCCATTTTGAAAAAAGCTGGTAACCATCTTGAAAAATAGTGTTGTCTTGAAAAATGTGTTGGGCGGCCATTTTGAAAAAAAAAAAAAAAAAAAAAAGGGCCTCCTCCTTCCTTTTTGTCAAAGAGGCAGGACGCTAAACATGTTTTTTTTTTTATTTTGCCTAAGCATTTACAATTTAGTTTATTTTTATATTATTTGTTTGGATTTAATTTGTTAAACTAGAGGTTGTAGGAACAACCACACGGTGTTGGGCCATCATGTTTGAAGCGATGACCGCAAACTTCGCCACAAACATCAACTCAAAATGCATGTTTGACTTTTTCAACATGCCGCCAGAGGGCGCGCTAACATTTGATGACGTCACCTGTAATTTTTTTGTACAGCACTGCCTAGGTAGAAGGCCCAACACCTAACTATGGAATAATAGACAATTAATGCATTACGCTTGAATATTGAAGGCAGTGTATATTTTGCCGGAGACGGCAAACCTTTGGTAAACGTTAGTTTGCCGGATATGCACTGAACATGCGCAGTTACTGTTTTTTGGTACTTAAACATTTTCCGGTGACAAGTTTTAGTCTGGCTCCATGCCAAAATTATCGTTGTACCTCATATTCACAAGATGGGATTCAGACCATTTTATAATTTGGGACTTTATTTCCCTTTTAAAAAAATTCCTCCAGAGCCACAAATCTGAAAAAGAAAATGTAATACTCTGCAAAAAATGTTTGAGACATGTTAAAATAATAAAAGAAGAATATTCTTATTTATTTGGGGATGAGAAAAAAAACCTTAAAAATGTGGCGCGGTCGGAATCGAACGCGGTCGGAGTCGTCCCGCTTACTAGAGCCTTTGCTTAACCACTACACCAAACGTGCTACACAACTTTTGGTGGGAATTTAATACATCTTATAATTCAGCCCTATTTTAAAGAGTACAGCGCCCTCTGTTGATATGGATTGCCGCCGGCAAACCTTTAGTAATCGTTAGTTTGCCGTCATTACCTCCGGCAAAATATCCACTATCAATATTGAACTGTTTTGTTTCTTGTTTCAGCTCTTGCGATGGCTTTGTGATGAAAACATATTCATGTACACGTATGTACATGTAGGTTGACAAAGTCTTGACCTGCACTGTGGCAACAAGATAGGCTCTGGCTACCCCTGTGCGTGGTCCTTTGCTCGTCCGTTGCACCAATGTGTGCGTACAACGTAGGGCCTTAGACAACAGCCCTATATGTTCCGCAAGAAGAAAAAAGAGCGCTCGGACCCCAAAGAGGCAGCCATCGCAGCGGCATTGGAAGCGGCCATCGATACGGAACATCCACCGCGACGACAGGGAAGTCGCGAGTCCGCAGTGCAGACGTCACATCGCGGTATACCGGTCGGCAACAGTCAGTCTGCGAACAATAAGTCTCAGGTAGGGTGTCCTGTAGGTTGAAAATTAGGAATTTCAGACAACTCGACCGTTGAGACAACTCGACTCGAGACAGCTCGACCGTTGAGACAACTCGACCGTTGAGACAACTCGATTGTTGATGAGACAAGTCAACTCGGGACAACTCGACCGTTTACGGTTTAGACAACGCAATCATTCAACACAATTCAGTTCAGTTGGCGCTCTCCAATAAACCAATACAAAGTTGGATAATATAAGTTACCCGAAACCGAGTACCCGATCACTTATGTCCGCCCATCCCATGTGCCAATGAATGCCATAGTGCCAAGCCTACCCCGGCAGGCAACCCCAACCAAATCCCAAATCCCCGGTAGGGCCTACTATAAATATTCCCCGAAAAATTTGTGAGTAGACTTGTCTCAATGGGCGACTTGACTCAAACGGACGACTTGTCTTTCCAGTTAACGCACATACAGTTGAGTTGTCCCAACGGTTCTAGTTTTTTTTAAAATGAGGAAAAAAACCCGAAAACCATCAATTACTACCTTTTACCCTTTACTACACGCAGACAACTCAATATGATCGTACTCAAAAAAAATTTGAAAGAAAAAAAAAAATTGCCTACATGTACCTACCCTATTTTCAGATGCCATGTAATCGGAAGCAGAAATATATATTTTTTGGCCTTAGTTATTACCTTTAAATTTGATCAATTCCTAGTTGTAAACATTGACTAATTGTTAGTGTCCTCTCAACCTCTTGCTAGCTCGAGTGCCAATTTTAGTTTGGAGTCCCCAAGACTTTTGCCTCGGCTTTTAATTCCATTTCTACACATTTTTCTTGGACTTTTCTGGGTTTTTTTTAATGCTCAGGGAAATACAGCCATGGTGCACAGTAACCATCCAGAGACTCACATGGTCATGAACAACCCACTCTTTACTGATCCTGCTTCAGGATTGCCAGGTATGTGAACAACATCCCTTTTTGATGGTGAAAAATTAAATATACTACCCCCCCCCCCCCCCCACGTTGGAAGCTTAAGTCCTCCCACCCTCAGCCCCACCCCTTGCCCCATCCCTTGCCTTAACCCTAACCCCCTAGGCCGTTTGTGCACTCGTGTTCAAATGAAAGATACCCAGTACCTCAATCCTTTAAAATCATCAGACAGTCCTGCCTCTCAAAATGCATCCATCCTCAATCCTCCAAACTCTTCTTCAACACCATTCATCCTCAATCCTCCAAAATCCTCCTGTGCTTCAACACCATTCATCCTCTAAAATCCTTGTGTTTCTCAAACACCATTCATCCTCAATCCTCCAAAACCCTCCTCTTCAAACACCATTCATCCTCAATCCTCATGTGCTACAACACCATCCTCAATCCTCCAAAATCCTCCTCTTCAAACATCATTCATCCTCAATCCTCATGTGCTTCAACACCATTCATCCTCAATCCTCCAAAATACTTGTGTCTCTCAAACACAATTCATCCTCAATCCTCCAAAATCCTTGTGTTTCTCAAACACCATTCATCCTCAATCCTCCAAAATCCTTGTGTTTCTCAAACACATTCATCCTCAATCCTCCAAAATCCTCCTCTTCAAATGCCATTCATCCTCAGTCCTCATGTGCTACAACACTATCCTCAATCCTCCAAAATCATTATTGGCTTCAACACGATTCATCTTCATCCTCCAAAATCCTTGTGTTTCTCAAACACAATTCATCCTCAATCCTCCAAAATCCTTGTGTTTCTCAAACACCATTCATCCTCAATCCTCCAAAACCCTCCTCTTCAAACACCATTCATCCTCAATCCTCATGTGCTTCAACAGCATTCATCCTCAATCCTCCAAAATCCTCCTGTGCTTCAACATCATTCATCCTCAATCCTCCAAAATCCTTGTGTCTCTCAAACACCATTCATCCTCAGTCCTCCAAAATCCTCCTCTTCAAACATCATTCATCCTCAATCCTCATGTACTTCAACACCATCCTCAATCCTCCAAAATCCTCATGTGCTTCAGCACCATTCATCCTCAATCCTCCAAAATCCTTGTGTCTCTCAAACACCATTCATCCTCAATCCTCCAAAACCCTCCAAAACTGCCTGGAGGATTTTGGAGGATTGAGATGGGTAATTAGGGTTCATGTTGTGATCGTAACTTTACAAAACTTTCACTGGAAAAAAAAGGAATGATTAGATGCCCCCCAAGATAATCCCCTGTTTAGTGTGTATTTGAAGACCTACTTTGGACTTGTACATGCATTATGGTGGTTTTTTTTTCAGGCCATCATATGTCAGTGGAGTTGAGCGTTGACTTTTCGGTACGCTACGTGGGCATGATTCACAACGCACAGGGTCTGCAGCATTCCGAGGAAGATGAGGTGGATCTGGTCAATGCCCTAGACCAGGCACAGGTTAGTCTCAAGACTCGAGGCGAAACTGTGTCAAAACTAACCATACAGGGCGAGTAAATAAAAACAAAACCCACATGTTGAGACCATTGTTTTAAGGAAGTTCTGCATGTAGCACTTTCAAAATCTAGGATATGAAAGCCCAATTCATAAGCTTTCTTTTGGTACAAGAATCATTCAAATCACTCATGTACTTTTTAAGTTACGGAATTTTAAACACAACCACCGTTTAACGTCCACGGATCACAATAAAGTTCATTGTTCTTTCAGCAAAACGAAAACAAATCACATAGGGATGTGTGTGAATTGTTTTCGTTTTGCTGAAAGAATGCACAACATTTTTTCTGATCCGTGGACAGAACTTTAAAACGGTGGTTGTGTTTAAAACTCAGTAACTTGAAAAGTACATGAGTGATTCGAATGATTCTGGTACTAAAAGAAAGCTTATGAATTGGGCTTTGGTATCCTAGATTTTGAGAATGCTACATGCAGAACTTCACTAAAACAATGGTCCCGACATTTGGGTTTCGGTTTTTTTTACTCACCCTGTAGATGCTGGCATGACAAACAGAGCACATGGTGCAGCACTCCCTCCAACATTATAACCTGTGCATGCATCAGACTTGTGTGTCAGCACGTAGAGTAGATCATTTGCAGCTGTCCAAAAAGTAACCGACCAAATTATTATCAAAACGCTTAGTTGGATTACAGATAGTAATGGCAATAAGCTCCCTGTGAAATAGTTCCTTCTGGCATGCTGTCATTTTGAAGAACAACAATAAAAGAAGGTCGTTTCGAAAGATGAGTCAAGTGAAATTGGAAATTTCCATTAGTAGTTGGTTTGTAATTGTGCCAATCCCTGATTCTTTGTTTAACAGTTTTGTGCTTGTAATTAGCAGGTTCGTGATATTGATAAATTGAGTTTCATCCAAAAATAGATTCCTTAATTTCTCAATTGCTATTTTCTAGCGATACAAAAGTTATTCACTTTTGAATGAGACATCTCAACCGAAAAAAAACACAAATCGGGCGTTTTGCTCTTAATGAACACCCACATTGTATAGGTTTGCCTTGTTTTCACAGAGAGAGGCTCAGTTCAAGCATGCTGATAACCAGAGGGACCGTGTCTATCTCAATCTGTCCAAGTATGGTGTGAAAATCATCGAAGCCTACTCCCCAGCACCCCAGGTAAGTCCACGTTGAGAAAAAAACCTAGCTGGCAGCTCTCCAGCCAAAAACTTCAAAAACAGCGCATGCCATAACTTATAGTACATGTAGTAAAGTAAAGTCTGTCACAAGTCAATGTGCCCCATCAGGCCGGCGTTTATCTCCGGTTTCAGTAGCATGAAACGACTGAGAATATTTCTACTCCCCTTGGATGGGATGCTAGTCCATCGCAGGTTACTCCTCAGCTAATGCCGGTACCCATGTATACACCTGGGTGGAGAAAGGCAAGTGGGGGTGAAGTGGCTTGCCAAAGGACACAACATATGACCAGCAGCTGGATTCGAACCTCTGACCCTCTGATCATGAGTCACGAACCCTAACCACTAAGCCACACTCTCCATAAATTATAGTGCTTGGGATAAATGTGCAATCATAGTTTTTTTCGAAGCTGCATTGAACTAAAAAAATTGACGCTGAGTTGTCATTTTTTTTTTTTCAATTCAGCTTTTGAATAAGGAGAAGAACGATGCTCCTAATTCAGATTAGACTTGACTCAAGTCAGACTTAACCAGTTTGCGCCGGGATTATTTTGACAAGAACAGAAACAAGGCGCTTGATTATTTTTCACTCGACCTCCAGCCAGGTGGAGCCATCACCCTCGGGCAGCACGCTCATATTTTCCGGCCTCGCTCGCTGCGAGCGGGTCCTCGACAGATATTTCCGGCCTCGCTCCTTGCGTGTCAGCCATTCCGAATACTGCAAAACCTTTGCGTGTATTACACGTCATCCGGCGCGAAATGGTTTAGTCAATATCCACAACACACACTGCCATCACAACCCTGCCCTTAATTTCATCATGCAACGTCGTGCCAAACTGCAACAAATGCCTTATGAACCCTTACCCTACTAGACCCTCCAACGCATGCCAATATGTGCCTCAAGAAAATCTCCTATGTTTTTTGCATGGCCCTCCAATATCTGCCATGTCATTTCAAGGGTAACTGGACAGGCACTCCAATACATGCCACAGAGAACAATGAGAGTCCTCTGATAACAATCAAGTGCCCCCAGCTGGTCAGTATCAGGCACCCTCCAGGGCCTCCAACTCCTGCCAATTGGAGCCTTCACTGCTACATCAAAGTATCCTCCAATAAACTGCAGCTGGAGGGCATTGGCATAACCAACTGACATGCAGTAAACTACCCTCAGAGAGTAAGGGTTAGAGGGGCACTACATCCTAGAATGCGCCTAATTGGGCTACAAAACGCTTTTAAATTAAATGATGTTATTTGAAAAGCATTTAAAAGTAGGATATAAACGTCCACACAACCATCCTTAAAAATCTGGCAGTTTATTTTGCGTTATTCTTGCAAGAAATTCGGGGATCAAAACTTTGACTCTCAAAAAACGAGCTGTTGAGTGCTAGTTGTGAATCCTGCCACACAGTTCATTGCATTCTGCGGACATGCGAGAATAACGTGTATCGAACATTGAATGGACACAGCTGGAAATACGTACGCGTATGCCACAAAATGGATAAAAGGGCAGGTGTAGCTGTGCACCTGATCAATTCACTGAACACACTCTCTGCACATGGCCCGCTTGCGCATGGCGCGCTGTAGGTAGACGTTGCTTAAAACCGTCAGACTTGGGCTGTTTCACAAATCCCCAACATAGGTAACCCCCTCCCCCCCCTTGAAAAATTTCTGGCTACACCACTGTCGTTTGCACGAGTACAGTTTGGCAGTTGCACGAGGTTATGTAAAATTGGCTATTGGTCACATTAAGTCTGCGTATGACTCTTTGGAGAAAAAGGGTCTCTTAATGGTAACAGGTAACCCCTCCCCTGCCCCCCCCCCCCCCCCCCCACCCCTTAAAAAAAATTCTGGCTAAACCACCGTCGTTGCATGGATACAGTATGGCAGTTGCAAGAGGTTTTGTAAAATTGGCTATTGGTCACGTTGAGTCTGCGTATGACTCCCTGCAAAAAAATGGGTCTCTTCAGGTAATAGAGTTTTCAAAATGCATGCCTCAAATTAACAACGCATGCAACATGCCCATCAATGCGGTGCCACCTAATTTCTTTCTTTCTAGCCTATTTCACTCCACTGCAGAAGGAAGTCATCTCCATCAATATTCCATTTCACTCTGTCCTGTGCTGTTCTTAAACGCTGCCATATTCTGTGATGTCATCTTATCCACCTTCTGTTTTGTCTGCCTCTCTTTCTGGTATATGCCCTAAGGATCCAGTCTATCAGCTTCTGGGTCTACCTGTCATCTGGTCGCGTAGCTAGATGACCAGTCCACCTCCACTTCTGTGATTTCATGTCTTGTATTATATCTTTCATTTCTGTTTTCTTCCTCGGGTCTCGGTTGCTAACTCTGTCCTTTCTTGTAACACCAAGCAAGATCCTTTTCATTGCTCTCTCTTTCTGTCTCTCTCTCTGACTGTTATTTGGATGTTGGCATTTTGCTGAATTTCATACAAAGGAATTTTGCGTAGGAGTGATGTAAATCAATTTTAGGTTTTGCCCTTCACCGACGTATAAACACTGTATACTCAGTGTGTTACTTCCAGAGTGAAAGTTGGAAAAAATCACTCGGGTGGGACTCGAATCCATGACCTCCTGCTTTCTACCACTCGACCACTGTGCTTACCCGATCGGTTGGCTGGTTCGAATTCGATGTACATAGCTGCAGCTACCGCATTTAACTACTCATAAGCTTTTTGCGTCAGGATGATGTAAATCAATATTAGGTTTTGCCCTTCACTGACGTAAACAAACTGTTTACTCGGTGTGTGTGAGTCTATAACTTGTTGCAAAGTCTTGCATTTCAGTGGCGCAGAAAGTTCAAACTTCCTCCATGCCTCCCCCCCCCCAAAAAAAAGACAGAAAAGGAACAGCATTTCTAAGTAATTGGTGTGAAGCTCTCAGAAACTTGTTCTCAGATTGTTCGCTGGAGATTTGGCTTGATTGAGGTGATTCGTCTGGTGCACTTTGAAGACTCTACGGGCAGCCAGCTGCTGGCCATGAAAATGGGTAAAGAAGGAGAGGACACGTACGACTGTCTGCTCTTCCAGTGTGAACACCAGGTAAGATTCTTTTTCTTTTTTTTTCTTTTTTTTGTTATTTACGCCATCTTTAATGAGGGTAGACTCCGATCAGTGCAAGGCACTGCTTTTCATGGAGGTCCTCAAGTTCATGAGAACTATGAGACCCATTACGTAGCACCTTTATAAGGATTTACAAGGTGCTGCGGCGCATATTGCAGCCACTGCCAGAAACACGGGGGCAAACCCTTTCTCTTAGCGATTAGTGTTAGTGGGTTCTTTAACGTGCATTACACAACACACAGGACCTACGGCTTTGCGTCCCGAAGGACGAAGCAATAATGGTAAAGTGCCTTGCTCAAGAGCACAAGCACCATGTTCCCACGGTCAGGATTCGAACCCATGCACCATGGCACACAAGTCAAACACCGTAACCATTGGACCACAGCACCCCACAGCTGTGTTTTGTGGTTTTTTAATTTAATAAGTTATTGCCAAGATTTTGAGAAGAGTAGGGCTGTCCATTGTCGAAAAATTTAGTATTCGATTCTTCGAAACTGCACCTGACAGAATGTTCGGATATTCGAAACACGCTGATCAAGTTTTAGACACGCCAGCTGCAGCTGCCTTCCTCGCTGGTCAAAAGTTGCGTACAGAGCGCGCTGGTTAAAATTGCATGCGGCGATGGATAGATGGTCCGCTGGAGCGTTTTGCAGTAAGTACTGAACAACTGTCGAGGGACTTTACCCAGCTAAAAGAATGGCACCAATAAATGGGCCTAGGCATCGACAAGAAAGTTGCCATCGACAAAAAAAAAGTGGCATCTGACAATAAAAAATGCAACTTTATGAGTAAAATAATATCACAGTCGTGTGTGCGCGTGCATAGTTTTTTTTTCTTTTCGAATATTCAAAACGGCAAAAAGTTATTCGAATATTCATTTGATGATCGTATATTTGGGACAGTCCTAAAGTAGAGTGTGAGAAATTTTAATTAAGCCTGACTCCCTAGGGAGCAAGTCATCAAGTATGTAATGTGGAAATGAATACAGGTTTCATGAACACCTTTCTTTCTTTTTCGGACAGTTAAAGGTAGAGTATATCATTTGCAGCTATTCAAAAAGTTACTGACAAAAATTATTGCTTACTTGGTTTAAAGATGGCACTTAACTCTTTGTGAAATGATTCTTTCTTGCATGCCGTAATTTTGAAGAAAAAAAACCCAATAAGGCCAAAAAAAAAAAAATAAGTCGGTCTCTGGTCAGCGCGCGCGTCGATTTTAATCATGCGCATCAATTTTTTTTTCCCAAAATGTTCCCAACAGTGCCCTCTATTGCCGCACCTCCTCATTTTTTTTTACCAAAGAGCACCAAGGAATGGGAAATTGCACCAAGGCAAATGATCGAGAGCACCAAGGCAAATGATCGAGAGCACCAAGGCAAATTATGGAGGACACCAATGTACATGAGGACACCAAAAAAGCAAAATAGTACCCCACCTTGTCTGTACAATCCAAGCTTGAAGAAAAAAAAAAGCCGCGTCGCCGCGTCAATTCCGGAACTTTGGTCTGACCAGAGACCGAATAGTTTTTTTTTTTGGCCTAAGAGAAGGTCATTTCCAAAGATGCGTCCAAGACACATTTTTGGAAGTTTCCGTCAGTAGTTCCTCTACCGTTAAATGATTCACTTCAAGTACTCAGCCTCATACTTGCATTTCTCTGTCTCTTTGGAAACCCTAGGGTCAGGCAAAGCAGATTTGTCAGTTACTTGGAGTCCTCTTTGATGCCGTCTGCCAAGATCCCAGTCTTCAGCCACTATGAGCACACCCCCCATTCCTTGTTTATTTGTACACCTAGAAGGCCAAAGAAGACTTCACCATGAAGGCAACTACTTTACCACACAGAAGTTAGAGTTGTACGTAGTCGAGTCCATCACAAGTCCATCACAAGTTTGCAAGTCAAGTAACAAGTTACAGCTGCGCAGTTTTGAGTTATTTAGTATTTGATTATTCCATCTGGGACTGGATATTAAGATGATAATATTCAAGTATTCAAATATTTGAGTATTCTATTTCAAAATGATTTCAAAATGCGCTGATCATGTTCAGCATGCGCCAGCCAAAACTGGACGCCCATCAGGATTTGTGTTCACCTGCGCTTGTCAAAAATTGACAAATAGTTTATTAAAACTTATATAGAGAACCGGTATTGTCGGCTGTTGGACCGATTTTAACCCTAACTCCCTAGGCCTTTTTGCTAGGATGTAGCCTCAATTCTGCAAAATCCTCCAGTTGGCCTCATGGAAAAATAGCATATAGCCTCAATCCTGCAAATTCCTCCATTATTTCTTGAATATGGTCCGTGGAGGGGTGACCACTGCCTGAATCCTGCAAAATCCTGCAGCAGTGACTGTCAAAATGTTGAGGCTTGGCCAGTGACATCCTGGAGCAGAACGGAGGATTTCAAGCATAATCCAGGCCTATATTTATGCATGGCTGAGCAAAAACAACTCAAGGTCTGACCCAAGACCTTGACAAAGTGCATCCTACGAAATCAGTGACGCACTTTTGCCGTGTAACCTCAATCCTCCAAATTCCTCCACTTTGGCAAGGAGGATTTTGGGCGGTTGGGGTCAAAGAAGAAGTTTGAGCTTATAGTCTCCATGGAAGCTCTCCAAATCATAGCGGCTTTCAACAAAATTGCGGCATTTGACAAACTATAAAACCACACAACTTGAACGTTTTGTCATCACCTCCTAGAGACCGCTTACATTTTTGCAATATTTAAATCAAAAAGAAAAATATGCCAGTCAGATATTTGGTTCATGTTGGAATATTTGAATATTCGGCAGAGCCTGATAACAAATGGCGGGAATTATGAAGCGAGTTGTGACTGGACTTGCGATGAACGTGCGGTGGACCTCTCTACAACACTGACAGAACATCTCTTAGATTTCTAAGAGATGTGGTTAACACTTTGTGTTGTACATTTATAATGTAGCTTTGTCGTATTTATATCTTTTATATTATTACCGACAGAAATATATGTCAGTACTTAGTTTACTATGCTTTTTTTTGATGCAAGGATTTTGTGATCAGCACTGTGTGCTTAGTGCCTTTTAGAGCTGGGGAGGGGAGGGGGAACATAGGCTTACTTGGGTGGGATTTGAACCCACAACCTCCTGGGCCAACCTTCAGAGAGCTGCTCGTTACAACAGATTGCAAAGCAGAGAAAATAGTAGGGCTGTCAATTTTTGAATAATTTCGTATTCCCTTACTCGAAACTGCGTTCGACCGAATATTCGGATATTAGGAAGTGCCAGCTGCAGCTGTGTGCTGCGCTGGTGAAAAGTCGCACGAAGAGTGCACCAGTTAAAATTGCGTGCGGTGTGTCCCATCCTTGGCCCCCTTGAAAGTTCTACAAAAGCACCCTCTCTTGTTGGCGTACAAAATTTAGACGGCACTTTGTGACCACTTTCAAAAACCCTACGTGATTCTCTGTGCCTACCTATCTATAATAGCTCCATGGAGAGACACACCGCGTGCGTGTAATGGTTCGTGCAAGTACATGTATTGCTTGAGATGCGCACAAATTATTTTACTACGAGTGCACCTAAGCCCATAGCGTCTTTGCGTGACCATCAGGCGCCATCAGCAATGCATTCGAAGGTCCCAGCCAGCGCCCCCCCCCCCCCAACTCTCCCTTTGTAACTGGTAACCGTTGAGTCCAGAAGTCCAGGCCCCAATTTCTTGGCTCTGCTTACCGTTAGCGAAAAATCCTTGCTTACTAGTAGCAGAAAATTCTGTGCTTACGGTAAGCGTATTTCACAGGTTAGCGAGGAATTGTGGCTTCTGCGCATGCGTTCATCCTGTAACTAAGAATTCTGTGCTTACAGGGTTAGCTCAGAATTTTTCTGCTAGCGCGGTTTGAATAAAATGGTGATCGTAAGCACGGAATTCCGTGGTTATCAGAGCCATGAAATTGGGCCCAGATGTCATCTTTACCAAATTTACGAAACCTCGACATGAAATTACTTTAAAAAAAGATATTGTGTGCCTTTGAAAGAAATGTGCCTTATCTGTAAACTGCTAAGCATTTTGCTCAGAGGCTTCCTGACTCCATTGAAATAGAATACTATGCAGCTAACAGATAACCTATACAATAGACCAATATCCGAGCCGCTATCACTGTATATTCAGTAGGCCCCCTTCAATGGCAAGCGAGAGCATTGCCAGCTATTGTTCAGATAATCCACCATGGGGTCATTGCTTTGTACAATAACTGGCCAGTGGCGCAACCAAAGGGGGAGAAGCCCGGGGGCTTGAGCCCCCCCCCCCCCCCCCCCCCCCCGAGGATTTTTTTGGGGGTCAATTTTTTTTTAGTCCCACGATTTGACCGTGGTGATATGAATGTGGCTTGTTTTCGAGTAGTACTGTGGGGGTGTGAATGGCGCCGCCAACGTCAAAATAGTCAGGTCCCCCCCCCCCCCAAAAAAAACCCAACAAATTAGTTTTCTGCAACATTTTTTGAACAAATTCAAACTTCAAAAAAAAAAAATTGAAAACAAAATTGTGAGGCCCCCCCCCCCCCCCACGGAAGCCAAATCTTGGGTGCGCCACTGTAACTGGCACTACTAGTTTGGTCATTGAAGGCGCTTCCGTAAGAGAACATTGATATCGTGCTTGGGTTAACATGGTTAAGATTAGGCCTGGGCGAGTCGTGGATTTTCCTACTCGAGTACTTGCACAGAAATTACACACGAGCATGACGAGTAGTCAAGTACTCATGAGTAGTTTACTAAATTCCCATAAAAACAGAAAAAAATAGCATAAACATTACTAAGAAGGAAGTAGCAAATAAACAGCCTGCAAGACACGCCACATTCTTCAGCACTGAGATATCCCTACTATGCAGCATATTGGCTCATTTTACTTGAAAATGTATTTGTTGAGAGTGCTAGTGGAATCCCAAGGAAACAGATGGAGGCAGTGACTCCTTTATTGCGGTGGACGACGTATTAAGACAAAAGACAAGTTTGGTGCAGAAACTGCAAAGTGGTAAATTTGTTCTAAGTCAGCACTTGTAAAAAAAAAAAGTACCTACATCTACTCACGCAAAGACAAGTACTCGAGTAGATGAAAAACCACAAGTAGAACAATAAGTAGCAAACACTACTCGGGAGTACTCCGGAGTACTTGGGTACTCGGGATACTCGCCCAGCACTAGTTAAGATACTTCAAGTTATGGTGCTTTAACCCTTCATGCGTCGATCATGTACATAATATAGGACAGACAGTTGAACATGTATACTTATAGGCTTGTACATGTACAGTATTTTTTTCTTAACAGAAATTTATAAAGTTCTTATTGCTATGCAGTTTTTAACAGTACTTGATAGATATTTTGATACATTTTTGACACGACTGGTGAATAAAGTACATGAAATATGGACCAAAGTTGCATGCAGTGTACTACGTACTTTTATACCGTGTTTGTTAATGAATGGTTTGTTAACATGTGAAGAAAAATAATGTAAATTCTAAATTTACATTATTTACATTACAGGTCCTAAATTTTGTGGGGTTTTTGGTTTTTTTGCTAAAAAAGTTTGATTCTAGTTCCTGGATGACAAAATTTGTGATGTAGCATTCTGAAGGACTGTATTGATTTTGTTCCAAATAATATGAATTTTCAATATTATATTGATGACTTTCAAGGTGGGCATTATCATAAGTGGCGCTTGTCTTCCATATGTAATTGCAAACTAAATTTGAAACATGAAAATGTGCGATTTAATTTTTTTGTAGCAGATGTTCTTTTCAATAATATACGTGTAGCATTTGATATTGTGCTGATACGTGTATGCGTGTATTAAAGTGGCAATGATGCCGCCGAAACAATTTTGTTGTAGAAAAAGTACCAAAAGAGTCATTCATCAATATACATGCATGTACTTATGTACTAAGATTTGGCATCCAATTCTCTTCCTGATCTTAAATTGTGTTCACCCTATTTGTATTGAATAGATTTTGCCCTATTTAATGTCTTTAAGAATTTGTCTCTTTTTTAAAGGGTTTACGCCTTATTTTTGTACAGTAATCATGAATAAGAAATGGAAATGATGTACAGATATTCTTGCTTCATACAAGAAGTACATGTATTATGCATGGAAAATTCCAAAGAACTGAATGGCTGAATAAGTTGCATGAGTCTTCATTAATTACTTTTAGCAATTGAGCCAAACTTTGAGATGTTGCATAATAAACCTCACTTTTGTTTTAAAAAAAAAAGTGACCAAATATGTATTCAGATTTAGATTTTTTTTATGAGCATACAAAAAATAAGTAAGTGACATGTGTTCTTAAACATGTTAAAATGCCCTCACATTTTATTTAAATTTTTTTATCCCCCTTGCTTTCAAGCCAGACTAAAACTTCATCATGATCAAGTTACGTGTAGTTGTTAAGCACCCGTCTTTAGATTTTCAGCACTTTCGTTGCTTCAAACAAAAAATATGCAAATGATGTACTCTTCCTTTAAGTCTAGACTGATCTAAAAAAAGTCTTCAGATTTAAAACCTCACTGTAAACAATGATAAAACTGAAGCAATAGAAAAACTGAAGTTGGTCGTATTTTTAAAAAAAGTTTATTCTGAGTACAGACAACTCTCTGTACACCTTTGAACATAATACATTCACATGCCTTTCATGGAAAAAAAAAATCTTTTTTACAAGCAGCTAATAAACATAATGCTTTGTTTCTTTTGTGAGTTGATATTCATGGGTTCGGTTGATGTTCATGCTACAAAATGATGTGAACGACTTATATAATCCACTTATGACGGCAAAAATATCAGATAAATACATATGGAATAATAAAACCTTTTGTACACACCAATGCATTTTTTTTTCTTCATTCGTAACTGCTTCCCGAACATAAATGTGTACAGAGCAGAATGAATGAAAACAATGTACCACAATAATTACAGTCCATAAACTCAAACAAATATACATCTCCACTAAAACACATGTGCCATGCTTGACTTTTACAGTTCCATAATGGTAATAAAAAAAATAACCAATAATAACCTGACCTGCTTTGATAATTGAAGAGCAATATTTGCTCAATTTGCACGCCATACTTTGGACTAGAATAGCGTATCCTACAGTTTGAACGGAAAGTTGTCGGCCACACCACAAAGCTTGCGCAGTCTCGAGATGATCAGTCATTTTCTTGTGCGGCAACTTGCTATTGTATTTCGTCACCTCATGGTGCACCTAGTGAAGCATATTCCTGTGCAGTTTACTGCCATTTTAATTCACGTTAGAAACTGCCAAATCTTTCAATAATAGCTCATACATACATTGTAAGCACGTCAGCAAAAGGGTATTGTGAAGTCACTGGATTTAAGCCCAACTCTTCACAAGAAGAGGTTGTTTCATTTGTAGGGGTCATTGTCACTCAGAAGACTTGTTGCAAAAGTGTTGGAATATCTTAACTCGTGGTGAAGTCCACGCAATGTGGTTGATGCATTTACAAATTTGTAGTGCTGGGTAACTATTGAAATGGATCATTTTATTTGCTTACGATGTGCATTCATCCATCTTCCTCCAATGTTGCCCAGTGGCCATTAAAGGGAAAATACAACATTTGCAAACATTAAGAAATAAAACTACCAAATTATTTTGAAATACCTTGCTGGACTGTTAGTGAATGACAGTCTAAAGCATCCTGTAAAATCATGGCACCTGGTATACTGTCATTTTCAAGAAAAGTGTTATTTTCGTATCAATTTCCAACGTTGGTCAGCCGACCAGCGTTGGAAAAAAACTGGGTTTTTTTCAAATACTGGCCCCAGTGGACCATATTTAGTTAGTCTGGTTTTGTTTGCAATGGATTACACACCTGTGAACGGGTACAAGCCATCTAGACTGGTTCCATGACCTTACGATTCTCCAACGTCAATAAATTGCTCCGTTTCATCTTAAATGGAGTCAGGGAACCAGACTACAGGAAAATGATTGCTTTTCTTGGTTTTTTTAGCATCTACGAACCGAAAACGTAAAAAAAGTCAGTGTAACAATATTTGCTATATATTACCAACCCCCCAAATCCATCCATTTCTGAAAATTACAGCAAAAGCAAATGATGTATATTCCCTTTGAAGTGGGGAAGGGACCACACTCATGTATGTACATTGGCACTGTAAGTATGTAAAGCCCGGCGCACATTTTTCTGATTTTACCGGATCACCAGTATGGTTTTTTTTTTTCACCGTTACGGTTATACATTCCATTCTATAATCGGTCACATGATAATCGGCTACACGATGATCAGTCACATGACGACCAGTCGCATGTCGACAAAATGGCAGCTGTCAATTTGGAATCGTTCGACTTTCTTTGTGAATCTGATTGGTTAATATAAATGTTGCGTCCGGTGAAACCTTTCCGGCGACATCAGATCCGGTGAAATCAGATTTGAAAAACCATTGCATTGGCCACCTTCTGTTATGGCTATGTGTCTCATCTGTTCATTCCCTTCTGGTATACATGTACATATACTTTGGTAGATGAGTTTCAATCATAGAGCTATATTAAATTACTAGAGCGCTAACTCCTCATTCTTGCGCGCGGAGACGCTTTGAAGCCGCTCTGGGCGCAGACATTTTGAATTTATGTGCGTGTTTGTAGAACACAATCAAAATAGATGGACTGAATTTTAAAAGTGTACTCTAAATGCCACGCGTAAGTAGAAGATATGCAAACAACTTAAACGCGTCATGACGGTTCAAAAAACGTCACGGCGAAAAGCATCTGCAGCGGAGGGACGCGCACACGTTGCGCTGTTTGCGTAGAGCAAAATGAAACACTCATTTGCTGATTGTGCGTTTCAGTTTTGGGCGTACCGGCTTCGATGACGCACCGGTATGGAATACAAACGCAGATATGCAAACAGCCGTACAAAAGCCGTACAAAATTTCGAGTTTTCCATAGGTTTGTGTACAAACATGGATGCGCCCATCAGGCATGACTTTGTACATCGAGTTAGCGCTCTAGTAATTTAATATAGCTCTATGGTTTCAATGGCAATTTTGTGTTGCCAGAATGTATAGATGGATGTAGCTGTACCATACAGCTTGATCACAATCACTGTCAATCCTGCATACTCATGCTGGGAGTTGTGCTACGGATGACATGTCTGTGTAAGATACTTTGTTAAAGTAATCCAACATATCTCGGAAATGTGATGGCCTATGGCGAAGCAGTTCTTATTAGAATATAAACATATTAAGTTTGTCATGCAGAACATCTACACAGCTCTTTGTCATGTGCTCGTAAAAGTCACCGTAATCAACTGTCTCCATACAGTGTACCTTTTAGTCCAAATGAAGGAAGCGTCTACACGTACCACTCACGGCCAAGGTATCACTGTATCACAGGTCGTTGGATTTCTACTGACGAGTTCCAGCTCGCTCCAATTCAAGTCTGGTTGGCATGAACAAGCTTGTATGCTGGGCATCTCTTGCTCTACTCTACCCTCCAAAACACTTCCCCCAAATTACCCGTTTACCAAATGAACATTGCCACAGGGGTGAGCAGCCACACACTGCAAGGAACGTCATGAAGCTCATCTTGATAAGCAAATGAGCACCCTTCATTTTTTTTAACCTTTGCTGAGTAATTGGAATGTGCATACTTCAATGCACTCCTCTGGAAGGTATTGGCAAACAAAATTTCATAGAGCCAGGGCTGTAAACAAACAGCAGCAGCAGCGATCAGTTACTCAATATGAGTCCTGAGTTAGCTCATGAGTCCACGCTCAGCAACAGCGATCAGTAACTCAATAGGAGTCCTGAGTTAGCTCATGAGTCCACGCTCAGCAACAGCGATCAGTATCTCAATAGGGGTCCCGAGTTAGCTCATGAGTCTACGCTCGTTTCCAGATGCTCCACCTCGTTGCATATGTCCTGCAGCGCTCGGTCCAGTTCGTCCCTCTCCGACATGATGGAGTGGCTGTACAGTCCCATGTCAAATCCACCGATGGAGGAGGAGGCCTCACTGTTTGTGCGCCTCGAGCGCTGGGGGCTGGTGTAGTAGTAGCCGTTGGCCGCAGCATCCTGGATGCCCATCCTCTCCAGAGTGTTCTCAAAGAAGTCTATGTCCTTCTCTGGAATGTAGGGTCTCATACCTGGAGGAAAAATAAGCAGTAGTGGTGCATAAATGTTGGGCGCGATCAGTGGATCTGCGCTATCACTTGATTGTGCAGAAATTTTTGCGATCAGTCCATCCTGTGGGAAATCTCAGACTTTACTTCCCTTTTTCATTACAATCCTCCAGGGCCGTGAATTGGAAAGAACACGTGATCGACTGATGGTGGCGCGACCCACCAATGGTGGCACGATCGACCGAAAGCGCAGCGCGATCGACCGATCGAGCAGATCCACCCATCGCTCCCAACATAAACATACAAACAGAAGACTGTGACAGCTAGAGGGCAAATATACATGTGATTTGAGGCTTTGAATGATGAGAGTACGACTTGGAGGTTTTTTCGGCTGATTCAGTATACACCACGTAAATCGATTATCTCTTGAACAGGATGCTTGATAATCTAGCTGCTGCAAGATTCGAATGCAGTCCTTTACTTTGTTTTACACTGTTTTACCTACATTAAGAACATTGCTTTAACCCTAACCCTGCCAGACGCAGCACAGTGCATCAGGTGGAAAAGTCTGGTGCACTTTGATGGAAAATGCTACCAACACCAGTGCAGAAACCGGCCACTTCTGAGACACTGAGAGCTAGTCCCATGGAACAATGCCCGAGTTGTATCCTGCTGCAGTGGGTGACCACAGACTCTGAGGCAGTTTGGCCTTGAGACTTTTGACCTGATGGATCTTGCTGCACTGGGCAGGCTTGTCACTTAGACAAGTGTTGCATGTTGCTGCGTTTGGCAGGGTTTCTAGCCAAAATACCCTGGAGGGTTAGGGTTAACATAGTAGTTATACCTGGGAAGAGCAGTTTGCGTTCTGGGCCGTAGAGCGTTTGAAGTCTGCTGCAGAACTCTTTTATTGACCCCGTTTGTCGGTAGTCACGTAGGATTGCCGCAAACTGTTGAAGCTCATCAGATGAGAGCTTACTCCGGAGCTGGTGAGATAAGCAACAACAAAAAAAATCACTCGTACAAATTTGTTACTTACATGTACATGAGTACATCATTCAATTTACGGACGTTTAACATGGAGGGAAATCTGCTCATGTTCCACCTCTGTGACAAGGTTTTGAATCCACCATGGGCAGACAGTCGAATTTGGTTTTTAGGCCCCGTCTGATTTTGTTAGTTTCTCTGCCAAAAAAATGGTTCAGGGATTTTCCATCCACCCCTAAAACTGGTCATTTCTTCATTTGTCTTCTCTCTGAAGGTTTCCTTGGGGCTTCAGAGCTCAGTGCCTGTGCATTCTTTTGAAACCCTTGGTTTCAGATAAACTGTGGAGTTGTGTGGACCTCGCTTTGATGACTAGGATGAACAGTGATTTGGAGGTGATTTCTCACTGGTGTTTTGGACTTGTCCTTAGTGATTCGGGACTTGGACTAGGGCTTCATCATCATCATCATCAAGTCGGCCACAGCCGGACTCCGATACGACTGCCCCACTCCCTCCGGTCCGCCATAAAGGTGGCAAGCTCGCCGGCCGTCTCCACTCCAGTGTCTTTCTTCAGCACCCCCACGTTAGACATAACTTGCCTACCCTGCCTCTTCCTGCCACGTTTCGGCTCCCACAGAACCCCCTGGTGAGCCTTGAGCTCAGGGTGGCGCTGGCAGTGCCCCGCCAGTCACATCCGGCGTGCTGCTATTTTGCCACCCACAGTTGGGACTAAGTGTGCATGTACGCGTAGAGGGGAATGTGTCTGTTGAACACTGAACTATACAAGTAACACCATACTTACCACTTCAATGTACTCTTGCAGCAATACTTTGGCTGTGACACTCAGGTCATCCATACTATTGCTGGGTCTGAGTGCTGGCGAGCTTGGGTATTCAGATGACGCTGTACTAGATCTGAAAGCAAGTGGTACAAGAAGGTGACCCGATTCAAGATAATAACTTTTGTAAGAATTATCCAAACTGTCTTGAAATTGCTGTCCAAGAAAATGACACCTGCTAACTTTCCATACATTTTATGGTGCCAATTAACAAGTCTCAACTGTTTTTTTTTCAGCATGTAAGATTTTAAATGCATTCACGGTCAGAATGGAACCGATCTTAAGGCTGGTTCATAATCGGCGCGAAAGCAAATGAGAACGTGAATTTGTGATGTCAGGGCAAGTTTTTGTGCTGTGAATTCGCAAAAGTTTAAAGGTGTAGTCCATCGTTTGTAATTTGGGCATTTTGCTCGTTTGAAGCAATAAACTTGCTCAAAATCTAAAGAAGGGTGCTGAACAACTAACCTGAAGTCAGCTGTATATTCCGAGAAAACAGCATTCTAGGATCTCAATTTCAAATCACAAGTTGCTGAATCATGTTTGAAATTGGGCCTGAATTCAGCGTCCGAGACACGTTCTTACTGAGCCGATTACTATCGTTCAACCAAGTATGTTTTTCAACACTAATTACGTCAGTTACTTTTTGGATAGCTGCAAATGATGGACTGTAGCTTTATTTAACACCTTTCAACTCTGGCTAATTTCACAGGGAATGCTTCGTGACGTCAAATTCGCATCGCATAGGCCCGTGAAGTATGAACCTGCCTTTAGGACATTGAATGCCAGAACTAGGTACTCACGGTGGCGGCTGGAAGACATCTGGATCAAGAGCAGTTCTGCTGACCACACTCCTCGACACTGGGGAATGAAGACAAAGTCGTCGTGTTGGTTCATGATGTAAATATTCTAGAATTTGCCGAGTGACATTTCAGCTTGTACACAATGTTAAACCTCAGTCATGCGACCCGTTCTCTGGTCCAACACTGAAGACTGGTTCAAACTGATTGCAAACTTTGCTTTGTGATTTCACTGTGGCATGGCAAATCTGGCAAATGGCAAATTTTGCCAAAATGTTGGCAAACATGGCAAATTTTGCCATTAACACATTTCAATCATGGCAAATTGTGAATGTTTTGCGACATCATTATCACTTTGCAGTTCCGAACTTCCATGTTGATTCTGATAGATCGAGGGGGGGGGGGGGAGGGGGGGAGGTTGTTATAGTAGTTGACAGTGAAGTTTTATGTGGCTTTAACATTATGCTAAGTTTTATCACAAATTTTAAATTATTCATTAGAGCAGACTGATATTAATTTGTAATGAACTTTTATTTCGTTGCTTTCATAATCTACTCGCAAGTTCCAAAAAATGAAGATTTTATCTCGCCTTCAATTTATGGCCGACTCGTGAATACGGTTCATATTGTCTGACTGACTTGCTCACTATAAAGTAAAAAGATTGTCCTAAACTATTTTTGGGGTCTAGCTTGACAAGGCAAGCCTAATCTGTGCACTGCCTTACCACTTCCAAGTGAAGTGTTCCTTGCCGCACGTATGATGCTCTGATCAAAGTATTTCATTGTCAATTCAGTGTAGACTACGTAGAAGATCTGCTGGGCCAATGCACACACTTCATCAGCACTTTCCTGGTGAGAAAAACAAAATCCTCGTGATATCGAGTTCAACATACCAGGCTTGGAAGTGATGGCGCTCAAAAAATGAAGCGATGGGCACAACTGATTGAATTCAGATTTGAAAATAAAATTGATGTTCAACTTTTCCAGTGGTTTTCTACGTGATGTGCAACTGAGCTATTGAGCCCATACTAAAGCATCTTTACGGTCAAGGAACGAACTTGATAAACACTCAGTAGTTTCTGTGATTGGATCTCTAGAGTGATCAGGAAGTCCAAGATTCTGGTGACCCTGTTTCTACTTCTTCAACCTCATTCTGTTTCTTCTAGCCCGGAGTAGTTCTCTTTCGTCAAACAGTCGACTACCTACCTTGGAACGACACTCGAACACCACCAGGTTACACTGCTCCTGCTGATTGTCTGTCGCTGAAATATTAGACAAGAAAGACAAGGTAAGGAGTATTAATAGCCTGGCATCTGTTAGTGCTCATTAGAAACCATCCATTAGAATCTTGAGTCTTATACTTCGGAGGCCTGGAGTATTGATGTAAGGAAATCACACGCTGGGCTTGAATGCGACCAATGCAAATTAACCTTAACTTTACAAAATCCGTCAAAATCCAACCCCCCTTCCCCCAAATTTTGGGGATTTTGTCGTACATGGTCCTGCAGACATCAACAACTCGGGTACCCGGTTCACGCACAGCCCTACAAGGGAAACGCTGCTTAAATGTCCGTCAATAACATCAATATGGTTTATTTCTTCAGCAAGTCGAGGATCATTTTCTCAAAAATGAGGCCTTCATATAACCGTGATCAATTGTACAACAACTATGGACCTTACCGATTTTGAACATTACAAGATGTTGGCCATCGTCCCTGACGTAACTCACAGCGGCTATGTCGTGGATTGGCAATCGTACTAACGTTTCCTGAAAGCAAACACAATTTTATTTCACACTAGAAGAGTTGCAAGGGTTTCTCAGAAGTTACAAATCAGAAAGTAAAATTGAGACCGAGTTTGCTGTTCTGTGTTGTGGACAGTGACTCTGATATAAAAATCCATGTTGGTGCAATGAAAACCAATGTCTATTAGTTGGACACTGAAGCACTGATCTTTCTCGTGAAAAGAAAAAAAGTCTTAGAGAGGAATGGTTAGCAAGACTTGCTGCAATATTTTCAGGAGTTTGTAAGAAAAATTTCAAATGTCTGCTGTGGTGGGGTTCGAACCCGCGATCTCCTGCTTACAAGTGCAGAATTCTTAACCAATCAACCACCACTCAACCAAGCTTGTTGGGTTAGCTGGCCGGATCAAATTGCATGGCAGGCACAGCAATCAAAGGCTTTGTACTTACTTCGCCGTCTCTTTTGACCACTTTGATCTGTTTGGCCGATACTGACAAGATGGCGTCGTGTTTGTTGTCCCTTGTACTCCAGGGTAGTAGCCCTTTTTTCTGAAGATTAAAAAAAAAAATCAATTTGTATTTATTTTATTAATATAATTAATTCATATTTTAACTGGTTGGCCCATTCTGTGGAGTCCACTGGTCTCCCATGGGGCCAGGAAAGAGAAGACAATGTCAAGAAATTACAGTTTTAGAGGTGGGAGGAAAACCCCAGATGAATATTCTGAGGAAAGCCCACGGAATCAGGTAGGGACTGAAAACCCAATCCACATATTGACCCAGGCAGGAATCGAACCCGGGTCAACAGTGTTGGAAGGCGAGGACAGTACCACTCGCCAGCCTGACTCCCCATTTTTTGTTCAATGAATTCAACAGTTGTAGCTGTGTCATTCCCAATCTACGTTAATTAACCTACAAAATGCAGCAGTGAAATGGATGAAGTTTTTTGTTCTAAGTAGGACAATTTCAGAATCATCTCAATCTTACCTTTCCCTTATCAATGATTCTTAGCAGCTCTGTACGTTTTGTTGGGTCTAACCCATATGGCACATTGGGAATCACTCCCAAATACTGGAAAAGAAAGGGAAAAAACATCAAACGTCAATGAATTGAGACCATAAGATAAGCCTTCTGAAGACCAGAATTATTCGTGGCTTTTTCCATTTTCCTCACAAAATTTTGGAAACATTTGGTTGAAAACTTGGAAGGCCAGAAGTCTTTTATATGACATCACTGAGTGATCGTTACAAATTAAAATGATATGCTTTAATTTTTTAATGAAATATGGACTCATTATGAGCAAAGTGTAAAACTTCATTCTTTTAAACCTCTTCTTTTCTTTGTCTGTTACGTAAGGTCTAATATACAATTATAAGCATATCAAGTCGCACAATTTGTAATATCACACTTAAACTGTTTCGTTTGTTCATGTTTTGGAAGTTTTTTTTAATGATTGGCTTTTTTTTACTTGTGTACCTGTAAAATATACTACATGTAGGCCGAGTAAAAGTAAACCAAATCATCTAAAATCTGGAAAGAAAAAAAAATGATGCAGAAATTTGACAAGCGACCCACCTTTATTGCGATTTCTAAAAAGCTATCGATGAGGATCTGTGGATCCACTTTGTACTCGGGCGGGCTGAGCTCCATAGTCTTCAATGGTCGCCTGCCCTCCAGTATTGTGTGGTGGTGGGGCATCTGTGAGGGGAGTTCGTGCGATTCTCTTGACTCTCGATGGGAGTGCCTGCTGATACCAACCCGACTTTTGTCTTTGTCCTTGTCTTTGTCCTTGTTGAAAAGACCTAACAACCCTCCTTGCTGAAATGCAACACAGAGCAGAACTCATCATTGTATAAGTTTTAAAAGGTAGTCGTGTAGTTCCCGACCCCGTTCCATAATAAAGAGGATTGAAAAGACACTCTTCATGTTTTGGGACTTACCTAAAATAGTTACCAGCTGGAAAAATAACTTATATTTGTTAGTTCGCTATACCATATTGAATATTGGCATGTAGAAAAAGGGCCGTTTTTTTTATTGATGAGGAAAATTATGGGGTAAAATGATAACAGCGCCTGAACTGCCATGACTGCTGTGACTAGCACATCTCTGACATGTCTGAGTTTTTAACAGGTAAGACGCCACAGTTTACAAAATGGCAATAACCTAAAGTTTATTTTCACAAAGATTCCCATATCTGGCCATCACTTGTCACCCTGTGCACAAACCCTATGAGACTGGTCTGAAAATTGGTAGACCTAGACATGTACAATGTCTAGTCAGGCATATCATTAATAAAATCATTGGAATTTTTCACAAATTTTACAAAAGTTACACATCTTCAAACTAAAACAGCAGGCCTTTTTTTAATGACGTTCTGTTTTCCCCCCGATCATTCACGGCGAGGCCACTTGAGCCTTGAGAGTATGAAAGCAAAAAGTTTAAATTTTTCACGAAATCAGTGCAATGCCTTCAATTGTAGATCACTCGAGCAAATTCACACGGGTTCGTCTGGGTGTGGTCACTTCGTTTGAGAATCTCGGCATTCAATTCATTGAAATACCTTCCTTTCCCAATGGCAGTATTATTATACAATAAAAATAAGGCATTTTGCAATCTTCAAATTGTATGAGTTTGCAATAAAATCGGAAATCTGACAGCACCCCCAAAAATGATTTCGTCGGCCATTTTGATTTGTTTCAAAATCTGGTTGTTAAAAACAATGAAACAATTTCTCTTGATTCCTACCTTTTTGGACGAAGACTTTGGAGCAATATCCTCTTCCATGCCCATGACCTGAACTGTTAAAATATAGAGATGCTTAATTTGGTATTTTCTTTTCGAAAATACATTATTATGAGGTTCTCTTTTTGCATGCGATTTCAATGTGCCTGCGTCGTCTGCAAAATCCGTGACAATCGAAAAAACACAATAAACACTTTGGTGACTGGTACCGGGCGTACAACGACTCATCATTTAACAGGAGAAGCCGTGAACCATGGAACAAAGAGTACGTGGATATCCCCATGTGTAAAATGAATCATTCCCGGGGGAACAATAAGGTATTACAATGGGTGATTGCAAGAAGAATTCAGGAGGGGTATGTTGTTTGGGCATGACAGGTGTGTGGGCATGGACCGATTTGGGGGCGTGGCTCTATCTGTAACTTCAGGGGGGCCGGGGTGCTGACCCACACAAGGGCTTGTCTTCTCAGCCGATTTCACCTGTTCCAAAAAGGGCAGCCTGTAACTTAGTGGGAGTAGATGAGACATCAAAATGATGATTGTATCATGGAGAAATAACATCAGTGGCGTGACTGAAAATTTGGGGGTGTTGCAGAGGATGGATGGATGGGTGGTGGTGGTGGGTGTGTGGTTCGACTCCCCCCTCCAACTGTTCAGCTTCAGGGTCCCCGTGCACCCCAGCCGCCACCCCTACAATTTTGTGGATATCAGGTTGACATATAGCTAGCAGTACTTTAATTCTTCCTGATCGATCGCGGGGTTCGAATGTTACTTTCATCATCTACTACTAGGGATTGGCCACCGAAAAAGCATTAGTTAAAAAAAAAAAAAATTGGCAGTAGCTAATTTTAGAAGTTGACGTCACATGCAAATTGTCTCACCCTCTAAAAAAAGTCGTGAGAAGGGGGAATTTGTACACTAGTATTAGGTAAAGGTGCATTTTCCAGGATTGCATTAAAACATTGAGTGCCCCTTCGCTCGTACCCCCGCCCTGCAAACAGGAGGGCGGGGTACGAGTGAATGAGTGCCCCTTGATATGTTATGTTAAAACTCACGACGAATGAGGGCGGTATACACTCAGGTAATCTGATCAGCTGGCTCTGTGGTCGTGTGAGTCGGATTGGAGTGGAGCTGAGTGAGATCACAGATGATTATTTTCACCTGCAAAGGCCGCGATATTCTAAAAACATTATTTGGAGCTAAAAGTAAGTAGATGCAGATCTGGGTGTTAGTTATTTTTTTGGCACGTTGTCACTTTAGACTTAGTAAAGGAAAGGTCACCATGCTCATGGATGGTCGTTCACCGGCTCCGGGTTTGCCAATATGACGCAGAGACATTATACAAGTGACATTCTTTCTATTTATTTAGGCCTAGTCATTTCTTTCTTGTGTTTTTTTTTCCACAGAAAGTAAATAGGCCTAATAACAGTAACATAAACTTAAAGTAACATTGACGATAAAAAAAAAAAACATTTAGTACATGACCTACATGTACTCGCTATATTTTTATAGTGAATGAAAATTGTGCAAGCTCGCAAGTTAAATTATTTTTATGGACTTTAAAGCATGTTACATGTGATCACATTAGTTTGCACACACATGTACTCAGTTATAATTATGATAGTGAGTCGGTCATAATTTCATAGTCATGTGTGGAGAATGCAAACTATGCAGTACTTGAACCATCTGTGTTTGAACAATGTGTTTCAATATACTAGTCTGCATGATTGAACAATGTACTGGTAGGCTATTTGAACATAGATTTGTACTGGTTTTAATAATACACAGCATACATGCACTGGGCCTGTGTTCAAAATTTAATATACATGTACAATACAGATACAATGTACATGTATACACTGCACTGAAAAGTTGCACACACTTGATTTTTGAAGAGTAGCTGGAATTTCACTCTGCTTATTCGTGTTTATCATGCATACTAATTACTATGTCACATTTTATGAAATCACGCAACATTTGAGTCAGGCAGTGGGAAGGTGTGTAGAAAGTATCTGACTTTTATTTTCAAGCTTCCGTTTCCTTTTTCCAGGTTAAATTACATCGATATGAGAAAAATTTGATGTACATGTAGAGCTCTGATGTAACGGTCACTAACGGAAGAATGCAGCTAGCTTCAACATGCCCATCAGCAACATTGAACAGATATTCCAATGGATCGCAGTCCACCTAGGCATACATCTACCCGAGTGGTTACAGCAGAGCGTAGCTAGCCTGGACTACTACCTCTTATCATGGCTGCTGTGGCTCTTTATGCCCATCGTCATGGCCTTTCTGCTACCCGTCATCATACTCTTGATGGTCTACGGGTCGGTGCTCTTCCTTCACATCTACAAAGCGCGGCACCGCTTGGCCGATGCGTACTACAGCAGCGGCACGTGGGACTGGGCTCGGATGGTGCTGGCAACATTCTGGGAAGGCCAAGGCAATATATGGCATGGTAAGTCTTGACAATTGTAACGTAGTAAATGATACACGTTTCACGAGTAAATTTGTGAACTAGATGTGCATAATACTGTGCAGGGTGACTGTAAGGTCATGACTAAATTCTGCTAAATGCACTTCAAAAATCTGTCAGATTGATCAAAAATCTGCCAAATTCCCCAGAATTACTCAAAATACACTTTAAACACTTTAAATCACATGCAGATGTTGTAATATTGCCTTAATTAATGTTCAAATTACATTAAAAACCATTTATAGCCACATAAAGATGATATGGAATTGCATAAATTTCAGGCAAAATGCGGTTGCATCACTGGACGAAATCCGGTTCCCAGTGAACCTCTGCACCTAGACCAGGCAACCTGTCCTATTTTGCAAGGGTTTGCTTGAAAAGATTAAAGCTTTTGTAAATAAATGTACCATTTTTTTGCAGATTTGCTTTTTTGGGGGTCAAATAACCATTTTTGCAGAATTCTGCCAGAAATCTGCCAAAAAAAAATCCATTCTGTCAAATTTTCTGTCAAACTTGTTTTTTTAACAAAAAATCTGTCAAAGTCAGCCGAAAATCGGCTAAAACGGTCACTATGATAATGTGCCAGAGTTGAAGTGAAGTTGTTACAAGTCATTAGAGGGTCAATCACCTCAATCATAAGTTGTCAATCACATCTAATAGAATTGTAGAGAAGTGCGTGAAGATTTGTGCCACTGCTGTAGAGGAGTTTTTATCTGTTGTCACAAGTTATCACAGGTCAATTTCGTCAATCATATATCAGCCTAGTTCGAAAATTTTGGGCATCTCTTTACTGTGAATGAGAGTCCCAAAACTTGAGATATTGAAAACAAGCAATACAAGAAAATAGACTGGCACCTGAAACAACCAGTCCAACTGCATCAATCAACTATTAAAAGAAACATGTGGCATGTGTGGTACTGATCTCTATTTCTACACAGTTCTCCACAGTCAGCCACCAGACTAATTAGCTCATACTACATGTAATCTCAACTTACAGGCTATGACATTGTAGGCCTGGAGCACATTCCCCAGGAGGGGGCAGCAGTACTGATATACTACCATGGAACTATTCCATTAGACTTCTACTACATCATGGCTAAAGTTCTGCTCTTCAAGAACCGCGTTATGCAGCTGGTCGGCGACAGGTTTTTATTTGGGATCCCAGGTGAGAATTTCTGTTCACGCACAACAGACTCTCAGAGTTACATGTGCAGGCTCATACCACACAAATCGTGAATTTACTTCCGTTATTTTGTGCGTTGACCTTAAAGGCAGAGTACATCATTTGCAGCTATCAAAAAATAGTAACCGACAAAATTATTGTTGAAAGCAAAGTTGGTTTACCAAACTCCCTGTGAAATTATTCTTTCTTGCTTGCTGTCATTTTGAAGAAAACAATAAAAGAAGGCCATTTCCAACAATGTGTCCTACGGCGCGTTTTTGGAAATTTCTGTCGGTAGTTCGTTTTAATTCAGCAAAGCCGTGAACGAGTGCGCGCAAGCATCGATTCTACTTGCAACTTGTCCGGAACTCGTCAGCGATATGAACGGAGACTGGCCCTAAATTGTTTGTGCTTTTGGTTGACAGGGTTCAGAATTCTCCTCAAGGTTTTCCACGTGACTCCCGGGTCGGTACCAGAGTGTGTCCGCCTCCTGAGCGAGGGGCACATCCTAGCCATAGCTCCAGGGGGCGCTAGAGAGGCCCTCTTTGGCGATGAGCACTACCAGCTGGTCTGGGGCCAGCGATGTGGCTTTGCCGAGTGTGCCCTCCAAGCTAAAGTGGTGAGAATCTTCCACTGTAATTACAGTCGACTGGCGTTTAAACAAAATACAAACTCAGGCAAATTCTTCGTTACTATGTCTGTTGAATTTGGATCTTAACAGATCGGTGTGTAATATAACCAACAAAATAAGGGTCAAGAATGCATCTTTGATGGCACGTGTACTTAAAGCTATAGTCCATCATTTGCAGCCATCCGAAAAGTAACTGGCGTAATTACTGTTGAAAAACAAACTTGGTTGAAAGATAGTAAGGGAACTAAACTCCCTGTGAAATTATTCTTTCTGGGAAGCTGTCATTTTGAAGTAATCAACGAAAGAAGGCATTTCCAACGGTGATTCTGAAGAAGCACCGTAGGAAAATTTAAATTAGTAGTTCCTTTTGTTATTCAGCGCAGCGCGCACAAGTATTGGAACGACGCACACGCGCACGCGGTTGTTATAATTCGTCGGATCAGTGCGCGACGCCGCATATAGCTGCAATTACAAAACAATTCAAAACATGATTCAGTAACTTTTGATTTGAAATTGAGATCTTAGAATGCTGTTTTTCTCGGAATGTACAGCTGAAACTTAGCTGAAACTTCATCAGGTTAGTTGCTCAGTATCCTTTATTAGATTTTGAACACTTTTGTTGCTTCAAACGAACAAAATGCACTAATTACAAATGATGGACTATAGCTTTAATCCATTCAAATTATTACTTTTACGTTTAAAAAAAAAAATGCCCTGGATAAATTTTACTTCAAGGACTTCTCTCTCTTCTCTCACATTTCCAGCCTATTATTCCAGTGTTTACCCAGAATTGCAGAGAGGCCTTCAGGACTCCGTCTTGGGGTCGAAAATACCTCCAAAATATTTACGAGAAGACACGCCTTCCTCTTGTTCCCATCTATGGAGGTTTCCCGGTCAAATTAAGGTGAGTCGCTTTAAAGGGAAAATACATTTGCAAACATCACAAAATAAAACTACCAAGTTGTTACGAAATACCTTACTGGGATGTTGGTAAATGACAGTCTAAAGCATCCTGTAAAATTATGGCACCTGGTGTGAAGTCATTTTCAAGAAAATTTGTACTTTTGTATACATTGATAACGGTGGTCGGCCGACCACCGTCGGAAAAACCTGACTATTTTTCAACTACTGCTCCAAATTTACTATTTTTTTTTTCAGTCCAAATTTGGTTTGCTATTGGTTCCATGTTCATGAACGGGTGCAGGCCAGCTAGACTGGTTCCCTTACCTTATAACAATTTTCCGTCATTTTTGATCCATTTCATCTTAAGTGGAGTCAGGGAACCAGAAAACTTCAAACATGTCAGTGTAACAATATTTGATTATTATACTAACCCACCCCCCCCCCAAACAGTTCATTTCTGAAAATTACGGCAAAAGCCAAAGATGTACATTCCCTTTAAAATGCATAGTGAAATTGGAGGTAATGAACTAGTGAAATTCCAGCTGTTTTATAATTTGGTTTGTATCAAACTGCAGCCAAATTTTACTTGTTTAATTATTTTTCTTCATGTTGCAGGACTTTTATCGGGAAGCCCCTACCTTACGACGAGTCTTTAACAGCACCTCAGCTTGCAGAAAAGGTAATATTTAATGTTATTATTATTTGTGGTTTATTATTATTTCATGAAAAATGACACGTGGCAGCCAGGAGGCTGAATTACGGTTATTTTACAATAGTTGCAGTTATTAAACAGACACACAAAAAAATCATCTGGAGCAAAGTTAGAACAAAGTCAACAGAGTAAAAGCTTGTAAGCCTTAATGAGAATAGTAATATACAAATACTGGAGGAGTGTGGCCTAGTGGTTAGGGTTTGTGACTCCTGATCAGAGGGTCAGGGGTTTGAATCCAGCTGCTGGCCATATGTTGTGTCCTTGGGCAAGCCACTTCACCCCCACTTGCCTCTCTCCACCCAGGAGTATAAATGGGTACCGGCATTAGCTGGACTAGCATTCCGTCCAAGGGTGAATAGAAATATTTTCAGTTGTTTCATGCTACTGAAACCGGAGATAAACGTCGGCCTTATGGGCCACGTTGGCTCGTGACAGACTTTACTTCACCAGAAAAACACCAGAAAACATAATAAGCTTGTTCTCAATAGTTAGGGTTTGATTTTTAGTGGTGAAGACAATTGGTACTCGTTTTCCTTATAATTTAAACTTTCAGTTAACCTGCAAAAGCGCCCTCTGGATTGTGCAAGGAACTCTTCCCGGCATACGTTTATGGCTCAGTAACGACCTACCTTTGAGGGAATGTGGGCTTTGGCTCCAAACAGAGGAAAGGGTTTTCAAAACTTCTGAATATGCATGCAGCTGGAATTATAAAGAATCCTCTGCAATCTGCCTAAATCGCAATTGAATTAGGGTTATTAACAATCTTACAAACTTCTGAACCCATGTTGTTGTAATGCATGTAGTGAATTATTTGTGGTAACTTTTTTTTTACCACCTCAGACTCGTTCTGCCATCAGGGAACTGATCCGTCAGCATCAGCGCGTCCCTGGCAATGTCTTCCAAGCTCTACTAGATCGGTTCAGGTGATGACTAGAAAAGAAGCTATTTATGGGAAGACGTTTGCATCTGGGAGCTTAATATGAGCTGCTCTTCACTCATGTATTTTTTCATTAACACTCTATACTCAGTGTTGTCCGATGGGTGTGCAATCAAAATGTCACAAGCTTAATTGCTCGGGTTGGAGTCGAACCCCTGACCTCCTGCTTACAAGCGCAAACTCATTACCCTTGACCACCGAGCTAGTAGAACAGAAGCCTAAGTGGAAAACAGTGGTAATAATAGCAGGTGTGGTCTAAAGTAGAGCATAGGATTCATGATCGTGAGATTGTATGTTCGAGCCCCGCCGTGGCCATGCGTGTTGTGCCCTTGAGTCAGGCGCTTTACCTCAATTACTCCTCTCAACCCAGGTGTCAAGTGGGTACCGGCATTATACAATGCTGGGAAGGTAACAGACTCGCTGTGGAGGAGGTGTGGCGATCCCCCCACAGCAGCATTTCTCGAGTCTGGCCCAATTGCTTTAAAAGAGAGATGGGCACTCTGTTCCTGTGAACACAGGTTCTCCCCCTTTACCCTTACCCCCCTTTACCTTAATATTAGCAGGGGTTGCATACTTGCATAGCCAACTATGCATATATCCTGGTGATGGTAGGTTATTGTCGCAGCTTTTGTAGCTACTTTGCAGGGTAATGAATGGGTTCAGTTTGGACTTTGGATAAAACAAGTTGAGAAACTACTGTTTCTACAATTGAAGACTTGAAATCTCAACCATTTTTTGAAAGCAAATCTAGTACTTGCAGAGAAAATGAAGAAGCCTAACAAACCTCCTTGTTTTAACTTGTGTCATGGTTATACAAGGTGTCATGTAAAATTCCTTATTTATTTGTTTTCATTTGCATTCGGATTAAGTTTTCATTGAAGATGATTTTTTTTTCTGCAACATGCACAGGGATTTATTTTTGTTTTAAATATATGAGTTTTTGGGGTTTTGTTTTTAGCTGGATTTTAAATATATTTTATGTTATTTATTCTAAGAAATATGTATTTAAGCACTGACATCACAGTTGAAAATAAAATGTCATTGGTATTTTCATTCGAACGTGTGTATTTGGATCATGTAAATGCAATTAAAGTTTGCAGAAAGAAGTGTTTAAAATGGTGCAATGACACATTTTATTATTATTATTATCATTATTATTTATTCGGCATTCATAAATACCTCAGACAGTTTAGCCATTCCTATTGGTCGAGAGCCCGTCACGTGGCCGGTATTAAACGGATGATAAAGACATGGCTAGCTGGTCTTAAACACTTTTCCAGTGTCACAATAAAATGTGGACTCCTAAAAATCCAGTGCCTCTTACCGTTTCATTGGTTGAACGTTCACAATCCTTACGTAGGCATGCGCAAAACTACCAGGGAGTCAGAATTTTATAGTTCTAAATTCAAAACGCAACGCGCCAGGTGCGTTCTGCGCGACATCGCGTAGAACATGATACGCGCGCGTCAATCTCCATAAAAGGGTTGTTTTCATCTTACTCGCCAGCTGAACACTCCATTATTTTGCAGGAGGGATGTTTCAAAAAGCATAAAGTGAATTTGTTGAACAAAATCGGGATGTTTTGAACGAATTATATGATTTTTTTTTACCGAAAAGGTATTTATGAATGGGAATAAATATGTACTCCGTCGGTATTTATCACTCTGTTTAATACCACTTAGAGTCTGGGTGCTGATAATTACCCTCGCCTCCGGCTCGGGTAATTATCAGCACCCAGACTCTAAGTGGTATTAAACAGAGTGATAAAAACCTCCGGAGCACACATTTATTCCCTTATTAAAAGCACATACAAACAACAAACATTCACACAATATTAAAACAAAAAAACAAAAATAACAAAAACGAAAGCCAGAGGCATATGCCCGGAATAAAAAAAAAGTTTACCTAAAAACTGTGTCCCGAAGGCCTTCATCAATTCCAATACCTGTGGCTACACAAAAAATATAACAAACTTGCAAAAATGTCATCGGACAATGGACCGATCCAGTAAGCCCCGCCCACTGCGCACTGGGCAAATTAACACGTGCTCCTCTCCAATGCCACACTGCATTTTCCTGCCGCGCGCATCATACGCGCGTACCGCGTGCACGCATGTCGGACTTTTGTGCACGCACGTCGGACATAAATCACGGCTGTGATTGGTCAGAACACCATGGGGCGGTGCTTACTGGATCGGTCCATTCCACGGTTCCTCGCGTTTAAGGGGTGTCTTCGTCAATTGTGTGTTGTATCTGTAAAATCATCAAGGCATTGAGGGTGTAATTTTCTCACAGGAGATCATCCCTTTAAATTAAGCGACTAAACTTTAAAAAAACAAAAGATGCCAACAAAATAAATTCTGTTTTCATATCGGCAACTCACGTTACAAGAAAAGGACATTGCAAAAATTCAAATAGCCTGCATTTGAAAGTTTTCTCCATAGATGGAAAAAATATTTTAGGACCTTTACATCTTTTCGGTGTCAGTCTTATGCTACCGTTTCAATTATTAAAAAGTAATCAGTCATAAAATCTTGAGGTATATGCATGCACATGTATTTCGTTAACTCGTGTTACAGTTTGTCCGCTCAATTTTGGTACAAGTTAAAGCATAAGGGGAGCTCAAAATCAACCATAACAAACACTTTTTCGCATAAAATATTTCTCTCTGCCTAAAAACAACAACTCACGATAACACTTGGCATTTTGCGTGTAAAATATTTTGATTGCCAATAAATGTCATGCATGTGTGCCTTTGCACAAAAAAAGCAGGGTCATTCTTAAGGGTCAGGGTCATGTTAAAGTTTTTGTATGATTCTTGGGTTCGTGTACGATCCATTGTTAACCTCGATGGTGTCTCCATGGCCAGTGTCACGTAAACGGACAATGCAGCATATCGCATGCATGTAGCAGTGCGGAAGTTAATGGCGCATTACCTGCAGCGCAGGTTCAGTTCAGATTGATTGCATGTCATCGTCATGTCCGTGCAAGGAGAGTCTGCCTTTGTTTTCGATGCGACCAATCGGGATCCAGTCGTACAACGACAATCGCACGAGGACGGACAAATTAACGATGAGCAGAGCGAACTTGAAGATCAGAGAGGAGGGCCCTGCTTCATGTAAGTGGCACAGTTTGGATTCAAGTCATCCAAAGTCCTCATCACGAGTCGTCACAAGTCTATCAAATTTTAATCCTCCAGTCTTAATTGGCGCTGTACTGTGTTCAACCCATAGAGCTATATTAATATAGCTCTATGGTTCAACCCCTCTAACACAGTAATGCCACAATAAGGTGTTTCACGGTAACATGCCTCAGCTTCTTGGGGGGGGGGTGTAGAGGCCCCGCCCCTGATACCATAGGGTTAACGTTAGAAGGATTATCTGCATCGAAAAGATATTAAGTTAGAGTTTATCATTTACAGCTATCCAAAAAGTAACAGACGAAATTATTGTTGAAAAGCATTGAAGAAAATAAAAAAGGTCATCTCCAAAGATGCGTCTAAAGATGTATTAAACGTATTTGTTTAAACTCGGCCAAGCACATTTGTTAGTCCCTTATTAATGTTTATATAGGTACGCGAAGATCTTGAGCCGTTTCTGGTACGTGATTTGTTTGCTGGTGTTTCTGGCCTCTGGGGCCTTCGCTACCGTGGTGTTCACCTTGTACGATCTGCCAAACTTCTCAGAACCCTACAAGGTACGTCCACCAGCAAATTACAGCCAGTTAGTGTGGGCTACCAGTAAATACATTTTAATCTTGTAGGATTATGTAGAGAAGGTTTGTGTCTTCTACCAACTTGTATATGTCGGTTTGCAGTCAAATGCAAAATTGGATAAGATGTGATAACAATGGATTATTCTTGCCCTGTGAATTATTTGTAAATGTTTTAGTTTGTCAAATTGAAAATGAATCTACAAAATAAACGCGGCCTGACGTTGCGAACTTAGCAAGTTCTTAGAAATTGAAAATGAGCCTGTCAATTCGTCACCGTTTTCACGAAGAGCCACACATGTAAAAAAAAAAATTTAAATAATGGCAATTTTTTCGATTTCGGGTTTGTTGGACATGCTTCTGTAAGCAAAACATCATTAATTTCATAATTACGTTAATGATGCAAAGGGAAGGCATCTGAATTAGTGCATTTTGCGTTTTCACGAAGAGACACGAACATAGGTGTCCCTTGAACGCGTACAAAACGTATTGGACGAAAGGCGTAAAAGTAGGCCAAGCGTGATTTTCGTTTTCACGAAGAGCCACACATCTTTATTACATTTTTTAGTTGCGCGCGCGTAACACGATCCTTTCCTATTATGGAAAACACGTTGAACAAAAAACGGACCTAAATGTAGGAAACGTGGATTTTCGTTTTCACGAAGAGACACTCATCTTTAAATTAGTTATTGCTAATTAACAATTGTGCTGATAATTACTGGGTTAACATAAAAGTTTACCTTTCAAAGAATCATGTGAATGTTTTCTTACTGCATAAAGGTGTTGCAAAGTAGTAGTTTTTGCAGTTTTAAATTAAGAGGAACTTCTCTTGCGATTATCTCGAAAACGGTTTTTCTTCAAAATCCACATGACTTGTGTGGCTCTTCGTGAAAACGGTGACGAATTGTGAAGGAATTAATTAGGAAACGTACATTTGACTTTCAGTTTCCAGGATGTTCATTTTCATAAATATTTTCGCAACAGAAGCACATTAGGCAGGCATCGTGTAAAAGAGTTGAACAGTCAAACAAAATAACCTTGTCGCCGTTTAGGTCTACTTTTGTCACTTCGAACAGACTGGCGATTGACCAGAGAAAAATTTAACACCACCCCGATTCTGACTCCTATTCTGTGGGTATTGTCATTTGCTCCATGCGCAGGGCTTCCAACCTCGTGGTACGGATATAGCATCACGCGTATTCAGTCTCCAAAACCTCCTGCTTGACTCCGAGGATGTCCTGGTCGACCGTCCATCTGATGTGGTGACTTTCCAACCCTCCGTGACCCAAACACCCGTAGGTGGGTGTTGGCTGACCGAGGAGACAAAGACGAATATGGAACCTGCACCGGGCATTCAGTTCTGCAAATCCATTTGTACGGCTTGCATACAAATTTTGCTGTATTTTATAACCACCACTATCAGATATTTGTCCGTGTCAATGCCATGCGCTGTTGCTTCCTGTACGTTGCGTGTGTCTTCTTTCCAGCACAGTGCTATCTCAGATGCTTGCTTTTCAAGCCAGCGAGGGGGATATTGCGATAGCGTATTCCTTTCGTTGTGTCTTTTTGTATTGGTGGACATTACATTCACTGTGTTCTATCTTCTCTTAGATCTAAGCTTTTCTATCTTCTCTTAGATCTAAGCTTTGCCTCAAGACAGAAAACAAACAGTTATTTTGAATCAATTAACTTGTCAATAATAGCAAACCCTGTTGTATTAATCAGATAGACCTAACAGGTATAAGTGTTACACACTTCTTGACTTAAGTGCTGTAGTGCATTTTAAATATTTTCATTTCTGCAGGGGACTGGGATGACGAGGTTGCTACATTAGTCTTGGAGAGCGTGGAAGGTAACATACTAACCCCAGAAGCCGTTGCGTCAGCTTGCAGAGCTGAGGAGCGCTTTGTAACATCCCACCCATCTTACCAAGACCACTGCCTCTGCCGCGGTAACCACACCGACCAGGCCTGCCCCAGTGCCTGGTCAATAGGCAACTACATAGCCCTGCTGTCCAACAAATCGTACTGCGCAGATGTCGTAGAGGAAGATATAACGCGCACTGTTGACTTACTTAAACTTTGCGCGCCATTCCTGTATAACGTGTCTGGACCTGATTTGGTAAAATCTACCATTTCTGACGATTTCCCTTGTCAATGCGCACAACACAACTTTGCAGTCCACACCGTACTCTACTACCTGCTGCCCACAGATTTCAGTCTGAATATTATCAGAAATACAAGTCCTTTGATATCCCCTTTCACCTTTGTGTTTTTCCCGATATCTGGACGCAGTGAGATAGATGCACTGGAGTCAATTTATCTAGAGAGAATAGAAAACGAGCCAGACTCTGATGGGGTAACAAAACTCAAAGCCGTGGAATTTTTCTTAAAGTTCAAACTATTTCCTCGTCTCTTGTACTCTGACAGCTTATTCCTCGGTATTGCTGGTGCCGCAATTTTCCTTCTCATTTGGGTCTACTGCGGATCCATTTTGGTAACTTTAGCAGCCGTGATCAACGCCGTTCTGTCACTCGTCTTGGCTTACTTCCTATACATTGCCATTTTCCAAAGACCGTTCTTTCCCTTTGGTAATGTTCTTGCTGCAGTCCTGATTATGGGGATCGGCGCGGACGACACGTTTGTGTTCATAGACTTGTGGAAGAAGTTCAAATCGGAGTTGGGTGATCAAGATCTACCAAGACTTGTTCATGAAACCCTACGTCACACCGCTGTGACTATGTCTGTGACCAGTTTGACAACAGCCTCGGCTCTTTACATAACGGCCGTCAGCGATATCCCCTTTGTCAAATGCTTCGCTGTGTTTGCAGGCACAGCTATCGTGATGAATCTGGTACTTACAATGACTCTTCTTCCAGGTGCAATTATCATGCAACACAAGTTGACCGCTTGTTGTTGCTCTTCGCTGACTTGTAAACCGAAACGGGACATCAAGAAGATGATCTTCAAACCCCTGAATGTGTTTCACGAAGACCTGGTTCCTTTTCTGGTGCTCAAGTTGCGGTGGATATGGATAATTGTGTTCCTGTCTTTAATGGTAGGAAGTGTGGTAGTAGTTTTCTTTTATCCAACTCTCAGACTGCCCATTACTTCCACATTTCAGTTCTTTCAGACTTCGCACCCTTTCGAGCAGTTTGATGTTGTTTACTGGGATCAGATGTCGTATTCGCAGAACTCCTTCCCGGACCACGTGGGCAGTATCGTCTGGGGCGTTCAGGCGGTCGATAATGGCAATACTTGGAATCCGGATGATTTGGGAATCCTCTCATTAGACGAAAGTTTCCAGTTATCTGATCCCGAGGATCAAACCTGGCTTCTTGATCTCTGCCGTGACTTACGGAGCCAACCGTTTTATAGGGCAGGTCAGGAAACGGGTTGTTTTATCGAGGAATTCATAAGCTTCATGGAGTCTCCGGGCTGCGTGAATCCACGCACTGGTTACGATCTTTCTCCTTGTTGTAATCAGTCGGGGTTCCCTTATGAATCGGCTCTGTTCACCTCTTGCGTAGCAAAGTATGCTATTCAGGGCTTCCTTCCGAGTGTGTTCATCTGGAACAAAGACTCCAAGATAGCTGCCGTGACTGTTACCTTCCAAACAACGTATCCAAGTAGTTTTCAATATGAGACAAACAGCGAGTTTTGGGCCACTGTAGATGCTTGGGTCCAAGGGAAAGTGGACTTGGCACCCGTGTCTTTGCAGCGAGGTTGGTTCGTGTCGGATTCCATCACAATTCGCTTTTATGATCTCCAAGAGAGTCTTCGGGCAGGTGTCCCAGTCGCCATGCTGGTCACTTTGGCAATAGCATCCCTGATACTTTTTCTGACCATACGGAATATCGTGCTCACGCTGTGGGCGATGTTAACCATAACAAGCGCTGTCGTTGTCACTGTGGCAATCCTTGTCCTTCTTGGTTGGGAGTTGAATATTGTCGAGGCAACCATCATTACATTGGCTGTGGGTCTGTCCATAGACTTCACCATTCACTACGGAGTTGCCTACAAACTCTCCCCGTTGAAAACCCGCAGGCAGCGTGCGCGCTACTCTCTGACTACCATGACACCTGCCATCTCAATGGCGGCTCTGTCAACGTTTAGTGCAGGGGCTCTGGTTCTACCCGCTACGGTTCTCAGTTACTACCAGATTGGGTTCTTCCTCATGCTCGTGATGGTTGTTAGTTGGGTTCACAGTACGTTCTTCTTTCAGTCTCTATGCACAGTGGCCGGACCCCAGGAATTTTGTGTGGATGCCCCGTACCCATCATGCAATGGGTGTCGTAGCTTTTAAAAACATTCTATGAATGTACTCGTATGTGAACTTGGTGTTTATGTGTTTATCTTGTGTGTTATAATGAATGCCTGAATAAACTATTATAAGAACCAATTTCACTTTAGTTCTGCATGTACCTTTAATATAAAACTTTCAATCAGAGAGCAAAATTTAGATATATTTTTATTATCATTATTTACAGAGGAAAAATCATTCAGTTAAGTTTTTGTTTTAATTGTAGTTTTTAATATAAACGCAGTTGTGTCGGAAACAAAATTGATAATATTTTTATCATTATTTATACACAGGAAAACATGCAGTGAAACTGTCTTAAAATCATAGTATATTTAACAGTTTTTCCCTCAAATAGTGCTTTTCTTTAACAATTTTTGCCGTGTGCAGTAATGAAAAATAGAGAAATGATTTTATTTTTATTTACACAGAATAGTGGTATCATTAAGTCAAGCTATATTTGTAAAGATATTTTTTTAAATTTTGTATACAAATCCACGGGTGAAAGTTTTCCGCGGCTGCTGTGAATTTTGTACAATTCGAATTTAGAAATTTGGAATTGTGACCAATTTTCAATTCTAGCGGGATGCCGACTGTTCTGTCACAATCTATAATGTGTGTGGATGTGTTTGAAACTCAGCATAAAGCATTTTTTTTCAAAATAGAAAAAAAAAACTCTTACAAAATAGAGAAAATAAACATTCAAATTCCTTTAGAAATGTTCCTTTTTGTCCGGATGTCCTTCAATGAACCGTTATTTACTTTAAATGCCGGGGTGCTTTTAGTGTGTTACATATTTTACATAATAAAAACAACTATATCGCAGAAACTTGAATAACATTTGTATTATTTATAACTAAGTATACCATTAGCGTTCGAATGGTTCATGAGGCCAACTACACAATGTTTTTAGGCACAAAGTAATTGTTAAAGCAAGAAAAGTAAAGTGCGTCATACATGCCCGCAACATTTTTTTTGCGAGGCACTAGCGCCGCCGCGAAAGCACGTACCGCCATTATTTTATTTATATCATTTTAAAGCTTGGAATCTGAACTTTATCCCTGGTAAACATTGGTTTGATTTTCAAAAGGGTTCGTGTTCAAATAAAGGCATGTCAAAAGCAAACTCAACCGATTTCAAGGAAAATCAATCATGCGCCTTTTTTTCGAACGTGGAAAGGCTTCATCATGTTCATGATGTGACGATCTCGTTGCCTTTTACTTTCTGTGTTTCCTTTTTTATTTCTTTTCGATCCACGTAGACAACAACTTCATAAATAAATCCACAGTACTGTTATTCGTTTCAAGTTCAATGTGTTTTTAATATATCAAGTGTTTTTTTTTAATTTCAACAGCATGTTGACTTGAGTTTGAATTTTACAACAACAACAACAAAGTTCTATCTGATTGTTTTTGTTTTGATAGCAATGGTGGGCACTTCTGAGCCTCCATAGTGTTGACTCGTGTTTTCATTACTCAAATAAGCCATGGTCAAACAAAATTATTATATTGTCAAAGTACATGTATATATGCCAGGCCGACGTTGCATATACATGTTTGATGATAATAAACGCCGACACAGCGATGACACGTGCATGGATGCATCACTGCACTGAACGCAATGAACTCAATCAATAAATTGTCCGTCCGTGACCCACAGTATTTAGCCTAGCGAAGTACGTTGGTACGGTACACGATTTTATTGTAAAATGCAATTCTGTACGCCTACTTCTACTTCCGTGAGTGGGATGCTGACATAAGCTGTACTCCATGTAGTGTATTCATTGTAGGCCTATTGTATTGTACCACAAAAGCAGCCGATACCTATACCTCCATGTTAAAAGGATACGAGATATAGTCCATAATCGCTGCAATCCTGCCTTGGATTTCGTCCCATTAAGCATGGCTGATGTGATAGGCCTACTAGACGATAATTGCGAAACGGTGGATAGCAGTGACGATCGGCATCCAGTCAGGCCTAGCGGTTTCTGCTACAGGTGAGTCAAATGCCCCTTTTTTTATATAAAGCTTTGTAAAGAGTCGGTTTTTAGATCCAAGGTCTCGGCACAAAAGGGCTGATTTAAGTACGTACTGATCAACTGTGCATGTAGCATTGTGAATGACAAAATGGCGAATATATCGTAATAGGCCTACATGTAAACAGGGCACAGACCGTTTCACAGATGCTGCTAGATAGGCGTGCTTCATGGCACTCGGTAATCTTGGTACTCAAAAATATAACGTCCCTTCATATGTCATTGTATCCTGAGCATGATTTTCGATGAAAATGCCCTGTGAGATTACCACGTGACCGTAAAGATCTTTCTGTTTTTCCGCTCCAGACATATGTGTTGGATTTATGAATGACACACAGGTCCTGTAATAAGTACGTAATGCCCTGTTAAATTAAAATATGTTAATACCATTCATGATATTTACGTGTTTAATCGAGAGGAAAGGCTCCATTGAACTGAGTGATTATTGTTTCCAATTTTTATCAGGTATGCGAAGTTTCTGGCTCGTTTCTGGTACGTCGTGTGCCTTCTAGTATTTGTGATAGTTACTGCATGTGGCGTGGTCACATTCAAGGTATATGATCTGCCGGATTTCTCCGAACCACAAAAGGTATATACGTATATTATCTTTGTTTTTGTACTCAATGAAACGATACCAGGCAACACTATATATAAAAGCTAGTCTAGACTGTAGTCAACAATTTGGAACTTTCAAAACTGAGAGTCCCCAGACTTAAGATAGTGAAAAAATGCAGTACAAGAAAATAGACTGGCACATGAAACAACCAGCCCAACACCACTTCAGTACTTCATGAATCAACAGTGTCAAAAGAAACATCTGGTACCCAGTCTCTGTTTCTACACATTCTCTCCATAGATGCCACCAGACTACTGCATGGTCAATCTTTTCAAAAAGGTTGATATCAACCTCGTCCCCAGTGCTTACTTTATTTCCAACCGCGTTTCCAATAGTAAACCCTGGATAGGAAACTTTCTTCCTGTATCCTGATTGGATACCGCAATTGGCTAGTAATGGATTTTTATCGTGTACTTGGTGCTATATATTTACAACGTGCAGTACGTGTTTTCGCGATCATTCGTCCACACCCTCTCGAAAATACTAATTTCCTTTCCAATTTGCTCATATTAATATGAAATATGATACTGCATGTTGTCTCGATAAGATCGTAACAGTTTGATTTCAAAAATCGTGTTTTCGTAAATCACGCCGTGCTCGCGCTGCTACGAATTGACTCTGTTTTTACCCCAGACACCCCATACAAAAACAAACGCTTATGTGTCACGCATATCCAGGCACCAGACTGTTCTCATTTGCATACGTGTGCAAAAATCTTGCACATGCAAATGATCCAATACCAGGGTGAGAGAGCAGGTAGTGGTGGGCGCGTACTGATCGACACCCTGGGGACGAGGTTGGGTTGATATGTACTAGTCAAGTCTTAGGCTTCAAATTGAAATCATTTTGCATCACTCTCGGGTGCAAATTGTTGAAGAAAGCGCCCCTTTAAAAATGAAATTAAGACCTAAAAAAACGTGGGCAGTTGAAATACTGAGGACCTAGTTGCCTCATGAACATTTTGGAGACTTGTGACAGCAAAAGTGTGAGTAAAGCTGACCCAATTTTGTGTTGCATGTTTTCTGCACTCAAAGTCTCAGTCTGCTTCCAGACTAGTCTATGTCATAAGTAAAAGTCAGTCAATGCGATAGGTAATCAGTCACAAATAACAGCCAATGACGGCTAAGTCATTGAGTCACTGAGACTGCGGTACAAAAGGGGACAATAGGACGCCCTCTGGGACCAAAAACAAATTAAAATATATATTCCAATCCATATTTGCATCTTTGTTACCATACCTTTTTATACCCATGTAATTCCTTATACTTTTAAGGCTTATAATTTGAACATGGAGCTATAAACCATTATCATGTTGCAGGCTTTTGGATTTTACCCATTCAAATCAAGGTAAACAAAGCGAGGCTGGAAGGAAAAATAGTCTGGCTCCTTTTTGCACAAAAAAAGTCATTTAGTACTGTTGTTGGATACAGGGAACATGACTGAAATGGTGGCAGCATGAAAAAGGTCTAGATAAAAGTTTGTGACGGTCAGTCAGTGAGTCACCCTGCGGTACAAAAGGGGACACTATGAAGCCTTCTGAGACCAGCCAAAAAATATGTTTTATATTCCAATCCATACTTTAGACCTATATTTTGAACAACGAAACTGATTGCTTGTTGACTATAAGAATATTTCACTCTTAACATTGATTGTGACATTTTGGGAGTAGATAAGAATGGGCTTTCAAAACTTTTTTTTTTCAAAGATATTTATCAGCACTCAATTTAATTATTACACTTAACTTAAAATTGAGCACGGGTAAAACTTAAAATCAATTGGAGGAATAGCGAGAACCAAGTGTGGAACGCTTGAGTGGCTATTCACATTTTGTTTCTGTTTTTCGTAGGGATTTGAAGCAAGGGGGACGGTGATTAGGTCACGAGAATTTAGTCTCCTCCACCTGAGAGACAACGACTTGCTGGTTCCACGCCCCTCGGATGCCGACGTTAACCAGGTATGCAAACAACTTGGCTTAGGTCGGTATTTCCTGACACGAAATTTCGCTTATCAACTCCTGCAGGGCACAGTTTCATAGCGCTGCTTAACAGCCGATTGTGTGCTAACAGAGCCCCTGTCTATTTCATAGAGACCGTTAAGCAGAAATTTAGCAAAGTAAAAGCACGCTTAACCCCGGAGAGAAAAGTTGCTTAAATCAGTGATACAACAAGAGAATATCCCCGTATGCACGCGCGACCGTCAGCAAATCCACGCCGTGAAAAAGTGCTGAAGTTCAGCAGGATTTTCTGCTATATTGAGCACAACTTTTCTGCAAACTGTAAAGCAGCTCTATGAAATTAGGCCCTGCCTGGCCTAAAGTGACTGCACGTGAATCTAACAAGTTGATGTACGTGAAGTGTCAACGTTGGGTAAAACGCACACACCCGAGTTTAAGCCGACTGTCACCCCATATGCTTCAAGTACACAATGTGATACATAAATGGCAACTTCCTAACGCCTCATGCACTTGAGCTTTACTTTTGTGTTGTTGCAAATATAACCTCATCTGCCTCAGTTTCCTGTCAAGAGCCTCAAGCGTTCATGATTTTGGGACAAAAAATGTGCTAGTGGACGCGTGCATAAGGTGCAGTCAGTTTTTACAGTGTGGTAGTGACTTGCACTTGATCACTGTCATCAGCTCTGACCGTGTATGTTATTCAGTCACATATAAATAATTTTATGCTGGAGTTTTCAAACTAGTTGACTATGTGTAGATCTCATATTTTTTTATCAAATCCGTTGAGATTCGCATGGCATTCTGATTATGGTCGGCAAGCGATAATTTGCAGTGGACCAGACACATTTTCTTTATTTATTTCAGGAGTCCTTTGAGATATTTGATCTTCACTTCTATATTGATGCAAAATGCAAGGGAATGATAATTGAATGTTCTTGAAATAATAGTGCGACGGGTTCACTGCCCGTAAGGTTATTGAACCTGTCAGTGACCTGTCAACACAATATGAGCTTAAAATCTGACTTTTTAAGAATTGAGATATTTATTTATTTGGATTTTGCAAAACAAGAGCGCCCCAAAGGCATATAACATTAAGAGGTACTGAGTTCAGTAACGGAACTAAACCACCAACTAACTTGAAGTTGATTCTCGGGAAAATGGCATTTTAAAATCCTGCAGTTGTGTAACAGTGAATGAACAGTCAACTTATAATACGGGATGAAAATAGGTTTTAAAGATGTTTGAATTTTAATATTTGGTTGGTTTGCCTCACAACTAGAATAAAGTGCGACTTTATTAAAGTGTTGTTGAGTGCCGCGAATATTTTGAACTCTCCATTGCCTCTCAAAACTTTGAACAATATGACTTATTGTTTATAAGGAGCTTTATACATATCCGCAGGGCAATTTTTCCAAGACCAGCGGTTCCTTGAAGTTTCGAGGCCCCCGCACGGTGGACAATAAGCCTTTGGTTCCAGCTGGCCAATCGCTCAGCTCCATCGATGCTCAAAGTGATACCATGGTGGAGAGCAGTGACTTGGAGCCTACATCATCAACAGGATTTCAGTTCTGCACTTCGATATGTAAGTTTTTTTATGGTACTTACATACCTTTTCGGTCTCATCTTCATGTAACATTGATGACTGAGGTTTCTGCCTCCCTAAATGAGCTCACACCTTTGTTCATGAATATGCAAACAACCAAAAATGCACCAAAATGCCCTTAAAAGGGCACAAAAGGCGCTTTAACAAAGACTGCGTTAACAAAAAAAATACATTACACGGGCCTTTTAAAAATAAATCGTATAGGGTAACGCAACCTGTATAAAACGTGACCTGGTATACTTATTCGGTTTGTATGCAGGGAATGAGGGTCAATACAGCGTAAGCACAATGGTGTTTGAAGGAGTAGATGGAACCAACGTATTGACAATGGAAGCCATCAAGTCAGTTTGCGAAGCCGAGAAGCGACTGGTAACATTCCATCCAGCGTACAAAAGCAATTGCGACTGCAGCTTTCAAGGGAGCGGCGACTGCCCAACTTGGTCCATAGGTAACTACGTAGCCTTGCTTGCCAACAAGACATCGTGTGCAGATATCGAGCAAGAAGATGTAAGACGCGCGACAGACTTACTGGCGCTCTGCGCACCTATTTACGGAAATACATCCAAAGAAGATCTGCTCAACCCTGATCTTCGCAAGAACCTTCCTGATGAGTGCATCCAACATAAGTACGCTGCTTTTGCGATATTGCACTACCTCCTCCCAATAGCTTTCAGTCAAAATATCGATGGTCAGACGGCCCTTTCATCCCCTATCTGTGAAGTTCTGTTTCCTATAACTGACAGTGATGCCTTGGAGACCATCTTTAAGGAAAGTGTGGAAAAGAAGTCAGATACAGATGGTATCACGAGGCTCAAGGCCGTTTCCTTTCACATCAAATTCGAGCTGTTTTCTGATCTACTCATATCTGATGTTATGTACATGGCTATATCTGCCGGGGCCATTTTCCTCCTAATTTGGGTGTACACTGGTTCACTTTTGGTGGCCATAGTTGCCTTTCTTAACATTGTTTTCTCACTCGTTCTGGCCGATTTTTGTTACACAGTTGTGTTTGTTAGGCCCTTCTTTCCCTTTGCAAACATTATAACTGTAATTTTAATGCTGGGGGTCGGAGCAGATGATACATTTGTGTACATGGACTTGTGGAAGAAAACCAAGTCGGAAATGGGTGATCGAGATATACCAGGACTGGTCTGTGAGACCCTTCGCCATGCTTCAGCTACAATGATCGTGACGAGCCTCACCACGGCTGCCGCTCTCTACGCAACGGTCTTCAGTCACATCACCGCTTTGAAATGCTTCGCAGTGTTTGCAGGTACAGGGATCATCATGAACTTGGTATTGACACTGACACTGCTCCCTGCCGTTATCGTCATGCAGCACAAATTGGCCACGTGGTGTTGCTCACTGAAGATTTGCTCCCAGTCCTGTCTGTCAAAAGGCAACGGATGCTTGAAAACTCTCTCACAGCGTGTGAAGATGGTTTACGAGGATCTAATCCCGTTTCTTGTTTTGAAGCTTAGGTACGTCTGGATTGTTCTTTTTCTGCTGCTGATGACTGGAGGCGCTGTGGTAGTGTTTTATTATCCACGTTTCCGGCTCCCATCCAGTGCTGAGTTTCAGGTCTTCGTCTCTTCTCATTACTTTGAACAGTACGACTTTGTTTACAGAGAACAGTTTGCGTTTTCGCAGGAGAGGTTTTACGATGCCCGAGGTTCTGTCACGTGGGGAGTCCAGGCACTGGACAATGGTAATACATGGGATCCAGACGACCAAGGAACTCTACTATTAGATGATGGTTTCAAGTTTTCAAGTCTTGAAGATCAGGCATGGTTGTTGAATTTTTGTCAGGACCTCCGAAAGCAAGCATTTTACAGGTCAGAAACGCAAATTGATTGTTTCATCGAACCTTTTGTAGATTTCATGCAGAATCCAAGATGTAAAACGTTTGGAATAGACTTGTCTCCTTGCTGTAACCAGTCTGAATCAACGTACAGCCCTTACCTCTTCGAAACTTGTATGGCTAAATTTGCTGATCTGTCACTTTTTTATCAGCAGGTGTTTTTTCGCAAGACCGACGCCAAACTCGCAGTTATCAAAATCGATTTCCAGACAATATTTCCAAGCAGTTACAACTTCGCTAAAAATGATGAGTTTTGGGTGAATGTCAACACATGGGTTGAGGACAAGCTCGAGTCGGCGCCGAAATCCTTACAACGGGGCTGGTTTGTCGGCACCTATGGAGGACTTTTGTTTTATGATTTGCAACAGAGTCTGGCGACTGGCACCCGCAACTCCATGGTCATCACCCTGGCAGTAGCGTCTGGTATCCTGCTTCTGGCAATGCGCAATCTATTGCTGACTCTCCTGTCCATGCTGACAATAGCGAGCGCTGTGTTTGTCACCGTGGCCAGTCTTGTCCTGCTTGGCTGGGAATTGAATATTGTCGAGGCAACCATTATCACATTGGCTGTTGGTCTGTCTGTTGATTTCACGATCCATTATGGGGTGGCTTACAAACTCTCCCCAAGTGACACTAGAAGGCAGCGTGCACGATACTCACTAACCACCATGACTCCTGCTATTACTTTAGCCGCATTCTCCACGTTCCTTGCAGGTGCTCTTGTCCTGCCTTCCACAGTCTTGTTTTACAATCGATTTGCAATTTTTCTGATGCTAGTCATGAGCATAAGCTGGGCGCACGGTACATTCTTTTTCCAGTCTCTCTGCATGGTGATTGGACCGCAGGGTTCATGCGGCGATATCCCAGGTCTGTCTAAATGTGGGTGCTCGAAGCAAGAAACGGGTAATGTTCAACCGGAGCAAGAGCAAACAAGCATGCACACTTATGACAATCACGTCGAAACAAATGTACTTTCAGACGATGTGGATTTCATATTGGGTACTGATCAGGCTTTGCCGCCTGAACAGAACTATTCCATGTCTCTTTGATCATAGTTAGGGTCTGATAAATGTCATATGATTGATGAGATTCTTTTGAAGACTATCTGTGGTTCTGTTGAAGCATTCGCGTTGTACGGTGTGCAAAATCACATTCAGTGTTTAACGTGACCGGTTACATGAACTCTTTAAGAATACTATTAATTAGTGACACCTGCTGATGCTGATTTTAAGAAGTAATGGAATTAATTTTGTTCAATGTCAAATAAAACTAGGTTACGAATTTGAGGGGTTTATGAGCTGAATGTTTAAAGAATAAAATTTGCAACGGCCGTGTTGATTAGGAGTAATTTAAACATGATGCCTTGCAACAAAATCATTGACATGTTTAAACTCTTCTGGAGAATACTGCAAGCCTTTTATACTAAATGTCATATTGTTGAGGTAAATTGGATTTGTTTATTATACTTCTTATATATATTTTTTATATAAAAAATATTTTTGATACATTTTTCTCATCAACGGGATCATTTATCTCCACCTATATATGGTTTTATTTCAGATCTTGTAACCATCTCAGGTAACATTTTTCGTTACCTCAGCATTTTTCGGTGCATCAGTGCTGTTTTAATGTATATATACAACAGCAACATTTTGAATATAATATTTTGTATAAATAGACGGCTGTGTATATATTGGATACTCTTATTTTTTTATGTCGTGGTGAAAGTAGAAATATAATGTACCACATTTATTTGATAAGCAAACTTTGAGTCTATACAGCAGTGCTGTAGTCGAGTCCTCACAAATCCATTACAAGTCCATCACAAGTCCTCACAAGTCCATCACAAGTAAACATCACTTGTAAGTCCATCACAAGTCCTCACAAGTCCATCACAAGTCGTCACAAATCCTCACAAGTCCATCACAAGTCCATCACAAGTCCATCACAAGTCCATCACAAGTCATCACAAGTCATCACAAGTCCATTACAAGTCCATCACAAGTCCTCATAAGTAAATCACAAGTCCATCAAAGTCCATCACTGGCAAGTACATGACAAGTTCTCACAAGTCCATGACAAGTCCTCACAAGTCCCTCAAAAGTCCATCACAAGTCCTCAAAGTCCATCACAAGTCCATCACAAGTCATCACACGTCCATCACAAGTCCATCACAAGTCATCACAAGTTCATCACAAGTCATCACAAATCCATCACAATTCCATCACAAGTCCTCACAGGTCCATCATAAGTCCTCACAAGTCCTGACAAGTCCACTTAAATTCAAGTCGCAACGTATTCAATCGAATGATGACAAAAGTATTCCTTTGTAATGTTCTTCACCTGTTTACTTGTGACTGGGTTTTGGAAAGGATTTTTGATTGACAGACTCGACTTCATCGCTGCTTAAGGTGTATACGTTTAAAGTAACGAATTTTGTATTTACATTTCTGAATTTAAAGGTTCATTAGTAAATACCCAGAAACGTACCGTCCGATTTAATGAGAAACATCTTGCTCAAAGGGAAGATAGGACTGGTACAAATACCCTGTGAAATATTTCCGCCTGAAATGGTATCGTTCGAAAGAAAACAATCATCTGAGATGGTTTTAAACAATAGTGGATCAGCGGGCACACTTTTACACAGGTTAAAGTTGTTTTGCACCTTCTATAAGGATTTTGAGTAATATTGTTGCTTCAAACGAAAACCACGCACAAACAGCAAACGATCCTTTACACCTTTACATAAAATAATGACGTTGTTACATTATCAGTGTTACATCGTGTCTTTGATACTCTAATTCCACTGGCCTGGAATGGCAGCGTGTCCCGAGTCCATGAATATATCCGTTTAACTTCATACACACTTCCCGGGTGCTGTTACAAACGCCATATCCCACATCACAGCAGTCAACAATAATTGCTACATATTGAGTGTCTTGCGTCTATTGTTTTTTGCACTTGCCGTTTTCAATCTGTGTCGGCATATTTATTATTCCATCTCAAACAATAAAGTTATAAGTGAACGGCTACAGTCTGAGCTGCTTAAAAGTCTGTGTTTCATCGTGCAAATTTATATCTTGTGTTTTGTTTCATGCTTAAAGGTTACATCATTTTCCAGGAGCCCGATAGGATTGTTGTGCGAACATTTTCAATATCACTCGAAACCCAAATGGCAGGACCAATCATTTAATGAAGTTCTGCATGTAGCACCCTCAAAATCTAGGATATGAAAGCCCAATTCAGCTTTCTTTTTAAGTAGTAGAATCATTCAAATCGCTCATGTACTTTTCAAGTTATGGAATTGTAAACACAGACACCGTTTTAAAGTTCTTTCCACGGAACACGGATCACAAAAAAAAGTAGGTTAAGGTTCTTTCAGCAAAACGAATACAATTCACATACATCCCAGTGTGTACTAAAAGAAAGCTTTTTAATTGGGCTTTCATATACTACATTTTGAAAGTGCTATAACTTCTTTAACAAAAATGGTCCGGACATTTGGGTTTCCTTTTTTTGGGGGGGGGGGACTCGCCTTGTACAAAGAAAACCAGTTTTTATATGTAGGCCTACAGAAGTAATGGTGGGTAAAATTCCTTGGGAAAGCTATAAACACTTATATAACTATCCAAAGCGTCATGTGACTGAAGAAACATTTGGAATCATCGTAAGATTTCAAGCAAGTCGTTTTCAGAAATACCCTAATTACTTTTGTGGTTCCAATTCTAATCGCAGTATGGTTCACATCACATGCACTGCTTCATTCCCAATTTTTCAATTCAGGGTGTCCCCAAAAAAGTTGTGCAAGCAGATATCCTTTAATTTCTCAAAAACTACTTAACATGATTAATTCATCTCAATGAAACATTTTAATTAAAATGCCATGGAAATCCGTTCATGTAAACCAGAGATCTAACAGATTGTAAAAGGCTATGGGTTTTTCACCCATTCCAATGGGATTTGCATGATCATGTAGTCTTGGGCCTTTTCCAAATCCCATTCCATTGGATGGGTGAAAAAAACATGGTATTTTATAATATCTGCTAGATCTCTGGTTTGCATGAACGGATTTGCATGGCATTGTTACTGAATATGCACAAGAGTATAGTTAATATGCTCCATCAAGATGAAATACTCATGCTAGGTAGTTTTTGAGAGATTAAAGGATATCTCTTGCACAACTTTTTGGGAACACCCAGTAAAACCTATACCGAATCAGACTGTAATAGTGTTTTTATACCCGTACAATACTACAAGGAAATTGAACAACATTTACCGGTTCAGACTTCTATACTGTGAGTCACGTTATCGACCGATTATACTCTACTTTTAGGTTGTTCATTGTTCGCGCAAAATTACCATAAAAACCGACCCTTTTGGATATCTAAAGGCGAGGCCAACATTCTGTAAATACGTCATTCGGCCACCGTCAGGTTGAAAAAGAACAATGCTGCAAAAAAAGAAACTACACGGTTAACTGGCCATGTACGTGGAAAGTGCTTGGAGAATAGAAAGCAACGAGTTTGTGCAGTTCTCACTCGATGGTGCGAATAGGGAATCGTTATTAACAGTTGAATCATGCAGTGCATTAATACGCGGCTTTCGACTTTCGACTACTACAGCGGCTGTTGTTGATACTTTGTGTAATACTGACACGGCCTGTCACTGATTTGGACGTGAAAGCAAGATGCCCCTAGTCCACAGACCATCATCAGGGCCCGATGACAGCAATATAAGTCTTAACGATGATACATCAACCTCACGTCACAACGGCTTGATGACGACAGACAGCGATGACATAGTCGACACAGCGCCGGGCGGAGTATGCTATACGTAAGTCAGTTTATGTTCCCAAGCTGATGTATTTTCTCAGTAATTCATTTTGTGGCCGGCCCAACTGTCATTGTGTGCGCAGTGAAATGTCTCAAAGTTCGTAGAAGTGAAATCATCATACCATTGATATTTAACATTTCATCATTGAAAACATTTGTGAGAAATGTTTGCTCATTGGCTTACTGCCATGTACCGAGGCTTACTGCCATGTACTGACACAAGGAATGACCAAATAATAGAACAATTACATTCAGCCAAATTTTGGTGCTGAAATAGATGGGAAATTGAAGTTTCTGCCCGAAATGTCATCACAATTTTACTTACGAACATGGAACTTCGCATTAGCATACAAACCCCGAAAGGCACCAAAATAGCCTTAAAAATGGCAAAACGAAAATTGAAATAAGGTTAACGGGACAGGGATTACATTTTAAAGATTACATTGCAGGGGCCCTTTAAAAGTCATATATTCAGTGGCGTAAATTTGTATTGCTCTTTTGTTATCAGGTATGCAAAGATCCTGGCCCGTTTCTGGTACGTCATTTGTATCCTAGTCTTCATAACAGTCGCTGCATTCACCGCCCTTCCACTCACGCTCTACGATTTGCCAGATTTTTCTGAACCATCTAAGGTATATGGCTTTGAACATAATTAAAAAGTATTTTTAAAAGACAGTATGCCAGGGTTATTTTATGCTTGGTTGTCGCACAATGATGAATGGAAATCGGACTCCTATGAAAATCGGACTCCTTTCCTTTACCCTAGTATTATTGGTTAAACCCTCTCACGTGACCAGTCACTCTCCTAATCATCATAATACACATGCGCAATACTAGTACCAACGACTCCGTATTGCATAGAGTCCTACATTGACGCTACATCTGATCACATTATTGTTTAAACCTTGCAAGGGCACCGCGGAAATTATGGATGTAGAATTGAGTTGGAACATTGAAAAGTCTCCCTTTAATTTCCGTTGTGAAAGTGTAAGCTATCATGTTATTCCTATTCAAAATGTTGATTTGGTGGACAGTGATGTTTAAATATGTCTAGAGTGTTCTAGGACAAAACAGTCCAAAAACATAAACTTGAAGAAAGCGCAATGTTTAAAGAGACTTTTGATAGCAATCGGGTTTTTTTTCACGAAAATGTATGCATTTGCTTGTAAACATTACAAAATATAAGTCAAGACAATTGTGGAGAATATACTAGTTTATTTAAGTCACTGCAACTATTAAAACATTAGCATAATGTTAGATAATTAATGACCGCAGAAGGAAGCCTTAGAACAATGGTGGCCTTGAAAGGACATCATGTACTTTCCCTTTTTGGCAAAGGAGATGTCGGTCACTGCATTGCGACTTTCAAAATTAACGAGGTCTAAAAAAGAAATGGTTTCTTTGTGGCCTGAAAAGAAACTCATAATTCGTTGCGGTTTTCACTGAACAACCAGTGTTAAAAAAAATAGCCTAATTAATTTTTTTTTGAAGGACTGCGTTACTGACTGATTATTTCGATGTGCATTTAGGGATTTGACGCACGTGGAACGGTGATATCTGCAAGGCTGAACAGCCTCCAAAATCTATTTGCCGACCGGACAAATTTGATAGTTTTTCGGCCTGCTGATGCTCAAATGATCTCCCCTAACCCACCGGTGAGTGAGAGCCACACATCGAGACAGCAGCGGACTAGACGACAGGCCGGTCAATCTCCTATGACGGGCATCCAGTTTTGTTTCCCTTTATGTGAGTTGTCTTATTTTTTCCTTTTGTCCTTTGGAGTTCAAATTGTGAACAATATTATTGCTCCACAACCAGACTGAGACAAAACAAAAACAAAAAAAGTATTGATTTACTATTCAGGCAACAAAATTAACTTTAATTTCTTTAAGGCAAAGATGAGTTCCTCAGTGTTTCATTGAAAGTTTGGGTCTCATTTCTAGCAGTTAACTGTCCTCAATGGGTATCAGAGGTGAAGCCAAGTATTTTTAATTAACATTCATAAATACCTCAGACAGTTTAGCTATTCCTATTGGTCGAGAGCCCGTCACGTGGCCGGTCTTAAACGGATGATAAAGACATGGCTAGCTGGTCTTAAACACTTTTCCAGTGTCACAATAAAATGTGGACTCCTAAAAATCCAGTGCCTCTTACCGTTTCATTGGTTGAGCGTTCACAATCCTCACGTAGGCATGCGCAACACTACAAGCGAGTCAGAATTTTATAGTACAAATTCAAAACGCAACGCCCCAGGTGCGTTCTGCGTGACATCGCGCAGAACATGTTACGCGCGCGTCAATCTCCATAAAAGGGTTGTTTACATCTTACTCGCCAGCTGATCACTCCATTATTTTGCTAGAGGGATGTTTCAAAAAGCATGAAGTGAACTTGTTGAACAAAATCGGGATTTTTTGAACGAATTATTTGATATTTTTTTACGGATAAGGTATTTATGAATGGGAATAAATATGTGCTCGGTCGGTATTTATCACTCTGTTTAATACCGCTTAGAGTCTGGGTGCTGATAATTACCCTCGCCTCCGGCTCGGGTAATTATCAGCACCCAGACTCTAAGCGGTATTAAACGAGTGATAAAAACCTCCGGAGCACACATTTATTCCCTTATTTAAGTCCAAGACTGTATTAATCTACACTTTTAATATGACTGTGTTCAAAATGTTTGTAAAAAATGACAGTGGACACATTTTTTATAAAAATAAAGATTTTGTAACAAAATGTTGCTTTTGACTTCTATAATCATTACGTACAATAGAAGTTGTTACATGCAACATGCAGTCCATTTGAAAGTCCGTATTAGGTTTTGAGAATCTCAGTAGACAGTATTCCAATATATTTGGCTTTTATTGTGCATTTTCCAACGTAAAAAAAATGTCAAGAACTGAAAAATAAATAGTCAGCGAGAACAGATTCCTTCTAGAAAAAAACCCAGCTCATCTTTACTTTTCCCTTTAACTTTTTTTTTTCAGGGGAAACTTCGTCGGGAACCGATTGGGGGACCCTCGTATTTGAGAGAGTCGATGGAGGCAACATGCTTACTACAGAGGCTATCAAGTCAGTTTGCAAGGCCGAGGAACGACTCGTGACATCACACCCCTCCTACCAAGAAAACTGCCAATGCCCAAACGCCACTGCCACTACTGAATGCCCGAGTACCTGGTCTATTGGAAATCACATCGCACTGCTATCCAACAAGTCATCATGTGCAGCGATCGTGGATTCTGATGTTGCAAACACCATAGATCTGTTGATGCTCTGCGCGCCGTTCTTTCGCAACACAACGGCTGAGGATTTTCAGTACCAATCCCTTCCAATGGTACCGGATGAGTGCAGACAACACGAGTACGCCGTCTTCACGATTTTCCACTACCTTCTTCCCATCGAGGTCCTTCGCGGTATCACCGATAACAGTCTCCCGCCTACGTCACGAATTGTGTCGGTACTACTACCTATCGAAGACAAAGATGCCCTGAAGACAATCTTCCAGGAAAGCATTCAACGGGAAACGAGTACCGATGGAATCACAACGCTGAAAGCGGTTGACTTCAATATCAAATTTAGACTGTTTTCCACTGCCATTCTCCTCGATAGCTTGTACCTTGGGATAGCCGCTGGGGCAATTTTTCTACTGATCTGGGTGTACACTGGTTCGTTCTTGGTCACTCTGACAGCACTCCTTAACATGGTCTTTTCGTTTACGTTGGCTGATTTCTTCTTCACCGTCGCATTTGTGAGACCCTTTTTCCCTTTCGGGAATATCATGTCTGTCATATTGCTGCTGGGGGTCGGTGCCGATGATACGTTTGTGTACATGGACTTGTGGAAGAAATGCAGACTAGAGTTTGGCGACCAGGATTTGCCGAGGCTGGTGTATGAGACCCTCCGCCATGCTTCTGTTTCGATGTTTGTGACCAGCTTCACAACCGCAACCGCACTTTATGTAACAGTGATCAGTGACATTGTCGTGGTGAAATGCTTCGCTGTGTTCGCGGGTACCGCCATCCTGATGAACTTGGCTCTGACACTGACTTTGCTGCCAGCTGTCATCGTCATGCAACACAAAATGACAAAATGGTGTTGCTCATCCAAGACCTCTTCCAACGAGTCAAAAGAGAAATGCAGTTGCTTAGCCAAGCTGCTCGTCCCTCTGAACAAGTTTCACGAAGTATTGATCCCCTATCTTGTATTGAAACTGAGATTCATTTGGATCATTCTCTTTCTGTTGCTCATGACCGGGGCTGCCATTGTTGTTTTCTTCTACCCAGGTTTCCAAGTGCCATCCAGTTCCAATTTCCAGTTCTTTGTTGACTCCCACTATTTTGAGCAGTACGATCTCGTCTACGGAGATCAGTTTGCATACACCCAGGCCAGATCGTCAAATTTTGTTGGCTGCATCGTTTGGGGAGTCCAGGCCGTTGACAACGGTGATTTGTGGGACCCGGATGACCCTGGAACTCTCCTGTTAAACGATTCTTTCCGGTTCTCCAGTCCCGAGGATCAGTCGTGGTTTCTTGACTTCTGCCGAGACCTTCGAAATCAAAGCTTCTTCAAATCATTCGAAGAGCAGGGATGTTTTATTGAGGACTTTATTAGCCTTATGCAACAACCATCTTGTATTAATCAGTACGGCCGAGATGTGTCCCCATGTTGTAACCAATCAGGATTCCCTTACGAATCCTCTCTGTTCGAGACCTGCTTGGCTAAATTTGCTAATTACTTGTCGATTAGAGGTATCTTCTTCTTGAAGACAAACGGTCAGCTAGCCGGTATCAAAGTGAATATTGCGACAACGTTCGAAAACAGCTTCAAGTTTGCAGACAACGAGGAACTGTGGAGGACTGTCAATGGTTGGATAGAGGAGAAGCTAAAATCAGCGCCCAGCGCACTCCAGCATGGCTGGTTTTCGTCACCAGATTTCTTCCAACTCTCGTTCTTTGATCTCCAGCAGAGTCTCGCAGTTGGAACTAGAAACTCTATGCTCGTCACCTTGGCAATAGCGTCTGGAATTCTCTTCCTGACTATACAGAATATTTTGCTCACGCTCTGGGCCATGCTGACCATAACAAGCGCTGTGTTTGTAACAGTAGCAAGCCTTGTCCTGCTTGGCTGGGAGTTGAATGTTGTGGAGGCAACCATCATTACATTGGCTGTCGGCCTTTCCGTTGATTTCACGATTCACTACGGGGTTGCTTATAAACTCTCCCCGTTTCAAAGCAGAAGACAGCGCACGCGCTGCTCATTGCAAACCATGGCCCCGGCCATTACCATTGCGGCTTTCTCTACGTTCGTAGCGGGTGCTTTGGTTTTACCATCCACGCTGTTGAGCTATTATCAGTTCGGGGTCTTTCTGATGCTAGTCATGAGCATAAGCTGGACACACGGCACCTTCTTCTTCCAATCGCTCTGCATGGTGCTTGGACCGCAAGAATCGTGCGGTGATATTCCATGCCTGCCGTGTTTTGAGTGTTGTAGGTTGGGCACCAGGCCTGTTGATGCTTTGTCTTCGGGACAGGGCCGTGCCAGTTATGGTCATGATAATCCAGCTGCTAGTATTCGTACAATTACCAATGGGGAACAATAACACAGGACAAATTCCGCACTCTTTTTGAAAGATTAAATTTCCTAAAGCTACTGATTCCATCTGGTTTTGTACCCCTTTTATCGTTTATCAGGAGTGTATTTCTTCAGTGACGGGGTTCTCTATGCATGGTTGGTTTTTTTTATACAGTCAACGATTTTTTAAACAGAGGCAAATTTTACATTATTTGATTGCTGTGGTATATTTTTTTAAAATAAATATGTAATATATAAAGTATAGCTTGAAAAGCATAGTAGCCTGTTATTTCGCTGAATATGCGCCCGGTAGATATATTGCGTAGAAAATTAATGTCATATTGCTTGCATGAGGCATTTATTAAAATGTATCACGAAAAAAAGTGCTCCGGCCCGTGCTGTTATGGTCTACAGGGTGAGTCTAAAAGAAAGTGACCTGGATTATTGTTTTTTGTTTTCTTAAAAAAAAAACAATCAAATTTGATACACCAATGAAGTATTTCTTCAAAGAGCATGTTCCTCCACTCTTCTGAAAAATATAAAAGAATTACTGAAAGTGATCCCTGCTATCAGAAGTTATGAAGAAGCTATTTTTATAGCTGTCCATGGAATGCCATTGGAAGCTATTGAGCTGAGTGAGAATTACAGATTACACACTGGCATTTAAATACTTATAGAATTTTATTTAGTTTAGTCAATACTGAAATATTTTCTTTTTTTTGCTGTTAGATTTTGTGTTTTGAATCATGAGCAACAAGTGAACTTTTCCCAAAAAAATATTGATGGCGACTTTTGTCAGTTTTCCTTTACAAGTTTCCTTTCATTCATGAAGGTGAGAAAGCATCAATTTTCAGTGTATTAAAGGCTATTCATCAGTTCGTGAGACGATATAACTGATCACTGATAGACAGCTGAATTTACTGATCTGTTTATTAAAATAGATATAACTTGGGCATAAGTATGTAAATTACGTGACATTTTCACAGCTATAATGATGTACTTAATCCCTATGCTATTATTATGAAATGGAGCGAGCCATACATATTTTAAATTTTAAATTTTAAATTTTTAAACAAAACATGTATTGAGTCTGTATAGTTATGTTGTAAACGAGGAGGTAATAAAGATAGCAAGAACACAATACTGGAGTTTAAAAGTCTTTCTTCCTGCTGGATCTGCATAAAGTATGAGGTATCTCAATGGAATGGAATAACCAGGCATGAGAATCTTCTTGTTCAAACAGGAATTCTTGGGTTTTTTTTTTTGGTTGCCTAAATGTCCACGTTTTTATATATATTTTGTGCCTGTTTGGGGGCTGTTTTGCCTGATTTCACATTTTTTTCCCTGTTCTTGCACAAGTTTCCTGTTTTTATGCCCCGCGGCGAAGCCGAAGGGGCATACTGTTTCCGCCTTGTCCTTCCGTGGGTGTGTGGGTGGGTGGGTGGGTGGGTGGGTGTGTCCGGATAAATCTTGTCAGCGCGATAACTTGAGAAATACTTAACATATGAACTTCAAATTTGGTTTGTGGATTGTTCTTGGTAATCCTAAGAAGCCTTTTGCATTTGGGGCCGAAAGGTCAAGGGTCAAGGTCACAGTGGCTGAAACAATAGAAATTTTGTCAGCGCGATAACTTGAGAAATACTAAACATATCAACTTCAAATTTGGTTTGTGGATTGTCCTTGGTAATCCTAAGAAGCCTTTTGCATTTGGGGCCGAAAGGTCAAGGGTCAAGGTCACAGTGGCTGAAACAATAGAAATTTTGTCAGCGCGATAACTTGAGAAATACTTTACATATGAACTTCAAATTTGGTTTGTGGATTGTCCTTGGCAATTCTAAGAAGCCTTTTGCATTTGGGGCCAAAAGGTCAAGGGTCAAGGTCACAGTGACTAAAACAAAAGAAATTTTGTCAGCGCGATAACTTGAGAAATACTTTACATATGAACTTCAAATTTGGTTTGTGTATTGTTCTTGGTAATCCTAAGAAGCCTATTGCATTTGGGGCCGAAAGGTCAAGGGTCAAGGTCACATTGGCTGAAACAATAAAAATTTTGTCAGCGCGATAACTTGAGATATACTTTACATATGAACTTCAAATTTGGTTTCTGGATTGTCCTTGGCAATCCTAAGAAGCCTTTTGCATTTGGGGCCAAAAGGTCAAGGGTCAAGGTCACAGTGGCAAAAACAATAGAAATCTTGTATTTATTCTGCGATCATAGGGATTAGGGATTAATTCATACAAAACCTACAGAAGACACTAATGCTGTCAATGAACTTTCCATTTGACCAAGGTACATGTAAGTTGATGTTAGAGTGGTGTTATGTCATGGAAACAGTCACGGTTGCGGGGCATTTGTGTTTGTAAACACACCTGACTTGTTTTCTTTGAATTTCATTCTCATGCCTGAGTTACTGTGAAGTTCTTCATTCTTGAAATAATTGTACCTTTCTGGTGGATTATTCCATAACTGGTATTAAATATGACACAATGAGACATTTCATTTATAAGTATGTAGGCCAAGTCTATGTATATTTAAACCTATTTCTGACACATTTTCTCTGTACTCGAAGGAAATCATGATTAATGAAGCATTAATCTCAAGCCCATTAGAAGAGCGCAGATTAAGTCTACAAATGGTACAAAAGAATTAATAGGAAAAATGCCCAACAAAATGTCCAACCAAATCGATACCAAGCCCAAAATATAAAGCCAAAATAAAGCCCCCCCCCAAAAAAAAAAAAACAGCAAAATGACGGTGAATTTAAATTCTTCAAATTACATATCGATTCATTCACGTTACATTCGATCGAAACCCTTTAATCCAAGAATGTTTATTAGTTTGAAGACATGGGGGTATCCAATTCGAAACCGTCTTATTTGCATATCGTCACCTTATTTCAATATGGCGTCTTTATACTTGAGTGTTCCCGTTTGCTAAGCAAACAGCATTGTAACTATTTTTAACAACACATTGGGAAGGTGCCAATAGTCTAGAGTGCCTTTTATCAGCAAACACAAGTCTGTTACATGCATATTACTGTATTACTCTTGGAGTAATTAATTTATTCATGGGTGGGGAGTCTTAGAAAATCATCCAGGCACTCCATACTTAATTTGTCCGATTTGGCACCCCATACCTTTCAGTTGTATACATTTGTATACAATAGGGCCTCATCAGAAAGTGCGCCAAAGTCAGTTCGTTGAGATGCACGCAGAACACGACGCTCATGCGCGTATTTATACTACAGACGTACTGGTCAACAACTCTGTGCTAGCGTATGGCATGCAGGGGCAGACCCCCCAGCATGGCATGCAGGGGCAGACGGCCTGGGCCTTCTCCTGTACAGGCTGTATGCTATTTTGGAGGGCAGCCAAGAACCTAGAGATACTGGGGTAGGTTTCTCTGTATTATTCAATATTTAAAATGTAATCATTAGACCGACAACAATTGTGCCCTCACTCGTTGTAATATGTCAGGGTCCACAACGGCGAGGCCTGCCGACGAGGCAACCCGTGATTATTTCGTGGCCTCACTGCTACATTTATAACGTGTACCCACTTCGGCAGTCGTCGGATACTTCCGGAAGACTGAGTGGCCTCCGTTCGGTATTTGCCAAACATTACGAGCACGTTTGTGTGTATGCATAAATGGAGCAAATTTGTGCTGTACCAATTTACAAGCATTTGAGGGGTTTCTGTGCCTTTTGGCTAAAGCAGAGTATAAGCTTTGGAGTGTCAGGAACGTAGCTGCATTTTGAGGAATTTCGGCAAACCTTGTGGTGTCTTGGTAATTAAGACTTCACACTTGTGTCACGTGTAAGTTTATATATCTATTTTTTTATATTCTACACTGATGGGAAGTGCTACGGAGCTGTGAGACCTTTATGTCCGGGTTTTGGGAATCTTAACCTTTCAACAGCAACGCCCACGAAAAAAATGCCCCTCTCCATGTTCACGCCCGCGTGTTGCTGCATGTTGTGTCAATCTTCATCAAATTGAGAACAATTCAAAATGTAGGGCAATATATAATTCAAGTGTTTTTATAGTTGAGGAGCCTATTCGTTTATTTCGTAATCGGCCATTTTCAGCGTATAATCTGAAATCACTCGTACTTTCAGCACCCAGTTGCCTTAGACAAGACAATTTTACTCACGGTGACGTGCAGAGAATATAATTTTTATCCAGGCAACAAATCTAGTACTTTCCTTTTAAAATCCATAAATAGATAAAGCAACTATCTTTACAACGGTCTTCTCACTGTGGTGTGAAAACTGACTGGGAAAGCGCCGTGGCAATTTCGGCACCATGTTTTAACAGTCACCACAAGAATAAAACATGGCACAATCTTTGAACTATTTGCTGATAGGAGAGTAGCCGAACAAAAAAGTATCAATCTCGTATCGTTTGTTGAGTGCAGCAACCTCGGAATTTTTCAGCTGAGATAAGTACACTTTGAAAAGATCTCGGCCGGAGCTGTTGGTGGGATTATCGGGTTCCGGAAAGGAGATGTTCCTCCTCAATCCCGTCTCTTCTAGAATGATACTTGCGTCCCTCGTCAGATGGTCGAACTCGCCGATGTAGTCGTACTTCAGTAAGCACGGATGACACATCTTGTACATCTCCATCCAATGCTCCGTGGCGTCGTAACTGTGAAAGACATTCTGTGGATCGCTTACATAACGGACAAATTCGCCAAACTTGACTTGGCGAAATCCTGGATGGTGTGAGACCGACTCGGTGGAGTTCAAGTACGGCCGAAGTTTCCCGATGAAACTCTTCTGCAGGGCCCTGTTGTCGGGGTTTTCTTTCTCAAGCTTGTCCCGATAACAGGAGATGATTCGCTGAAGCGGGTCACGGGTGAACATGAAAGTGGTGTACTCGGCCAATCGCCGTTCAGCTTCTTTCAGCGAGTAATCAGAGAGTTTGGGGATCGGAGTGTAGTGCGCCCGCATGTGAGAGATGTCCTCCAACTTCTCGAATGTGCCAAGGAGCAGCAGGAATATGCGCTTCCAGCTGGTGCTGCCAACCTTGGGAAGGTAACAGTAAATCAACTTGTGAGAGTCCAGCACGAAGAAGTGGTTGAGCTTCTTCAGTACATCTTTTGTCAGTGTATGATGGAGGTCGGAGATGTTTTGATCACGGAGCGCTTCACAAGTGTTTTCAATTCGTCGTCTTTGCACGTCTTGTTCTCGCCTCCACTCGACAATATCCACCTGCAGAGAGAAACGAAATTTAACTTAAATAGTTATAATGAAGTCCATCACAAGCCAAATCACAAGTAGGGTGAAAACTAAAAGGGAATGAATAACTACAAAAGTGCCTTTCGCACAGTGCATTTGGATAAATGATCCCTTCACACTAGTCAACTAGTAGTGTTCGTGCATATGCATATAGCTACGTAGAATGTTTGTGTGTTTTCGTAAATAAAGGATTTTGGCCACAAAAGACACAAACTCTGTTAAAATAAATTGTGGCCATGAGAATACAAAATTAACACCTAAAAGAATAAAATATATAACATACTTTACATGTATATCAAACAGAAAAAGAGGGCTAAAACAATTATACGTCATAGCGCAGACTAGGGTTTCACTGAATGCGATGACAGAGGGCGCCACGCAAGAGAAATATCTGGTTGTTGCTCAGTCAGTTTGTTATACATGTAATTTAATAGTGCAGTAAGTAATCGTAAAGTGTGAGCAAAGTAAGGAAATAGCTGATGTATTTTCCCCTACAATAATATGCAATCTGTAGATGTTCATGCACTATCGATCGCCTTACCTCTACTGGATAACTTGTCGGACAATGTTTCGATGCCCCGTTGTTTTTACAAGTAAAGTGAGAGTGTTTCAGGGCTGCGTTAAAAAAAAAACACAAAATGAATAAACATTTCAACCAAACTTAATTTTGAATTTGTGGGCCCTGTCAAACTAATTTCGGTCTTGGCATGTTCACTTGTTCAACAAAAACGCCAGCTTTATCTAAGCTGCACCTCCCAACGTGTCGTGTAAATTGTGCGACGCTGTATGTGGTCCAATGGTAAACGGTGTTTCTACTCATGTGACATGGTTCGTGGTTTAGAACCCTAACGGGGAACATTGTGTTTGTGTTCTTGGGCAAGAGACTTTACTCTACGTCTAGAGGAAAGAGAGTTGCCTCTCTCCACCCAGGAGCATAAAATGGGTACCTGTGAATTAGGTAGAGTTAGAGGTAGAGTATTGACTTATTACATGACAGGATAAACTCTACATTCTAGTAGTACCTTCGTTACATAACACAGCCCCTGCAAATGCTTTGGATCTTTAAAAAAATCCGAATCTCAGTACATCTGTATTACACTGTCCGTAAGTCTTGATTGATGGATTTTAACCATAACACTCGATTTTAACGCCACTAATGCATTAATGGTCATGTGAATTGCAAGAATACGATAACCGTTCGCTCACATTTTTCAAAGACAGTTTCGCGAAGATCCGTTCCAAATCGAATCAACACACAGACCAGACTGAACATCGCCACCGTGAACAGACTCCTCACCAGTCGTCGTCTTGTTAATCTCTGCATGTTTCTCGATGCTGCCTCATTCCAGTGAAACAATCTTTACCACTGCAAAAAAAAAAAAAAAAAAAAAAAAAAACGAAAAGAGTTGCATTTCCCTTTATATCTCAAACAGCATTTTTGTTTTAGCGGTGGCGGATCGGAATACATGCAGGACTCATATTCCGCACGCTTTGAAAACATACACCAAAAGACGACTTTTTTTGGGGGGGGGAGTGCCATTTGAAAGACAATTTATAAAAACTCCTATTTATCTATGAATATGTTCAAATCCTGTATTTGTTCATGGATTTTCTCTAAGACCCTCTGTTTATAGTTGAGAGAGATACATACGAAGGCCCATTTTGTCTGTTTGTTCCATTATGTCCGACAACTGATTTTAACTATACTGTTGGCTGATTATGTCCAACCCATTGTGTCCAACGGCCGTCTTTAGACATATTTGGTAAATTATCGGTAACTTGCCATCGGCTCAAATTAATTAAAATAAATATTTATTAAAACAATTCTAGATAATTGTAAAAGCTTTAAAAGATCAATGCTGATACATTTACCCATTAGGTTTGATAACAAAATAATTACATAGTAAAAAGACTTTCAAAATATAGAATTACCTTCCTCGCCAACACAGCCTTCCCTGTGATGCTTCGTAAACAAATGCGATCAGTGTGTCTCTGCTGATCTAATTTATACGAACACATTCCTCCAAAATCAGTGCCGACAACGGGACTGGAACTCGAAAATTTATCCAAACAGCGACAGGTGTTTAAATGCGCACCAATCCATACGATTAATAGAAATCCTCCGATGGAGTCATGTTTGGTTTTGTGAAAGGAATCGATATTTTTTTAACCGTGAATTTGCCAACACGTGCAGTCATACAGATTCACCAACAGGTCAAAACGTTTGTTTTTTTAGTGGGTGGCGTACATCGCGGGACTACATTGGGTCCTTTCCGATCCTCTGCGTTTGGTCAAGCTTGTGTAGCAGGGAATTTTATTGGGTTGGTCCTGAAACTATTGCACAAAGCAGATTTCAAAGAAGTTATACCTTAATTGCCAAAGTCTCAACTCATATTATATATTACAACTAAGCGGTCAAATTTTGACAATTTTTTTGTTGGTCACCGTGCGAGTGAAACTTGGAGGTTTCTGTCGACATCATACTGCATTCGTATTTTTGCATAACGTATAAGCTTAATCCGACTTTCACAAATACCTGTACACATTACACATACTAAACAATTCACATACTTATGTTTGAGTTTAATTTTATTTCTTTTAATAACATATCTTTTAATAACTTTATGGATGTTTCACCAATTACCAATCGAGATCTTTACAAGCAGCAATACACTTCGCATTGTTTCACTTTGAACTTGTACATATAACACTATACAACTTAACATTTACGGATATATTTACTGAAATATTTAAGGAAATTGTCCTTATGTTTTGTACCTGTATATATTTAAAGATCATTTTAAATAATTTTTTTTTTTTTTTTATAATTCACAGTATGATATTAGACAATTTGATCAGGAAAAGTTAAATTCGTTTCAGTAGCTGAAGTAGCATTTTTGTTTTCTCAAACACTAATAAGGTATCACATAAATTACACAAAGTGCAATATTTTAAATTGACGAATTTTCGTGATTATTAGTTTCTTTATTTTGACAATTTCATCATCATTTTGGTACCTTTTTAACAGGTGCAATGCCACCATCAGCCAGACAAATTAATCAATATTATCATAAGTGTTAACACGTGGTATAGGAGACCAAAAAAAATCGAAATTAATTTAGCTTACAAGTAATTGGTTTGTGTTTTATAAAAGCAATGCTTATTCATATTTCACTGCATGTGCTTTATTTCATTCTTTACTATACCATCGAGAGTGAAAAAATATATATATAAATGGAGGAAAGGGGGCATTTTTATGATGAAAAGGAACAAATAATGGGGATAAAGCTTTTTTTTTTATAGAATTACGGAATTCGAAAATGTCAGATATTAGGTGGTGAATGAGCACGTTGTGCGCACTGACAAAATCAAAAATGGGGGGGTGGTGGTTTCTGTCGATGGGGGCGCTGTTCAAAACCGACGATTATGCACACTAACGGACATTATATGGTGCTTTCATGCGTGCAATTAAAAAAAAGGCGCCAGTAACGGCCGATGGCACAATAAAAGGGCACCACTACTTTTTAAAAAGGGCACTTGTTCAGAAAAAAAGGCACTTCAAAAAAAAGGGAACTCTTTACAAACTATTTGGGGGGCAACAGTGGTGAAAAAAAGAGAAATGGGAAAAGGCAGTCTTTACAAAATATTGGGGGGGGGTAAACACCCCCTTAAACCCCCACCCCCGATCTTTTATAAATGTATTAAGAAAGAAAATGGATACCCAAAACTAGTGAACAACGAGAAAGAGTTATATTTACCTAATCAGAACGGAAACATCCCAACGAGTTCACCTAGACATTTGTTATCGTCGCGTTAAAGAAGGTGTTCTTGCTCTAAGACATTGTTTTACTCATTTCATTCCCTGTCATTGAATCCTAAACAGAAAAGGGTCATAAAAGCCTTAGTTTATATTTTAATTAATGCAGAAAACATGTTGTATTGTTTACTCAGCCTGCCTCTCTTGCCATTGACAGGACTGGTAAAAAAAAATAAAGCTAACAGATGTCTGAAAATTACCCTTTTGCAGATGCTGTCAATGTAAACAAACCGTACCAAAAAAACATATAATTATTGCAGGGCAGAAGGTTTTCATCGGCGTTGGTGAGTTTCTCGCTTCAGTCGATCAGATCCGAGTGGGCTCAGTACTAGAATGGTATCCAACAATGGTAACCAACTGAGCGTGAGGATATATTTGAATATTTAGTATCTCAATAAGGATACGATTAACAATGAATATTTTAATAATTCCCGAATGAACAGGATCACTAGGACCCTGCTACAGTGTAAACTCGTCAACCAACATTTCCTATTCATTTTCCGTTGTTAAGCTACCAATGTTTTGTGTAATCACCGATATGTCGGCTCGTATTCTAACGGGGTTTACTCATAAAATACCCAGGAAAATAGCCAAAGCAACCAACGACTTGCTGGCACCTGGGACACGATTGTCTCTAAAACAGACCCAAGAGGGGTGACTATTTTATACCTCGGGATTCAGATTTTAAATTCCCAGACTGAAACTTGCATTGTTTCTAAATCACGTGATTCGGGTCAAGCCTTTACGCCAGTAAGCTGGAATGCATTGGTCCCTTATGGGCTCCGTGCGCCAACAAGAGGGCGCCCTTTTACATAGCAACGACGACCCATGGGCGGGACCATTGATCTCCATATACACAGACAATGGGCGGGACACATACATTTCGCTGGTTGACGCGCGCGCGCCCTTCCTTGTGTGTGACGGTGTGACGCACGTACATGTACACCAGGGGATTTGTATTACACGGTATACGCAGGGACCGCACTTCGCGGCAAAATATTGCAGTCAGGCAAGATGGCGTCGTTCAGACACCCCCAACTGTACTTTCTTTGCCCGTGAGGGGGTACTTGTGAACGAGCGGATAAGGGCCATCCTGATATTGTGGACACCTGTTGTCTTACCCAGCCATTCAATAGCTTGCCTAGGGTATATGTAATAACAATAACAGTGTATCTATTTCCATGAATTTCCGGAGTGTTTTGTCTAATAGGAATTTCTGGTGAGTCTTCTGTCTATATAGTCAGCATGAATGAAACAAGCTATTAGTGAATTGTGAGTGGAACTAAAATAGTAAGGCTCATTTCTTTTTAATCAAAGGTGTGTGCATTCATGCATCGTGGAATTGGGGCGAGTCTACGCTGGCAATCCCAAGCTCTAGAATTTATTAGTGTCATTCTGACATACATTTGCCATTGTCCTTTGTACGCCAGAATATCCCCTTTCCCTCGGGGGTGAAATGGCAGCAATCTGGATAATTCAAGCTTTAAATGGGTCAAATATTTCAGTAGGTATTGTAAGACTTGCAGATAAAAGCAAGTTAACTCAATGGGGGTATTTATTCGATCAGGATTTTTTTCTTAGGGTGCTAAAAGAGCTGGTTGAGGTAGAATTACGCAACCGGTGTTTTAAGCTAGTGGGTTCCATTGCAACAACACTGATTCACTTATATTAAAGATGAGAGACTGAGTTTTGCAAGCACCGTGGATTGAAGTGTGGACTATAATCATGGCGGAGTTAAAATTAAACAAAGTCGAATAATTCTTTTTTTCTGCCAGAATAAAAACGGACGGATGGGAAAACTGGTCATCCTCAACAACCAAAAGACCTTGTGCGAACATTTTCTGGATGTATCAACGGATCTGCCCTGAGAATCAATGGCGAATGTCTGACTGGAATTATCGAGCTCACTGAGTTGGATCTAGAAGCGGCCCCAGCAACTGTTGATGAAGCTGAACTGCCACCAGGATCCAAATAATTACTGTGATCGACCAGCAGCGGTCATATCTGTTGACTTCACTGCAATGTCCAGGATTTTACCGAGACTGATCTGCAGAAGAAGAGGAGGTTGTCTTCACAGGTGTCCAAGAACAAGTGTTTCGCAAAGAAGGTAAGACTTTTGTATAGTTATTGCAACAGCGGTTCAATGTTTATGCAGGGATCATGCTCCTTCAAAAACTATAGTCTTGCTATAGACGAATTCGGGCACGCGATCACTGTACAAGTTGAACATTGTTTCCTCTGCAACGTTAATTAACTGAATAATATATCGGATTGTTTGCCTCAGTTTGCCCACAAATGGGTATAAACCTTAGCTCTATAAAAGTGGTTTATCCTGTGATTATGTTCAGTCTGACTTTCTTCACCTTTAACGTAAAATGTGATCCCGGGTGCCAAAAAGACAGCCAGTTGTATTTAAAGCACAAGCTTACGATGAACATACAGTATTATTTTTTTTCGTTCCTCTAACGCATAATGGATTCTCAGGTTAAAACATCTCTAGCTATGAAATCTAGTTTTACATCATAATTTGGAACTCCTTTTTTTTAGTCTAAAAAGTCTAAAGCAGTGCTTCAGCTAACAGAAAAATCATAAATACCAACAACAGACTCGAAGTTCAATTTGTGATCAGTTTATTTATACTAACATGTATGCTATACAACTTTCCTAGTAGAAAGATGACATTACAAAAATGCGCACTTTGTCATTATTATTTAAATACATTGATCAACATAATATTTACAAACGAAGGATGTTCTAGAATCATCTTAACTTAGCGTGATTGTTGAAAATTATTTGGTCTATAGAGATCGCCATTACGTTAAAAAAAAAACCCAAAGACCTCGCCTTTGAGGACATTACGAAGGCACCTGAACCATTAGTTTCGTTTCTATTTAACTTTGAGATATATTTATTTGCGAATGCGGAATAAATACTGCAGGATTTCTCACAATAAGATTCAACATTAGGCACATTTTCAAAGTTATGCAAGTTTACCGGTACATTTAAATGCTATTGGCAAATGAGAACATCTGAATGTTTTCTGTGAGTTATAACAAAAATAACAATTTTAACAACATAATGTTAAGTTTTTCTACACTTGAAAATAAATATGTACATAGTCTTAGCTCGTTGTGTTAACATGTAAAACCTGTTAACATATTGACTAACATAGTCAAGTGCACATAATTCCGGTCACATGTTAACAGCTGCTCATAGCTGCTCACAGGTTCCCGGCAAATAAAGGTATGAACTCGACAACGTCTCGGGGCAAGATCTCTATAGGAATATAATGTTGAGCTATTGTGCTGTGTCTGGACTAGATGAGTCCGAGTTGGTGTAACATTCATAGATTTCATTGTCTACCATCTGGGTAGTCTCTGGCGCTACTGATGCATCACTACCCGTATCGCTCCTGCTCATTGACTTATTGAGCAAAGAGCCGCTAGTCACTGCCTGCACTTCCAAGTCATCAGAGTCATAATCACCTGAGCAGGGCCTACTACTGTCATCCAACTCAACGATTGGTCCGGCCTCCTCGCAAGCAACTAGTGAGTTCTTACAGCTCACAATACCGACAGTAGGGAACAGGCTATAGTAAAAATGATCGGACATGTCGCTCATGGGTCGTAGAGTGGATGCACTGGCGTCAAGGAGTACTGTCGACACAGTCCGATCGCTGTTGAATGTGGTTTCGCCCTGGCTGCAGAGAGTACGGCGTAGGTTCTCCACATCTGCCACTGACAGGTGCTGGCTGAGCGTCCGGAATCTCCGCATCCGGACGCTCTCGAGGATGTTCTTAAGCTCCTTCGTGGCGGGGAAAGTCCGGCTCTGTCGGCGCTGGCCCACGGTGGAGCGCCTAGTGTACACACTGCGGCGGATGCTTTCAGCCGAGGCGTTCAGGCCTGAGGAGCGCTTTGATTGCATGCCACTGGAGGGTTTTGACCGCTTCGAGTCATGGGAGTGGCGCTCCGACATCGACAAAAGCTCAATGCCGGAACCGGAGGTAGAACTTGGAGGGAAATTCAGGGTCATGTACGCCGTTGCCTCGCTGGGATCCATGGAATGGCGGTTGAAGAATTCGGACCCGAAGCTTAAAGGCTCGTGAGACCTTCCCCGTCTCCTGGATTTATCAACAAGAAGAATATTAGTAATAGAAGTACAAATGTGGTAGCTAACACTGTATTTTATCAAAGACATTGACTAATTGGGACACCACAAACATAGACCTTCAAAGCTAAGTTTCAAGATCGCCGATATGGTATTCCATAACAGATTCAAATTCAGGTCAAAATCATTTTTCAACCTAATGTTGTAGCAATTTTAAGCGATTTGAAATTTACTAAGGATTCGAAACATGCAGCTGGAGCTCATTGAGGTGGCACAATGGTCCTTTCCTTGCCTTCAACTTAATGGCCTGGGTTCGATTCCCAGGACCCATTTGGAGTTTGGCTCCTATGTCCCCCGTGTCGATCGATTGGGATTTCTGCACCGTTATACTTCTGATTTTTCTCCCTCTTCGAAAGCTAATATTCCCTTTACTGATTAACTTTACATGCAGCCAGAGCTCATTGAGATGGCATAATGGTCCTTTCCTCGCCTTCAACTTGGTGGCCTGGGCTCGATTCCCACATGGGACCCCATTTGGAGTCCCCCCCCCCCCATCTCATCCCGTCCCCCTGACGTTCGATTGGGCTTTCCTGTGCCGTTACTTTCTTTTATCTTTCTGATTTTTCTCCCTCTTCGAAAGCTAATATTTCCTTTACTGATTAACTTTACTTGCAAATGAATAAATGAAAATAAATAGTTTCCGGTTGTTAACATTATCGTACATTGGCGTGCACCCTGAATGGGGACCGTTTTAAGTGGGAGAGGGCCGTATGACCTTTCTGACCGGAGAATGTGCTGGATATATTTAGATCTCAACTTTCTGTGACAGCTTTGTGTTGATACTTGCCTTCTCTTTGATCTGAACCGGATGTGAATCATGAGGGTCACAAGGAGCATGAAGCACGTGGCGGCAAACAGAACAAGTGCTATCACGACCAGGCTCACTGAATGACATGGAGAAATGAAAAAGAGAGAAACACAGTGATCAGGGAGGGAATTTGAGCTTTTATTATCAATTTAATATATATTTGCTACCTTTATAGACCCTAAGTGCGTATTCGAAACACAATTCTTGGGTAACCCGCAAATAGTGTTCACGGGTTGCCGATATTGCCGACGTGGAGTAACAGTGCAAGTGTAGCTCGATTTAGATTCCACGTTTTCATTGCAGTTTGTTGCATCAAGGTTTGACACTACAGGTTATAGACGCTGTTGCGTTATGCAAGCACAAGGACGAAAACCGTGGCTAATAAAGACAAACCGTCTGATCGGTTACAAAAAACGCTCAAAGTAAAGCAAGCATGTTGATAATCTTTAATATTGACAAACCAATGGTTATACGATTCGGCATATGAAGCATAAGAATTGTTTTTAAAAATAAGTAAAGGTTTCATGACACTGGAAACACTGCGCAGATACTCAATACAGCTCTCCCATACAGCTCTTGGTGACTTTCTTTTTATTAAATTGATTTGGACTCCAGGATTTTGGGTTGGTTAGAAACCTCAGGTAGAGGCACGCCCAACTCTAACATTTCGCTTTCCGTTGACCCCTAAAGCTAAAAAACACTCGCGCTGAATCACCCTTCAAGCTATATGCACTAGGGCACGAATGAGAAAATACACACGGTGTTGTTGGCCTTGAAATGAGTATGAATTATTTCAGCGAAGTTTGCATATACCCCATGTGAAGTGACTAACTCTGAGGAAAAGCAGCTGTATCATCTCGACGTTTCGGCCAGCATGTTCCGACCGTCGGCTGGCGGCGCAACACTATGTAAAAAACTGTTGGTCCCCAAGTGCATTTGTTTCTGAGAATTAATTGTGTTGATTAATTTGGCTAGCAAATTTGTTTTCTGGCACTGCACGGGAACATTGAAGGACGACTGATTAACTACATGATATTATATGCAGGAATTTGATCAATGGAGTATGTCTCTATTTTGAGGCGCTTGGCGGCGCTGTGATTCATGATTTCACGGCTTAAATCGGTCCAAGGTTTACTTCCAACCTCCAAAACTGAACATTGCTTCTTCGGCTCCTCTCTCCCAAATTGGGTTCCTTGGGCTTTTCAGCCACAGTGCCTTTGCACTACCGAGAAACGCTTATTTTCAATACCGGTGTCATATGAAAATCGGACTCGTATGGAAATTGGACTCTTTTTCCCTTTTATTGGTTAAACCCTCTCACGTGACCGGTCCCTCTCCTAATTATCTATGCATGAGCATGCGCAATACCACCAAAGAGTCCGTATTTCATAAAACCTAAATTCATGCTACACCGGAAAGGCCTGCATGACAGGTCTTTGACCCCATTTGTGATGCGCAAGTGTATAGGCACTTTGTACTTTTCTTGTCACTGGATTTTAACAACAAAAACTACCCCCAGTGAGGGCGCATCGTGCAGGAGGTCTATATTACAATTCGAGATTGAGGGAAGCCAATGTGTCCCTCCTATTCTATCCGATCCCAGCCCGCCCACCTCCTCCTCCGCCCCTGGGTACGCCAACTGGTCATCTAATCTAGATGCCCGCGTGTTTTCTGAGGGTTATTGGTGGCGTCCGTTTTCAGTGTAAGCACTCTGTCTCCTTGAATCAATGAATCCCAAAGTCAAAAAATAGCCCACTACCTGCCGAACATCGTCAATATATCCAAGATGGCGGTATCCGGGAAACGATCAATACAAACAATGAAGGATTCCCTGTAGGATAATGGACTGTTCCACCTGTGGATTGTGTGTAAATTTCTCTTGTGGCCGAGTTGACCGAGCTACAGGTATACGTCGTCACCTGACCAAAACTTGTTATCTTGTTATTGGTCAATGCGCACAAGCAGGACTCGACAGACAGTCGATCGTGGAGTAAGTTGGCTTCTCAATGTAGCAATCAGTTGACGCTTATGAAGAGGTTCTTGATATCAAACATGTTCTAAAGGATTGGTTGCCGTGTTGAAGTCCAATGTCTTTCAAGGGTGCCGGTTAGGCCCTATGGTGTTGACGGCTACGATGTTTCAAAAGGTAGCAGAAGCGATAAAGTCAATACACACAGACACCAACGATCTGAGCTTTGCAGTAAAGTATGACATTACTTCAAGAACCATTAAAACCAATTCCACAGTAGGCCTAATATGAAACAAGGCATTAGCCAGCTAAATCAGCCCTTGCAATAAACGACAGATTATTTTAGTGCTCATTTCTTACTAGGTCAATGAGTGGGCCTGGGCCTTTGATGAGAATAATTACCAGCCGTTTCTGGATCCAGACCTGTGTCAGGTCCCTCTGGTCCAGGCCCAGGGTCGCCTGGACTAGTTGACAGTGTCGTCGCCGGCAAGATTGTAGTGGTTGCGTTGGAGTCGTCGTCCCAGTTCCAGGTACTGTCAGGCTGTTCTGTCGCCGGCGTACCTGATAACAGATCATTAAAGTCATATTACTGAGTTCAGCCAAAAAGAAATCAACAATCTCGTGAAATAATTTTTTTTCACAAGTAGGCCTACTCACATTTTAGAGAAATTAAGATGCAATTGCAAACTGATTCAAGCATGAGAAATTTTGAAATTGCAGACTGAAAACAAATTTTACAATAGAGGTGCCAACAAGTAACAAAAATATGTTTCTTGTGAAATTCTGTACCTAAACGAAATGAAATAATCGAAGCTTCGCTGCCTTGTAAAACTACAAAACTATTTCGCATTTCCCGTCATTTTATCTGTGTCGATATTCCACTTGTTATCATCTGTTTGAAAAAAACACACCTGTAAATTAAAACTCATAATAGACGACTGAATTGAAAAGACTGAAAACATTATCTAACGACACTGCCATAAAAACGAAAGAAATGAGATAAGTGTGTGGGCGCTAAACTGGAAATATCTGTCACCAGTGCCCACGTGCTCATGTCCGGCATATGCAGACACTAAAACTGAATTCTGTACTTAAAATAAGAACTTCCTTATTAGGAGACAGGGTTTTCACAGGCCCGGACTCGTAAGGTTAGGGCGGATGCGTGCGCCGTGCAAGTCCCCCGTGCAAACCCGAAAGGTCACTTTTCCACCATCTTTTGTAACAGAGAGAACCTGGTGTTTTTAATTATGAGCATTGTGTTCTGAACTGATTGCAAGTGTGAATTTAGCTGCAATTTTGTGGTCTGTGAAATTCGAGTGTGGTTGGCATGATACAACTTTTTGCGAATGTCATTAGATTAAACACGTAATCAGGTACACAAGTGTCACTACACGTATGCAACTTTGAACACTTCAAAACAGCGTGTAGCTTCAATCACTACATTTTTAGATATCATATATAGGGAAGTCTTCGGGAAAAACAACAACAAAAGGGGAGTCAGGTTGGCGCAGAAGCTACTTTCCTCGCTTTCCACTGCTATGGCCAGAGTTCGATTCCTGCCTGGGCCAACATGTGGGTTTTCAGTCCCTGCCTGATTCCGTGGGTTTTCCTCAGAATCTGATGGGGTTTTCCTCACACCTCTAAAACTGTAATTTCTTGTTATTGTCACCTTCTTTCAAGGTTTACCCTGGCTTTCGAGCTATAGGAATCCTTATTGGTTTCACTACCAGAAAGATATAAGCAAAACAAAACTAAGAATAACATAGTTGGGAAATTTACCCTAATAGAAAATGGTTTTTGGAAGAACCGGCGCTCTTAACGCGAATTTTTCGATCAACAAAATACTCGCATCGTCATCGTGACAATTCCATTGAAGCGCTCCCTTGGAACTTACCATTACTGACGGTCACGTTCACGTCGTCAATTGCAATGTCTACATCCGTTCCTCCGATAAAACCTTCAAATATGATCTGTGGGAATCAACAAGGAATACTTGAGCATTCCAAAAGGTCTCACTCTCCACATGAGGTTTGCATTTCACACGAGGAAAAAAAGCATACCTCGGATGGAAGTAAGATAGCAATTTTAATGTGCAGTGGGAAAGTGGTTAATTCTAGTCAGTAATGGAAAGAAGCAATAAAGTTGTCCGTGCACATCGATTATCTTGCAACCATCTTGTTGACTCAATTTTCCAAAGTGTTAGCTATAATCAATCATCGTAACTGCTTATCCCTGGATAAACAATCTCAAACAGACTCAATGAAGACATAAAAATAAGGCACCAAAATAGCGTTTAGGAGAGAAAACGGTAGTCTCGCGGAAACATGAAAGCACTTTAAATATTAAAGCGAATGGCTCATTTCAAAAAGCAAAAGCAAACACATTACTCAAACCTTAAGTCATGTGTTTAGAATTAGATATTTAAATGGTGTTGGGCAGGTAAATGGCCATACTGTTTTACATTGAAAATGTTCTCCCTTTTATCGGATACCCCATCCAGAATTCTGGATGAGTGGCCTTGATATGCCTGCCTACCTCACGCTATAACTCCAAAAGCCCATTTCCAGATGTCTACTAGTTACAATTCTAGTCAGTTTCGGTTTTGTTTCTCTCTTATCGCCTTTTACAAGGGCGCCGGTGATGGTAAATTCTTTGAGTTTTCGTTAAAAAAAGGTTGTGTTTCACAAAATGATCCGATGTCACAACTTCCGCGTGCACGTAACGCCTGCGGACGGAACTTACAAGTAGGCCTATTCATCATTGCGGTTAGCTACCCGAAATGCATTGCGTTTCCTTGGAAACGAGCATTCGTGTGAACCCTTTAGCACCAACGTACTCTCTTTAAAAGCAGATATCCTCTGAAATATAATATGAAATTCGAGCTGTGATGTTTGTACTCTGCTACAGCCATAACTGGAGAAATCCCTGGAGTTTTAGCATGGAGTATCCCGCAGTATATGGTCACTGGGTAGCCGACTTATGGTTTGGATAGATATTCCTATAAGTCATCTTCGTACACTGACGAATTTAGTCAGCCGGTCTCCCGTGAACTCGTTAAAGGCTCTCTTGGAGACGGATTCTATTTCCACGTAAATAACCCATTTCCCGTGCAATTATGCTCTAATATGTCAAGTGCAATTTCTGCTTGTTGCCTTCTTGTTTTGCTATCTTTTGGATCTTTTATCCCGTTCTGTTAATAGCCAAAGGCAAAACGGGGTTATAATAGAAGAGGGTTATACTCAAAGAAGCTTTAACAAGTTTTTCAAGTCTAAAGTTGAAGTGCAGAGGCCTTCGTTCGACGCACCCAGTATCAAAATATCAAAAAGTTATTTTGGGGTATACGGTCAGGCTAAACTTGAAAATTAATCACACTGTCGACAGCATGCTGTCACAATCTATGCAGGAAAGGAAGTTGCTGAGGAAGTAGAATGTCGTGAAGATGTTGTAGTAATCCATTACTGTCACAACCTAGGTGCACAAAATATATGCGGAAACATATTCCCCACTGGCAATCAAAATTATCAAATTGAAAGATTAGTTTGGCTGAGCTTGAAGACCTATGGTGCTCTCGTGAAAAAAAATAATTTAATGGTTTTCTGTACACTAATCTATTAAAACTGAACTGTTTATCTGTCCACAAGTCCCGGCAACGCGTTTTCTCAAATGCATTAACATTATGTACTACGTGTCAAGATTGAAATAAGTTTATACCTTTATAGAAATAGGCAAGAGACTTACTATAATTATTCTTGATATGAAATTTAATCTGTCGAGTATTTTTTTTTCAATTTAAACGTCCTGACTTTGGAATGCTAGAAATGAGCGTTTCAATTTCGAAAATTAAATGGGCAGGCCTTTACGGAGAGTATAACATTAATAATTCTGAGAAGTCAATCACAAGTCATCCGATATCAAGTTACATGACAAACCATTTAAATGCGCTTTGACAACGGCATTTTCTTTGCCAGTGTTCATCCTCTGTTTTATACTTGTAACCTGTCTTATGATCTGACTTGTACTCGTTGTTGACTGGACTGCAAAGTTGCAGCACAGGAATTTACACATGCCACAATTCTGCACTATAGTTTGCCACGGACATTCAGGAATGTCTGAAATCTCTTATTTCGTTCCCAGGCCAATTTTTGTGTCGCCTAAACGAAGTTTTGGGGGGCACGTTATGTGTGACCCTATGACCGTTTGTATGTTAAACTCTAGGTTAAGTTTTTGAAAAAAAGGTATAACTCTACATGCTTTTATAGATTATGATGAAACGGAAATGCAGTGACCCTTGCATGGGAAGATACAAATCTTCATCGGATTATTGAGGTTAAAGGTCATGTAGGGGTTATTAGAGGTCATTGTTCAAATATGCTTCAAATGTATCTTTGTCTACAGAATTGGATGGATTTCAATGTAACTTGGATGGAGTGATACTTGGGTTTGGGGTTTATAACAGCAGAGGTCAAAGGCCATCTAGGGGTCGCCCTATATGTCTTAAACTTCGCTTCTTACTCTTAAAAAAATGGCAGAGCTAGTCTTGATGTCGTATGAATAAGCTTGCTATTGGCAAAAGGTAAACACGCTTGGGTGTAATTGTTCATACAGCTTACCCTAAAGGTTCCGTTGCATTGTATTCGCACTTCGGCCTTCATCCAGACACTGCCCAGGCTTGCAGTGGCCGTGAAAACCAGATCCTTCTCCTCACAGGCGAAGATCTTGAGCTGGCTGGCCGAGGGTCGCTCCTTGGCGTCCCAGAGATGGTAGAAAAAGGTCAGGTCTGCCTCCACGGAATCCGGCACGGTGATAGGCGGAGACATGATGCGGGCGTGGCCGCTGGTCCGAGTGCTGTCCTTCGCCACCAGGTGTGCAAAATGACCTTTTAGGATTGAACATTCGTAAAAGGTTAATTTAGTGCGAGAATCCTAGATGCGTTTATCATTACCCCGGACTTGTTCTAATATATCTGGACCGTTGAGGGGCAATATTCCGAACCTTACTTTGATTTTGGGTTCTTATGTAGCGATCATTTCGAGAAGAACCTGTTATCGGCAAAACCAAAATAGCAAAACCTTCGCCAAAAGCGTAGCCTAAAGAAATTTTAAAAGGCGAAACATTTTAAGAATCGATCAAGAACCTCACATGGAGCCAATCGTCGTTAAATCAACAGAATCTCTCATATTTGGAATGTACTGTCGGTTGTGCTTGGAAGACTCGGACTTCAAGGCAAGATAATGCATAAAACTATATGCAGATAACACACGCTCGTCTGCGAACGCCTAGTAGCAGATAACACTGACAACAGCTTACCACTGTTCCCTTGGACCACCAATTAACCATGCGGTGCCTTTGCAATCTTACAGGAATGACTCGTCTTATAGTTTACGAGGAAGAAACGTAACAAAAGTGGCGTCCGGTTGATGAAAATCTATCGTACCTGAATCGTTTCCGTACGTGTGGTCAACAAACGGTCTGGTGGGGAAAGGGCCTTGCGCTAGGTCAATGAAGATGTTGTAATTCATGAGTTCCCTCTCTTCATACGACAGCTCCCTGAGCACACTGAGTGGGCCTGGGTACTCCTCATACCCGAAACTGCCTCGCTTCCGGATGGACCGGTGATGGCGCCCTCTGCGGTGGTGGACCTTTGCGTGGCTAGAGGGCGCCACACCGCGGTGAACCTCCCAATCGAACTCATCGCTGGGGTCCTGCTCCAGCCGGCAATCTTCGTTGGTCTCGAAGGTGCAGTGATACAGCACTATGGAATGAAGGAAAGAGGAAATTAATATTAATAGTGACAGAGAACTGTGCTTAAGATGATCGTGAAGGAACGACAATGGTAACATTGATATCACTGGCTCAGGAGCTCACCGCGAGGCTTACAGGTCATGCTAGAAAAAACAGTGGTGCGGCCCGTCTAACATCCTTCCCCGTGTTGGCTAGACGGCCCGCCTATATACGGCCTTTATGATTGAAGTTGGCAATACCGCAGGAATGTTTTTTTTATGAGGTCTTTCCCGGTACTAACGTAGGATTTTGTTTTTGCGTTGAGCCTCTAAAGCTCGGGGCTTTAAAACATGTCAAACATCATACAAGTGACATGGTGGGTGTGACGCGCCTGTGAACGGACCTTATGCATGGGCGGAATATGTTAAAGAGGTGTTGAATTTATTCACCAAAATGCTTGCATACTCGAAAAGCTTTAAGTTGGTAATCTGCATAAATTTCGGTTTACCTAACATGAACCTTATAGCCCAGAATGCTTGGGTTTTTTTCCCTTAAATTATGTATACACAACCAAGGGTGGTATAGAAAGTTGGTAGAATTCTATGCTTAATCCATACTATAAAAAATACACGAAAAAGCCGACCGGCACTAAATACGTATATGGCATAATTCCACAGTGAGAAAAAAAATAGGGGGGGGGGGGAGAAATTTATGCAAGGTGTTCAAGGCGGCGATATTCGAACCGACCCAGGCTTACAAAGTAACTAAAGAATCAGGAACATAGCAATTGCCCGAACACCCACACGGATCCTTTAAGTTCTAATTAATTGATTTCATTACACAAAACAGCGTCTAAACCGTTTAGTTTCTTTTGAAGAGTGAAAGTTAATGCAATTTAGTTTTGTCTTCCTGACATCTTGAAGGACAGGGTTGCCCCTGAAGTAGCGGGGCAATTGCCAAATTTAGCGTACCTCTTTCGTGTCTCCAAGTTCCCTTGGGTCGAATAGGTCAAAAGCAGGAAACGCCCTTCCATGTTGATAATAAATAATACAGTTTGAACTGTCTAGGTGGCAACATGTTGAGGGATTATTTTACAACTAACGCGCAAATGTTTCCGACCAAATCTGAAGTTACAAATCTAAACCGAACACATTTCTGCATAAAAAAGTTGCTTCATCTCAGCTCTTTACAAAAGATACGACAAGTTACTTCATCGTTGAAACAAAACCGTCGAAAGCGTTCATTGAGAGAATGGTTATTTCCCTTACATAAAAGATCTAAGCCAACATCTCTACAATATTCAAATACGTTCACATTCTCATGAACTGTTAGAAAAAACTCATCATCGCGCACCTTGGTTCCTCTTATAGTATTTTTATATTGAAACGGTGCAGATCGGTTGCTTGAGTGTGTAACAAAGTGGTGTCGGGAGTGAAATGCACATGTCTATGGCCCGCCTGGTGTGAAGACACTGTCTGAGAATAAGTATACGAGATGCGATCATTTCATATAAACAAATGCAATCGCTCATCTTCAACTCTAACAGGTACGAGAAGTTACCTGACAACTCAGTTGCAGTAAACGAACTGAGAATCATCATCACCATCATAAAATGAACGGACATGGAGCCTAGGTGGCTAATGCCCTTGCCAACTGACCGCCTTGCTTTGGAGCCAACAAGTGACCGTTACAGCCATCGGCTAAATCTCTCGCTCTATTTATGGACGCTCAGTCAACTGGGACCCTTTTTGGCAGCTAGTGATAATCATTTCCAAGCCACGGATACTTTCTTGACTTCCTGGCGGAACAGGTAGAAACTGTTCCAAGGCTGTTGCCTAATTGGACGCCATACTAAGCCTTGTTTTCTTCCTGAGTTAATTTGTACGTCTTGCGAGAATTCTAACAAGCTGAATTTTGAGAAAAGGAAAGGCTAATCAAAATGTCAACGGTTCAATTTGTTTACAATCCTAGCTTGACAACTGATCAATCTTGTTTCAATTAGGAGATGCCCAAAATTATATTACACACCAAATTGCAGTGGATTGTTTCCTCTGTTTAAGTTCATTTTCTGAAGCTAGACATGCTTATTAGGCCCTTTGTCACTTTTAGTGTGATTTAGTATCATTACTGATAAGTTAGTTATTGTAATTTTCAATAAATGGTTGTTAACACACGACCAAAAGATTCTGAAACAAAGAAATCGGAAACTATGATTGGTTGGCACTCAGAAGCACTCTGCTTTCAGAAGTAGGGATGGTGCGTCTCTCTACTCTTGCCAAATAAAAAACAACAAAAACTTCGTCATCCATACATATTTTAAAAAGGAGGATCTATGTTACCACATGTTTCTGAATATAAAACAATTTAAATCCTGAATGAAACTCTTAATGACGAAGAACTTATCTTTCAATTGAACGATGACGAGGACATGAAAGCTTTGCATCGGTGCTCAATGTCAGATGATTGTGTTGCCGTCTAAAGATGAAACAGCTCTTCGTCCAACAACCTTCAATCGTTTTCGACTCCTAGTTTGCCATCCATAACAACAATGCCGCTCTAGTCTTCATTACGAACTTTAAACTTCCCCGAAACCTTCAGGGTCCTACAACATCTATACAACGCATGCTCAGTCATCGACAAGAAAGCCACAGTTTCCTTACCACTTGCTTGCATTTTATACCTGGAAATGTTTACCGGGCAACGGATTGAAACTAAGGCGGGTATTTTAATTGGTTCGTACCCTCTCCCGGGGGTACCCCGTCCCGTTATTACTGCTGTTGACAGGTTTAATTATTGCCAGATAATATCAAAGGCCAACGGCTTGGCCATACCTTAGTCTGAAAACATCTTTCACTTAGCTACTGATATAGAGAGTGAGAACGGCCAGCTCGTCGTAGTCCTTATGACCTTTTAAGCAGGTCAACTCATTTAAATATGAACGCGCGGACAAATGGGTACAGTGTTTCGCGTGTACGCGCACTTGGAAACTCGGTCCATTTAGCCCCGCCCAATGGTATTTTGACCAATCAAACCGTGATTAATGTCCTACATGGTTGCGTACACAAAAGTCTGACGCGCGTGCACGCGCGTAGGACGCGCGCAGCTGGAACATACAGTTTGGCATTAAAGAAGCGCACGTGATGTTGCCCAGATGCGCAATGGGCGTGGCCTTATTGATCGGTTTATTATTTAGAGAACAGCAAGGAAGGATGCGTTATCAGAGTGCATAGACACAAATACGATTCTTAAAAAGTTAGGAGTACCTTGCCTGTCCTCATGTACAACTAAGAGAAGGAGGTCAGGTCCCAAGTTCATGCCATACCAGATGATTTATCAAGTTAATACAGCAATCAGTGCTCATTATATCCCTTTCTAAACCACGCGTCAGTGTTAAACACATATATTATCAAAGTCGTAATACGTTTCCTGTGTTCTGAGGAAAGTAATAATCTACGTGGCCAAAGTTTACGAAATAACTAAAATTTTGCGAATTTGATTGATGGGTTTAAATTGGTGAGATGGAGGAATGCAATTTTAAAAAAAATGAATACAAACGCTGAATGCCTGACTGCGCAAGAAATAACAGGTATATTCGCAATCTGGGCCTGAGTTGTGTCCGACAAAATGTCGATTGACAGTGATATGAATCATAAATTCCACTTGGGTATATACTGGGCAGGATGACGTTTGTCGTTTCAAATCATTGCATCTTTTCAATCTAGTGAAAGCTAAGGAGAGATGTGTCTGAACTTTCAAGACAAGGTAGAAGTCGGCGCCATCTGATAATCAAATTAATCTGAGTGAAGTAAAAAGGGAAATGGCATAATCGGTTTACTTTTGTTGAATTTGCCGAGTTTAAGAAATTTATCAACAGACAAGGGGATTATTTCCAAAATAATTATGTTCGTCTTATAAATGTACATACGAAGAACTATGCTTGGCTATACATAGCCCCATATAAAGATAAATAACCAGTAAAAGCAAAGATACTTGGTAAACCTTTAACGCCGTCAAGGACCTCAGTGCAACAAAGTACATTGCCTTAAAGGCCTGCTTAGCCGACTCGGAACACGACGTCTCTAGAGTCGGAAGCCAGACGTCTCGATATACTATGCAACATTTTTCCCGCCGACCCTTTCCTTTTCCTGAACGTTATCAAATACAGATAGGTTTTTGTCTTGCCTGGCGAATCGATATCCCATTGATATTACACCTGGGACGGTTTGGAAGCTATTCCTGAAAATTGAATACTTCTGTCAATCATGTGGAGCCCAGATGTTCGTGGGCGTTTTGTCTGCTTGGCCATGTATCTAATTTCGTGTTGGATTATGGGCTCTTTGAAAGCTGAAAAGTTGGTACACTCAAAGCAAGACTTTACCCGTTTATTGGATACACCCTCTCACGTGACCGGTCACCTCCTAATTATCTATGCATGAGCATGCGCAATACTACCAATGAGTCCGTATTTCATAGAAACCTAAATTCACGCTTCACCGGCACTGCAAGGTGGAAATGGCAATTTCAAAAACAAAAGATATTGATAAAAGTTACGCCAAAAAGAGAGAAAACAGGACTAGAACGGCGTTGAAAAAAAACCGACGCTGCTCTAAATACCAAGAACCCCCAAATGTAATTTGTTTAGCGAATTCTTCATTAATCAACAGTTGAATTCGATTAATTACCCCGATTAACATTACCCCTTCATAAAAATGAAAAGAGAAACCAAGAAATTCGCAACATCGTTGAATAAAGGAACTCCAAGAACCAAAAAATATTAAGGAAAAGCAAGGTTGAAATCAAGCATAACTTATCATTAAGCAATAATAATAGGCCCATGCAAACTAACAAAATCAGCAATAAAGGCGGAAATTTAGTTTGAGTATTTGACTAGTTTTCATACTAGTTCTAAATTATCTTGCATAACAAAAATTGCAAACAACACCCATAAAACGTGATATACATCTAATCGAAAGCTAGAAATCGAGTGTTTACTGTAAGAGTGACTGGATTTCTGACCCGGATATCCTAAGT